GTCCAGGGTCTCAAAAGCCGCGCAGCATTTAAACTCATGGAGGTAAATTCATCCTATCGATCCAAAAAAGAAATATCAATATCTTGACCATGAGCGACTAGATTGACGCGAAATATCGCCTTTTCAAACCAAGCAGCGTCGTGGTAGACTTGGTAAGCATTCAAGCACGGAGAAGAGCAATTGGCTGATACATGGCAGGGTTTCGCCCCAGGCAGCTGGTCTCAAGTAAGTTGTCACAAAAAGGAACAACCAGCATAACTACTAAGTGAAAAGGTTGCAATAGATCGAACTCGCCCCGGCGGCAAAGTAATTGGCATCGACCTCATCCCGGCTGAACCACCAAAAGGTGTCGCGACCTTTCAGGGGGATTTTCTTTCACTAGGAGTTCAGAAAATGGTAAAGGATTTCATACGCGAAACTATACAAGACCCCCCAAAACGACATGGAGGTGAAGCAGCTATGCACGGCAGCCTTGCCATGGATCAACAAGGCTGTGTGGATGTTGGGCGGCTCACCGCGGCATCCGTGGCAGAGGACGAGAAAATGCAAGTGGTGGATGTGAGTCTAGCGACCCAGGAATAGTTCGTTGACATGTGGAACTAACGGTGCTGCAGATTGTATTAAGTGATATGTCAGCATCCTGAGGCGCTTCACTGTGAACATCTGGAGTAACCCATACCGTGCAGGCTGATGAACACGAGCGGCGTGGCATTTCGCGATCATGCCGGCAGCATGGTGAGTGCATTCACTTACGCCGGCCAAAATAGCCGCACATCTTAACAGGGCTCTTATGATTAGGATCTCTGCTACGCAGCATTACATTTTGCTGAAGAAACGCTTAAAACTGGTGGCCATTTTGTCTGCAAATTCTATCAGGGCGCCGAGGATAAGCTACTAGAGCAGAGACTCAAGGGGAGCTTCTCTAGAGTGCACAGGGAAAAGCCCGGGTCCTCACGCACTGCAAGTGCCTCATTTCCCAAATGGACACAACCAAAGCTAATACTATAGCAGGAAAGCAAGGAGGCCTTCTTCGTTGCATTGCGACGCAAGGCATCAAGTGCGTAAAAAAACGTTACACAACTGTCACATCATCCAGCATGTGTAAGCCTCCGTCTTCCCAAATCGCCTCAAAAAGCAGCACGTATATAGTTGAACTGAGAAGAGAGCCATATTCGTCGTGTTTTGAGGTCATAATTTTTTGTATTTGATACCGAGGCACGCCCAGCCCAATCCATGCAAAATACATCGGCGAGGCCAATTTATTATTAGCCTTAAACGCCAAGCTAGCGCCACACACCAAATCCTGACATTTTCTCCATTTTCTCCCGGGTCTAAACTTAGACCTTGAAGCCGCGAGAGCGTCTGCGACCACGGGCACGCTCGAACTTGCGGCCCTTTGAGACGACGTGAGGCTTCTACGGGGGAGTTAGCATCTGTTGATATGGAAGTCATGCATAGCAGTTTGCACGTACCTTGCCCTTGTGGGGACCGAAACCGAAGTGTTTGAACGCCTCGCGGCTGTTTTTTGGGCCGCGGAGGATCAGCGTGTTGCTGCCCGTAGGCGCACGGAGAGCAAGCTGGTCCAGGGTGATGGCATCACCACCAGCAGCGACAATGCGAGCACGGGCGGTAGCGGTGAAGCGGAGGGCAGCGACGGTCACCTTGGGGAAGGTGAGCAGTCGGTTGTCGTCAGTGATGGTGCCGACCACGACAACAGTGCGCTTCTCGCCCTCCTTGTTGATGTTGCCAACAATGCGCGACAGAGAGACGGGGGGGCGGTTGATCTTGGACATGAAAAGACGGCGAAGAACAACCTTGTTGAAGGAAGAGTCGGTACGACCTGAGCTTTGTTAGTATTCGGGGATCGTTTCGCCGTGGTTCAGAGCGGAAACGTACGGGCAAGGAAGCGGTAAAGCTTTACCAAGAGCTTGAGATAGACATTGTCGCTCTTGGGCGCCTTGCGGTGCGTCGACTTGACGTGGTGGCGGTCGAGATCAATACCTACAAGATGAAGCAATCGTCAGCCCAAAATCCTTGTATGCTCATGCAGGTTCTCAGTCTTCCGAAGAAGAGGAACGCCATGCCCGCAGAAAGAAGGCAAGAGACTTCTTTCCACTCGCATACGGAGGCTGTGTTTCGATGCTTCACGTACCCATTTTGTCGGTTGTTTCGTTGAGCGTTAGTGAAGAAAAACCCCGATTGTGATGGTTGGCGAGAGCGAATTTCGAGGAGCCAGTCTCTGGCTTTTCTGAGTGGGCCCCGGATCTCCAACGTGCAGGCGGTGTGCTACGGCAGTTAGGGCATTCTGCTGCTAGCAGCGATTTGCCTCGGCCACCTACTCATGTACCTAGGTATCTTAAAAGGTAGGTAGGTACTATATACACAAGGTAGGCCTATCTTTTTAAAGGGCTTATATTTAATAGATCATTTTCCCCTATTATAACGCTATTAGGCTACTATTATATATTAAAACCCATTTTTAGGGGAAAATTATATGTTGAATGGAAAACGTGGCTAGTGCCTTATTAAAAAACAGCCCTCACGCGCGTAGGTACCTAGATATATACATATGTATTGTCCCCCATGCATAGCGATATCTTGGTAGTTTTGCACAATAGTGTCCGCCTATTCAAGCGCTCTGCGACCCATCTCTGATGCTATCTATATTTCTATGCGCAACCTCCGATACACCTTTCTAGTAGGTAGACTATAAATGAACGCTGTGGCTCACGCAGATGAAGAACAAAGGGAAACTGCCTCTGGAAACTCTCACCACCCTGGTTTTTATACACGCACTATTGCGATATCTCACTGGATTCTGGCTTCAGACTTGCTACGAAGTCGCGAGTGACTTCGAAGCTGAGCCAACTAGACGCCATACTCGGCGCGACTTTCAGTAGGTTAGGCACAATACCCTTGTAAAGGCCCTTGACTCCTTCTTGAGCCACGATGACTTTCACGGCGTCAGGGAGCGACTTATACTTATAGCCCATTCCAGACATGGTATTGATCTGAAATCGCCGGCGTAGGACGTCACTAGTTGATCACGTTAACACTCCCTTCGTATCGAAACAAAGAGTCGGCCATAGCTTACAATGGATACGTGCAAGTCTGGGCCACAGCTCCGGAGATGGCGCCAGCTAACAGTTTGCGGGCCGCGTTGGGGTTTTGTTCGCCGTCCGGTGTTAAGTACTTTCTGACGGATTCATAAACCATAAAGTTAAGTCCGACCTAGGATATATTAGTTTCACTGTAGACTTGCGTAGTCACGGCTTTCTCACATATGGTGCCACGCCAGCCACAGTTGGAACAAGTCCACGATACAGGGCTGCTATACCGCCTTCACTCCGGTACATCGAAACCATTGTTGACCACATACCGGGCAGCTTCTGTGGACGGTTACCCAACTCAGCAAAGCTTGCCGATTGGATGGACAAACGAGTTCTAACAATGTCAAGTGGGTATGTTAGGAAAACTGACGTTATGCCGGCAAGTCCGCCACAGACTAAGCGCGTCACGGCAGCCAGTTCAGCTCCAGGCGTTGTCTCGAATATGTGCTAGTTCCCGAAGTCAGTAAGGATGCGTTTCGGCAATGATTATCTTGTCTTGCATACTCGCTTGTAAAAGTTGTAGCTGCTGAATTGTACAGCAGAGTAGGGCACGATACGGATGCAGTTTGTTCCGTTTCCTCTCATGAACCCTCTCCATCCTTCTTCCCGCCACATTTTAGCCAGCGCTTGGCTGACTGACATTTTATATGCATCTCGTCCAACACTCTGTACCTGCATAAGAATCTTGAGGCGTTCGAGGGGGGAGACGACGGTCCTAGAAACTGCGCCAGCGACGCCGCCTCCGCAGAACGCCGCAGCAATTGGCTGAGAGAGCCATTCACGGATCCCTCTAAATTGTACATCAGCCGGCCCTGGAGGCTTCGTCGCATCAGAGAGGGGCTAATGTATGTTAGCGACTGGTGCTTGCTGTCGTGAGAGTGATTGTTCAGATCAATTGGTGTCATACACTTGACATTTTAGCAAATTATTGCCTCAAAGTAACTCCGGGGTCTCTTTCGTGGATTTTAAGCGCATCCAGGCGCAAGTCTCCAGTACGCGCCAACGATTCCTGACTGCCACCGTTCTGTACTTAGCGTCGTTTATCCGGCACGCATTCGCTTCGGTATCGCCTTGCAAAGAAATATTCCAAAGTGTAATTCGCCTGGTTTCGTCGCACGTAGGGAATGTCGCGCAGAGCCACTGGTTGTTGTCCTGGCCAGGACCTAGGTCAGCGCGGAACGTAGCTACGTCGATTTCCCCTGGCCCGGCAGACGAGCAGCCGTGCAAGAGGCAGTAGCAGGACGCTGTTGAGTATCGTCAATAGGGGATCGAATGCAGTTGCAGTAGGATTTTTGGTTGGTCTCAAACAATACGTGGGAGGAAGTGCTCGGGTCAGGCCGGCAGGAGAAGAGCTTTTTTTTTCATGTAGTGAGTCTCCTCGGGTTATTATCGGCCACGACACTACATACCTCTAGTAGGGAGTACTAGTTAATAATATAAGGTAGTAGTAGTAGTAGGTAGGTAGGTACTAGTAGGTACGAAATAACTGGGCGGGCAAGGAGGCACTGAAAAGCTGGGGCCCCTCTACAGAGTGGTACGGTACATTGCTTTCCCTGCCATTCTCCAAACAGCTGGTGTCACAAGTTTAGAAAATATAGATAATCGGCACATATGATTCCGGATGTAACAAATTCTTACATTTTGACCTATATAATCAGGTTCCACGGAGCCAGTTTAACAAAAAAAAAACCTGGACAGCAAAGTGGTAACGGCAATTGGCAGACTTCTAAAGTCTCTCAATAGCCACATCTCTACGTAATACACGGTTTATGCTCTCAAATAAAAACGCACCATTGAGTGCATGACTTGGCTGTTCGCCTCGTAAAATGCACAACAGCTGGGTGATACTTGACCGGGCATCTCCAAGGCTTCGATGGGACGACTGGACAATTACTCGGCCACATCAAGGTCTTCAGGTGCTGGGGGAGGACTCTCAACAGCTGCATCAAGTCAGATTAAGTCAACGGCGAATTGCTGTTCTCGATTCGCCACTTACGCTTTCTCTCGTCGCCATTAGCGCCGTTTTCTCTTCTGTCGCGGTCATCACGATCGTCACGGTCGTCACGATCATCGCGGTCGTCTTTAGCGTCACGTTCACGATCCCTACAGCTTCTTGTTAGTGGTCTGTCTCCAAACCCAAAAGATACTCCTGGCACTAACCGGTTATCAGGGCTGCGCGATCTATCGCGATCTCTGCGGCTGTCGCGATCGTAGTCACGGTCCCGATCACGGCGGTCTTCCTTGCGAGGAGATTGGTCCCGAGTGCTCCGTCTAGGTGAGGGAGATCTGCCACGTCGGGGAGAGCGAGCAGCGCGGCGGTCACGATCGCGACCAGATTCGAAACGCCAAGAAGCAGATGGGGGAGTCCTTGCCCACTACGAAAGTTAGCAATGTGGACCACAAGGAAATGGCCAGGTTGGAATACCTCGATCTTCAGAGCGTCGTCGCGGCCGATGCGCTTGTTGTGCATCTCATGGTAAGCGTCATCTGCATCCCGACGATCCTCATACTCGACGAAAGCAAAGCTATCAACCATTAGTTTCAGTCGCCCCAGCATGTCTTCAAATCAAACTCACAGTCTGCTTGAAGTAGATCGCGGCGCAGGAATATCGCACCGAACGAGGCGGCCGTAGCTTTTCAGATGTCAAGTTAGCAAATGCTCGTTGAACTTGGGAAAGGATTTCCCGAGAAGCCCGTTCAACTCAATGAGTTCAAGGAGTAGCGCACTCCATTGAACATGGATTATGGATGGAGACCTCCCAATATGATGGAAACCACTAAGCCGAGGGCGCGCAGTGACGCGTGGTAAATGGGTAATCAGGGTCTGACGATCGTGAGGGCACGAGATGCGCGGGGGCGGCGCCAACGCGGGTAGAGGAGTCGCTCGTGCAGAGCGATCGATGATTCGTGGGTAAATCTCATATCCGACGGGGAGAGGACGCGTGTATGGATGCGGATGAGGGCGGCGAGGGCGAGGGCGAGGGCGAGGGCGAGGGCGAGGGCGAGGGCGAGAGCGTAGTTGACATACCGTTCGAACTCGTATGCGAGGTCGCGAGCGCGGGTGCCGTGGCTAAAACCGGTCACATACAAGGTTTGGCTGCCGCGAGACATAGTTGAATAGTTTAATGCAGCTTATCTCGAAAGAGTTGACAACGTGTGATGCAACGGTGGAACGAATAACTTATTTGCCTTGAACATGCGACATGTCGACTGGAAAGATTTCGAATGCGCCAGATCGAATATGTGGGGCAATTAGGTAATCCTCCCTTGCAAATTGCCAACGTCATAGCTAGAATTCAACTGCGGAGTACATAGCCATCTCCATCTAGACTCAGCAAGCCATGGCGAGCAACCAGGTCTATGGGCAGACATTGATCTCTCTAGTGTTTATATTACAATAAATATATTCGCATCTTCTTTATTCGAACGGCTTCGTTAAGCCACAATTTTTTCTTGGGCCGCCAGCACAGCGTTCATTGCGTGCACAGCAGCGCATGGCCATGCTATGCTTCAGCAGCCCCATCGCCACGACTTTCAGCGAAATTACGTGCCTTCGTGTATTTGTGGCAAGCTTTTCGCCACAAATATAATTCAAGTGGTCGGACGGTATATTTTGTGAAACAAACTATCCTGTCATAGGAAGTCAACCTTGATCTGGCCGCCTGTTGTGACATTAAGTAGCTGTTGTTGAGCACGACAGTAGAGAACAGAACCAACGTCAAGATCATCGGGTGAAGAAAGTCGACACATCTGCGAGCAAACAAAACCTTATACATGCCTCATTGGCAACGTTGGAAGCTTTAGGATGCATTCAGTGGTATCCTCTGAGTTAACGCCACATTGCATTGATGATTCGATTCTATCATCAGAAACGCAAAGTGAAGAAGACTACGATGAAAATGTCCGTCCAAGCATCATATCTGCGCTCGATTCCGACGTACGTCAGAGAATCGAGCAAAATAAGCGCCTGACAGGGCTGCAAATTGCTCCAACGGTGGCTTCAAATCTGGCTGTCAATGGCCTCGAACTCAATTACGAATCTCATACCAAGGCTTCTGCGAGCAAATCAACGGATCAGCGACCGGAACAGCGCCCGAAATTCAAAGCACTTGTCTTCTCACGACAAGTATCAACATTTGACGCCCAAAGTGAAGCCGCAAACAGTCCGTTCCACGGCTTCTATAATCTTTTCTGGCTATCTGTTGCGCTTCTTATTTGCAAAATATCGGCAAACAACTGGCGGACCTACGGAAATCTTCTGGGTCCCAGTGATATTTTGAAGACTATGTTTCATAGAGACGGTGCGTGAATGCCACTAGGTGAAACTGACAGTTCTGTTTTAACACCCTTCAGTCATTGTCTTGCTACTATCTGACGGATTCATGTGCGCCTTGACAGCAGTCACTTGGCTTCAACAAAAACTCATCCTGGTCAAAATCGTGAACTGGGACCGAGAGGGTTGGATAATGCAACATGTAAGACAGTCGTTTCATTTATTCAACGTGGACTGACTGGCCTTTAAGATTTGGCAAGCTCTTTTTATAGCCGGAGCAGTCAAGTGGACTGTCTACAGAGATTGGCCGTGGACGCACACAGTGTTCTTCGTTTTGCATTCTCTCGTTATGCTTATGAAACAGCATTCATACGCATCGTACAATGGCCATCTGTCAACTCAGTACCACAGACGACAGTTGCTACTCAGCAAGCTCAAGAAATTAGAGTTTATTGACTGCGCAGAAGACTTATCCGCTAACTCAACCGTCTCCGAAGGTTTGTTCACGCCTTCCGGTACTTCCTTGCATACCAGTCGCCATTTCAATGGCATCTCATCAGGTTCTGAGCTCACTTCCGTTGATCTGGACAGTATTATACAGATCATTGATGCCTCCGAAACTCTGGGTCAACAGCAGGTATCTCTGTTTGAAAGAGCTATCAAGGACGAGGTTGATACACTTGGCAAGGATCTTAGAGGGACAACGAGCGACTCTTCAAAGGCGTACCCTCACAATCTCACCTTCTTAGGTCACTACGGATGGATTCCTCTCCCTACGGTGGTTTATGAACTCGAATACCCTCGACTTGAGAAGATCAACTGGGGTTATGTGGCTGAGAAAGTCTCTGCGATGATCGGTATCATCTTTGTGATGATTCAAGTTTCTCAGTACTACATATGTATGTTTACAGCCAACGCAATCAGTATTCTCCTTCACTAACGCAGAAACAAAAGACCCTGTCGTGCTAGTAACGATTGAAATGCGAGAAGAAAGTATGCCTCTGCTTGCGAGGCTTCGCGAATTCCCGTGGTTGCTCGGCGATCTGCTTTTTCCATTTATGATGGAGTATCTGGTACGCGCTTGGCCTTTCAAAATCCCCTTATCTTTACTAACATTTCAGCTTACATGGTATTTGATATGGGAAACTGTTCTCAACATCTTGGCGGAGTTGACCTACTTTGCGGACCGGCACTTCTACGACGCTTGGTGGAACAGTGGTAATCAAAAGCTCACTACCTGGCTGTTTTCGCTTCTTGGGCTAAAATGTATTGCAGTATCCTGGGACCAGTTCGCACGAGACTGGAATCGCCCAGTTCACGTCTTTCTCCTTCGCCATGTATACCACAGTTCAATCTCATCATTAAAAGTCAACAAGCACACAGCAACCATCATCACCTTTTTTCTTTCCGCTTGCGTTCACGAATTTATCATGTGGTGCATCTTCAAAAAGCTACGCGGATATTTGCTTGTCTTGCAAATGTGCCAATTGCCAGTATGTTGAGAATCTGATTGTCCTTTCGATGTTATAGAGGAATCAATTGCTTACGGTGAGTAGCTCGTTCGTTTAAGCCAATCACGATGGCTGGTGGGCCGGGAAACACTGGGTAATCTCGTCTTCTGGCTCGGTATATATACTGGTCCGAGCGTCCTGTGCAGTTTGTACCTTATTCTTTGACAAGAACGCCCTCCAAGCATCTCGATAATCACTTTTCTTTTTTTACGAAGTTGACAACCGGTCTCTCTTCAACATATTTTTTATGACAATTCAAAATCAATTAAGTTTGCGGCATAGTCACTACCACGTCGCTGTTCGGATAAACTATTGCGCATGAGTTGTTGGGCTTTTTTGCCACTCCCTTACATCTTCTCGTGAGTAGCCATGAGGGATCCTGTGTTGCCAGACGTTAGTAATAGAAACTCGAGGCGGATTGATGATAAGCATACCAATAAAGGTTGTCACAAGACGGCTTCGGACTTGGCAGATATCTTCTGGCACAAGCCATATTGTGGCGCCGAGCTTTCGGGCAATGCTGATGCTAAGTTTGGCGTTCATGTAGGCATCTGCGTCTGTCTGTCCAGAGGTGACCAGGTCGTAGTCAACGTAGCTGCTCTTGATGCCGTTCAGCACATCAAGCAAGAAAATGCCAGTGGCAATGGCAGGGTCCTTGAACGATCGGATGGCAGAGTTACGTCCACCTCTCTTGGACATGTCATTTGCCCAGCGAACCATTTCGGCATCAGTAATTTCTCGCTTGCCAAGTTTCTGCGCAAGAGACGAAAGGGTTACCGTAATATTCCTTCTCATGAGTTGCCACACCAGGCCAAGAGTCAGGGTCCTTTGGCCGTCAGTGATATCAGCACCCTGGATGCCAACCAACGAGAACCCGATTTGCTTGCCGAGTTCAATAACATAATTGGTATTCTCTACAGCCTTGAAACGGATCATTTCGCCACCGTGAGACGGGGGTTTGTTAACATGGCGCCAGTTAACGGAACCTTGTATGACCTTGTCGTACGCCTGCAGGAGAATGTTGCCGTCGCGAAGGTCGTCAAAAAATGACACCACTGGTGGCTGGACATCCAAGCTGTTAAGCCATAGTGTGAAAACTCTTGCCTCTCTCTCTCCTTCGGCGTCGAAATCCTCGACTTCGAGCTTCTCTTCCTCTGTGATTGGGTCTAGGGCAGGATGGTTGTTGAACAAATTGGCAACGAAAGCAAGGTTCAGCTTGGGGTTACCAGCAACTAGCGATTTGGGAGTGAGGAATTTCCTGCATTGGAGCTTGTCAGCCTCCTGTAACACTTCTTCGGCTCGTTGCAGAAGATCTCTTGTCTGAAGTGGCGCTCTAGTGCAACCATGTTCGCCTCCAATTTGCGCAAGCAAGACAGCGTAGTTCTCTCCATCCTTGACATCGGTGGAGAAGTTGGAGACTCTTCATCGGAATGTTAGCTTGGGACATATTTGTTATATCGTTGTTACGAACCTGCGAGACCAGTTCGCTGCCTTTAGATGATAATTAAACCATCGTAGTAGAATCTGCTCGGGTGGGAGCCGGAGAAATTGTTCCAGGGTTTCGTCGTCTTCCAGCAGGCGATAGAGCTCAGGATGTAGCTTGATATCAATTTTTCCGAGAAGACCGCGGCGGATAATTTGCCAAATAAGACCCAGGATCAGATGCTCGCGCACTTCTATGATGTCGCCGGCGCCAATGTTGACGACAGAACAGCCAATACCCTTGCAAGACTCAATTACGATGTTGTTGTTCTCGCTCATTTGAAATGCGTTGAGTTTCTTGCTTTTCTTTCCAGGCATGTTCAGAACACGCTCATCAATGGTATCCGGTACACTGTCGTTGATGAGTTTGGCGAGAACCAGTCCGTCCTTGCAGTCGTCAAACATTTCAAAGGTATCAGTGGGAAATGGGAGGCGGCTGCCAATATCTGCATCACCTGCTAGGACGGCATTGATATGGCGAGTGAACTCTGTTCGTTCATCCTCGTTGATTGTGTGCGTAATGTTTGCGCTGGAGCCTTGCACTTGGATCTTGCCGCTGACGCTGCCTTTGGAAGCGTGGCCGCCCGCTCGCTGAGTTACCACACCACTTGAAGAAGCGGCCGGCCCGGCAGACATGCGTTTCTGGGCAGGGGACGAGTCTCGAAGTTTCGCAATAAGCTATGATAAGACTGTTAGACATTTCACGTATGATTGGGGTACTCGGTGCAACTCACTCCCACATAGTCTTCGAGCTCAACGCGTCTTGAAGAATCCAGGTCAACCTCCTTCAGCGCCTGCCGTACGACATCATACGGAAGATTTTCACTTTGCTGGGTGGCCTTGATTGCTGTCGCCTCGTCCAGGTATCCTCGGTCATCTACATCGAGTCGCTGGAAAGCATCCGAGAGCGAGAAAATCTCGTTCTGCTGAAACTGGGAAAATTTCCTACAGTTATGCAGTCAGCTTCGGAATGGATCGATGCGCTCTATCACTATACTTTTGAAGTTTGAGGACATTCATTTTCCAAGCCTCTCGATCGATGTTTTAGTGATTAATGTTGGTCGTCGTTGCTGTTTCGCTCGTCGACGCAATACTCGGTGGACGAATGCTAATACGGAGCTAGCGGACCGTAGCTCTAAATATAACATTGCGTTAGAAATACTGGCAGGAGCTGACGTTCTGTTCACATACTTTTTGCCTCTTTTGGGGGGGGCTGGTATGTTTCCCTGTAGGTCAACGTCGGTTCGATGAGAGAGTTTGCGACTGGAGGGGAGTGCTGTGGCGGGGGGCAAAGAGTGATGTAATAGCTGGTGGGGCAACAATGAAGGTCACGCCGCCGCCGCGCAACGCAACGCATTTTGGCGCCCTGGTAATGTCGGTGCCTGTTTTGCTGACAACTAGGGGCCACCGTCGTCAGCGCCGTCGGTTTGAATACGATCAGTTTTCCGTTCTTTACGTTGACTTGCGAGAGACTTGAGAACCCTGCATTCAGCCAGAGTTGTATAGAAAGTAGGTGCATGACCCTTGATAGCTATCTGGTGAATGAGAGCCAGTACCTGCAGTACATTCCTTGGCGGGTCTGCTCCCGCCATAGTGCCTGGTTGGGAAATTTTCCTAGCGTGCACGGCAATCTTCAACACAGAGATATAAAAACATCATGGCGTCGTGCAGAGCATGTGAGGAGCCTCTTGTGCTCCATATGGCTGATAGTGACGACGAGAGGGGAGATGTCGTTACTATTGATATTCCAGATGATATTGAACTCTCCTGCCATTGCCATTACCACTGGTAGGGACAAGCTACGGGTTGGCGGGCGTCAGTGGACATAGCTGGTAGCTAATTCTTATACATAGGCAATGCCTTATGGACAACGCTTCTTCGGTACCGTCCAGTTTCCGGTGTCCTACTTGTGAAGGGGACATATCGACACTCGCCTCGTTGACAGCCGGCAGCTCTCGTGCAGGGGACATTCACACGATTTTGGTACGATATACAAACGAGGGCGGTATACAGGATAGGTTGGATATTTCACTGTCCATGAGGGAGGAGGTGTATCTGGAGGCGCATCCCGACGCCGCTCCAGCACGCGCCTTTCACTTGATGTGCGCGGAAGGCGATCTGGAAGGTCTCGTTGAGCTGCTGTATCACGCCGGTGATCAGGTCCCTGATCTTGGCTCAGTCATTCGGTATCAGGATCCTTTATCTGATATGAAAAGCGGTCTCCATTTAGCCGAGTCGGGTCTGTTGTCCATGTAGGGTTGTCCATGTAGGGTATCAGATAACATGAAACCTACAGCAGGAGGCCGCGCTGCGTGATAGGATAGACTTGGGGTTGTCGACCTGGAGGGGGCAATGACACTTGATGGCCGACAGGGAAGACCCAACATTGGGCGTAGAATGCATGTTCCTCAGACGAACCCCGAGGTGTTGTTCCCAACAACCGGCTACAGGGTAGTCCAGCCCACAACCGCCAGCTCATTTACTATGTTCATGCCACCACACTAGCTTGCGACCTCTCTCATCATTCGCATGTGCTTTTCAAGTCATAAAACAGGAAAGCTACTGCTGGCCAGGTCATTGACGCGTTCGTGCGATTTATGCCATCATTCTTGCGCGCCAGTAGATTCCACACCTTGAAGTCACCCTGCTAGAGAAATCGACCCACTCAAGCTTCACCCCCATCCCACGGTTCATCCTGTTCCATCCCCAGTCTTGATGCGAAAGAAGCAGGCCAGATACATGAACGACGCGGCAGGACTACCGAGCTGGAGCTCGGCTTAAAAGGCAAACGTGGCACTGCCTCGCGGAAAGTCAGGGCTTCGCCCGAGACGTCTCACCAGACAGCTCCTATCACATGCCACGCCAAGCCCACTGGGGCGGCAAGTCATGAGCACGAAAGACCAAGGGTCGCCTAATGGCACGCCCAAGAGCGAAGAACATCAAGAAACACCATACTGGAGCTCGGCGTTGAGCTCGATCGGAATATGGAATGGCGCCAAGCCATCCTTGGGGACTCAAACTGGAAAAGAGGCCGCGGGAGAAGCGAATGCGCCCAAACCCACTACCGCAACCGACCACATCACCACCCCATTCCACGGGCAAAGCGTCCGAAGCTACCCCCAACACTGTCCGCCCCTCAAAGTCCAATGGTTCCACGCCGTTGACGTATGAACCTCACACGATCTCGGTGCGCCGAACAAATGCTGACCCTTTCACAGGTTCCGAAGAGGACCACGTTGCCGCCGTTTGAGGTAAAAGATTCCAGCGCAACCAAAGCGCCTGCAAAGCCCAAGAAATTTTCCGCATTCTCCACAGAAGACTCCAGGAGAATCGAAGCTCGGTACCAAAGCCTCCTCGAATCCGACGAGGAGCTACGCAGTAGGAATGGACGCAAGGAGCACAAATCGCAGTGCAGTACCAGTGACCCCACGCCCAAGAACACCCACGTGCCAGTGAATGAAGATTTCTTGTTCGATGTCAGCATTCAACGGCGGGAGCTTTGCCCAGTATACTGGCTTGGTCCCGTTTACGAGGGTGAGTACAATTTACCTGGCGCAAGAGCAAGGCTGATACTTACGACCAACGCTAGTTCGCCGGGGGACTTGGTTTTTCCAGGATAGCTCTAATTTGAGGCCATGCGAAGAGAATCTTGCTGCGCAGTTGGAAGAAGTGAGTATGCAATAAATGGCCGTCTGGCCCCCATACTAACATGGGAAGGGTTATTTGAAAACGAAGGCATGGGTCGAACCAGGTGAGGACTTTGTTCTGCGACACCCATGGACAACCAAGCTGACAGCCATACACAGACACGAATCCCGACCTGAAGCAGGATAGTGCTAGCATCTCCGCGATGGGGAATGAGGACTTGGTCGTGGCTGCAACCAAAAGTAAACTGGAAACCGAGGCAAAACAGACCAAGCTGAAATCGTACCGCCTCTTTGGAGCCTACATGAACAATACTGTCACGTATGAAGATGGAAGCACTGCTTGGCTGGTTTCGGATGGCGTCTTGTCGTGGGTAGCGACGTCCGTTTACGAGCGCTTCGCAGGAGGCGGCCACATGAGTGGTGTCAAGCTGGTCAGAGGTTATTCAGACCAGAGCAAAGCCAAAGAAAAGGAAAAGGGCGAAAAGAAGAAATCGACAGCTGACAATGACGATAGAATAGTGCCGGAAAGCATGCCATCAAACGTAGATGCGGCCGCGAGCGGTAAATCATACGCCGTGGGGAAGGCGCCTCTGACCAGTGAGGCCATGCTACAGAGTAGACTCTCCACTATCATAGAGAGTGAAGACCGTCGCACAGCAACAGGCGAGAATGAAGTGCGAAAGCTCAGCGAAGAAGAGATGCGCCATGACTACCTTACTCAAAATGGCGAATCGCAGAATCGAGATATCGAGCACCTAGTGCTCGTCACGCATGGAATCGGGCAGCGACTGGGCCTAAGGTATGGGGTGCGGATACTGTGCGGCAAACAAAAGGGCTAACAGATGATGCAGGACGCAGAGTGTCAACTTTATCCATGACGTCAATGTCTTGCGCAAGACCCTGAAGGGTGTGTACACAAACTCACCAGACCTACGCTCTATGAACATGGACGAGGGCGACGGACCGGGAAATTGTCGCATGCAAGTTTTACCAGTTTGTTGGCGCCACAAAGTTGAATTTCCCAGAGGAAGGAAAAGGAAAACGCAAGCCGACGAGAGGGATGTTGCCGAAGCCTATGAGGAGGAAGAAAAGTGTAAGATACGCCCGAGCAACGGTCGCGATGATACTAACGAAGCACACGTAGACCCGACACTAGAGGATATCACAATAGACGGCGTTTCGTTTGCGCGAGCGCTTATCTCTGACCTGGCTCTCGATGTTCTTCTTTACCAGAGCTCGTACAGGGCCGAGATTGCGCAAACCGTGATTGAGGAGTCGAACCGCATCGTTGCTTTATTTCGGCAGCGGAACCCTGGATTCAGAGGTAAAATTCACCTTGTTGGCCACTCTCTAGGCTCTGCCATCTTGTTCGACATTCTTTGTCGTGAGAACAGGCAGCGTCGCGGTGGCTCAAGACCGAACCCACTACGTTTCTTGCCTCACCATGATCCCTCGCGATTCGAGGCGGACGATACGCTAGACTTTGATGTGGAAGATTTCTACTGCCTAGGGTCGCCGATTGGCTTGTTCCAAATGCTTACTGGCAGGTATGGAAGAAACAGATTCTACGCAGAGCATGCCTAATTTATGCACAGAACCATCGCCGCGCGCCAGGCAGAGCGTGCTATTCCCAAAGCAGGCTTGACCAGTACGATAGACTCAGAAAACATGGACAGTAGCTTTGTTGCTGATTCCGGATATGCGACCTCCCGGCCGGATGTACAGCAGCTCTTCAATATTTTCTATCCCTCCGACCCAATCAGTTACCGCTTAGAGCCTCTCATTGCGCCCTTCATGGCTTCTATGAAACCACACAATCTCCCATATACAAAGAAGGGCCTTTTCGGTGTGGTAGGATCCCAAGGATTTACTGGAATCGGAACAAAAGTCGGCCAGAGCGTCAGCGGGCTCTTTGCCAGCTTAAGTACTGGAATATCGACGAATCTGCTACCCGCCTCGCTCCGCATTACCAGTGAGGAGGTTGAAGTTATAATGAAAGAGAATGCAACCTCAGAAACATCGGCTGTGTCGATGCCAAAGGAAAAACAAGTGGAAGGGAGGGAGGTTGACAGCGAGAGTCGGAATGTAGATGATGAGGAGGCACTATTGGCAAACCAGAGCAGCCAAATTGCTACATTATACTCACGATTCCAGATGAGCGATGAGCGCAGCGAAGAAGCTTCCAAAGATCCGAATGGTGAGGGCAAAGACCGCAAGACCCACAAACAGCGCATGGCTCAGAGGAAAGTCTGGGCACTGAATCGTAATGGACGCGTCGATTTCAGTATTCAGGAGTAGGTGATACCCGCTACACTTTTGGCTGGCACGACTGACCGTTCCAGGGGAGCTCTCGATTTCAGTCCCATTAGCACAATTGCCTCTCACATTGGCTACTGGGGGGAGGAGGACGTTAGCCACTTTATGCTTTCCCAAGTTCTCTCGCGGACCGAAAGGCAGAAGCCTAGTGGAAATTCGGAGTGAACTATCTGCGTGAATGAGAATAATAGACCTGAGAGCCGCCATCTAGTCTCCGATCTATCGCAACCTTGCTGGCTGGTACCAAGTGTTGCGAGGTAGCTAGGGGATAAGATCTACGGAAACGCGGCAAGCTGATCACGAGATTAGGCTATTACAAAGGACAAGCTGTTAAGTTAAGTTCAGTTCGATCCTGCACTACTAAAGTGACTTGTCAAGATATACTCCGTAGTGTTGTAATGATGGAATAATTGGAGGGAGTTCTTCTGTAGCTCAACACAACAGGACATCAGCCTAAAATAACAGGAGATAAGCTTAAATAACACTTCGACTATGATTGTGAAACCTAGTACCCTTCTCCTCTTATATAGCGCGCTGTTGATTGTCAACAGAGTCACGTGTGGCAAATCTTCAAATTCATAGCTGAGCTAGAAAAGCGAGCAACTTACCCAATACCGTCAGGCTACCTACATGTTCATATTGCAACCTGCTGCTTCTCGTCGTGAAAGAAAATTGAAATGTGTGGAAGATATGTGTTGGCGCTGGTGAGTCCGAGATGGTTGTGCGTCGTGCATGCAACCATTGGACATGCACACCCAGACGAATGGTTACTGATGGATGCAGCGGCCCTCCGAGATCCGGCAAATCATCGAAGATGCGGGCATGTCGGTGGAAGATGCGCCGGAGGACGGTGGAAGCGATGCACCTAGACAGTCTTACAACTTTGCGCCCGGGCACTACGGAGCCGTGTACCGGGCCGATACGCCGGATCACGGTGCCGGACCAGCTCCGAACGGAGTAGCCGATGCTGTCCAGGACCGGCACGACCAGAAGGCGAGCTACAAGCTGCAAACTATGAAATGGGGTCTGATTCCATCCTGGTCCAAGCGCAACCCCGACTATGCTTCCATGCTCAAGACTATCAATTGCCGCTCTGATTCTCTGAGCACAGCGGGTGGGCTGTGGTCTACTATGAAGGCGCGGAAGCGTTGCGTTGTCATTGCGCAAGGATTTTACGAGTGGCTCAAGACTGGGCCCAAGGACAAGTTGCCTCACTTTATCAAAAGAGCAGATGGCCAGCTGATGTACTTTGCCGGCTTGTGGGACTGCGTGCAATACGAAGGTGCGTGTACTTGACTGAGCGTGACTGAGCGTGAATGGAAGCGGCCTAACAAGACTTAGACTCGGACGAAAAGCATTACACCTTTACAATCATCACCACGGATTCAAACAAGCAGCTGAAATTTCTACACGACCGCATGCCCGTTGTCCTAGAGCCCGGATCTGATGCCATGTTAGAATGGCTAGACCCCAACAAGTACGAGTGGTCGAGGCACTTGCAGTCATTGCTACAGCCTTTTGCTGGCGATGTGGAAGTGTACCCAGTGGACAAGGACGTAGGTAAGGTGGGAAATGATTCGCCAACGTTCATCAAACCACTATACAGCAGTGAAAACAAGGCAAACATAGCGAACTTTTTCTCCGGCCCTCGGCATTTACCTCCTAGAGTATTGGCAAGTAAGTACGGAGATGCGAAGGCTAGTGTTGAGCTAAAGGTGGGAGAGAAGAGGAAGCAGGGGCCAGCGGTTGAGTCTGAATCCCCACAGAAAAGGCGGGCGATCCCCAGAACAGCAATCAGCTCGACGAGCAATACCGGAAAGAAAGCCCCTGTTCTATCATCAAAAGGAACACAAAAAATCACAAACTTTTTCACGAGATAGCTACAGTTACGGAGGAAGAATTTTACGATATATTTCGAAAGCTTAGAATGGTTGAACCTTAATGGGCCGTAAGCCCCGTTTTTCGTGCTTCCACGCTGTAAAAAAAAAAGGCGATATAAGTAAGACCGGTATGAGATACAATCAATGAAGACTGATTGATTCGGAAATTGGCGTAGACGGAGTCAATCCCGAAAACATGCCCGGAAAATATTTTGCTGAAGGTAGCAAATCTATTTAGCTGCCGAGCGAAATGATTTCACGTAACCCTACGTCTTAGATCATTTTTGTTTTCCCCGTGTTCTAGATAGATTCCGAGGCCGCTCTTACATAAAAAAAAAAAGCAACAATACCAAACCAATAAACACTACCACCTCCGCAGAACTCGACATAATATAAAATATATACTCTATCAATTCTACATTCCAGTATGCATATGCACTTGCGGATATAAATACGATCGAACGATATTTTACTTTATTTTTCGGCAGGCAGAATAACATTTTTAATATAAAAACATTACGAAACGCACAAACGCACCGACGCAAATGCTTGCAGAGAACGCGCGCACTGACAGTAATAACACGACATATGGCGCGACAGTAATTATTTCGAACACGACATATGGCGCGGTGGCGATACGTGGCATCCAGCCGACGGACCTACTCGCCTGCTCCAACCGCATGTAGAAGCGCGTGCAGCATCTGGACTAGTACCACGCGATATTCATACCGTCACATAAGATATGGTTAACGGCGGTCTTAAAATGTGCGTATTGTGTGAATTAGGTAGACTGTGGCAGTTTCGTAGGCAGATTAGATCTTGGCGATCTGAAAACACAATTTGGATACAGCCCTTCACCAGAATGCGAGTGGACCGCTGTGGCGTTATAAGCAGCGGCTGCTGTAACGGCCTCACCACCCATGGCAATGGTAGTCGATACACTCGATAGATGGATTCCGTATTGAATTTCTTTGGCATCGGTTCACAGGGCCTGGCACTCTCTAGCAGTATTAGAGTGAGTATTAGCCATTGTTGTTGTAAAATCACTCGAAAGCAGTGCGGCTGAACTAGGCAACGGTGTGCTGATCAGTCAGTGTTGGTGGTGTAAACCTTACGTCATTGACTTTAACATTGACGCTTGTGCAAGCAACGGCGGTTGGTTCTTGCCAAGTACACTTGCGCATTCTACGCGCAGGAAATACCGGTCTGCAGGCGGATGGATACCTCACTGATACTCTTGGCCGCCCACGCTTTCCCTGGCACGGTCAGCTCTCGAATGTGTTCAAGCGAGAACTGGTGAAAAGTATGACGTGATAGGCAGGTAATACAGCTCTCTTGCAAGAGAGAAGCTTATATCTACTTCTCATTAGCCTCGCCCCTCGCAGCTCTCTTGGAACAAACCTCCTACACCCACAAACACACCCAACAACCATCATTCCAACATCCCACGCAATGCGCAATCTCAGCCTCTTCCTAACAGCTGGCGTTTTGGCAGTTCAGGTCGCTGGCAGCAGCTGGCTTCCTGGCCAGCGCGCAGGTATGTAGCACTTGCATTGAGTGCAGATAACGGCTAATGCCATCAGTGTACAACAAGTGGCATGAGACTGAGCTCGAGAGATGGCTTTCTGACCACGGTATCCCGCATCCCAAGCCGGCGGACCGAAAAGATATCGAAGATCTCGTTGAGAAGAACTGGAAAGACTACGTCATCGAACCCTACCGCAAATGGAGCCCCTCCGAGCTCAGTGCTTTCCTCGTCTCTCGAGGCAAGGAGGCCAAGGCAGGTGCCGATGAGACTGTTGAGAATTTGATTGAGAGCGTCAAGGCCAATTGGTACGACTCGGAAGAGGCCGCAGGAAAAGCCGCCACAGAAACTAAGGACTGGATCCTCGATAACTGGTCCGACAGCCAGCTCAAGGCGCTCTGTGACAAGCAGGGCATTCCTGGTAAGCACATTACAACGTCCCTGTGCATCATATACTCACAGAAATAGTCCCTGCCACCAGCAACCGCGACGTCCTCCTGACCAAGGCCCGTCGTGGTTTCGAGGTTGGCTCTAAGGCGGCAGGCGAAACCCTCTCCTACCCCGGCGACTGGCTGTACGAGTCTTGGTCGGATTCGGATCTCAAGAAGTGGCTTGACAAGAACGGCTTCCCCGCTCCCCAGCGGTCCAACCGTAACGTCTTGGTTGCTGCTGTCCGACGTAACTCCCACCTTGCCTACCTCAAGGGTCAGGAACAGGAAGCCAAGGCTAGGGCTCACGCCAAGTCTGCTTACGCCAAGATCACTGACAATATTATTGATGCCTGGAGCGAATCCGAGCTGAAGAAGTTTGCCGACGAGAACGGCATTGTCGTCCCCCAGGGTACAAGACTCAACGAGTTTCGCGCCGCCGTCCGTCAGCACCGTGCCGAGATGTTGGGCACCGACGTGCACGGCAAGGCCACCAAGGCTTTCGGCGCTGCCACGAGCCGAGCCAGCAACGAGTATGCCAAGGCCAGCGAGGACGCCACCCTGATTGTTCAAAAAGCTTTTGAGGATGCTTCGAGCACCTGGTCCGAGAGCCGCCTCAAGTCGTACCTGGACGCGCGTGGAGTTCCTGTTCCCCAGAACTCCAACCTGGATAGTCTCCGCGCCCTCGTGCGCAAGCACTCGCACAAGGCTGTATCTGGCTGGACGGCCTGGACCTTTGATGACTTTGACAAGCAGACACTGCAAAAGTATCTCCAGAAGCACGGCGATAAGGCTGCCAAGGTGGTTTCGAAGAAGACGGATGCCACTCGTGACGAACTCGTCAAGACCGCCCAGTCTGCCTACGCCAAAGCGGAGAAGAAAGGCGGCGAGGAGTACGAGGCGGCCAAGAAATACGGCACAGAGCTCAGCAGCGAGGCCAAGGACAAGGTCTTCGAAGCTTGGTCCGAGTCGGATCTCAAGGCGTACCTCGACAGCTACGGCATCCCTGTTCCACAGGGCTCCAAGGCTGATCAACTGAAGGCGCTCGCCCGTAAGCAGTGGACCTTCTTCAAGTATGGTACGACGACACCTCACGGCACTCTGCTCGCTCAGGTCGAGGACATCTTGGCCAACGGTCTAAGCTGGCTCCAGAAGCAAATCCGTGCTGGTTCCGAGGCTGCTAAGGAAAAGGTCGGCGAGGCTGACGCCGCTGCTCGCAAAAAAGCCGCCAAGGTCCAGGAGGAGCTGTAGACGAAGAACCGACCAGGGGTAGCAACCAGGAAGCGTGGAATGTCAGAAATGTGGCTGACGAAGAGTCACGATGCGCTGCTGGTAGTGGCAGGGTTTACGAGATGACGCTGTAGCGAGTCGATTCTAATATGCAAGTTCTGCTTTGTACTTTGATCAATTCAGTTGCTTTTAATTCAATTCTAATGCCTTGTATACATACATCTGACGTGCGCTAAAAACAACTCCGTGTTCGCCCTTGACTGGCATATCACGCCCAAAGTCTACACGTACCATCTGCGCCGGCGCTGATGCACCAGGGATGCTTGGGGTGCCAGTCGACATCCATGACACCAAGTTTGCTGACGACGCGGTGACCTTTGAGCATCTTGACCGGAACAATGGTCGCGTTTTCCATCAAATCGCTTACTACCTTGCCATGGAAGATTTGCAGAGAGCCGTCGTCGCTGGCATCCGCAAAGAGCGGTAGCGAGCGGTGGTACTTGACAGCGCGAATGGCTTCGGCGTGGAACCGCATCGTCTTGTACGGCCTGCTCGAGAGGTCCATGTCATGCCACAGCAGACGTCGATCGTAAGAACCAACAATCAGGTTGTCGCCACCCGGGTGAATATCAAAGGACGAGATCCAACGGGCGCCCGGTTGCACGACCTTGACAAGCTCTTGTCTCTGCAGGTCGTAGCAGCGAATCATACGTTGCGTCGCGACGAAGAAGAGAGGACGCAAAGGGTGGAAATGGGCCGTCTGCGCCAGACCAGGCAGTCGACGGAATGGAATCTGGCTGAGATGCTTCGAGAGGGTGTGAATGGCGACGGAACTGCGCTGGCCCGTCGGAGAGACGGTACACAAGAAATCGCCTCGTCGGTGCCAGTCGATGGTCTTGATCACGGACCGGACTGTGGTCTTGAGCAAGACCCCAAGATTCTCCAGCTTGGATCCGGGTCGCGCCCACTTGGCCGGTCCCTCTTTCTTGACGTAGGCTGCGTTTTGCTGGGCGCCGCCGGCAGCGTAGCCGAATCCCGCGTCTAGCACATCTCGACTGGCCTTTTCGACAGCATCGCTGGCCAGCGGGGGGCAGGCAAAGAAGATATCCTCACCCGCGGCCGCAGCGAGAATAAACGTATCCTTCACCGGGCGCCATCGGACCACCTGGACAGGTTCCTCGGAGCTGAGCTTGGCCGACCATTCCTGATGGCCGTTCAGGGCCCAGACGCGAACCGTACCGTCGTCACCACCGGAGGCAATCCATTCGCCGTCGGGGCTGAAAGCCACAGTGCGCACGCGGTCGTCATGCCCTCGAAATATGGTCTGGCATAGCGAAGGGAAAGGCTTGAGCTCTTCAGGGCGCGGCAGTTTGGGGAGAAGAGAGTTGGGGTCGATATTGAGCCTGTTCTTACGGACGCGAGGTGCCAGGTAGAGATCCAGGCAGCGCTCGAACCGCTCCTTGACAAACTCGCCATATCCTGGTACCCTCCGAAGGGCGTCGTACTTTTGGGGCACGTATTCTTTCTCTCTCTCTTCAGGGTCCTGGTCCTCCCAGGCTTGCCTCTCCTCGTTGGTCGGCAGGTACTCGGGCGGCGGGTTGTAGCTGAGATCGTATCCCGGGGGCGCCAGCTTGGGCGCCGGGATGTGCATGACACCTCTATCACGGGACTCCTCGTTGGCCCAGATGTCGTAGTAGGTCTCCTCCTCGGCGCTGTCCCTCTCCTCCGGAGGCCTGTACGGTAGGATCCTGCCCGCTTTGATCGCACGCACCAACTGGGCGACACGCTTAGCCTCGTGCTTGGAGGGGATAAATCGTCTCTTTGGTTCCGGTGCTGCGCTCAGCGGCATTTTCTCCTCAATGCTGGTAAAGTAAGGTACCATGTCCTGCCCATGTCAGTACGGTTCTCGTAACAGACGACGCGCTTCTACTTACGGGATATGGATCGTATCCTTCCTCTGGCATCTCGTTCATCTGGAGCTTTCGGAGCAGCTCAAGCTCGTCCTGGCTCAGGTTCAGTGGCTTACCAGTCTCCGGGTCCGTCAGGCCGGTCCAGCCTTTGGGCAGCTCGATACTATCGAGGAGAGCATCCAGCGCCTCGCCAGTGGCGGGGCGCATGATCTTCTTGCCATTGATATCGTATCCGATGTGAGGGTATGAGTCGTAGAAGGACAGCGGAATGTCCCCAATCGTGTTGACGGGGCCTTGGGCGTCGCTGTCGTCGCTATCGTAGACAGGGTCAATTTCTTCGTACTCGTAGCGCACTCCGCCATTTGCGTCCGTCGCAACTCTGTATGGTCGCTCCTTGTTATCTTGGCCATTTTCACTGGGCTCCTCATCCTCGTCGGGGTCTTCGGGCAGATCGTCGCTCGATCCAGCGTCGAGTTCCGGTTCACCGTCTGATTCGTCAAAGTCGCCGTCTTCGTCTTCGCTCTGTGACAAAATACCCTCAAGATGGCCTTTGAATTCGTCATCAGACACGTCAATGTCCGATGGATTTTTTCGTTTCGGCGCCGAGCGAGCCATTGCGTCGAAGTTGCTACTACACGAAGCGTTGTCGAGAAATGTTGGTGGTCGAAGCCGCCCAAGAACTTTTTTTTTGCATGGCTTATCGGCAATGGGCGGGCCCGATAAGCACTGTGGCGCGGTTTGTACCTTCAGCAAGGGAGAAGTATCTGGTGGGCCTTGCCGCTCGCCAGCAAGTACCGGACAGTGTTCGCCCTTACTAATGTAGTGCACTGGGGGAGCTGGCGATGCCGTCGCCGAACCGCTATCTCTTGCACACACAAGTACACACAAGTACCGTCCGCCACCTGACCACCCACAACGCTCCGGGTCCAGGTGTCTAACTACCTACATACCTAGTTAGGGAACTCCGTTGCTACTTGTGACGGAAGCTCCAAAACGGATTCATTCCGCCGGCAGTGGTGGCTCATAAATTGAAGTACCTATGATTATTATCCTGTTGCGAAAACGAAAGCTGGTGGGGTACTGCCACTCCCTCTCATGACCGCATTAATATATTGAGTTCTTAGCGACTACCTACCTATGTTACTCACTTCCAAGTGAGAGGCAAGGCATTTAGTAGGGTATCAATTCGAGACCCCCTAAGATCCCTTACATCTTATTCTCGAGTTATCTGGGATGCGACGTTGGCAACTAGATTGTTTTTAGCAACTTCAGGCTTTCTCGAACCTCCTCACCAGCTCGAGCTTCCCTATTAGGCTCGCTGCCAGGCACTTCATCTTCTTCTCGGGCGCCTTTCGACTTCATGCCTAGCAGGTCCGTCAGGCTAGTTATGTTCTTCGACATTCAGGTTCGACATTCAGGTTTTGATTAGGCCAAAGAATGCTTGGCACTTCGCTTCCCTGCAGCGGTCTCGCTCACCAGAGTAACTGATGCTGTATCTGCAAGAACCTTGGTCGTCTTCACAGGCGTCGTCTCTCACAGAAGTCGTTTACCTGACGATGTGTATTGAGGTTTCGTGCAAGTGTTACGTAAAGTAAAATAAAAATTTGAATCACAAATGGCAACATGCTCGGCGCGACCCACCACACTCACCATATTGGCCCGGCTCGCAGACTCTCGCCTCGCACGGTGTGGCCAAATGTACACAGCAACCAATCCAGGTCGTCTGCGTCACTCTGCATCACAGTTCAACATTGACTGTCTCAACAGTATATTCTCTAATAATAGTCTTACACGAAGCGCACCGACGCGCACCATCGGTCACGCCCAGTAGCCCCAAAGTAGATGATGGAAAACGTCCTCGTTCTAGAGCAAAACATCTATGCATAGAAATTGACCGTCTAGGTTCGACTATTAGCACGCGGCTCCGTAAAGTCCATGGATCACAAAGACTTGGGGAACTTACATCCTTCTTCTTAGCTTGCACTTCAGCAATGGCGTCCACGTAGTGTTCATGGCCAATCTTGTTCTTGGCAGAGCGTAGCGCGATCATGCCAGCCTCTACACAAACAGCCTTGAGCATGGCACCGCCAAACTCGTCCGTGCTTCTCGCCAGCTCGCCCCAGTTCACACCTGGATCGACTGTCATCTTGCGGGAATGGATCTTGAGAATTTGGGCGCGCGCCTCCTCGTTGGGCAGGGGGAATTCGATCTTTCTATCCAGACGTCCGGAGCGCAGTAGGGCAGGATCCAGGACATCGATTCGGTTCGTGGCGGCCAGGACCTTGATTCTGTCGTCGGAGGCGAAACCATCCAGTTGGTTGAGAAGCTCCAACATTGTACGCTGTACTTCACGGTCGCCGCTCTTCTCGCTATCGAAACGCTTCGTGCCAACGGCGTCGAGTTCGTCGATGAAGATGATGGCTGGCGCCTTTTCCTTGGCGAGGGCGAAGCAGTCTCGTACCAGCTTCGCACCATCACCAATGAACATCTGCACTAATTGAGGGCCAGCAAGCTTGAGGAATGTAGCTTCCGTTTGCGCCGCGCACGCTCGAGCCAGTAGAGTCTTGCCAGTGCCGGGGGGGCCGTACATCAGGGCACCTAAACATCATTTTAGTAACAGCATCAGCAGATGGAGCTGCGGCCGTACCTTTGGGGGCCTTGATGCCTATCTTCTTGAATCGGTCCGCTTCCTTCATGGGCCAAACGATGGCCTCGACAAGCTCTTCGATCTGCTTGTCCAGGCCACCAACATCCGTATACTGCTCTGTAGGCTTCTCATCGACCTCCATAGCCTTGACGCGGCTGTCATATTCTGCAGGCAGTGTGTCAAGGATCAAATACGAGTCTTTGTTAACGCCAATGAGGTCACCGGGCTTGAGCTCTTCCGAGTCAACCAAGCCAATAAGCGGCAGGAATATCGTTTGTCTCGTAGAGGTCTTGATGACGGCGGACTTGCCGACGCGGGTCGCGTCGAGATCAATGTTGGCGCCCTCTTCGGATGACTCGGCGGTAGGATCCAAGTCCAGGAGCTCCACAACATTTCCGACCAGATACGGTAGTTGTCTGTTGGCAAGGTCAGCGCGAGGTATTGTCAGGTCACCACTGCACCACGGACCTGTTATTCGCAATTTTGTCCACATTTTCTTTGATTTTTTCGCCCATAGCTGCCTTTTCGTGAGAGAGTCGCGATAGCTCACTCTTCATAATACGAGAGTCATTCTCTAGAAGCCGTTTGCGTGTCAGAATGTCCTGCGTGCTGAGTCCCAGAATCTCCTCGTCCAAAATGTCGTCTTCTTCGTCGGCCTCCTTCATCTCCTCATCCCTCTCTGCGTTCTCAGTGCCCTTGCCATCACGGTTCTCTCTCTTCTTATCATCCCTTTCCCGGCGATCGAGATCCTCAAGTTCTTCAAGTGTCGACATGGTAGTGGAGGGGGCGGCTAGGAGTGCTGTGGACGGAGCAGGGCAGATACAGACAATTTGCCGAAGTAATTGTAGATGGATATCCTGAAACCGATTGCCCTTGGCCAAATGCGATCTCTTGCCCAGGATGGTTTTGGTTGATGAGTTGTTTGCGCAAAGGAAAGTGAAGCAGTTAGACGCCAAGGCTGGGTGGGCTTAAGCTTTGCTAAGTACAGCACGCGCCATCACTCTGGCAGCCTAGTAAGCCTAGTACCTGTGGCTGGCAACGCTGCACTTTCGGAGCGGCAGATGGTTCTCCCGAGAGTTGCCAAAAAAGCTAACTGGGTAATCTCGAAGACGAATTGTGACAGTTCCTACCATTTGTCTATTTCCCGTCACCGACAGCGCCTGGAGAAGTGTCAGTCTCTCCAGAATGGTGCAGAGGATTTCAAGGTCCTCCGGGCGTACTCTTCTTTCCCTTTATAGCAGGCCAATTGCAACACGCAACCCCCTAGTTCGCCATGAACCTGCTCGTCGCCAATATGCGGCAGCCAGTATTACACATGCCGGTGCCGCGGATGCACCAGTTCAGTACTCGCCTGTGACGAAACCCCCGAGTGCACGACCAGCGGAGACAAGAAAGAGCCAACTGATCCGAACCTACACATCTCTACTGCGCACAACACCCTTAATCCTCTTCTTTCAGCACAGCAACCTGACAGCTATCGAATGGGCTGCCGTGCGGAGAGAGCTCAAGAAGGCTGTATCCGCGATACCTCCTACAATCGTCGGCCCGGATGGGATGGCCATCGATATCAGCGACAGCGTGCAACTACAGGTTCTAAGGACAAAGATGCTTGACGTCGCACTGAAGATTGTCGAATTTTACAACCCAGAGGCTGCCGCGGCTATGGGCACTACGGCGCGCACCACGAGAGGTCCGATTATTCATGATCTATCCGAGGCAGCGTACCAGGCCATTCACAAGGCTGAGGTGACTTCTGAATCAGCCTACAGCCAAATCGAGCCTCTCATGGTTGGCCCCATAGCGGCGCTTGTCATGCCCGCCGTGTCGCCTGCACATCTCGCTGCTGCGCTTAGCATCCTATCACCGGTTCCTGGCAGTTTCCCGCCACCGACGAGAAAGAAGAATCCAGGCTACCACGAGCCAATCTGCCAGAATGGTCTTGCCAAGCTGACCTTGGTTGGTGGTCGTATCGAGGGCAAGGTCTTCGACCAGTCTGGCGTCAACTGGGTGGGTGGCATTCCTGGCGGCATGGACGGGCTACGTGCTCAGCTGGTGCGTGTCCTGCAAAGCACAGGTCTAGGAATCACTTCCACGTTAGAAGGTGGGAGCAAGAACCTGTGGCTAGCTCTCGAGGGCAGAAAGGAGCAGCTCACGGACGAGTAGGCGATGAACCAGCATTCAGCGCACTCAATGTACGATACAAAACTGGTTTATGTACTATACAATGCTCTTTTTCGGCGTTTCACTCCCGACACTGCCTATTTAGTCTGCGGCATGTGTTGGAAAATAATGTTTCCCAAAAAAAGTTGCAATACCGGATCGAATGACTAGCGGACAAAGTAAATGGTTTCCATGATCGATACACAGCACCAAGTGAGTACGTAGGTAGGTACCTACTAACCTACCTAGGTAGGTAGGTATGGGATGTATGTATGGGATGTATGTATGGGATGGGGCAGTCACACTTTCAGATCAGGCTGCCGCAGGAGGCATGCGCCTGACATTCAACCCCACAGGAGCTTAAAGCTATCGCGCTACCTACCTTCGACTTGCAAAACTACGGCGAAACTACGAAATCGTGATAATCTATCCAAGTCCATATCCGCAATCAGAGCACGGCCAGTCGCCTAGTACGATCGACAGAACCACCAACTGTTCCTTGTTACAGAGCCCGACGCGCTCCCCGACCACATCTTTCGGCCAGCACTTCGAGATGGATTTCGCACCATACCAGTCCTCACCACCCGAGCACGGCCGAGTAGCCTCTCCTCCCGATTACAGCGCATCACCACGCGCCTCTACAGACGCAAGCAAGAGACCATTCTCGCCCATCAATGCCGCGCGCAGTCCGCCTCCGCTTCAGCACCCTCAGCCCCAGAGGGCATGGGGCGGGTTCGACGGCCAAACAGGTGGATGGGCTGGTGGAAGCGCTGCTCCTGCAGGCAATTCTTTGCCTAGCGCATACCCCGCGGCGGAAGTGAGCGAGTTTGATACCAGCCTCGGACTCAGGCTCGACTACGAAGCTTGTCTAGCCTATTTAGCGTTCCCGCCGATTGGCGCCATCGTGCTTCTTATACTGGAGAGGAATAGCGACTATGTTAGGTATGCGTGATGTCGAATACCGTGGTCGGTTGACAGATAGTTCTAACAAATCCAGATTCCACGCCTGGCAATCTGCATTACTCTTCACCGCTGTCATGGTACTCCACCTCTTCTTCTCGTGGTCGAAATTCTTCAGTTGGCTCTTTTTCCTAGGAGATCTCGCTTTGATTGGATTTCTCTCCCTCAAAGCATACCGCGACGCCGAAATATTAGACAGGTATGTCCGCACAGCATATACTGCTCAGCGTGGCGAAATCTAATCTTATCCAGGTTCGAAGTTCCGTTCTTCGGAAAGATAGCAGTGAGGATACTAGACGACGAGTGACATATCTAGACATTTATATCTTTACATAGACTTGGCAGACACTTGCGTTAACGTGGGGCTCGACAAACTTTCAGTCATCAATACAGTTCAATAATGATTCGTCAGTTCAATAATGATTCGTCAGTTCAATAATGATTCGTCAGTTCAATAATGATTCGTCAGTTCAATAATGATTCGTTTAAGAGAGCAATATGATGAGCTAGTGGAGATTTGCACCCAAATGGAAGCTGACAGCGCTGGAGTTCTTGGAATTCAGCGCGATAGAACTGAGTGAACTTCACACGACACTGTGACTTTGTCTGCAAATACCACCTCGCGAATGGCACTATCGGGACCGTCATAAACCCACTTTGCCAACAGATCATTGCTTTCTTTGGGCTTGATCGTACTGTCTCTTGTCCCAATGGTAATATGCGCCACGTGATTCGCGCATTCCCATGTGCCGGACTTGTCATCGATTCGGACCACAATCGCCATGATTCGTTGATCAAAAACAACCTATCGTAGTCAGCTTCTGTTCCGCGGCCTGCAGTAGTATAATCTTACCCTCTCCAAGACTACATCGCACTCGCCGAGCTTTCCTGTTCCGCCACCAGCAGTGTCGTGCAGAGTAAGATAGCGTTGCCAGAGCACAGGAAACCTCTTTGCGTTGGCTCTATGTAGGAGCGTTACGTGAAAGTCTGTCTGTATTCGGCGTGTTTGCTTGAGTTGCATGTAGCTGCGGGATACTTCCTTGTCGCACGAGGCAAATGCTTTGTCGAGCGCGCTAGTGACACTATTTCTTGGGACAGCGATGGACATGTATTCTAACTCCTTGGGCTTGTTCTTCTCTTTCTTATGTTGCTGTTTCGCTGGTTGCTTACCACCCCTGTTTGAAATCTCATGCTTGAAATCTGGCTTAAAGCCGAGCGCCGACTCAATTGCCCGGTCCAGCTGATCAGCCGTCGGCACTTCCTTGACCACGTTGGGAAGTATTTCATGAAGCTTTGTCACCACTGTTTCCAGGTTTTCTCGGCTTCCTGCAACAGGATTCAAGTCGATGAAAGCGTCGAATCCTACATCTGGGCGAGCAAATGGGGAACAAGGCTCAAAGCGACCAAGGAACCCATCCATGACCCCGAGGAACTTTTGCTCATCGCTAGCGGCGTGGATTGTCTGGTGATTATCGCCGCGTTGAATGACTCTGTCGCGTGTCACCTGTCGAATATCTTCCAGAGCTTCTTCGTTATGGCGAAAGTTGAGGCACACCATCCTAACAGTCTCGTGCTGAGTCTTGGTGTCAAAGATGATTTGCTTTCTCTCGTGCTTTTGTGCATTGTTGCGATCGGCAAACACAACGGGGTGGTCATTAAGCTGCGCCAGTACTGCCTTGGTGAATCGAGGTGGTCGGCCCTTTCCAGAGATGTTGTCATTTTGAATGTGTCCCCAACCGAACAGCTCTGTCAATGCCAGACCAAGCGTCGTTTTCCCGCACCCGATGGTTGCAATCGGTACCAGGACAACATTCTTCGTGACCTCTGACAGGTCGGGACAATCCATATTTGCAGCATCACTACCCTTGATATTCTTGTACTTGAGGAACTCGTTGCGAAGGGCGATGATTCCATGGTTTTGGTTGTAGAGCTTGGCCAGCCCAGGGTTAGCAGCCAAGCGCTTCTTCGCGTATAGAAGATATTCCTCGGTGATAGCAACATGCTTCTTAAATCTTGGTGGCTTGCCCAGGATCAATGCCTTGGTACATTCTCTCCACTGTCGGTACATGAGGTACGGTTCCTCGAACTTGAACTTGAAAAACCAATCCTGGTATGGAAGACTATCAGGGTTACCTGACATCCTGCAGCGGATAACGAAGCCCTCTACGTCACGACCGTCGTAGGCTCCAGTGATGGCAGCCTCTTCGAGAAAGTCTTTGACCTTGTTGGCATCCTCAAACGCCAGATAGTTGGTCTTGCGAAAGCCCCAGTCTACTGCGAATTTCTGAACCGCTGTGCTGGGGTATGTGTTGAATTGGGGCAGGTTGAGATTTACTCCGTGCAAGTAAAGACCGGCGTCTTCTGGCCCGTACGCCAGAATATGCTCTTCGAAGGCGTCATCGCAGAGTTCAGCAACAGCGGTCACATTGCGCTGTCGGAGTTCTCGTGCTAGGTCATGTTTCGTCTTGCCAAGTTTCTGAAGCTGCTTCTCTATCCAAGCTTCTCCGGCCTTGGAGTGCGTGAGTTCACCACCACGGTCTCCGGTTGAGTGTTTGCTGCAAACAATGAGGGTCTCATCTTCGAGGCCAGCAATGAAGATGATGCAGCCATTTTCCTTGAGTGTGAGTTCGTATGGTCCTTGAGTCTTTGCCAATATGTTTTCCCACTTCGTTTCGTTGACTTCGTTAATATTGAAAAACTTGTCGTAGCCACGCACAGCAATCTCGTGACCGTTTTTGCGTGTCTTGGTGGTGAACAATCCACGGGCGTATATTGGCAGGTCTCGTCGCTTGTAGTCCCACTCCTGAAATCGCCACGAGTCGACTGTAATGTTGTTTGGTGATTCCTTGACTTGGAACGGAGTCTTCTTCACGGACGCCTTGCCACGGTGCTGTTCCTTTCTGTATTGCTCCAGCGATTGCATGAGCTTTGACATTTGGTCCCGGTCTTGCTCAATAAACGGTGTGCCAGCCATTTTAGAGTAATTGCACAAGTCTGTGATGATTATTTTCGTCTTGGCCGTCGAAGAGCCTATGCGGGCGATTCTCAGGTAGGGCTTCGTGCCAGAAAGCATGAGTCGCTGTGTCGCTTGATGAGGTGGTATTTGTCAAGATCCGAGAACAGACCTTTGCCGTTCAGGTTGCAATCGGCGGATCTTCGAGTCGAGGTATGCTGGGACGGCTTGCATGGGGAAACTCGCGTACTTATAGCAGCTCGTGTAAATGCCCAACGTCGAGCAGCAAACGGCACAAGTTGTTAAACCTGTGCCCACCCTACCTACCTACCTACCTAGGTACCTAGGTACTAAGGTACCCACCCAGCTGTGACTCAGTCAGGCAAGCTGCAAGGCGAAAACTGCCTGACCATCTTGCCGTCGTCACTGGACTCCAGTAGGTAGGTAGGTACCTAGTCAGGCACGTTTCACAAGCTTTATTGACCGTGAGATTGTACCTATGAGTCTTCGCCGAGAAACATACGCTCAAAATTCCCGTCAGCCAGCATTCGTATCAGTCTTACTATAGAAAGAGGCCGCGAGTTGCGGGCTGTATGCTGTACAATAACAACCATCTCAATATTTTAATCGAATGCATGCCACAAGTATGTTCTGATTATTGCCCTACATGTATCAAGTTCTTAAGTTCAATTCTATTCCACACCTGGCCGCTGCGCCGGGCCCTACCTTAGTACCTACTTTTAGGCTGCCCACTTTAAATTTTGTGATGCGGAACGTCAGTTCTCCGTTAGCACGACCACGATCAACATCACCGAAAATGACGCCGAATCTCTTCCTCCTTGCTGCAGACAACAGCCCATCTCTTTTGCCTCTTCTGAGAGAGAATCTCGAGATTTCAAAGTCGCAAGACGAGCACGGCTACTCTTTGGTCCATGCTGCTGCAAGCTACAACCATCTTGATCTCCTTCGAGCATTGATAACCGAGCTAAAAGTCGATATTAACATCAAGGACGAGGATGACGAAACTGCTCTCTTCGTGGTTGAGACCCTCGGCGCGGCCAAGGCTTTGGTTGAGCTTGGCATCGACGTCCAGCACAAGGGCCTAGAGGGACTCACGGCCGCACAGAAGATTGAGGCCGAGGCTGATTTTCCAGACGTGGCGACTTACTTGAACTCTCTCAACCTCGGCCAAGATACTCAGCAAACTATATCGGGTGCCGCCTCACTGTCATCGGGGCTCGCGCCTCCCCCGGACGGCATGCAATTTACATTCGGAGCCATAAACGAAGCGGAGGTTCCAACCGAGGTGGATCAGGAATTTCAGCGTCGGATAGAGGAGTTCGCCCAACGCGACGACTTTAACACACCAGAGGGTCAGGCGGATCTCAGAAGACTTGTCAAGGACGCCATTATGGAGCAAGGTCTCGGGGAAGAGAGAAGCACTAAGCCGAGGCGAGTATGAGATTCTAGATATGCTTTATATCCCACATCAGATATTTTGCACCCTGCCCGGGTGGCTTCAGGACAGTAATTTCGCCCTTGCCGCCTAGTCCACCGGCCATCACGTCGGTTGCAGTTATCGCGAACCATGACTCTTCTGGGCAAACGGCCAATAATCTAGATACAAGATTCGATACCCATGAAGGACTAAACAGCCCATCCCAGCTAATGTTGCCAACGCTCATCTCTCCCGGCGGACAATCCGGTGCACTGTACCGCGATATATATGAATCAATGTCGTCGCTGTAGGACACTCGGGGACTTCCCAGCCGTACTAGCGAAATCCATTCATATAGTTCTGCTGCCGTGGATCGGCTTTCTGGTCCTATACCATGAAAGCCAGGCATCGCGGGAGTCATGACCTGGTGTGTAATCATGTGCTGGGAAGTCACTGGTTTTGATAGCACTTTTGTGTATGACAATCCATCGGGCGCAGCTGGGAGTTGTCAGAATAGTCAGTAGGGGCGGGGAATAAAGCTTACATGAGTCCTCCAGAGTGCATATCCAGCTTGTGAGTTTGTCTGATATGGTTTTACATCCAAATACCATCCGGTCAAAACCTCGCTTGCCGTGTCGCATGGATGGACCTCGCAGGTCGTACGTAACAACTACCCATTGTAAGGCTAGGCTGCCTTAAAGAAGTACATGGTACTTACACCATTTTGGCCGCATCTCCCGGGCTCCGTTCTGGTCATCAAGTCTGCCAGATAGACCTGAGCGCTCGTATGTTTCTTTATCGAGGTAGAGCTTGAGAATTCCTGAGCTGTATGTTAGGGTGTGACTTGCGTGTTTCCTGTTTCCTGCGTTTCCTGACCTCGACAGAGCGCAAACCTGTTGCCTGAGATGGTATTTCCTTCCGAAAGCATAGATATGCTTCCTTTTCTCAATTAGGATTTCATACTTATGGCATATGCATCCTCTCACCTGTTTTTACATGATTCCGAAAAAAGTTTTTTTCGAATATTTGACCCAGGGTGGCTGTGACTCGATAGTACTGGGCCGGAGTGCGCTGGACCACTTGCAATACGGCATCACTCCAGCTATCTGGCGATACTATATCAACCTATACTTGATAAGTCCTTGGCTGCTCGTCTGTATATAGGTAGGGCTGGTTTTACCTTGTGTATGAAGTCCTTACTGCGATAGGCAGCAGCTGGTTGTCGCTTCGCCTGCGACTGCCCTACTTCGATGCTTCCCGTCGAAAAGATACATCGCGTGTTCTGATACACCGATGAAAACGTGTGCGCATTCATGCTCTGGTCGTGTCTCTCCTGTTTCCGCTTGACTATGGTGTGGTCTGGTGCAATCGAGCTTTATAGATGCCCTCAAAATCTTGGTTAGCTTAACTAATAAACGTAATTAGTTTGGCCGACATTTTCAGGTGGCCCGCCACGAAAAAAAACTGGCCAGTCCCACTTACCCGGCAGGTGATGACCTGCAATACGTCCGCTATCTTAGAGCTTTCGCAAACAAACCCCTTGCTGTCGTTCTGGTCCTGCTCTTGCCCGTCCGTGCTATTTATTCTTTTCGTGTTATTCACGGTTGTTTGCTGCGGGAAACGTATCTGCGAAGATGCTGGACTTCATCATCAAGTTCGCGCAGGCGCATGAGACTTTTCGCATCCCCGAACTCCAAGCGCTTGCAGTTATTGAAAATGTGCCTCTGGACATCATAAAATACGACGAGGCAGTAAGCCATACCAAATGCAACAGAGAATGAAACACACTAACAGAAAGTAGTCTCCCCTGTGCATTGTGAGGCTTCCGTCCGCGGATGCGGCAAAGAGAATTCTCCGTCGCTCCATCATGGCACAGTCAATTCATGAGCTATGGGGTTCTGGCGAAAGCCTAGAGGAGCTCAACGACTCTGTCAAGGCGAGAAGTAGACCAGAGTGGCCGAAATACAATAATTCATCCTTCAAGTTTGTTTTTGACTCATACCAAGGATCGCGGTCCAAGCCCAGCCAGCTATCTGTGATCAACAGCTTCCAGTTCCTGCCCTTTGACGGACCCATCATCATGAAGAACCCCGACGAAGTTTTCACCATACTAGAACTGTGGCCCTGGAATAGTGTTCCAATGGGAGTCGAACACCCCGACTATTATCACCTGGGACGCTTCATTGCTAACTCAGCCCGTGACGTTGTTCTCAAGTTTGATCTCAAAAAACGGCAGTACATATCGACGACGAGTATGGATTCTGAACTTGCCCTGATAACCGCGAATATTGCGTTGGCTGCGCCTGGCAAAATATTCTACGACCCGTTCGTTGGAACTGGATCATTTCCTATCGCGTGTGCTCATTTTGGCGCAATGAGCTGGGGCAGTGATATAGATGGACGAAGCATCCGAGGCGAAGGCCACGAAAAGAGTCTCAGGGGAAATTTCGGCCAGTATGACATAGAGTCATTACTGGGAGACGTTTTTGCCGCGGATATCACCAATAGCCCAATCCGTAGACGGAGATTCTGGGACGGTATTGTATGTGATCCGCCATACGGGGTACGAGAAGGATTACGAGTTCTCGGGGTGAAAGATCCCGAGAAAACGCCGTGGCTTGTCGAACGTGGTATCAAACATGGAATGTGAGTTGCCCTATCCAAACGACATTGGGCGGCTGTTGACGCGAACAGGGAGTTCGACTATGTGCCACCGAAGAAGCCATATAGTTTCATGGCCATCCTGGATGATATCCTTGTATTTGCAGTGGAGACACTTGTTGACAATGGAAGGCTTTCGTTCTGGATGCCCACGGCCAACGAGGAAGACCAACAAATCCAAGCCCCAACGCATCCGAGTCTTCAAATCGTGGCCAACTGCGTCCAGATGTTCAACAAATGTAAGCTATGGACCCCCGCAGGAACTGGCACTGGCAAACTGATTACATCAATAGGGTCCCGACGGCTGATTACATATCGACGTATACCGGACTCGGAAGTGTGCATTGAGGCGTTCGAGGCATATGCTGCAGGCAGGGAGGCCGTCATTGAAGTTGGAACCACCGCCGACGAACTAAATCCTTTTCGTCGCGGGTATTTTAGAAAATTCCAAAGTGATAGCTAAAAGTTAAATGCTAAATGCAAATTCGTCGACCAAACTTGCCCCCATGATATCCGTAAATCAACAGCTCCCGTTCCAGCTCTGAAGCAAAAACCCAGCAATCTGTTTCAACAGGGTTTTAATTTGATCAAATCGATCAACAAAACCAAGACCATGCATGCCACAAACCCATGAAATACAACTAGTAGTAATTGTATCGGCACACTGATGGGTGTGCCACTCCTCTCAAATCGCAAATCGCAAATCAGCAAGTAGCTTGTCAATGCATCTCTTCCCAGCACAGCAATTATCGAAACTCCATGGCCATGAAGCATCCTCGATCGGGAACATGCTTCAGTTCCAGTTGTTGAAACCTGTGGAATATTAGCGTTATGTAAATAGGAAGCACGGGACCGACCGACGTACTTTTCGCTCTTTGAGTGAAAGTATATGCCACTGACTTCGCCTTTCACCTGGTTGAAGCATATATAGTAGAAACCCTCAAAGCTGGCTCCATGGATAGTGCGGACACGATGATCCGGCACTAGGAAATGCTCCTTCCATCGCATAAAAATGAATTCCTTTTGCGCAACATCGGGTATAGAGGAGGTGCCCTTTTTAGCCTGCTTCTGGTACGGCCGAAATGCAGAAAACTTGGACCAGTGGCTTAAGTCTACCTTAGAGTTGGCACCCCAGTCATCGTGCTGTGTGAAGAAGCTGTACCTCGTTCCGATGATTTCGCCTTCAAAGTATGTGGTGAGTGTGGGGTGAGTTTCCGTGAGACCTAGCGCAGAGGTAAGCAGGCATACTTATGACCACGGCGCAATTTTGCCGATTTACGGATGCAACTGTACCCTGAATACGCAGATAACCGCATAGGAATGACTCGCGCATATCCACGTATTTGATTTCGACTTGAACCTCGTAAACCTGTCGTTCAGACTGTTGTGTGCCGAAGAATTTAGTACCCGGTCGCAGGTACGATGATGGGCTAAAGGGAATAGACTGAATATGTTAGTTTTTTAGCTTCTTGCCTGAATCAAGAGGGGCCTACTCTTTTATTCGAGTAGTCAAGACCAGTGTAACATGAACTCTGCGTATCTTCGTCACATGTGTCGGACTCGTTGTCGCCCGCTTCTTGTTGATTGGCGGTAGCGGCGGGATAAGGACTGCCCGTAACAAGTTTTCGATCGTTGACGGGCCGGCGTTCGTGCTCTTGCTGCTTGCCGTTGCCGATATCGGGAGGAGGGGATGTTGCGCCAGCCGTGCTAGATCGAGGACGTGGTGATACTGTAGTCGCGCGCGACGATGGATCGGCGGAGATGCGATCGTCCGTGGCTGAAGAATTCTCTCTTATTATGTTTCCTGACTGCTCCGAGTCGACAGAAGGGGCCTCGCGAGGTGATTGGCTCAGCCTGTCCGAAGGCGACTCCAAGCCAGGAGTCATCTCTTCATGGGATGTCTGGGCGCTGTATGACGAATGCTGCAACTCGTCGGGACAAGTCGCCAGGTTATAAGACGGCGGTGACGAAGGATCGAGCGGCGGTTCTGAGGATGGCGTCGGCATTGCTGCGACCGAGGCGGAGGTGACAATCGACTGCGACGGTGAGAAATCGACAGCGAAGAATATACCGCCAATCGAGCGGGGTATGAGGGCCCCGGACTCTTTTGCAGTGCCAACTAGGAAAATGCGTTTCTCAAGTTGCGTTGCCAAACCAGTTGCCCAGAAGATGGGGTGATTCTATCACCACGTGTGATGGATTGGCTGAGAGCGAATCATTGAGCGGCGCTTATAGATATCGCCGGGGGATCGCATGCCCAGATCGCCCTGACCGTAAAATCAGATCGCGCTTCAAGACAAGCGAAAAAGCGATGGTGGATAGTTGCTTCGTCGATTAAATAAGCCTGTGCGGTCTGAGGGTAGAAGGCAAAAATTGAAGGAGGACTGGGAGGCGATTTCGGGTTGACATGTGTGGAGAACCTGAAATGCGGCGCAACTCTACCTAGGTAGGTACCTACCTAGGTAGGTACTTAGTAGGTCCTTACTAAGGTAGGAGTGGTGGCAGTTGGGCGGGATTGGCGGCGAGCCGGGAATTTGTAGCGGGGAGGTACCAGACCCCGTCTGGTGCTCGGAGAAGATACGTGCGTCTACGTGCATCAGCGAAGTTGGGTTCAGTGGCACCGCCGACGAACAACGACCTGGTCTCCCAGCGGGGTTTAGAGCCAGCAACTCCCATAATATTCGCTGTAATTGGATCATGTACGGGCCTCTGTCTCTCTCTAGCATATAGGTAGTTAGCGGGGTAGATACATGTTCAGGTTGCTGCTGTGCTGTAGTCGTAGTTGTCATATCCAGCGGAACCAGGGATGAATCCAAGGAAGGCTGTGGTGATCTTCACCGCGAGACCGACGGGAACCTGTGGCGGCCCCAGAGCTTACTTATATTATAGTACAACGCTACCGGCGTTTATCAAAGACTGCTGAATCGTGACCACTCCGCCAATAGCAAATGTATCTTGGCGGCCCAGCTTGTGGTAATACCTTCCCGAGCAAAGATACATATGGTGCTGGAAGCACCACCATCCGGAACCGGTATTCGGCGCGCTTGCGCACAACTTGAAACATCGGTTTAGTACGAAAGCGCAGTTCGCAATTTATAACTAACCAACGGTGAAGGCGTCGCTTTATGATATTACATAGGTAGAACTCCTGTGCGTTATGGGGCCACCGCGAACAAGCAATGACGTTTCTGGCCTGAATCCCAGAACTCCGTTTTTGGGTATCAATCAAATGGGTTTAATCTTGAAATGCAACGCGATAAGGCTGAAAACAAGAGCCTTTAAATCTTGGACAAGGTAATAGAAAACTCGAAGGCCTTCGGGGTCGGCGGACTCGGTGACGTCGACTAGCGATCCTATTTTGGCAGTCTTGGGCTGGAAATTAGCAGATTTCTATTTTTTCCAGCAGATATATACAAACCTCAAATGAAATGTGGTCATTGCCGAGCCGAATTTCCAATTGCTGACGACCGTCCTTGTTCTTTTGGGGCCACTTGGAATCGTCCTCCCTGCGAATAGTTAGCCAGAACATTCGGAGCTCCAAGTACTTGAATGGTCTGTGTACTTGGTAATTTCGCTCGATTTTATGATGCGCTTAATTTCATCGATGATGGTAGCGCTGATGCACACTACACGGCCTGTTAACAACTCTATAAAGCACATTGTTAAAGTCGCTGAGTGCGTACTCTCTTTGCGAATCAAACTGTCGTTTCGGTAATTGGAGTTATTGGCATATCGAACGACCGCACTGCGACCGTCCCCTACAACCCTAATATCGAATTCTGTGAAATTATATTAACCATTGCCTATTCAAGAAGATGAAGCGTCACCAACCTAGGAACTCGTGGCCAAAACGACCGGAATGACCAGAACTAAAATTATTGAGTATATCGCCTTGGTTATAAAAAAGGAGACGTACTAGTAGCGTAGGTAGAATGGCTCATTGGAGAAACTCATCGCGGCGGTTTTGCTTGTCGCAGAGAGTTGCGTAAATGTTTGATTGCGCCTCTGGAGCTTTGCCCACGGCGCGTGGACTCCGCAATAGTGGGGCAAGGTTGGTGGCAGAATCACATCACGTGCATCCATACTCCACGTCCCCTCGCTTATTAGGTAGTTAGTGTGTCCAGCCATGCTGGTAAGAGTAGCCAGATCATCAAGAAGCTCAAGGTGCCAATTTCAGAGCTTGCCTTACGACTGTTGGCAACTCTGACAGCTTTAGTATTGGCATTGCTATCTAGGTAGACTCGCCTGCTCACGCCCAGACTACCAATTGAAGAAGCAACATCTCCTTACCAGTACGACTGCGGACGAATCATATCATACGAACCCCCCCTGATCGATAACGTCCGCCACTTTCAGAAACCTGACAAGGAGCAATCATGTCTGGATTCCTGGAAAATGCATACAGTCTCGTCCACCAGGACAATGCGGCTGACGTGCCCACTCTATCGGACTTGCGAATGCAGTTGGAAAAGGGCACCGACGAGAGCAAGGTCGACACCATGAAGCGCATCTTGACAATCATGCTCAATGGTGACTCCATGCCGACGCTCCTCATGCATATTATTCGATTCGTTATGCCATCCAAGTACAAACCTCTCAAGAAGCTTTTGTACTTTTATTATGAAATCTGCCCCAAACTGGACTCTTCTGGCAAGCTTAAGCAGGAAATGATTCTTGTCTGGTGCGACTGTGCAACCCTCCATCGTCTGAGTGTCACTGACTGAGTTTTTGCAGCAACGGTATCCGTAATGACTTGCAGCATGCCAACGAGTACATTCGAGGCAATACACTGCGCTTCCTCTGCAAGCTCCGGGAGCCCGAACTTATCGAGCCTCTGCTTTCGTCCGCACGATCCTGCCTCGAGCACCGTCACGCATATGTTCGCAAGAACGCCGTCTTTGCCGTTTCATCGATATACTTGCACTCACCCAGCCTTATTCCCGATGCTGCAGACCTTCTTTCTGCTTTCCTCAGCGGTGAGACGGACGCGACCTGCAAGCGCAATGCCTTCGCTGCGCTCTCTAGCATTGACCACGATGCCGCGCTGGTGTACCTCAGCTCCGTCTTTGACGGCATAGCCAATGCCGATGACCTGCTGCAGCTTGTTGAACTCGAGTTCATCCGCAAGGATGCTGTCCAGAACTCTCAGAATAAGGTAGGCAGAAATGTGCCATCCTTCCGACTTTACTGACCTTGACTAGGCTCGCTACCTGCGACTTATCTTCGACCTTCTCGAAGCCAATGCCTCTACTGTCGTCTACGAAGCGGCCTCATCTCTCACCACCCTTACAAACAACCCTGTCGCTGTCAAAGCCGCTGCCGGCAAGTTTATCGAGCTCAGTATCAAGGAGGCCGATAACAATGTCAAACTCATCGTCCTTGACCGCGTTGATCAGCTGCGCAAGAAGAACGAGGGAATTTTGGATGACCTCGTAATGGAGATTCTTCGAGTTCTCTCCAGCACGGATATTGACGTGCGCAAAAAGGCCCTCGAGATTGCCTTGGAGATGGTCTCGAGTAAAAATGTCGAAGAGGTTGTCTTGTTGTTAAAGAAGGAGCTTTCCAAAACGGTCGACCAAGAATATGAGAAGAGCGCCGAGTATCGATCACTCCTTATTTACTCTATTCACCAATGTGCCATCAAGTTTTCTGAGGTTGCTGCTAGCGTTGTTGAGCTGCTTATGGAGTTCATTACCGATTTCAACAACGCATCCGCTGTCGATGTCATCAACTTCGTTAAAGAGGTGGTCGAAAAGTTCCCAGCCCTACGCACGGTCATTGTCGAGAGACTCGTCTCGACACTGAGTGAGGTCCGTGCTGGCAGAGTATACAGAGGTATCCTATGGATCATTGGTGAGTACTCGCTGGAAGAAAAAGATATCCGCGACGCCTGGCGGCGTATTCGTGCTAGTCTGGGTGAGATTCCCATTCTGGCCTCTGAGCAGCGTTTGTTAGAGGAACAAGATGGTGATGGGAATGCGGAACAACAACCGAATGGCGAGTCGAAGCCCGCAGCACCCACCGGATCCCGCAAAGTCCTTGCCGATGGAACATATGCCACTGAAACTGCTCTTACCAGCCAGTCTTCTGTCGCCGCAAGGCTGGAAGCTGTCAAGGCTGCCCAGAAGCCGCCTCTGCGCCAACTCGTTCTCGAAGGCGATTACTACTTGGCCACGGTTCTTTCTTCCACCCTCGTCAAGCTGGTTATGCGCCACTCGGAGACCTCCTCTGATATGTCCCGCACAAACGCTCTCCGTGCTGAGGCCATGCTCATTATGATTTCTATCCTCCGCGTTGGCCAGTCACAATTTGTCAAAGCTCCTATTGACGAAGACTCTGTCGATCGGATCATGTCTTGTGTGAGATCGCTGGCCGAATTCTCCGAAAAGAAGGAACTGGAAGCTGTCTGGCTCGATGATACTAGGAAAGCTTTCAAAGCGATGGTTCTAGTTGAAGAGAAGAAGCGCGCCGCCAAGGAAGCACACGAAAAGGCCAAGTCTGCTGTCCAAGTCGATGACGTGATTCAAATTCGTCAGCTAGCCAAGAAGAATGCCAGTGATGGCCTGGACGAGATTGAGGTTGACCTCGAGCGAGCAACCGGTGGCGACTCCACGACGGAAGACTTGTCGTCGAAACTCAGTCGCGTTGTCCAGCTCACCGGTTTCTCGGATCCGGTCTATGCCGAGGCTTACGTTAAGGTTCACCAATTTGATATTGTTCTAGATGTTCTACTGGTGAATCAAACCACTGAGACTCTGCAGAACCTCTCTGTCGAATTTGCTACTCTGGGCGACCTTAAGGTTGTTGAAAGGCCAACTACCCAGAATCTGGGTCCCCACGACTTCCATAACGTCCAATGTACCATCAAAGTATCGTCAACCGACACCGGCGTTATTTTTGGCAACGTTGTCTACGATGGCGCTCATTCCACAGATACCAACGTGGTTATTCTAAATGACCTTCATGTTGACATTATGGACTACATTCAACCCGCTACATGCACAGAGACGCAGTTTCGTACAATGTGGACTGAATTTGAGTGGGAGAATAAGGTTAATATCAATTCTAAGGCTAAGACGCTGCGCGAATTCCTGGATCAGCTTATGGCGTGCACCAACATGAACTGTCTCACACCTGAGGCAAGTCTAAAAGGTGATTGCCAATTTTTGAGTGCAAATTTGTACGCCCGTAGTGTATTTGGTAAGATACTTAGTCTGCTATCACGGCTTCCGTCATTACTGCAACTCTGCTAACCTCTCGCAGGTGAGGATGCGTTGGCCAACTTGAGTATCGAAAAGGAGGGAGAAGACGGCCCTATCATTGGATTTGTGCGTATAAGAAGCAGGTCGCAAGGCCTGGCGCTCAGCCTTGGATCCCTAAAGGGCCTCAACAAGATTGGCTCATCTTAGATATCAAAGTTCAATTAAATAAGCGCTGATTTAGACATGGGGGTCTGGAAAGGAACTCAAGCATCGAATACAGGTTATGAGGCAGAGTGGTGAATGAAGATAATAAACGCTGACTCTGTCCGATACAATGCATCGTGAAATCGCGGCCGGGGGTTACTTTTCTTGTGGAAGAATTCAACTTATTGCACGGCTGCGCTAATTTATTATATGTATTCAAAACGGTAACCTGTCCAAAGAGAGGAGCTTGATTTCTCGCTGTGTACATTGTGTACGTAACAAACTGTTGGTATGTGCTAACAAAGGGTATATGCAATAAAAGTCAGGCTGACCAGGTTCAAACTCCATCATTCGTAGGCAGCTGGAGAACCAGGCCAAAAAAGCGGCAGAATCAACGATTGAAGACGAGAGCATTTACGATGTGGCCCTCTTGCCAACCCTGTGATTCGAGTGTCGCTGTTTCTTTGAGCATCTTGCCCATGTAGGCAAGTCGTATCTTTTTTGCTGAAGAGAGCTCCAGGTTGTTAGCTAGGTTCTGCCGCCAACAGGAGAACAGACGTACCTTGGTCTCAGCGGCCATTTTTTTAATGACAATTCTGACAATGTCCGACTTTGATACGGAGACGGCAATATCATTGCCGGTTTCGCTAAGACGGGCGCGGACTTGAAGCTGCTCGCCATCATCAACGTCCTTGCCTTTTTCCTCTTTGCTCGTCTCTGCATCTTCTCCACCGCCCTGCGTTTCGTCATCGCCGCTGCCGAGACCTTCCCTTTCATGGTCATGCTCGACTATATTTTGTGGATCTGAGACGATCCATTCGGAGAGCGCGTAGTAGTTACCGAGTGCGTCGTACGCCCCATTGACCAAGTTCCCAGTTGGCAGCGAGATCTCGGCAGCGGTGAGCATGGACTGAGCCGTCTGTAGCGCCGTCTGTCCATTGTCGTTCGTTTCTTGAGTTGGAGGCTCCCACAAGACTTGCAGCGCGTTGTGAAGCGTCTGCCAGATTTCCGGTCGAGCGGTGACTCGCGTATCGAAGTATTCTGCTCGTTCCGCGTCTAGTTCCTTTCTGGTCCATTGGCGATCGACCGAAGCCCAGACGTGGCGGCGCAAAGGCTTGTTGATGTGCTCGTCGAGAGGTCCTCGATCACGGCGGCGGCGACGGCGAGGGGAAGCTGGATTGACGGTGCTGGGCGGCGCTGTGGCGCTCTCCCCAAGACTCAGTGGCGGAGGATTAATGTGTCGCGCGGATGCATTCGGAATGCCTCCAGGATAAGGTGAATTTGGGCCAGCGGACTGAGAGAAGCAGCAACCCTGGAGTCGGTTCAGTTAGCCTGGAATACAACAACGCCATCTATTGAACTGCATACCATGCTTGCGATGTTGTGAGCTCAGCTTTTGTGACGACGCAGGTAGTAGACGGGGGTGGTGGTTAATAGTTAAGGAAGCGAATGCGGCTATGCGGTCAGGCCCATGTCAAACTGCGCGCTGGTTGGCCTTGATCGTAGCTAATATATGCGGGCATACAAGGGGGTTAAAGGAGAAGAAATCAACATTGGAAGAGGTTAAGCTTGTGACCCTGAAGCAAAAGGTAGAACAGACAGCGGGGCACTTTATGTGCTAGATTTTGGCGGGTCATAGTCCATCGATCGGCGGCAGTGTGCGGTCAACAACCGATCTAATAAAGGCAAGAGGCGGTTATTAAGGACTAAAAAGAAAATTGAGCGCAATGCACACAAAAGGCAAGCGCCTAGAGGAAGAAGAAGGAGCACCCTTACTTGGTGGAGGGAAGGAGAAAGACCCCAGAAGGAAAGTGCTACCTACCTAGGTAGGTAGGTACATACATAGGTACGCGAGTAAGGCCTGTTTTTAGACAGGGTACTAGATAAGTCGCTTTTCTAATAGATAATTTTCCCCTATCACAACACTATTAATATCTCGAATATAGGTTATAAAAAATATAAATATTTTTTAATATATAAAAGTAGCCTAATAGTATTATAATAAAAGAAAATTATATTTTAAGTAGAAAATATATTTAGTACCTTATTAGAAAATAGGCCTTATATATATAGGTAGGTAATAGGTAGGTACTTACCTATATGTAAGTAAGGCCTATTTTTAAATAGGGTATTAGATAGATCTCTTTTCTAATAAATCCCCCCCCTATTATAACGCTATTAGGCTACTATATGTTAAAGATCTTATATGTTTTTTTAGAAGCCGTATTAGACGCCTGATAGCGTTATGATAGGGGAAAATTATATATTGAGTGGAAAACGTGTCTAGTGCCCTGTTAGAAAACAGGCCTCACGCGCGTAGGTACCTCCTACCTACTAATGTAGGTAGGTACGAAATGACGAACCGTACCACTAGACAGAGGTGGCCACCACATGTCAGATGGGTACTGGCTGGAGTTTATCGATTTAGTCGGCCGAGAATCGAATACTGAAAAGAAGTCATTTGTCTCGTCGTGACCTAAGTACATACTGCCTTCCCGAGCGCATCAGAACTTCGATGCGCATTCTATATGACTTAGATTATCTCCAGGTACTTATTTAACCATTAAACGTCAAAACCTCACTGTTCCCAACTCGCTATGCTCCGAGTTGGGAACAAGTTGTCAGGCAGAGCCTCCCTCGTCAACAACTTTTGACGTGTCCAAAAATTGCACCCGTTTAAGTGGTGCGTAGGCACCCCACACCCACACGCGCAACCTCACTTGAACAACGGCAAGCATTCAAGAACCGAGAACACTGACAAGATGGAGCAGGCCACGAAGGAGCACTTTTATAACCATGGAAAGGTATGTAACTGTCCCTCGAACAGTCAACAAACGAACCCATCTTTGGAAATCCGAGACATAGACCTGGAAACTAAACATTCATTACAGACAGCCAGCCCAGGCTGTCACTGGTGCCAAGTGCGCGCGCTTGGGCTCACCATTGTGAACGAGGTGGATAGAGAATTTCTGCCTGCAAATTTTGAATTCATCAATGGCATGGTTCTTGGGAAAGGGGTTGAGCCCGCAGAGGATAGTTTCCGCAGCGGCTGCTCTTGTGCAGATGATGGCAATTGCCAATACACCAGCTGTCCCTGCCTAGCCGATCTGGAAGACGACGACATGGACGTGAACGATGGCACCAGAAAAGCATACGCATACCATACACACGGCGCAAAGGCGGGGTTTCTACGATCCAGGCTGCTAGACTCGACTGTGCCTCTGTACGAATGCCACAAAGGCTGTGCTTGTTCCAGTCAATGCCCAAACAGAGTTGTCGAGCGTGGCCGCACCGTGCCACTACAAATATTCAAAACGGCCAACCGTGGATGGGGTATGTACAACAATAGAATGCTGAATTAAGCGCTGATGAAAATTTCCAGGAGTTCGCTCACAAGCCCCCATCAAACGAGGCCAGTTTGTTGATCGCTACCTTGGCGAGATCATCACTGCAAAGGAGGCCGACCGCCGCCGCGCAAACTCTTCAGTATCCCAACAAAAAGACGTCTATCTTTTCGCACTTGACAAGTTCACCGATCCGCATTCACTGGATCCACGACTCAACAGCTCTCCACTGGAGGTGGACGGTGAGTTCATGTCCGGGCCGACCCGCTTCATCAACCACTCTTGTGATCCCAACCTTCGCATATTTGCCCGCGTCGGTGACCATGCAGACAAACATATTCACGATCTTGCTCTGTTTGCCATCAAAGACATACAACGCGGAGAGGAGCTCACCTTTGATTATGTCAACGGCGTCGATGAGGAACAAGATGAGATGGACGGTAATGTGGAGGGCATGACGAAATGCCTTTGTGGAAGTGCAATCTGCAGAAAGTTTCTTTGGTAATAAAGTCAAAAAGCTACTTTGAAAGAGATAGAAATCAAAGAGCCGACCATCAAAGAGCCGACCATCAAAGAGCTGGCCATCAAAGAGCTAGAGTGTGCAGAGCTTATTGTTTCCACCTGGTTCGCGCATATGCGCTTGCCAAAGCTCTTTGTGCCCCCAATTCCCGTCTTTACGTATAACTTTCTATGTCCCGTGAAATGAAAAGCATCACACTTTGAAGACGTAATATACCCCTCATCACCTAAAAATAAGGATTGATGGGCCGTTCTAGGTGGTCGCGACACAAGCGAGAAGCGGACACACGCGCGGAGCAGCTCAGAACCTGGTTTCGGGACAGCAGTTGCCAGGCGATTATCCTTGAAGACCATTACTTTACCATGAACATGATATCCGTCCTGGATGTCTATAACGAATACATTGCTGCTGCAACGTCGTCGATTTTGACGAGTTGCGCCACTCCTGCTTCCGACACCCGCAGCGCCGTCCAGTTATTTTTCGAGTCACCCGTGGTTAGGGCGGCTTATGGCGTCTTTAAAACACGATGCCAGTCTCCGGGATATACCGACTTCCTCGAGAGCGAATTGATCCATGCACTGGCGTCCTTGGCTGATAGTTTTCATCAACTACATCTGGAGACCCCGACCCCACGTGTGCCATGGCAAGCAGCAAATGCAGCCATCCCCGGCGACGACAAAATAAGGCAAATGGCGATGGAGTATCTCGTTAGCATCGAGATTTGGAGGCGGCAAGGACTTTCCAATGGCAGGATGTGGGTGTTTGGACCGGATCGCTGTAGGTATCAGTTTCTAGCGTCTACTCTTGTGCAACTTTGGTACATGGACAGGGAAGGTTGCTTCGATTTTCGCAAGACGCAAACTGACAGCCGCGATTGGAATATTCTCTGGGATAGTTGGACCGACAAGAGTAAAACCTTCGATATGGCAGTGTCTGCAGTCAAGACAGAGACGACACGGATTGGGCTTGGTGGTGGAGTAAATGAAGATGCCTGCTTTGGGGTTGGAAGGCGCACACAGGGTTGGTTGGAAAAGGCATGAGCTTGGGAGTGCAACTTTTATGTTTGCTTGCAAAAGCAGCATGTATTGAGGTGATCTATAAGTACTTATCCATCGATTTTCATGCTTCCCAGTGCAATACTCCCGTGTCGTTGCGCAAAAAATCTTCATTTTTGCATTCCGCATTTTTCGTGTCCGGAAATAGCGCACTCTGTGCCCAAATTTACTCACAGCTTCGGAAGCTAACTACAGCCCCCCATATTAAGTTAGTTATTAAGAGCGTTTTTTATACTTTCTAGTAAGTGGTATATATAATAAAGGTACTTCCTACACATATAATTTTAAAGTAAAATTAGAAGTAACTAGATTTCTATATTAATAAATAACTAAGGATTAATACTATATATAAAACCCCTTTATATCTTATATAGTAGTTAGCTAATAAGGTAATAACTCTATAATTTTAGTAATATAGCTATTATTAATTACTACTTATACCTTTTATAAGTATACTTTAAACTTTCTAATATTATCTAAGTTATTAGTAAATTTATAAAGATCTAAATATACTTTAAATAATTTACTCTTTAAAATTAGCTATATATACTTAATTAGGTTAAGATTAAGGCTCTTAGCTAGCTAAGTAATAATATTAATATTATTACTATATAGCTACTCTATACTCTTATATAAAGTATAAATTCTTATATTATCTTACTAGAAAATTTTTAGCTTTTAGTATATAGAAAGAAGACTTTCTTTTAATATCTTAGTATAAATTTTAGAATTTATACCTTTTTTTTAGCTTATTCTAAGGTTATTATAACTAAGGCGCTTCTTCTAGTTAAGTAAATAGCTCTCTAGACTATTATAAAGATATCTATTTTAATATATACTCTTTTATTAATAAAATCTAGAAGATATTACTTCTAGGAATAATACTATACCTATTTATAAGGGTTAGAAGTATAATTCTAGATACTATATTTATTAAAGAAGATAATCTATTAGGTATTAGTTATATTTAATATGGTATTATAAATAGAGACCTTAAACCTAGTAGTATTTTAAGGGCTTTTATAACTATTTTAATATAAATAAAAGTTATTAAGTAGTATATATTATTAATAAAGGAATTTTTTTAATTACTTTATATAGGTATAAGTTATTACTACTTAAAGCCTTAGTAATTATATAGGTATTAACTATAGTAGGTAGTTGTTACGGGCTGGGCTCTGGCCCAGCGCCTTCCAAGAGTGGCCGGCGCGGAGCCCCTAAAGGGGGCCCTTATAGGTGCAACCAGACAACAATCGGTCAGTATTGTTGTTACGAATCCTTTTGGCCTTGTGGTCGAGAGGGTTGTGCGCCGTAAGGCTACTGACGGCTGCGGGGCTGGTTGCCCCCGAAGCCACTCTGGGGCCAGTCCGTCACAGTAGTAAGAATATAAGCTAATTAATAGAAATCTATAGCTCCTTTTAAATTATTTTTTTAATATATTAAATATCTTAAGGTAAAAGCTTTTTTAAATACCCTTTTCTTTTCTTTAGTAATATCTTACTTATTATAGTATAGTATTTTAAAATCTTTATAATTATTTAATATAATATATTAAACTTAGTTATAATTAAGGGTAGCCTTTACCTATCTTTATTTACTATAATTATAGCTATATAAGAGAAGGGGATATAGAAAGGGAAGAAGAGGTAGAAGAGGAAGAGGAGGAAGATATACTAATAAGGATAAAGAAGATAATATTAATAATAAAGAAGAAAGAAGAGGAAGAGGAAAAGGAAGAGGAAAGGCGCCTTTTATCCCTTACTAACTACTAGCTAGTAGCTAGTAGGGCTCTAAATTACTTATTTATATAAGGTCTTACTAGCTATAAATAGAATTAAAATAATAACTTACTAGTTATATACTAGCTAATAAAAAATAATAATAACTATAAATATTTAAATAGAGTATAGCTAAAATTATTACTTAGCCTTTATTAAGAGCTAATAGTTATAAAGAAAATATATTTATTTATTTACTAAGTCTTATTATATAGTATAGGCTAATAATAGTAAGAATTAAAGGTAACCCTAGGAGTACTACTATAATATCCTTTATAGGATATACCTTAAACCTATATAAATAAAGTATAGGGTATTAGGGGTAAAAGAAGATAGTAGGTAGGGATAGGAGCTAGAAACTCTTAAGGGGAGTAAGAAGTAAGAAAGTTAAGGATAATAGGAGGCTATAGTAAGAATTAAGCTTAACTAGCCTAGAGGCTTATAGGGCTAGATATGGCTCCCTTTAATATAAATAAAAATAGAGGGGAGGGGGGAGGAACTAAGAGGTTAAGAGGATAATAGGCTTAACTAGTCTAGAGATAAGCAGGATTAGACATAGCCCCCTTAATATAGATAAAAACCTAAGGGGGAGGGGAGGTAGTTAATAGGCTTAGCTAGCTAGAGTAGTATAGACTAGATATAGGTTAGGATATAGATAAAAACCTAGTATATAGTATTAAGAGGGGTCTTACTAGACCCCTATATACTCTAGAATAAGACTATAAAGAATCTTATAAATATAGTTAAGGTTTTCCCCTAGGTACTCTAGTTTTTCTTTACCTTATAATTAGTAAAGGTATTAGATAGGTTATTTAGCCTAATTAGTATATAAGAATTATTATTATTATAATTATAGCTATATAGGCTTTAGAAGAAAACTATTAGTATTTTATAATTTCCTAATATAATAGTATTAAATATATGCTTTTTAGGTATATTAGGCATCTTTTATAGTTGTTATAAGAATGTGTGTAGTTATAAGGAATTTCGTGGATTACTTGACGCGACGTGATTAACAACTAACTTAATGTGGGGGGCTGTACCTACGTTTCTCGTTTCTACAATCAGGCAGTAATGCTCTCTGCTCCTGTGCCACAGAGGACGCCCGTGAGGTTCCGATGTGCCGTCCTGCGCCGGGTCCAACCGAGGCGTGCAGCCCGAGTCACCCCACAATGTTGCAAAATGCCTGCGACTTTACTTTCACACGAGCATGGGGCTCCGCACGCTAATAATAGTTGGGCAAGCGTCTGGAGTAACGTATTCTGTCATAGGTACATTTAGTAGGTACCTAGGTACCTACCTGTAGGTGGTTGCATACCTACCTAGGTAGGTACCTGTAGTCGTATGAAAGACAGCTGTTCCCAGGAAGAAGAGGGTAGTGTAGCAATGCGGCGTGGCCCTTGGATTTAATCTACCATTCTTCCCATAACATGCATCGTTCCCTCCTTGCCTTGCATTCTTTGTTGACCTTGAAAGTCTCTTGAACCAAGATTCCTTCTCCATCGTCGGCTCACTGCTGCCAACCGCATTTTGGCAGCGCCGTCGTCTCGTGCCATACCCCAGGATTCGTGAACCGAGATACACCCATCCCTTCAGAAAAAATATCCCAGGTGCAAACCGTTTCGCCTGGTACAACCGCTACTCAAATAGCGCAACTAGCCATACCCCTCGTCTCATCGCCCTTTGCAACTGCCAATCACGATTCATCAACGCGCGAGCGCCCAACCACCGCGCAACCCGACTCCAAGTCACCAATGTCCGCGGTCCCCCGTCCATTTTCCACGTCCGCGAGGGTACACCCCAATATCCTGCCACACCTGCACACCCCGCCTCGGCGCTCTCCGATGAGATGGTATGTTCTTATGTAAACGACGTTGACTAGCTGTGTGACGCAATCTGCACATGCATGCAGGCGCGCGCGTGACTGGCGGCCAGGAAAGAAATCGCCAAAGGACTTTCGGCTAACAGCTCGCATTGCGAAGGGCTCCAACTATTGTCGGCCTCTCTATTGTAGGCTACGGCGTGAAAGTTTACATTAACACAGTTCGCGAAAAGCGCGAGCGCACCCTCGAAGCCCAATACCGAGAAGATCGTGAGAGACAGCGACGCAATGACATGCTCCTGGACGTATATGGCGATCGCGAGAGCCTCGAGGGCCTAGAGAAGGCCATTCAATTCTACGAGAACGGAAAGAAGTAGTTTTCTTCGTGAGAAGGATAAATGCGTTTATGTGCAGATCCATCAACTGCTTCGATTCATTTTGGCGTCCTGGCGTTTTGTTTTCGACAATCCGATTGGAGAAGACTGGGAGCTGCAGTAAGAACTGGAGTAGGAGCTGGAGTAGGAGCATGCATAGACCCGGGCGTTGCGCGTGCTTTGTTTAGAAGTCATTATTTGAGAAAAATCGGTGAATCATTACTCAATAGTGTCAAAAAGCTATCAAAGAACATCCCTTGGTCCAAGACTTGTCTTCGTCAACGCAATGTCTTCGTTAGCATAAATGTTTCATAGTTAATGCAAATCTTGCACAGACAAGACGCACCCATAGCAATTGAACAACAGCTCCTGTTTGTTTGGTTGCAAAATATTCACTCCTCGGAGGTAGGCATCTTGAGCTCCTTCCGCTTTAGTTTGGATCGCTGTTCTAATAGAATGGCAAGTTTCGCCGCAAAATACCGCGAGACTTGCAACACAAAGGCTGGCTTGTCTTCTATTTCTCCGACTGATGCATCCCAAGATCGATAGAACACGCCCTCACAAAAATATTCAACCATCAATATTCCGAGTTGATTTTGTTCCCTGTGGTTTTGCTCAAGAACCTCGAAAGCATCGGCAAAGTCTTTTGTGCACCATAGCTGCTGCGCCTTATCCATAGTCGAGCGGAATAGTGCCCTGTGACGGTCGCCAATCAAGGTATGAATACAACGGAGCATGTAGGCGGCAATGGTTGGACAAATAAAGCGATCGCACAGCTTGTACACTTCGACATAATCGCGCATGGGCGTCCTTTGGGACTGTGCTTCGGGATTGGCTGCGGGAGCCGGCGGCGCATGGGGAACGATGGAGGAATAACTATATGCCACTCCGAGGAACAAGGCAAAATACTTTGGGTCGATGTTATCAAACTCGAGTTCGCCTGCAGATTCGTCATAACACGCTCTCGTCGAGGCTCGGAAGTAATCGGAGTGCTGAGTGAGGACTGCCCTGTGAACACTGAATTCTTCGTCTTTGACCTTGATCAAGACTGTTTCGTCGCCAGTTCTGCCCATGGTTAGAATGTAAACGGTTTTGGAGCTCGGAGCAAAGTCTCAGCAAACATACTGCAGGGGCCAAGCTGTACGAAAGTCGGACAGCAGCACTGATGGCGCTTTATCGGTGTGATGCGATGTTTTTGTCTTTTTCTTTGGCGGCGGCATTTCGTTTGGTTAGATGCAGAAGTGAGGAGTACACGATGGCATCAACGCAAGTGAAGTTGCAGTTGGCAGCTGGCAGCTGCCTCCAATTGGAGCCTGGTACCTACCCAGGTACGATACGCAGCTACCAGGTACTGAACCAGGAGGTACCTATTGAGAACGGCCGAGCGCTTCATGTTTCAATTTGGTTTCCCAGAATATATAATTGCTGGTTTCTTCACATATGATGGCTAACAATTAGCGATTTCGCAGCCCAGGATTCTGTCGAACAACGTGCTAGAGGCGCTAGGTATAGTGTACCTCAATACTTCAGAAAATATACTTTGCCTGGTATTATTACATAGACCTTGAGACGAATGCTACCGAGCCTTGATCTTTCGGATAATCACCTTTGTCCCCTCCAGTTCCCAGCCAACGCCGTCCTTTTGCCTCAGATCGTCCCATTCCGAATTTGTTGCCGTTTCTAGGTACTTCAAATCAACATTCAAGTACGCTCGGCCAAAGCATTTGAGTGTGTGCAGGCGTAGCTCTGGCTCTGCCCACTCCAGAATTCTGGCCTGATGCCCATCCACAGCTCTGCGCACTCGGTGAAACAGGATAAAGTTGTCATGGGCCAAAGCAAAAAGTGCATCGTTTACTTTTTTGTCTTGAAGAGCATATTTTTGTCGCAAGAAATATGCCTCAGAAAGTTCCCTCTGACGGCATGCCGTGTCCAAAACCAGGTATCCGACGACCTCTTGATACTCAATCACCGTCAAATTCTGCTCGGGGTGAATGTTTCCCAGCAAATGTAGGATGGCAGCTTGGTATGATTCTGGCTGTTTGACGAGAACGGCAAGGCGAATACAGAACAAGTATGCTTGAATGGCAAAGTCGTCGGTACGATTGGAAGCCACGATACCTTCGCGAAGTTTTCGAAGAGCCGACATGATTATTGACAGGCTTTTTGTGTTGGGTGGCCTCTGTAGCGTTTCGACACTGGCAGTGTCGGGAATTACTATACTATATGTGTCGTTTGCTTTCGTGCTGTCGGGTTCCAGACCGAGGGATGAAAATCGCCGGAGGAGCTCATCACGCTCTCCTGCGTCAGAGCAGAAGCTCAAGTACCGCTCAGCGATTCGTTGATAATAGTTTTCTTGTACTTTAGCGCTGTTCAATCTACCGAGCTGTCCATTAGAACGGTACGGTGGCTGGGCCTATTGTAGGTACCTCATCTCGCCCTTGGATGGGAGGCCCATCTCCTCCAAAGGGTCCATTTGTGGAGGCTTCAGACGACTCCATTGCTTCGCTGGCCCCTTCGACTCTTTGCTTCTCCAAGATGCCATGGTGCAACGGCTCTGTGATGTTGGCAGCCAGCTCGTTGGAGGTGGTTGGACTTGCAAGTGCAGTTGGTTGGAGGCACGGTGGGGTGGAAAAGACCTTGTGGTACTGGGCCAAAATGAACTTTTACCCAGAATTGTAACAGCAATATGAGGACAACCAGTCAGCGTAGGTACAACATCGCTCACAAGCCAAAGTTCGAGATTTAATTAAATGTCATAGAATTTCTCCAAGGGATTGCCGCTATTTTTTAGTACTGTTCTATTTTACATTGCGCGAGGGCTCATTTTGGTTGACGATGGCAACAAAACTGGCAACCAAGCAAGCCAGCATAATGTATGTACCTACCTACATTGGTATTTATTAGGTAGGTGGCTGGCTACACCGACAGGCTCTCTGCAGTTTCTCGCAGTTTCTCGCAGAAAATTCCCTGCATTTCAGTATGGTTTCATGTAGATAAACCCACCAGCGCTGCCGGTATTGGCACGATCGGGCATTATCAGCGAAAGTTTTCGTACCTGATTCCGCATGTTTCCGTTGAGCGCCTCCGCTCCGATGCTCTATCTGCAAATACCTTTTCTCGGAGCCACGGACCCCGCAACGCCTTCTTCGTTTTCTTCCTTTCATCTACACTGAACCATCCCCCCTCATTCGCCCCTCTGTCTATCAACACTTGTAAGTGCTCATCTTTTGCACCTTTGCATCACCCCACTTTGTACCAGAGAAGCGAGTTTCGCCCCCGCCGTTCGACGCAGCTGGAGGTTGAGCAGCCGACAACCTCAACGTCGAGCGTCTTCACCCGGCCTTTTCCTTCGTACCGATTCGAACACCCCAATATATGCAGCTACGGAGAAATTGTGGACTGTATAGATGGCCAAAGCTCTGTGGCAGATGGTGAAAAAGCCTCAAATCTGTTGGCTGTTGCGTTAGGATACCCCGCCAAGCTGCTACGAGCATGTTGGTATCGATAAGCCATAAAAACCCCGCGCCGTGGGTGCTGCGAGTCAATCTGACTGGCTGCTCTGCTTTTCTTATCGCAATTGCTTTCTCAACGAAGAACCTTGGTGTCTGACTCAATTTCTGCCTTTAGTTGCTCAAAAACAGCTCGTTTCCCTCAGAACCAAGTTTACTACGACCGTAACAACCGCAATCATGGGTGTCACCGATGTTCTGTCTCGCAAGTCCGGCGTCATTGTCGGCGATGACGTTCTCCGTCTTTTCGAGTACGCCCGTGAAAAGAAGTTTGCTATTCCCGCCATCGTGAGTCTGGGATACCCAAGCTCCAGCTTTTACACAACTAATTTTTCAGAACGTCACTTCTTCTTCTACCGTCGTAGCTTCACTCGAGGCTGCCCGCGATGCCAAGTCCCCTATCGTCCTCCAGATGTCCCAGGGCGGCGCTGCTTACTTTGCTGGCAAGGTATAATTTATTATCAACTTGTGTCGTATTCTGCTGCTGACCGACTATTACCAGGGCGTTGCCAACGGTGACCAGTCTGCTTCCATTGCCGGCTCCGTCGCTGGTGCTCACTACATCCGCTCTATCGCCCCTACTTACGGCATTCCCGTCGTCCTTCACACTGATCACTGCGCCAAGAAGCTCCTTCCCTGGCTCGATGGCATGCTCGATGCCGATGAGGCTCACTTCAAGGCCACGGGCGAGCCTCTCTTCAGCTCTCACATGATTGATCTATCTGAGGAGTCTGTCGAATGGAACATCGAGACTACCGCGGCTTACCTCAAACGCGCTGCCCCCATGAAGCAGTGGCTCGAGATGGAGATTGGAATTACTGGTGGTGAAGAGGACGGTGTCAACAACGAGGATGTTGACAACGCTTCTCTCTACACACAGCCCGAGGACATTCTCAACATTTACAAAGCCCTCTCTCCCATCTCTCCCTACTTTTCCATTGCCGCTGGTTTCGGCAACGTCCACGGCGTCTATAAGCCTGGCAATGTTAAGTTGCACCCTGAGCTCCTCGGCAAGCACCAGGCTTTTGTCAAGGCTGCCATTGGCTCCAAAAACGACAAGCCCGTCTTCTTTGTCTTCCACGGAGGTTCCGGCTCTGACAAGCAGGAGTACCTCGATGCTATTAGCCATGGTGTCGTTAAGGTCAACATGGACACTGATATGCAATTCGCCTATATGGCGGGCATCCGCGACTACATGCTGAATAAGAAGGACTACCTACTCACTGCTGTTGGCAACCCTGATGGTGGCGACAAGCCCAACAAAAAGTACTTTGATGTGAGTTTTCCATCCCTCGCTAGTTTTGCAGCAACTGACTTGAATAGCCGCGTGTCTGGGTTCGTGAGGGTGAGAAAACCATGTCGAAGCGTGTTGCCATCGCGCTCCAGGACTTCAACAACGCCAACCAGCTATAAATAAACCCTCGTCATTCAAAACGCGTTACGTAATGAAATAAAAAGCTTAGAGTTGTTGATATAGTTGGGGAGTCTCGGAGATTGCATTTTGGTGTTGACACCTAGTATTCAATAGTGTTTAAAACTACACCAATGGTTCTACTATGTTTCAAAAGTGATACCGGAGCCAAAAACTGCGTTCAATACCTTACATTATAGGTAACGATAGGATCTAGCTCAGATCGGAACCCTTCCATGTTCGGAACCCTTCCATGTATATAATGATGAATTTTGAGGCAGTGAATCGGGACCACTATTGACCCAAAACTTCCCTTTCCAGCGTCGCAATTTGTTCTTCAGCCAGCTTTTCGGCATCAGCAGCTTCGGCCTTTTTCGCGTCGAATCTCCAGAGACCGCCAGTCTTGTCACGCTCGCCGTCGAGGGCCACGCCGCCAGCAGCACCGAGCTGTTCCAGGACAGGGTCGGTGGTGCCGACAGCCACAGCAGTAAAATAGCGACGCTCCCAGGCTCTTTCTTCGACTGTCTCCTTGTGACGTAAGGCACGCTGCGCATTCTCAATCTTGCCTTTTTCGGCTGAAACGAGATCCATGTCACCGCTCTGAATGCCTGTGGCAACCTTGGCCCAGGCCCGGCGCGACTCGAGCGGATGTTGCTTATCGACAGGTGATATCTGGAGCTCCGTCTGCGCGGCCTTGGCAGCATCGTACTCGTCGACAAGAGTTGATTTGGAGTTCTTCTTAGCTGGGCCGGAGTAAAACTCGAGTTTCTCAGTCCATTGACCAATCGAGTTATACAGCACATCCTTTTCCTTGCTTGTGGGAGTAATGGTGGCAATAACTGTATTCTTCTTTCCGGAAAGCCATCCCTTGCCGCTATAGTCAATCTTGGTTCTGAATCCAGTAGAGCTTGTTATAAAGCTAGTGCCATCAAGCTCAACAAACGGGGCGCCGAAGATGAGGCCTTCGATGTGAAGAGATGGCAGCGTAATCAAGTAGTGCTCGGGTTCCTTCTTGTCGCCAATGGGAATAGTCAATACCGCATGGCCAATCTGCTTGACAATGATGGTACTATGAAAAGTGGCTTTCTGCGCATTGTAGCCCTCGAGTTGAATGCCGGTCTTTTCATTGCGGACACAATAGGCGGTGGTAGGCGGGTGGTGGCTAACTTGCTCAGATACAAGCGTCGTTTTGCCAGCCGTATCATTCCATGATCCAAGGAAGAGCTCGCCCAGAAATGGATTAAGTGGCTTCTTTTCGTTGCCAAACTGCTCGCTGCGGCTAGCATACTGGTGTTTAAGTGTGGAGAGGAACCACTTGAGCACCAGCATGGAGCGCTTTGCGGGATCGATCTCTGAGGCGGCGGCGACGAGGAGGTTCGGGTGCGTAGACCAGTACGCAGAGAATTCGGTCAACGATTGTGACGAAAGGATAAAGGGCGGCGCGGTCAGGGATGACAGATCGCCATTGAAGGAAGCAATAGACTAGGAGGTGAACGACTGTTGACTGCATACGGACTCCATTGACATACCTTGAGGAAGGCAGACCAACTGCCGCTGGCAGCCTGCGCCTGAGCTGTGGCGGAGGACATGTTAGTGTGCGATGGCGGGGTGAGGATGGAGGTAATGACAAAGTAACAAAATATTTTTATAGGAAACCGGTTGTCGAGGGCGATTCACTGATGAAGCACGGGGCGGTGCAAAGAAAGAGTTCAAGTTGGACAATTAATTCATTGGGCTAGCTAGACCGCAATGTCGCCCACACGACACTCCCCACTTTCCCGACTTGCCATTTGCAACACATGGCGATCATCATCGGTGACGCAAATGACCATACATGGTACGCTACTAGAATTCCGGCCTTGCAACTACTGGAATATACACTGCCTAGATATCGGTATGTGCACCAGCTGTATACCAGTTTGGGTTTCCTTTTTCAGTACGCTATCATGTGTGCAGACGCGTTACCACATTAGCCAACATTGGAGTATTTTAATACAAGCAACTTCACCCGCTTGATCAGCACATCAATACCGCCCGCGATTATGTTGGTACCCCGGCGATACGCGATAATGCAGAAATGCAGTTCCTGCACAGCCCGAGATGATGTCAGTGGGGCCGCCATCTCGCCGCTAGCATTGATTTGACTCCTCCATCACCATCGAACAACCAGGACTGCTGACCATTTTACGACGCCGCCTCCAACCGACGTCTCGCACTGCTATCACCCTGGCTGGTACTTTTTGGAATCGGGCGGCTTCGGAGCCACCCAGTGTTGCCGCGCAGCTCCAGTCTGTAATCATGGCACAGCCGCGGGCGACAACGCCGCTATCACCACAGTTCTGCTTCTCGACGGGCACACTACGAGGTGCGTTACGAGCCGCCGGTTTGAAACTCCTCTAACGATTACAGAATTCTTGCGCTTCTCTCGTTCGACTGTCGACGACACCATTAGCCAAAATCTCAACGCTCTGCTGACGCCCGCTCGAGCCGGCTTCGATCCTCGTTCGACCTCGCAACGAACTTCAAAATTATTAGGGAAAGATGTAAATGCCAATCGCTGCGACAGTTTCATCAGCGAGGTGTTATTTCCTGCGTGGGATTCCCGTGCACAAGTATTTGAATTTTGTGCTGCGGTCGCTGCAAGTCCTGATCTCGACGACCCTGAAGCCACCCTGCGAGAGCTTCAAAGACAAAAGGATAGCGACCGAGTTGTGGATGAGCGCTTGGATCCATACTCGGGGCGTTTTTGCCCTCGCGAAAGCCGAATTGATGTCCTGGCATCGACTCTTCGCCAGGAGCGTGTCATTGAGGATATTGTTCGCCGCCGCACCTGGGAGGTGATTCAGGACCGCTGCGAGAAGCCGCCTCCTGATTGGCGGGCCGCTATTGCGGCTTGGAAGAAGAGAACCGCCGACCAGTAGTAATCGGGAGCCGTACCTCAGCTTGGATATATGTACATTATTTGTCTCTCTTGAAAATAGAATCGAGTGCATTGTATTTAACCTCACCTCACGATCATTAACAGCAGGCACATTGCCATACCAACTTAGAAGAATTATTCAATCTAATCTCTCATCGAAACCAGGTAACTTCTCAAATACTCGTCGTTCTAATTCACTAACTACCTACCTACCTAGGTAGCTATACGGTTGAAGTTGGGGTAAGCTATAGCACGCGCCCCACCACACACTCCGCCTTGTCCGAGGATGCTCCGGACACCAAAGCCATCTATCCCACACAACCCACGTTGCGCTCTCAGTCCGTCTTTACCTCGACATTCGATTCTTGAAATTTGCGCAGGCACTTGGGCGGTGCAATTGTGCTCCTGACATTTTCTACAGTGCCTTCTTCCTTCCCTTTCTTTCCCATACGGGCCGCAAAATACACCGCCTCCCACAAGCCCGGAAACGACCACCGCGATAGCCGTGGATAATCGAACACTGCAACTCGTCCGTTCACCGTATCCTAGTCACAATGCCGCAACAGCTCGCGGCAAAGGAGGCTGCCCAATTCCGGCAAGTCCTCCGCAGCTATGAGGAGAAGCAGTACAAGCGAGGTCTTAAGACAGCGGATCTCATTTTGAAAAAAGTGCCTAAGCATGGAGAGACCATGGCTATGAAAGCACTGATCCTGAATGGGCAAGGGAAAACGGAGGAAGCGTTTGCCCTCGGAAAAGACGCACTGACTGCCGACATGAAGTCACATATCTGCTGGCACGTGTACGGCATTTTATATCGGGCCAAGAAGAATTTTGAGGAGGCGGCCAAGGCCTATAAGTTTGCGCTCAAGCTAGAACCGACTTCGGCACAAATACAGCGTGATCTGGCTACTTTGCAGGTCCAGATGCGAGACTACCAGGGCTTTATTCAGACGCGAAACTCCATGCTGCAGGCTCGCCCGCAGATGCGACAAAGTTGGATAGCCCTCGCTCTGGCCCATCACTTGGCCGGCAACCTGACCGAGGCTGAAAATATCATCACAACCTTCGAGGATACTCTCAAGACGAAACCACCCCGCTACGACCTGGAGCACTCCGAGGCTGTCATGTACAAAAACTCCATCATTGCAGAGCAAGGCGATTATAACCGCGCTCTCCAGCATCTCGAGACTGATGCCAAGCGAAACCTCGACCGACTCGCTGTTCTCGAAAGCCGCGCCGAATACCTCTTCAAACTTGATCGCAAAGAGGAAGCTGCCAAGGCCTACCGAGCCTTGGTCGACCGCAATTGCGAGTACGCGACGTACTACACACAGCTCATCAAAGCCCTGGGCATTGCAGAGAACGATTGGGAAGCCAAAAAAGCGGTTTACGAGGAGTATGCCACCAAGTACCCCCGTTCCGATGCTGGCCGCAGAATCCCCCTCGATTTCCTCAGCGGCGACGAGTTTCGTCAATCTGCTAGCGAGTATCTCACTTTGATGTTAAACAAGGGCGTCCCCTCCACCTTTGCCAATTTAAAGCATCTATACTCAGACCAGTTCAAGAAAGAAACCCTTGTTAAGCTCGCCGAAGAATATTTACACTCTCAACTATCCGACTCGGACAGCAAGGACAAGGGCGAAGCTGCGGCTCTTTTCTACCTAGCACAGCACCACAACTACCACAAGAGCCGTAACTTAGCCAAGGCCATGGAATACATTGAAAAGGCCATTGCAAAGGATAGCAAGAGTGTCGATTATCACATGACCAAGGCAAGAATCCTGAAACATAGTGGCAACCTGCAAAAGGCCGCAGACATGATGGACTACGCAAGAGCCCTGGACTTGAAGGATCGCTACATCAATAGCAAAGCCGCCAAGTACCAGCTCCGCAACAACCAGAATGAGAAGGCCCTCAAGACTGTTGGGTTGTTTACTCGCGCGGATACTGTCGGTGGCCCCCTTGCCGACTTGCTGGACATGCAATGTATGTGGTTCCTGACAGAAGACGGCCAATCCTATGCGAGACAGGGCAATATTGGACTCGCACTCAAGCGTTTCCACCAAATTGCCACGATTTTTGACGTGTGGCAGGAGGACCAGTTTGACTTCCACGCGTTTTCTCTGCGCAAAGGTCAGATTCGTGCGTATGTTGACATGGTGCGTTGGGAGGATCACGTTTTCGACCATCCATTTTACACCCGCGCCGCCCTCGATGCCATCAGCATCTACATACACATGTCTGACAAAGCTGTCGTCGCTGCCGCCAACGGAAACGGCGAGGCTGATTCTGAGGCGCTCCTGGCGCAGAAAAGGGCACTCAAGAAAGCGAAAAAGGAACAGCAACGTATAGAGCGCGAGGCGGCCGAGAAGCAGGCCAAGCAAGACCCTAACAAAGCTGTTGGGCCCGATGGCGAACCTAAGAAGACGGACGAGGATCCTTTGGGCTTGGCACTGGCAGCCACCGCTGACCCGCTTGGTGCAGCGATGAAGCTTCTGTCCCCGATGCTGGAGGCGAGCCCCAAAAGCATTGAAGTGCAGCTGGCTGGTTTTGAGGTGTTCTTGCGTAGAGGTACGTTGCAGTTTATATGTCCGCAGACTGTTACTAACAAGTGTAGAAAAATACGCACTGGCTCTTCGCTGCTTGAATGCGGCCCTCGCTCTCGATAGCACTCATCCTAAGCTACACTCCCATATCGTTGCCTTTGCCAAGACGCTCAGAACTGTATCCGGTCTAGCGCCCAAGGTTGTCGAGGTTCTGACGGCCGAGTTCAAGCTTGTAGATGCCGCCGCAGACCTGTCCAAGTACAACGCGGACTACAGGGCTACGCACAAAGACAGCATCCGCCATGTTTTGTCATCCGTGACCGCACAGCATGCTCTGAACGGCAACAATGACTCCAGCGATAAACAGCTTACGGCCTGCTTGAACCTACCCAGTACCACCTTCGACAACGCGATCGAGGTACTGGACTCTCTGAAGAGCTGGAATAGCAGCGAGGTGGAGGCTTTTCAAAGGGCGGCCCAGGCCAAGTTCCCTGAGGTTACCAGGCTCGCCTGAAGTAAGCTATACACGGCGGACAAGCGCGAGCGCTGTCGGTGTTTAATGATGTAACGTCGGGGTATTTGAGCAAAGGCCGTGTAGCCGTGAGCTCGGATCAACCACTTTCGTCAGTACAAATCAGTGGCTGTGGCCATGGCTCGAATGTTCTTTTTTTACGCGAGGCTTCTCTTGTGTATCATTTACGATATATGTTGGCGCGGCACCTGGGAAAAAGTATGTATGAGGGATTACGTATATAGCACACTGGGTATGGAACCAAAAAATAAATTGCGTTTGTTTCATCAGGGGTTCAACTTTCCGCCTACAAGGATCATGCTGCAAGCACTGATAATACTTCTTTAGTTTAATGAAAGAAAATGTATTATCCTTGATGCGGTGTCGAATAGTCTCCCGCCACAGTGGACAGGAACGCCATGCGGACCAGGCGGAATAACTACTACAGCCTCGGCTGTAGGGACACTGCATGGGCAACTGACGGTCGATTCGCTGACAGGGCACCTGTATCTACCAACTAGAAAGTAAGGAAGTAAACGCTGCAGCACGCTTTGATATACAGTTGTGGCACGGCCATGCGAGCATCACGGGCCGGCTTTAGCAAAAGCCAGGTTGCGGGTGGCAACAGAAAAATTTGGGGCGTAGCACGCTCCTAGGTACCTAGTATTACCAGGTACAAACGTTAGGTAGCCCGCCGCCGTCCCACCGGCACCCGGCAGGCCGACAAGCCCAGAAGCTAGGTAGCTACCTGGATAGAGCCTTGACAAGTCCGCCATCTCTCGCTTCTCCCACATTCGTTCCTCTCCGGCCCTCGTCGGCAACTGCACTCGCTGCTCCCACTTTACCGCTTATTTTATTTCATTTTCACTTTAGTTCTCTCTTCATCCTAAGCCACGTTGCTCTGTCGTTGGCGCAGTACGCTAGCGGATTGCCCGTGTGACGGGATCCCGCACCAACTTCTTCGAAACTGCCTCGGCCATTCTTTCTGGCGCATTCCTTTTGTTTGTGGAGATGCAAATTTGATCACTCAAGTCACAGATCCCATCTGCCGTTTTGCGCGGCTTGTCACAGCCATGAGCACCAACGGCGCTGTTCAAACTACGCATCTAAAGCTGCCACTAGCTAGCGGCAGGGTGCTGTCGATTGAGGAAACTGAGCTTGTACTTGAAGGTAATGCACATGATTATGACGTTGATCTTCTCGTTCATAACGCTCTTAGATCCCAATTCTGTAGACGACAAGAAGTCAAAAAGAGGTGGGCGCAAACCGGAAGATGGTAGGGTAAAAGCTAATTGTCCGATGCAGATCGCAACGGACGCCAGACATTGCCACTCTACAACGTCTTGTGGGCCGAAGTCGTTGAAGCCGACTTTACGATAGAATATGCCCTGTTATCAGACAAGTCCAGGTTTCAGGTTGAGAAATGGACGCTACCAATCAGCACAAACGACGAGCAGCCCAAACTCTCGCCCGTGACGTTTGCGACGGAGCTCTGTGCGCGAGCCTATGGCGATGCCCAACAACAGAGGCGCGCCTATGTCCTCGTCAATCCCAACGCAGGCCCAGGCAACGGCGTCAAGAGATGGCAAAATGAGGTCAAGCCACTGTTTGACGCCGCGAGGATGGAGATGGACATTGTCTTTCTAAAGAGAGGGGGCGAGGCGCTGGAGCTGGTGGAAAAGATGGACATTGACAAGTATGACACTGTCATCCCGTGTTCGGGAGACGGTACGCCTCATGAGGTCTTTAACGGGCTGGCCAAACGGCCCGACGCCAAACGGGCCTTTTCCAAGATTGCCGTTGGACACATTCCCTGCGGCTCAGGGAACGCCATGTCCTGTAACCTATATGGATCCCACAAGCCAAGCTTTGCAGCTCTTGCTCTCGTCAAAGGTGTCGTGACGCCGCTCGATCTTGTGTCCATCACCCAGGGGGACACGCGCATTATTTCGTTTCTGTCGCAATCGCTTGGAATTGTCGCTGAAGGCGACCTCGCCACGGAACACCTGAGGTGGATGGGCAGCGCACGTTTCGATTACGGAGTGATCTCGCGCATTTTTCGCAAAAAGATCTATCCATGCGACATTGCAGTACAGCTAGAGGTGGAGAAGCCTCAAGTCAAGGAGCATTATAGACGACATGCGAGCCTACCGAGCCTCAAAAAAGCCGCCGCCGAGCAAGATGCGGATGAGGGCAGGGGACTACCCAGACTCAAGTACGGGACGATAAAGGACAACTTGCCTGCCGGCTGGGAACTGGTGCCCTACGACAAAGTCGGCACATTTTATTGTGGCAACGTTAGTCACTCAGGCCATCGCTGGCAAGATACTCAATGCTAACAGTTGTAGATGGCGTACATGGCGCCAGACGTACACTTCTTCCCCGCCGCCATGGCCACAGATGGGTGCATGGACCTGATTACCATGAACGGCGACATCCCAGCGCTAAAAGCCCTCAAGGCATTCATGTCCGTCGACTCGAACAAATTTTTCGACCTCCCATTTGTTCACTACAAAAAGGTTTCGGCGTACCGCATCATTCCGCGTGACCAAAAGGACGGCTACATTAGCATCGACGGCGAAAAGGTACCTTTTGAACCCTTCCAGGCAGAAGTACACCAGGGTCTAGGCAGAGTTATCTCCAAGAGGGGCATGTTTGAGGCCGAGGGCCCGGCCAACTGGGAAAAGGTTACGGTTTCGGAGCGGCTACACGCATAAAGTGGCCGCAACCCGATTTTCCTGGAGATGCAGCAGAGGATAGCTGGTCGCATGTACGTACAAGTGGATAGATACCCGTTTGTGAAGAAAGAAACTGTGACGTCACCACATTCGTATTTTGTGTTAAACATATTACATTTGTTCGGTTACGTGTCGCGCTTGTGGGTTAGATAGAGTGGCCGGTCGAGGCGACGTCGCCGCCAGCAGCTTATTTGCATTCTAGCGCTCATTTTCTCTATGTACACGTGGTATATCTTTATTATCTGCTGTTGGCTGCACGCTTTACTGCTGTTGGCTGCACGCTTTACTGCTGTTGGCTGCACGCTTTACTGCTGTTGGCTGCACGCTTTACTGCTGTTGGCTGCACGCTTATGTGTTCTACTCTACATAGGTGAAGCTCAAACGTCGCGAGAAACTTCCCGCACGGCGTATTTTTGGCAAAGGCTATCCCGCAAGAGCCCTAGTATTATTACTCTCGGTCGTAAATATGAATTAGTGCTCTCCTGCTTTCTTTCTTGTGGTCTTTTTCCTTCTAAATCTCTATCTGGCGGTATCGCCTTACTCCTTGGCACAACCTCAAAATTTTTACACGACAACAACATGAAATATATCAGTCTCGGAGTTCTAGCCTTTGCTACTTCCCAGGCTATCCCAGTCGCCGTTTATACGGAGGATAGCGATAGTCCTATTAGCATTACCCGAACAATCCTGGAGGCCAATTCGACCAATAGCTATCTCTCTGGTTATGTTCCTGTCATCCGTCCCCCCCACAGCGGCAGTAATGTTACCACCGCAGTGAAGCGTTACGAGCCGCTCGATACTACTGTCATTAAATGCGCCTTGCTCTGTATTGAGACCTACATTCAAAAACACACTGATTGCAAGGTTGACGAATACGAATGCATCTGCAAGCGGAAGGAGGTTAAAGACACTGATACCGTGAAATGTGTCATCGATGCCTGCGGCTTCACCAGGGCCAAAAGTACATCTCCTAATACCGTTTTCGGATACATTTTCTAACATCCTTACTCTGCAGACAAGGTCTATCCAGTAGTAAAAACATTCTGCAAGGGCGTTTAGGTCTTGGCGCCCTTGGTGTCCCTAGCACGAAGGTGACGGAGGAAAATGGCGATGATCATGTTTCGTTGAGGATTTTATCTAGGATGGTTCTTTACTAAAGTTCGTTGGTTTAATGGGCTGATTCTTCGGATAGGCGCTGTTTGTCGACTTACACCTACGCCTCTATGGCGAGAGGACGAATCGCGCCACACTGACAAAGTCGTGAAATCTGTACCTCAACGGCATTGTACTCCTTGCTCGAATCAACAAGCCCTCGCTGGTAGCAGCTTCTACTCGACTCAATTGATTGGTGCACTCATTCATGGCAGGAGAAATATTGCGGTTCGTGGCAACGGCTGCTATGTTCGTCGTAGAGGACCTATAGTGGTTACCTAGATTCGTCAAAGATACTAAGTATTTTTTGCAAGCAAAATGAAAGACTTGGTCATTAGGTTATTAAAAACGTTGTCGCGAGGAACTCTCAGGATGGGAGGAAGGAACAGCGATAGATAGATATTAAGGATTGTACTAAAAAAAAAAGACAAATATTACACACGGGCGGTGGGTTGGGTTGCTCCCAGCAGGGATTGAACCTGCGACATTCGCATCACCAAAGACGGAATTGTGTCCATATTAGTACGACGCTCTAACCAACTGAGCTATGGAAGCCACGGAGTATTTCTTATTGAGGTGCTTCGAACTGTTTATAGTTATATAGCTTTCAATTCTAGGAATGATGATAATGGCCACTCGGGTCCATAGAATCTGATTTTGTATGGGTGGTAGAGGCAAATCGCGGGTGTGATTCATCATGTTGGAAAACACACCGCCCATCTTGGTATGTGACCAATATTGCCATCGTACGGCCCGGCTTACACCTAAGCTTAGTTATTGATGAGTAGTGATTATTTATATGTATTCAACCGGCAGAGCATGTGTCCACAAACAAGGAGAATGATTTGAATATACAGCTGGTTAAGGTGAAATTCATTTAACGTATCAAAGACACGTATTCGCCACGCGCGACTGTGAACTGGTCAACCCCATTCCACACTGCTTGCGGGTAGTGAGCCGCGAAGACTGGTAGACGAGGAGAGGAGCCTGCCTCTCCTTCTTGCTCATGACGGGAAAATCCGAGCGTGCGGAGAGGATTGTACCTGAACAAATTAATATTAGTGTGATACCGGAAACGTATGATCAGGCACATATTTTATTATACTTCGTAACAGTTACCTCGCTTGTGGTGGAATGAGACGTTTGTATTACGTCAGCAGTTCTCATTTCCACGGGAAGGCAGACCTCGTGCAAGCGTCAGAGTACATCATCGTCGTCGACATGTCTGGTGACGTATCGCCAGGGTCAATATTCAGCCTCAATGCGCTGTTCGACAACCCACTCTTTGCGGGCGGCATTGGCCTAGCATCGCTCGGCGCTGCGGCCGCGTTTGCCAGAAAAGGCGTCATAATTACTGCCTTGGCTGCGCGCCGGCGACTCCTCGTCAATGTTGAAATCAGCAAACAGGACCCTGCCTACCCCTGGATCCTCGCGTGGCTGTCAAACCCTCACCCGACGCCAGGGTTCATCGCATCCCGCCTGACACGCATCCACAACCTTTCCGTGACGACGGCGACAGCGTCCAAGGGGTCGGCGGTCGGCGGGTCGCCCAACGCGCACTTCTTTCTGCAGCCGGGCTACGGCAGACACATTGTCAAGTTCCGCAACGCCTTCATTGCAGTCAACCGAGAAAAACACAACACGGCCAATATGAACACGGGCGAGCCACACGAAGTTATACAGCTAACAACGCTGTGGGCACATCGACACATCTTCGAGCAAGTGTTTAGCGAGGCGCATGCGCTTGCGGCCAAGGCCAACGAAGGCAAGACCATGGTTTACTCGGCACGCGGCATGGAATGGGCGCCTCTCGGAGAGCCGCGAAAGAAAAGACCACTCGAATCGGTAATACTGGATGAAGGGGTCAAGGACAGCATCGTGAGCGACGTGAAAGATTTCCTGTCGCGACAGCAATGGTATGTCGATCGCGGCATCCCTTACCGGCGAGGGTATCTGTTGTTTGGGCCGCCGGGTAGCGGCAAGAGTTCATTTATCCAGTCCCTCGCTGGCGAGCTGGACTTTGGTGTCGCAATGATTAACCTGAGTGAAATGGGCATGACGGACGACAAGCTGGCGTACCTGCTGACCAAGCTACCGAAGCGCACGTTGCTGCTGCTGGAAGATGCCGACGCTGCCTTTACTAACCGACGGCAGCGCGATACGGATGGCTACAGCGGTGCCAGTGTGACGTTCTCTGGTCTACTGAATGCGCTGGACGGCATCGCGGCTGGCGAAGAGCGCATTGCGTTTCTGACTACCAACCACATTGACCGCCTCGACCCCGCCTTGATCCGCCCGGGTCGTGTGGACATGATGGCGAGAATCGGCGAGGCGACCCGATACCAGGCCAGCCAAATGTGGGATCGCTTCTATGGCGATGTGGACAAGGATCACGCGAGCAGGGAGCGGTTCCTGGAGCGCCTGCACGAGCTGGGTCTGTTTGGACAGAATACTGACGGCGAACCGTCACACAGGCACACGAGTACGGCTGCCATCCAAGGTCTTTTCCTCTTCAACAAGAACGACATGCACGGGGCGATTAATATGGCGGAGGGCCTCGTGCCGCGAAAGTTCGAAGCGTCGGACAATGTACCAGAGGGGGCCATTAAGACGTCTGCGTGAAGATAGATGTTCTATGTACATTATTTCCCGAAGATACCCAGTCTGTCTATATCAGTGACTTGGAAATAAAAATTCGGTCACCTCGGCTGTCATCGTCACTGCATGTAACTATTGCGTCTACTTCGTACTGCTCGCCTGATGTGCGTATGCTGTCGTATGTACATACGCCTCTCGGGCCCATCGAATCGCGAATCTTGCTTCCGGGGGTTGCAAAACACAGCGTATCGGGTTACAGGGGTTGCAAAAACCAGGAAACCACTACGAAGTGGGGTCGATGGCACCATATTGAGGCTTGCGCCAGATTGCAGCTGAAAGAGGCTGGAGTGATTCATGTACGTTTCGATGTATGTTATTACAAGGTTCCAGGAAGATAATGACATGCAATAGTTGGATGATGCATACGGATGCAGAGAAAGCGGACAAACTGGCTCCTTCAAATAACTAGCAACTATTAATAAATTATGAATGGCACGGCATATCATTGGATAGGTAGATGACAGAAGGCAGATCAATTAGGTACCTAGGTACAGATTTAAGCAGATGAATAGGTACCTCCTACCTACACCTAGGTAGGTATTATTAAGTAGTAGGCTATCGAGAATGACAAGAACAAGTCGTTTGTTCCTCCCGCCTTTTCCTAACCGTTATTTTCGCAAATTTTTCTTCTTCCCTGTCTCTCTAAAGGCCCATTGTTTCGGCGAGTAAGGGACTTTTTTGTAGAAATGGAGCATTTCGTCACTGCGCTATCTAACAGTTATTAAATCAGTTGCCCCCTTTGCTCGATAACTGCTGGCTCTGTGTGGATCTCCCGTGACGTGATTGAGGCCGGCTCTTGTATTTGTTTCGTCTCCGCCACTCTTAACTCCAAATCCAGACTGCAGATCCACGTCAAACTGCCATCCGCAGTTTAGCGTCCTGTTTCCAAAGTGCCATGATAATACCTAGTTGCTGCCTGCCTTTTTTCTTCTTATGTTTTCGCAGCCGCAGTCTCGATCGAACCCTGTGTCCTGTCCCTATTTGTACTTGTTCCCTTCCCCTCCCCTCCCATGCCTCGTCCTCTCGATCCTGTCATGTGGTAGCCTCTTACCCCTCTACACCACTGCCCACACGGTTGCGTACTCGTCACGACACCAGGCCTCAGAGCCGCACACCATGCATAACCAATCGTCGTCCTCGCCTTCGGGTCTGAAAAAGCACGACCCCGCTGCAGCGTCGCGTGAAGGCTACAGCTCCCACGAGATCGATTCTGAGTTTGCTCCCGCCTGGAATGGCACGGATACCGGCAGCGCTGACGGCGCCATCGACCCCGATTCAGGCGTAAAACGCGGCCTCAAAAATCGTCATCTCTCCATGATGGCTCTCGCCGGCATCATCGGCCCTGGCCTTCTCGTGGGTGCAGGTGGTGCGCTCAACAGCGGTGGACCTGCATCGCTACTTATTGGATTTGGCGTAATTGGTAATAAGCTCTGTCTTTAGGGCAAGACATTTTTTGAGCTAACATTTGCTCTCCAGGTTTAATTGCCTTTGCTATTATGCAGTCCCTCGGCGAGCTGACTACCCTCTACCCCGGTGGTGGCTCATTTGTCTCCCTCGCTGAGCGCCTTGTCGACAAGTCCTTTTCTACCGCCGTAGGCTGGAATTACTTTATCATCTGGGCCGCCGTCCTCGCCAACGAATACAACGTCATTTGCAGTATCCTGGTATACTGGGCGCCAAAGGTTCCACTCTGGGGCTTTTTTCTGATTTTCTGGACCGTTTTTCTTGGCTTCCAGCTCCTCGGCATAGAAGCCTTTGGTGAAGCTGAGTTCTGGCTGGCCCTCTTCAAGCTGCTCGGCCTGACCGCTTATTTTATATTCTCTATCATCTATGCTTCTGGTGGGCTCGTTGGCCAGAAGTCTGCGCTAGGTTTCCACTACTGGCACGATCCAGGCCCCTTTAATGGTAATGGCTTCCGTGGCGTCGCCAAGGTCTTCATTTTTTGCTCTACCTTTTACGCCGGTGTAGAGTCCGTGGCTGTTGCCGCTACCGAAACGAGAAATCCCGGCACTGCAGTGCCCCAAGCCATCAGACAGGTGTTTTGGCGCATCATCTTTGTCTACATGGGTTCTGCCTTCTTCTTTGGGCTTACCTGCCCTGCCAACGCAGAAGGTCTAGTCGGTGGCGGCGCAAAGGCGCTGCAAAGCCCTATGACGATTGCCATCCAGACCGCTGGATGGGAGGGCGGCGTCCATTTGATCAATGCCTTCATTCTAATTACTTGCATATCCGCGATCAATTCCTCCATTTATATTGGCTCAAGAACTATTCTATATATGGCCCAGTCCGGTAAGGCCCCACGGATCCTCGGCAAGGTCAACAAGATGGGTGTCCCCGTCGCGGCTATTCTTCTTACCAATGCAGTCGGCGCCATTTCAATGATGAATATATCGACCGGAGCTGCCAAGGCCTATTCATATATTGTTAACCTTTCCGGCGTAAGCACATTTCTGGTGTGGGGTAGCATCAGTTTTATGCATATTCGATTCCGCCGTGCCTGGAACGCTCAGCAGCGAGACCTGGGCGAGCTTCCCTTCAAGAGCATGAGCTATCCCTTTGTCGCCTACTTTGGGGTTGCAGCCAACATTTTTCTTGCTCTTGTCCAGGGTTGGACGACTTTTTCACCATTTTCTGCCGGCGACTTTGTCGATGCATACATTCTGCTGCCATTGTTTGGGATCATTTATGCTATTGCCAAACTAGTATGGAGAAACGACAACTTTAAGAGGAGCTGGGAAATTGACCTTGACAGTGGCCGCCGAGTCGACATGGACACCAAGGATGCGACCAAGCACCAGGAAGGTCCAAGACCGCCTTTTTGGCGAAGAGCATGGGATTTTTTTTAGTGCAAACTCTATGAATTTATGAATGTCTGGGGGTTTGTAGGTGTCTCGCTCGGACGAAATATCGCCGGGGATAATGTAAACTGGTCCATAGAGAGTCTTGCGAAGTAGTCGGAGGCTGTAGCTTGTAGTATAATCATTACATATCTAGCATTTTTCATTGAAATACACACGTCCCAGTTGATTAACAGCATTTGTTCCTCATCCAGCAGCTTACGGCGAATACGATTATGCGCCGTCCGACAACCTCGAGTTGTCTAAGGATTAATTTAGTGTCCGAATACGCGGCTAAATATTTAAAAGATCACAGTACAAGCGGAAGAAAGGCATATGAATTTTAAGCTTGTCTTTCCATCAATTCCACATACCGTGTTTCGCGAGACGCGATAAAGATGATCTACTGTCTGGGCTGGGTACTCCATCGATATCCTAGTTATACTGCGTAATGTACTCTTCGAGCTTCTCCGAAGGGAAAACGGAGCCACCTCGCGTCCTTCACTGCATCCTGCTTGATGGAAACGCACGCAATCCGGTACGGCGCCAACCCAATCAAGTTCTTTGCAAGTGTCGAGCTGAGTCGTACGTGCCTATGATTGAAGCTGAGGTCTTTGACTACCTCGCGTTGGATCCAACCTTGCAAGCTGCCGCTGGAACCATGGACGGCTCCAAATGCATGGCTGGCATCGCGATTCTTACTGCAGCAAAAACCCTCCAAGGCCAGGAAGTGCGGAGCAAGCTGTTGGCCGGGTTCGCCGAGCTGCACCACACTTGAATCTTGGGTTCCGCTCCGTGAGCCTGCTGCTGCGCCGGGCACCCTTTGTAGAGAATCAGAAACATGACGCTGCAGATGCCAAGATAGGAGGGTTGTATAACGCAGCTGTTGGCGAGCGGCTTCGCTCTGAAAAGGAGCACGATTCATTTGATCTGGAACTTTATGAACTGTGCGTACAACGACGGCTCAACCATTCCGAACCACAAGGTTGCACCTTGATGGTCACTCTGCTCATGGCGGGGCAGCACACTTCATCCATGGCAAGTTCTTGGGTTGTCTTGCCTCTTGCATCGCGACCGAAATCACAGAAGGGCTATTCCAAGAGCAGGTCCAAATCCTCGGTAATGGGAACACACGCTCCCGCTGCTCCAGCATCAAAGAAACTCTGCGTGTCCATTCGTCGATTCACTCATTCATGCGCAAAGCCACTCGTGCCATTCGCGTGCCTCGCAGCCACTCTCCTGGCATCCCCCAGGCGACGGCCCGCAACGAGCAGTAGGTACTTTACCAACGAGGCCGAGTCGCAGCCTCATCGCTAGTCTAACCTAGTTAGCAATCTCTCGTCGGGGAGCATCTTCGAGGCTGACGAAACGGTTTACGGGCGGACAGGCATTGGTGTATCGGTGAACAACTCGCTTATCTCAACCTGGGCGCTGTCGTCGCGACGCTGGTCCGTGAATTCCGGGGTTTACAACTTGGATTGGCAGCCTACCTACCCAAGACAGACAGGTACCTCCTTATGCCATGTTTTCGTGTTTTCGTGGCCTGTGCGGCCGGACTTTATTTATCCACTGGCCGCGAAGGGCCAAACGCAGCTAGATTAAGTTGTCTAGGTACATTTGTAGGTACCTTGAGTTTGTATCAAAAACTGAATTTACCTAGGTAGGTAGGTAGTTTGGCCTGTATCAAAAATTACTGGGGTGAACAAGCCATACTGTCGACTGTCTTGAAGATGCAAGCGGTTGCTTCCAGCGCTATTGCGGAATCTCGGCGATCTGTTCCATCTTAAACTTCTTAAACAGCCCCGTAGCCTCAATCTTACTAGCCCCCGCCAGCCACAAAGCTCCCGCTACGACGTTAAATCGCCGCCTGCAAACAAGTCAGTTCGCAGGTTCGTCACTTCAGACAGAGGCAGCTCCATATTCACACGCCCACAACCACAACGTCGCCATCGAGACGCCCGCAATCGAGCACGTCAGATACCTCGTCTGAACCATCAAACGCTCAGCTAGTCAAGCTATCGCAGGCACTGAGACACGCAACTGTCGTCCTAGTACAACGGACTGCGCCCCTTGCGCAACGCAGCGAGCTAGGCAGCGTCGAATGAATGCAACCTCTAAACCCCTTTCTTGCCGCCTTCTTCAAGAGTTCTGTTGCCGCGCAGTGCACCCCGGTTCATCACTTCATACTCCTTGTCCCACAGACGGATGTGCTCCTCACCCATCGTGAGACAGAGAGTGGCGCTTCTACGAGCGACTTCGTCGCCTCGGAGGAGTTTCTAGCCAGTCATGTCCTGCGCATTCCTCCGCCTGGTGGAAAGGAGGCAAGCCAGAATTTGCGAGAGGTCCGAGGCAAGGCGAAGCAGTTCTCGACGCTAAACGGGAGAAGCGTCATTGTCAAGGATGCATCCATATACAGTAACAAGGGTCAGTCGGAAGTTGAGACGGCGTTGATATCTGCTCACAATAACTAGGATTCAAGACGCTAGCACAGGCGCAAACCCAAAGCGATGCGATCTGGTATCCCGACGTATTCGAAGCGAGACAATGGCTGCTATACTATATATCAAAACCATTGGTTGGGACTTGGCGAGAGCTTGTAGTTCCTCCTGCGATATTGCCTACCTCAGATCAGACCGTCGAGACGCAGCAACCCGCAAACGGTGATTCTGCGGAATACTCGGCGCCCAAGAAAAAAGACATCAAAACGTTCCACGAGCTTCTCAATAATTTCCCCATGATTGCTCGACAGATGCAAACTGGGCTAGAAGAGATATTTACAGAGTTTACTATTGTTTTTCAGAAGCCGCTGCCTGCGCCCCCGTCGGCGGCCGAAATTCCAGACCCCATGCCCGACGGGCCCATTGCCACAGCGATGAGGCGAGCAAGGTCAAGTAGCTTCAATTTGCGGTCGCAGCCCGAATCCAGAGCAAACACATTGCCCGTCACCGAAGATTTTTACGCCGAAGACGAGGAGGATGTGATGCGTGCGTCTTTGGAGACTGCTGTCACCACGGCCATTGACCTGTTCCAAGGTGTGGACAAGCAGCAACTGTCTCTGCTTGGCGCAACCACAGACCTTACCGGCCCGCTTGTTGAGAAATTAATTGAACGATACATAACGGAAAATGTGCACCATCTTCTATTTTCCAGGCTGGTTTCCCTGAAGCGCCCGGATGACTTGGAGCTGGAGGCAAAGATACGCCAGATGGAGTATATTGACATTTCGCAACTGGGAATCGCTATTGGCGGTGGACTGAAGGCGAAACACGACTTGATTATTCATCTTGGGCCAGCAGTTGAAGAGTTTCGTAAGATTCTGAACGCTATGAGCCCTCAAGAAATGCTGGAGCTTCTACTTTCCACCGTCAAGAGTGTCTCCCAACTCACCGGAGAAGCCAACGAGGAGGGACAAGATCAGTCAGCTGAAAAGGCCATCATGACAGTTAATGCTGACACGTTAGTTTCTTTGCTGCTTTACGTCGTGATACGGTCAGGCGTGCGCAATCTCCAAGCTCGCCTTGGCTACGTTCGAAATTTCATCTTTGTTGACGACGTGGATAGCGGCGAACTTGGATACGCGCTTAACACATTCGAAGCAGTTTTGCTCTATCTGGCTACGGACTCGTCTGGACTACGTCGTGCAAGTAGGAAGAACAAGGCGCTTTGGGAAGCCGCAAAAAAGGGCTCCATGTCGGATCTGAAAAAGATCATGGAGCCTAATACGTCTGCTATTGAGGATGATGACGAAGACGAGCCCCCATCGCAAAAGTCTAGCAGACGACAGTCCTTTAGCTGGGGTTATGCAAATGGCTCTTCACGACACTCGTTAACTGGCCTTGCCACACAAGATCGATTATCCAAAGGCTCCGGCTTGCGCCACGTCTTCCCCTTTCAGACTGACGGAGGATGCGATGGTGATGACGACCGCAATATATGCAGCTTTAAAGTTAACAAAGTGAAGAAAGTATCGATGGATACCCGAAGCTTCTCCAGCGACTCCGAGTTTTCGTTCCACTCACGCTCAACGAGCGCTGGGACCATTGGTAGCGCTCTGGAGGGTGATATCTCTGTCGAGCGACTGGCGCAAACGAGTGACTCATTTGGCGAATCTGTTTTGATGATGGCTGTCCAAAATGGCCAGCTTAAGATTCTAAAGTACCTCTTGTCACTGGGCGGCTACTTTCCCTTTGAATCCGTCTTAGAGGACATGAACAACGAGGATACGTCTCTCCTGAGCGCTGCAGTGCAGCATGGAAATACTGAAATCATTGATACACTTTTGGACTGCATCAGCTCTGGCATTTCCCACGAGCAGCTGGTTCAATATGTTCAAGCGCAGGACATTTGGGGACGCAGCTTAGGTCACTATCTGTTCAACTCGCCAGCCCTCATCACCAGAATCGGTTACCTTATTCCGTGGAAACAGCGTGACAAAAATGGTCAGACTCCCTTGTTTGCCCTCTGCCGATCGTACGACCATGCCGACTACTACAATATGGTGGAAGCTGGTCTCAAAGCCGCCAAGGTTGCTCAAGGAGATGGACAGTTGCTGCACGTGGACGATCATATCGATGGCAAAGGAAATACACTGCTACACATTATCAACGATCCAAGGCTGGCCTTGAGGATTTTACAGTACTGTGACGTTGATGTCAACGCAACCAACGAAAAACGATTTACCGCACTCATGGTCGCCAGCAAGTACGGACGTTATGACATGGTCAGATCATTGTTTGCCGACCCTCGGGTAGATCTTGGAGCCAGGGAAGCCAGGGGACTGACAGCCGTGGAACTGGCCAAGGATGAAGACGTCAGAAACAAGATTGACGATCTGGGGTTGTTCAGCATGCCGCCTAGTTCGGATGGGCGTATTACTGGAGTAGTGCGAGCTTTCTTCGTTGAGGATGGCACAGTCCGACTGGTGCTCAAGTCAGCTGCTCCAACAGACCATGATAGCTACACAGTAACGACGAGTCGGCGATCACTGTCTGATTTTGAGCAGCTGGGCCGACTCTTGGCCGAGGAGAATCCAGCGTCCTGGGTCCCAGCAGTCACTGACACACGCTCACCATTCCAATTACCGTCAAAACCATCTCGAGCTTTGCTGCGTGACATTCAAGCTAAGATGGACTGGTTTCTGCGAACCATGCTAAATCATCCAACCCTTTCGAAACATGAAATGCTTTGGGAGTTCTTTTTGGTACCTGAACTGCAGCTGGGAACAATGGAGGAAAGAACGCGGCTCAAAATCGAGGCCCGGACAGAGCGCATCAGAGAGGAATACGAACCAGTGCAAGATCTAAGAGAAGTTGAACAGTTTGTTAACCACGCACGCGAAACTGTACGCAGCGTCAACTATGCTACCAAGAGTGCTACGAGACGTGCCAACAGCGTTGGTGTAGTGACCGCCGACATCTACGATTCACTGGTCCTGCTACACCGGGGCGCGTCCGGCCTTATTTTTCTACCAAAGAGCCACATTACAGCACTGGAAATGTATGCCAGAGCAATGCAGCCGACACAGTCAAGCCCGCACACGACGCTTCACACGACACTAATTGCTGTCCAATCCACAGTTCAGGCATTGCTTTCGGCGCTTGGACGGCCGACGACCCTAGTCGCGCAAATCATCAATGCAAAACGGGAAGCAGATAGAAATCAAGGCTCTATCGGAAGATCCTCACGATGGCCTCTGGGTTTGCTGGACGACACGCGCCAGCGTCTGCAAGAAGAGAAGGAGAAGAAGGCACAGAAATGGCGGGAGGAAGCCTCTTACATGGCCCGTGAATTGCGCTATACACAGCAAACAGTGGCGGCAGAACTAGCCGGCTGGCAGAACATACATGACACGATGGTTAGACGGGCGCTGCGAGACTATGGACGATGCATGCTGCTACAGGAGAAGATGAAACTAGAGGGCATGGCGAGGGCACTAAGAGTGATACATAGCAGAGCACCGCCACCAACTTCCAGGACGACGGAGGCGAACTCGTAACTAATGCATACCTGTCACATGCATAGATATCGCGGGTAACACCGGCAAGATTTGGCAAAGGAAGCATATAGCAAGCTGATAGCTGATACCATGTCAGAGTATTTCTGGCACGCTAGTCAAAGAAGGCGCTTGGATAGAACTATTTTTGCGTGAATGCAATATTCGACCGCCGAACAGCCGAACAGCGGATGAATATATCACTGTTTGAGTGAAGCCTCTTGTGTTAGCCGTTTATATTTCTGCGAGTTATGGCGAGTATTGACCTATATCTACTGCGCCGGGTTTATTCTCGGAACCGTGCCATTATCTATGGCAATTTTTGAAATGCCTGAGCTAGCTGCTGCGTACGCTGATCAGACGAGCAACCTCTCCCGAAGGCATAGGTTCATGATCTGAGGAAATAAGGATGGTGATGGGCTGCCTAAAAAGCCTTAAACAAGCAATAAAAGGTACTTGAAAAAATCCCAGTGTGCTCAAGTCGCAAGTGATTTTAGCGCTATTCGACGTCAGGCGGATGGTTCTCGTTTGTTTGCTGTCGGGTTCCTAGGCTGGCAATGAGAACATTAATAAAATTATCGATAAAGTTATCAATGAAAAATCACCTCCGCATCTGTCCCTTTGCTGGGTGATGTTTTGAAACAAATCGGATTGGGGGCTGAGTGGTGGAGCCAGCCAGAAAGAAGCACTTGGCCGCCGTAACTATCCAAACTCTGTGTACAAAGGCCAATGTTGACAACGGCGGCTAGCACGTCCGGAGCAAGCAATCCGATTTCGGAGCAAGTCATCAGTGTCGCCTGGATCATGGTTAGTGTTGCCAGGGATATAATGCACTGCATTGTGCACAATAGGTTTGTGGCGCGGCGCGGGTGAGTGCCACCGTCGCGCTGCACCGCGGTGGCCGTTTTGGCTACAGCGTGAGGGCGTGGCTGGAGACGTGCCTGAGAGGACGTGAGACGTGGGCGCGTGCTGACAAGCCAATCAACGTGCAGGGAATCTACGCGCCCGCGATTTGCTTCAGTGGTGACTACGGAGTAGAGAGAGTGGAGTAAAGGAATAAGCAGAGACGAACAGAGACTGACAGGAAGCGAGCGAGACAGAAAAATCCAGTCTTGGGACTGGGCAATTTAGCAATAACTAATGAAGAGTTTGGTATCGCCCTATACAGTTGCTCCCTCAGTACTAAGGTACCTACCCATCTACATAGGTATGTAGGTAGGAATCTAGTTAGGCAGGTACGCCCCCAACAGCTTCTAAGCGCCAGCCAGCAGGTGCGACAGGCCAATAGCGGCGCACCGAGGTAGCTCGTCCCTCGAACGACTCGCACAGTCCCACCGAGACGCAATATCATTAGCCTGTCCTAGTAGACAAATGGTATTTTTGGCTGATTTGTCGTTCGGGTAGTATCCCATCTGTCACGACCAACAGCTCAGTAGATTCACCTCAGCGCCTAAAGGGGCGGGGTCCGGCCGGTCATGTCAGGCACAGGCTCAGGCACAGGAAGATTATCTGAATACGAGAATAGAATGCGATCCGTTCCGGAACGACGGGCGGCTACCAAGATTCGAGGCTCTGCACACCCCCTCCCCCCGGCCGCCCATCTGTTTTGCAGTAGACGAGGTGGTGTGGCCGGCCGAGATGGCCTCGGTGCAGTTGTCGAGGTTGAATGGTGGTTACACGGCAAAATACTATGCAGATCAAAGAGACAGTGTAAAACGAGCTTGATGACAGAAAGAAGGAAAATATTTCAAGGGATGGAGACCAAGAATTACCCAGTCCTGTGACTCATTGCATTGTTGTCGCGTGCTCACGTTGTCAGTGGTGCGTCGCGGTAAGCAGCGCGCACGCGCTGCCGGCTCCTCACGTATCGTGCATCGTGCAAACACCACGTCAACTCAACTTGTCGTCGCCACGCTCGCGACACAACCACGCTTTCTCGCTTTCTCTCTAAGCTTCTATGCACCCGCTGCACCCACCACGCTAGAGTCGGCATTTGCACCAGCCCACGGCGCGCCCCCAGAGCGTCACATCCGGCGACCCCAGGTCGCCTCGCCGGCCGCTGACTGGCTGCACGTCAACCTCTGTGCCGTCCTTGCACCCCCTGTCGATGCACCTAAAAATTGTTCTCGTTGCCGCTGGACCAGTCTTTCCTCACTGACGAATCAGCGGTCAGTGTCACCTGGTTGAACCCCCCCCGTTCAGCCCAATGTTGCACTCGAAGGGGTCTCTCCGGCTGCTGTTCTAACACCAGCAACCTAAAATAACCTCCAGAGGTAACTCACGATCTGGCCTCCCTGGTGTCTTTTCGCCGACGTCTACACCGCACGAGCGCATACTTGGGGCAAAAACAGGGATCCGATGCTCGCTCCACCGTTCCTGCTTGACTTCCATGCCACCCTGTCATACACGATACACGACTTCAGGCTTACACGCTCTTCGCCTCGCGCTCTCGTCTGTCCACCCAGCATGGGAATTGGTGCGCGTTTCAGGTTCTGGGCCTCGCTGGCTGACTTCTCGCAGCCTAGCACTGCATATGCCAGAGGAACTCTTGATCCACTCACGCAAGGTTCATTCCCGACCTACCGTCGCCATTGGGAATAAGAAGGCGGCCTCATCCTCGTTTCGTTTCCTCCATTCCAACCATTTTTACGGCCTTGTTTCTCTTTCCCAGAATTCTTTCCAAAGTTCCCACTCGCTTCTTCCCCTGCATTAATATCAACCTCCCATCTCTTTCATACATTGCCTCTGTTTACATCTTTGCCCTCTGCATTCTACCTGCGCTATAGACTGTCCGCTGGCGGCTACGAAAACATCTTGTCCTTCCTACCTGTTCGATTTCTGTACGACTTTTTATTCCATCTTCACAAAATCATCAAGAGCTGGCCTCTTACAAGTTTATTGCATTAATTCATCATGTCGGGGTATGTTTTTACATCGTCTCGAAGAGGCCTATGTTCTGGGCCGCAACGTCATGGTCATATCATATACTGACTGACTGGCGCTTATTATTAGTCTGGTATCTGACGTCGCCTTCAACTTTGCATTGGCCGACTCGCCTGCGTCGCTGGGTCGACCTCTTACGCCTCCTCAGGACTTCCCCATTCACCAAAACTACTATTTTGATTCCTCTTTTCTCGGCATTCCTGACCACCCATCATGTCATGCCCGTTCCTCGTCCAAGGCATCTTCTGTGTACTCGGTCGTCTCTGCCGTCGAGTCCACTGCCGACTCGGTCTGCACCAGGATGACCACGCCCCCCAGAGCCAGCCCGCCAATTCGCCAACATGGCCCTCTCCTACTACCAAAGATTCGTCCTCAGGATCAGCAGGTCAGCAACCCTGTTGCTCCTGTTTCTCGTCTGCAGACCATGACGCCTCCCCCCCGGCGCAAGGTCACCAAGAGGAAGAGTGCCACGCACAGTCGCAGCCAAACCAACATTGAGGCCATTTCCAACACGGCCCTTTCGCATTTGGCCTTCTCCGGCCCAGTACAGGATCAAGCCATCATGTGCTCTCCCATGTCCCTCCCTCGAGATTTGGATTCGCGCCGCTCTTCTATATGCTCAACTGTGGATGCCACCATCGTCGACAGTTATAGCTTCCCTCCCTACCACCCACTTGGCTTTATGCCGGGAGACTACTCCATGCCCCACGACTATGGCTATCAGTTTGCGACCAGGGCCACCTCACCCTTGAGCATGGCGTCCACCCCCGAACCGACTGCATCTTTGTCGCTCATGAGCTTCCTTACGTCGCCGAGCCCAGCTGCTTCGCTTGTTCGCACCATCTCATATCCCATTCGCGACCCCAACACCAAGCACTTTTGGTGGGATGCTCGCAACATCCGCCAATGGTCTTCCTTCAACATGGCTGCCATCACGGCCCTGCCCGGCGCATCGGGTCTTTTGAGCACGCCTGTTCCCGCCCCTCTTCTACCCGAGCCTGCCTTTTCTTCCCGCCACCCGGAGACGGAAGCTTCCCTCCACGCCATCTATGCTTCGTACTACCTGCCCAAGCTCAACTCGGCCTTGGCCATTTCTTCCAACCGGCCCCTGCAGCTCTCTGTGCCCAACCGCATCCCCGCCAACATGAACGAGCCGTTGTTTGTCGGCAACGTGGCCGGCGACTCCTCCACGGCTGCTGCCATGTTTGGTGGCAAGCCTACCGCTCGCGTCGTTGGCATTGTGCGCAGCTTTGATCGCTTCAACACGGCCATGCGTGTCGAGGGCAACATCAAGCGAGTCGAGTACCTCCGCGGCCTCGCTGCCATCCATCACGCCATGCGCGAGCACAGCTGCCGCTATGGCTTCATTCTCACCGAGATCGAGCTGGTCCTTGTACGTAACGGCAGGGATATGACTCCCAACTTTGGCGAGCTGGAAGTCACTTCCATCCCTCTCAACGCCACCGCTCCCGACTGCGACTTGTCCCAAGTCCAGCTGGAATTGCTTCCCCTGACTGCCTGTCTCGCCCTCTGGGGCCTGTGCCAGATGGCCAGCGACGGCAGCTGCGGCCACGCCCCCTACAGGACGGAGATTGGCGCTCCCGTCGAGGGCACTCGTCGCAAGGCGCTCAGGCGCGACGACTGGATGCCCCAGCCCCAGTTAGCCGAGAAGCGTGAAGCCAAGAGAGCCCGTGGCTGGACCTGGCCGGAGGATGCTGTTGGACGTCGAGAGCTCGGCAAGCGCGGTGTCAAGTACGCTGCCATGTGATGTATGTAGATCAGGATCATGCATAACGAGACATGAAGTGCCTACCCATTGGAGTCTGGCGTTGATAGTAATGAAAGCTATAACGAACTGAATTTACATTCACATACCTAAACAAGAAGTGGCAGCACCCTAGGGTTACATTGTATCAATTGAGGTGGCTTTGCAGGATTGAACATACATGAAAGCTTTGCATAATTGAGTTTACAAGAAGAGGAGCGGTTGTGCATAATCAATCTCAAGTGGCTGAACGACCCAGTTATCACATTGCAAGATTGCATAACTAGTTGCGGAAAGATTTGTGTAAATATGATCACGTCTAACCCTTGGCGGCACCTGCTTTAATGAGCAGAATGTCACCGTCCTCGACAACGTAGTCCTTGCCCTTGGTCATCATTTTGCCCTTGGCCTTAACCTCAGCCTCGTCGCCGAGCTCCTTGAGGGAGCTGAAGTTATATACAATGGCCTGTATGAACGTCTTTTCAAAGTCGGTATGGATGACACCAGCGGCCTGGGGGGCTTTGGTGCCCACACGAATGGTCCATTGACGGACTTCGTCGGCACCCGACGTGAAGAAGCTGCCGAGCTGCAGTGTCTTACGCATCTGAAGTACGAGCTTGGGCAGAACCGAGGGCGCGCCGACATTCTTCTGCTCCTCGAGCGACTCGGCCTCGGTCTCGTAGCGCGTCAGGCGCTCCTCATAGCACACCGAGATGGGAATGATGGGGTCGCCCGTGGCGTGCTCCTTGACCCACTCGGCAATCTTGGGCAGGTGTTTATTCTTTTTGCGGACAAAGTCCTTTTCCGACAGATTGACAAGGTAGACGACAGGCTTGGCCGTCAGGAGGAAGAGGGGGTTAATGACCTCGATCTATTGTAGTTAGACTTGTTCAGAATCGACTGGTGACGTGCTTTCAAATGCTTCAAATGCTTTCAGAACAAAGTTGATCTCAGTACACCTCTTGCGTTATTTGGGAGGGTTCGAAGAGCTGGGTTAAGTTTCGGGCCAAAGGCCCTTTGTCATCATGTAGCAAGCATTGGAATGAAGCAAAACCAAGTAAAATGTAGCTTACCTCCTTGGGAGCCCAGGTACCCTTGCGGACATCCTTGCCATCCTGTAGCCAGGTCAGAATCTTTTCGATGATTTCCTGCTCTATCTTGGCCTTCTTTTGCTCCAGGCTCTGACCACCCATGCGGGTCTTCTTCTTCTGGTTCTCGAGCGCCTTTTCGACGAACTCGATATCCTTCAACCGCAGCTCCTCGCTGATAATGTCCAGATCCCTCGTCGGGTTGACATCACCCTCAATGTGGATAATCTCGGCATCGTCGAAGCTGCGCACCACTTGGAAGATGGCATCGACGGCTCGGATATGGGACAGGAACGAGTTTCCAAGACCGGCACCGGTCGAGGAGCCTCGCGTCAGACCAGCGATATCATAGACAGTCAAGTTGGCCGGGACAATCGACTTTGGTTTGTACTTTTCGCAAAGCCAGTCGAAGCGGTCATCAGGGACAATGACGCGGGCCTCCTCAGGTTCAATGGTTGCATAGGGGAAGTTCTGTCCAGGAGAGAATTTTTTTTCGTCAGCCCATTGTGGATTAAATAGGGTGGCCGGGGTGCGGGTCGGGGCAGGGTCAAGCATACCGCAGGGTTACCCAGGTTGCACTTGGTAATGGCCTGGAACAGAGTGGATTTGCCGACGTTGGCGAGACCGACCTATTCTTGTTAGCATAGTCAACATGTCAACACAAGATGCAAGGACTTTTCGTGCTTGCAGCCAGCATCACCTACAATACCACTCTTCAGACTGTTACCCGGCCTGCCGAGGGGGATTTTTTCCTCTGGAACGGCCTTCTTGGGAGCCATGTTCCTCGATTTCGCGTAAAATCGGGCCGAAACGCCAAAAATGCGCTCTTGCGAGTGTGGACAGAGTCCAAATGCTGCAGGCCAAGCTGCGCGGGGGGTAAAGGTGGCAAGAGAAGAGAAGAAAGAAGAGCTCGCGAGGAGAGACGTGGTGGGCTATTGAGCTGGCACAATGCCAAACGACTGCAATAGACCCGGTGACGACAGGAAGTGAATCCGTCTACGTGTATTAAGTGTTCTGTGATGGCCAAGAGGGGTTGAGGAGCTAACTAGAGTGAACTGCGAATTTTTGTTCACCCCACCATGATGGTGTGTGATGGCGGGTTTTGGTTTTTCCGGCAAGCTAGCCACTGATATCCGACGCGACTTGCATGTTATTTCTTGCATTGAGCTCTATTACTGATGGTCGTGAACTCGGCGTCTGTTGTGCGAGGACCTCTGACGCGCGGCATCAGCTTCGTCATTCCCGATGCATGAGAAGTGCAGGAGAAGTAAAGCTCAATTGAATTGCGGAAAATGTGACGACACAACTTTTGCTACTAGCAAAATTTTATTCGCCGCTGTTGGTTTTCTCTAAGCTTAACGGCTGTTTTCGACGCAGATATTACTTTCACGCATTGCGCATTTGCGATATCAACATCATAGGAACCTGAGCGACCATGTATGGTATTTTCGAAGGTGATGTATACAAACAATGTGTACTAATTAAATATGTATTGCAATGTCTGAACAACGTGCGACCCTCAGGCCAAGAGCTTGCAAATCTGGCATTGTTGGAGGAGATGACCGGACCACAGTGGTCATCATCTACAGTAGCATACTCGGCACCAACCTTTTCCATAACCCAATCACGAGGAATATTGTTGATGACGCCATTCAAGCCCTCGGTCGCCTTAATTACACACTGGCCATTACTCTTCATCGGGCAACATCCATTGGCGGATTCAAGTAATCGGCGCGACCTGATCCGAGTAAGATGACCTAGCGAGGACTCAGCGCCTTGTAGTCCTTCTTAACAATTCAATTCAATGAATCAAAAATTGGAATACAAAAGACTATGAAAGTCTAGAACATAGGTGGCGGTGGAGGCATGGTGCTAGTCGCTACGGTTGCTTCAGGCTTCAGGGTACATGTCGGATAGTCCGCATACGCTCTATCTAAGTTTTCGATGCGCATCATGTTTAAAGTGAGTATTTTAAAATGATTCAGAATGGAATACTAGTTGCTTTAATTACCCACGGGGAGGGGGATGATCGACTTACAGCCACTGGTGGCACCAGCCGCATTTGGCACCGTTACATGTGGCGTACTTGCTGCGTCACTAACGGCCAAGGCTTCAGCCTAACACCCCGATCTCATCTCGTCCTATTCTATTCATCAACACTCCATCAACTGTCTGGACTTGAGCGTTCTAATACATCTAGATCCGCTTCGCCTACATTAACGCCTCAGTTACTCGCGCCCGAGAATCCCCACTGTTCCCGCTGGCTACGTGCCAACGAGCCCAATGTCGAGTACGCCTCGACAGTCGGGAGGCCGCCACAGGTCGACGCTCTCTCTGCAAAAGACCGAAATCATCATAAACGTATACGATTTGCTGCCTGTAAGTCCATATACCTATTGTGATGACCGCGCTAACAGTATAGGCCGGTCGGGTCTCGTCGATGCTCTGGGCTTTTGGCACATCATTCCTACACTCGGGCGTCGTCATCAACGGGCGCGAATATGCCTACGGAGGCCACAATAAGCGCGGGATATCCGGTGTCTTTTGGTGCAAGCCAAGAACTCCGCCGCCAGGCGGCTCCTTCCGCTGCGAATTGCTGCACGGCTTCACGCTCGCCACCGAAGACGAAATCAACTCGACCTTACAAACGGCATCGCAAGTATTCCTCGGTCCCGACCACAACCTATTAAACAAGAACTGCAACCACTTTACCGCGCACATCTGCAAAGCTCTAACGGGTGATCCTGGACCGGGCTGGCTTAATAGAGCGGCCAGCGTCGGCAAGGCGCTGCCATGTCTCGTGCCTCGGGATTGGCTCCAAGCGCCGGATCATACGGCCGTAGATGGCGAGCTATTCGAGACAGATGACGAGTCGGACGATGCGACTGAGCGATCTACAATGTTGCAAAAGGATAAGAGGGCTAGCAGACGAGGCACGCGGTTGTAGAACAGCGAAGTGTCCACGGAGGTCTGATGCAACGATACCTGGTTACGATGATTACCGTAGCTACTTGGTATGAGAATACCCATGGTGAGACTGCGAAATACATGCAATTCCAATAATGTTAGTATTGGCCACGTATTTCCGATCTATTCATGAAATAACGTAAAAGTACATGTATAGTACAATATATGCTCAACATCGCCTGCCTGAACCTTGTGCCACCGCCATTCTTCACTGTGGCATTTTGCCCCGTCTCTCCCCCCACCTCATCCGATTTGCCATTATAGACGCCTCTTGGCCGGACTACGGGTGCCGGCATACTTGACACGCGTGGCATCCGTTACACGGACAATCTTGTCGCGCAGAAAGGCACCCTCAGGGCTCATGAGCGCCTTGACGGTGGCATCACGCCCCTGGCCGAAGCCGCGTAGAGATAGCTCGACTCGATTAATCTTGGTCGTGTATCCCATGTACACCAATCGCTCCAGGGCATACTTGGCAAGTGAGTAGGCCGCATCGAAGGTGCCCCGACGGCATTTCTTGAAGCCCACGTTGCCGCACGACAGCGAGAGGACCGCATTCTTGTTGGGAAGCGTAAATGTGACGTGTGTATTGTGCTTGTGTGCGTAGATGTGAAGGTGGTAAGGCTCAAAGCTGTCTTCCTTGACGGGTTGTGGCTTGCCCATCAATACACCGGTGTCGATTGATCGCTTGTTAAAGGAATCGAATACCATGCTCTTGGACAGGTTGCCGAGGGCGTCCTGTGGTTGTGTCGCGGGAGCACCGCCGTAGATGCGCTGTAGCATCGATTCGGTGCTGGATCGTCCTTCGCGTCTCGCAGTCGTGTGTGAAATCCATCGCGCATGAATTGGTGAGGTACTTGAGCCAGTAAGCGGCCGCAAAGCGGCAAGCCGCGTCAATAGCCGCATTTTGTCGATGCGGATTAGTCGAAAGTCGTCGATGCAAGTTGTAGCTAACTAGACAAAGCGATTTTGGGTCAAGTCCCAGGGGATGCGGAAGCCGGGGTTTACCCGAATTTTCCCCAAGCCCTCTAGCAAACTTGGCCCGCTATCGCTAGGGCCTTCCATGAATTTCTCCTTTCAAATCTTTCATCCTCAGCAATTTAGGATGAATGCCGTCATTCGAAGCGTCGGCAAGGCTGAGAAGGCCTTGCCCAGACGCTTGATAGCCCCAGCGTACTGGAGGCTTGCACAGGGGCGCATCGCGGAGACGCTCCCTGCGCAGACGCTCGGCGCAACCCAGACGCACCTACGGTCGCAATTCCTCCCAAGCCAAATCGGGGTCTTTGGGGCCAGGCTGATTCACACCACCCAAAGGCTACAAGACAAGTCGCGCGCCAAAGCCGACGTCAAGGCCAAGGACCCAAAGGTAGCCCAACAGGAACCCAACGCCAAGGAGGAGGCCAAGGAAGACGCGAAGGAAGATGCGAAGGAAGGCGATGCGAAGGAAGACGGCCAAGATGGCAAGGATGGCAAGGATGGCAGAGAAAAGGAAGCCAACGCGCCACCACCACCCCATGGCGATAAGACTCCCTGGCAAGTATTCATGGAAACCATGAACACTGAGTTTGAGGCTTCAAAAGAGTGGAACGAATCAACTAAGCAGATTGGCGCCGCCGCCCATCAATTCAGCGAGAGCGACGCTGTCCGCCGAACCCGCGAAGCCTACGAAAAGTCAACCGGTGCTGTCTCGTCCTCCGCAGCCACTGCAATCAAATCGACAGCCGGGGCAATTGGCAAGGGTGCCGCCTGGACTTGGGAGACCCCGGTCATGAAGGGCGTCCGCAAAGCCGCCAACGTCACCACCGACGCTATGGACAAGGCCACCAAACCTATCCGTGACACCGAGGCCTACAAGAACGTGAAAAATGTTATTGACGATGGCAGCTCCTCGCGGTACGGCGGATGGGTGGAAAAGGAGGAGCGCCGCCGCCGGAGAGAGCTCCGCGTTAAGGAGCAGCCCCAACATGTCCTCCAAGAGGATCCCGAGGCTGGTACAAACGTCACTCTGCACAAGGACGCCGCCTGGAAGGAGGCCTGGCGCGATTTCCGCGACCAGAACACTTTCGTCCAGGGCCTATTTAGCATGAAAGGCAAATATGAAGAGTCCGAGAACCCCCTGGTTTCGACCGCCCGCAGTATCACCGACCGCATTGGTGGCTGGTTTGCCGAAAATGAGACAGCCATGGTTGTCAAGAAGTTCCGTGAAATGGACCCCAGTTTCCAAAACGAGGCCTTCCTCCAGGAGCTGCGCGAATATATTCTACCGGAGGTGCTCGACGCCTATGTCAAGGGCGACACTGAGACGCTCAAGTTGTGGCTCTCGGCGGCTCAGTACTCGGTTTACGAGGCGCTAACCAAGCAATATCTACAGGCTGGCATGAAGTCGGACGGCCGGATTCTCGACATTCGCAACGTCGATATTCTGCGCGCCCGCATGCTCGACCCCGGCGAGGTGCCCGTCTTTATTATTACCTGCCGAACCCAAGAGGTTCATGTGTACCGCAATGCCAAGACCAACAAGCTGGCGGCGGGCATGGAGGACAAGGTACAGCTGGTCACCTATGCTATTGGTGTCACGCGTGTCCCCGAAGATGTCAACAACCCTGAAACGAGAGGCTGGCGTCTCATTGAGATGCAGAAGAGCGGGCGAGACTGGTACTAGTCTCGCCTTACCTTGCCTTACCTACAACAATATGCGAACGAGGAGAATGGGTGAGAAGATGGCGGCTAGGGACGAAAAGTTGGAACACCAGCCTTGTTATAATACTGTACAATATAAGCGAGCTCTGCATTGAGCATGGGATATGTAATACCAGAACACCGCTCTACGCGCATCACGGGTTGGGATAGAATATACATATTACCACTACTTATGGAACATAATGAATTCATTACATTATGGATTGCATTCCATCACCGTCCTCTAGAGGGTTTTGACCTACTATAGCTTATAAATCTTGCAAATCTTCTGAACACTAATTGCGAATACCGGTTTTGTGTAACATGCATGCTAACATTGTGCAAGCCCGAGATGGCATCATGACTGTCGCAACACATCCCTTACCTCCATCAGCGCCTTGCCCAGCAGATTCTTGCCCCATTTCGTACGGTTGACCGGTGCATTCTTCGAACCGTATCCGACTCCCCAGATGCGATCCTGCGGGCTTGCCTCGACTAGCTCCCTGGTTCCTGTCGCGAGTAACATCTCTTTGAGCGAGCCCTCGATCGGGGCGCAGTCTTGCGTAGTGCCCTTGCCGAAACCTTCCTCTGTCACGGCGGTTGTGAATTTTAATATGTTGCCCTTGTGCACAATTTTCTCCCTGTTGTATACCCACTTCTTCTCACTGAAGCCTCTGACTTTACGGCCCAGTGCCTTGACCTCTCGGGGGTGGCCCGCCGCGAGAATCTCTTCGCCTACCTCATTGTCGTCAAATAGGATCGCTTTTTGGTACATCATGTAACTACCTGGTTAGCTAAATCTCACGACATTACAATGTGGCGTACTGCTCTGCTGTTGGGTAGATTCTTTCAGGATTCTCGTCATCCCGAAACGGGCAGTAATACCACTGCGACAGCCAGCCCAGCTCGGGGTCCGACTCTCGCCAGAAGTACACTCCTTCCATGTCGTGCGTTGATATCTTTGTAGAACAATAGGCCAAACTACATTGTCAAAACCTTTTATGATCGAGGTAAATGCGGCCCGACCCGCGGCTGAGCGCCACCAAGTAAGTGGAGTGATGATTCACACCGTAAATAAAGATGACGCGTGCGGCAGCTGCGACGTGACTCGCCGATGTCGCCATGAAAGGGACCGTACAGAGCAAAGCTATTCTGTTGTTCCAAATTCATGTCTCGCCCTATCGAGTGGGGGACTTGGCAACGAATTGTCCGACGGGCTGTGACTGTTTCCAATACAAGCAGACAACTTGACAATATGGGTCCCTAGAACTAACAACGATGGAATTGCCAGGAGATTTTCTTGCAGGATGTCAATCATGAAATTAATCTCACTTAGGGTAGCAAGAAGCCGAGGACCATAAATCGCCGTATATTTAAAGCCATGAAGCTCTCCATCTTTGGCTACGAACCGCCAAGATCTAGCTGGTCGACTGGTTTCTGCTCAAATAAGCCATATTACGAGTGAGTCAGTCTTCTTGGCATTGCCAAACCCGGAATCCAATGAGAATATACTCTTCAGACCTACCGAAACAGTCTCGCTAAGAAGTAGCAAAGGATAGTGTTGCGCTGGCCGTGCTACCTTTGCCCAGGATACGACAATACAGTAACACAACAGCGCGACGTAGATGGCTCCTAGAAGCCCGAGCCGAAACTCTGTAACGACACTGTTGATGCTCTTATACCACGTGGCAAGTGCCCCTTATCCATCATTCCTGGTCTTTCAGTCCGTACGCGCGCACCTTCTAGAGCTCTTTGGTGGCGTACAACGAACTGCGAGACAGCAAAATTGCAGGCGACTCCTTGAAGATAGCAGTACGGAATCAAAAAGTTCAGGCTGTTTTATATTGAACTTCTAAATGATTTCTTTAAGCCCCAAAGAAAGCGTCATGTAGGGCTGGCGTTTTTCAATACCTCTGTAGGTACCTAGGTAGCTGCAACCAGTTGGGTCGATGAGTTTCACGGTGGTGACAGCTCAACATAGCGGATTGCTTCGATATGTCAAAATAAGTACTTGCTGGTGCAAAGAGCGTATCATGTATTATTATTATGGAAAAAGAAGTCATTAAGTAACCCCCCCCCCAATTCGTGCCATTTATTCGGGCGCCGGCAAAGTTCGGACTCCGATTACCACGCAAATGGCACTGTGCGTCCAACTACCTGTACCAACGTAGCATCAATCCGCGGCGGTCTCGTTTGGCGGCGCCGGCATCCGGTAAAGCGCGGGCCGTAAAAGTCGGGGTAAAACGATTCAAAATGCTCAATCAAGAGTTCATAAAATGACCGCGGGCGCGCCACAGACAGACCCCCTCGACACGCCCTACTTCGCCCTACTTCCTCAAACCCGCCATGGAGAAATCAGTGGAAGAAAAGAGACAGGTGGCCGTCCGCACCACCTCCAGCCATGCGACAGCCGTCGCGCCCGAAATCGACGCCACACGCGACCTCACCGTCGCCGAGCACGAGCTCGGTTTTTGGGCTGCGGTGCGCATGTACCCCAAAGCCACCTTCTGGGCCATGTTCTTCTGCATCGCCGTCGTCATGGCCGGCTTTGACGGCCAAATCATCACCTCCTTTTACGCACTCCCCGCCTTTCAGCTCAAATACGGCGACCGCATCGTCAAGCCCGATGGCACCGTCAAGTACGAGGTGGCGGCGGCATGGCAGACCGGCCTCGGCATGGGCAACCCGATCGGACAGGTCATTGGCGCCTTGGCGTGCAGCTATCCGCTCCAGTATTTCGGCCGTCGGCTCACGCTCGCCATGTGCTGCATCTGGTCCATTGGTTTCGTGTTTATGCAATTCTTTGCCACGTCCACGGCGATGCTGTGCGCCGGCGAGGTGGTTGGTGGTCTTGCCTATGGCTTCTACGTCGTCATTGCGCCGACGTATGCCTCCGAGGTATGCCCGGTCGTGCTTCGGGGCTTTCTGACTGCGTCTGTCAACTTGGCCTTTGTCATTGGCCAATTCATCGCGCAGGGCTGCGCGGCTGGTGTTGAGAGCCGTCTGGACCAGTGGGCGTACAAGGCACCTTTTGTGAGGAACTCTTTTGACTTGACGAGGCCCTCGCTAATTGTTAGTAGGCTATTCAATGGGTCTGGCCTGTGGTATTACTTGCCGGCCTTGGGTTTGCCCCCGAGAGTCCCTACTGGCTGGTTCGCTGCGGCCGCAGAGATGATGCTCGCAAGTCGCTGCTCAGGCTGACTTCCACCAAACACAACCCCGACATTGACAAGATCCTACTCGGAATCGAACAAACTGATCGGTTGGAGCGCGAATACGAGGATTCTACCTCGTACCGGGATTGCTTCAAGGGCTCCAATCTCTTTCGAACGGAAATTTCTATCATGGTCTACCTGATTCAAGTCATTGGTGGTAACCCTCTTATCGGCTACGCCAATTACTTTTTTGAACAAGCTGGACTGCCGAGCGCCAAGGCTTTCTACATGGGAGTCGGCAACACCGCCCTGGGTTTTGTTGGCACCGTCCTTTCGTGGCCGTTGATGAACTACTTCCTTCTTGGCAGAAGAGCAATCTATACTGGTGGACTGGGAATCATGACGGTGCTTCTCTTCATCATAGGGTTCCTGGCAATACCCAAGCACAATACTGGCGCTGTCTGGGCGCTCTCAACACTCATGGATATTTGGACTTTCGTCTACCAGAGCTCTGTTGGTCCGATTTGCTTCGTCATCATCTCTGAGATATCAGCAACCCGACTCCGCGAAAAGACCATCGCCATTTCGACCGCTGTTCAGTCCGCTGCTAATGTAGTCACTATGGTCGTCATGCCCATTCTCCTGAACAGCGACAGAGCGAATTGGGGTGGCAAAACCGGCTTCCTTTTCGGCGCCATCAGCCTCTTCTGCTTTCTGTGGTGCTTTTTCCGCTTGCCCGAGTCACAGGGAAGAACATATGAAGAACTAGACATCTTGTTCCACAGACAAATACCAGCGCGCAAGTTTGCGAGCTACGACTTGATTGCGGAAGCAGATGAAAAATACCCAACCGCATAGTGCTGTGATTTGTTTGATGTTTGTATATATTCGCCGAGTGCGATTCTTTCAAGATCGAAATTGAACGCCATGTCTTTCTCTTATTTATATCAAGTAATACAGCTAGAGTAGAGCTGGAGAATGTACCGCATTGTGCGTATTTTGGGACTCCTTGCAGCAAGCCATTTACTATGGCGCGACAAACCCAATGCCAGCGCCCCGAAATCCGAGCATTCTTGGGCCTACATTTTCAGCGTTTTCAGACGACGCTGCATCTGGAGGACAAACATAGTAGCCTGGAGCTAGAAGGGGCCATTTCTGACCTGACTGTTGCATTTCCTCTGGATCTTACGGCTTATACGCGTCGTATCTTCAAGGCCTGGTCGGCGCATACTGCTGACCAACGTGGCAAGAGGCTTAGCGAGTTGGGGTGGATGTCGAAAACTGGTAATACTACATGTGCGCGAAATACTTATAAATGACATAATTAAGGGCCAACTCATTAGGTATCAGAAATTGTAGCAATTTCATCAGTACTTATCCTAAAAAATGAAGAGGTTTCTCACTCTTCTCCTTGCAACCAGAGCTGCCGCGACTCCCTGATTCTCTCCGGCCAGACCAGCACTATCGTGAGTCAATATCTCTCGCATGCAATTAGGGATTCAAAACAGACATCTCTCTGGACCACAGATGCTTAGTGTCAATTTTCCTGGTCCGACTCTGATTCGGGGTGATGTCGCAAGCAAGTTGGGCAAAGGCCACGGCGGCTTATAATAACGTCATGGACAGCTGAAAGGCAATGAGCATGGTCTGCGACGAGGATGGTGGCGGGGTTATTGATCCATCTGGATAAGGTATGATGACGGCCAAGACTGATGGCTGGTGTGGAAGGTAGACGGCAACAGCAATACAACTTGCCAGCTCGGCCGCCCCAGGGGCGACTACTATTTCTCTACCCCAATCAAGATTCTGCTTCTCCAGCGACGACCACGGCACTGAGTATGCTTGGTCCAGCACGATTGATGGGAAATACGAGGACCGCGGAACTCTTTTCCGTAGCGTCAACCATGTTGGGATTTATGGACCTGGTCACTGCGATATTGACCATAATGGCGTTAATATGGTCCTTCATGGCCGCCAAAACCTGCATGACAGTCAAGCTATTCGTGTTCTTTACAGCGCAAGTTTACACATTGATAGGCGCAATATTCAGCACTAGCCGATTCGAAATATGCGACGGCTCTGTAAAATATGCCGTTCACGGGCCAGTCAGCCAAGGAATCGCATTGATCGGATGTTGAACTTCACGATCAGTGACTTGTCGCAGTTAGCCGTGAGTACTTAGACAACCACTTGCTGGGGAGTTGCTTGCTATCTTAGGTAGGGTAAACAATTTTTGGTAGCTAGGTTAAAATTCCAGGCTTGTCAGAATCCATGAGGGCTATATGTCGTTATTTTGTCGATGCGCGAAGCGTATCCGTAGGGCCGTTACCTACGCGTAATTGAAGCAAAGGCAATTTCGCAATTCCGAGACCTGGCTTGCATCGGTGTCCAGTGTTATCACAATGGTAGGCTGGATCCAGACTTTGTTGTTTATGCTGTGCTTCGATAATACATACACGTTATCGGTGGTCTTCCAGCTTGACGCAGGAAAGTGGAACATGACCTTGTTGCGAAGCTGCAATCGAACCATCTAGGTACATAGGACACCTGTATCCGTAGTGTCGGAAGACTCCGTTGAAGTTGTTTCTCTTGTGTACCAGTCAGTCGAGGTGGCTCTGCATCTGGATGGAAAGCTCCCGCCTGCTCGTGTCTCACTCTGGTCTGCAGGGCCGTTGCCGCAATCCGGTTGAAATTGTTCTAAGAACTCAACAACGGCGCCATGGTACGGATAACATTTGCGGAATGGCAGGACTTCGGATGGTGGGTGGTATTGATTTGATTTTGTGAAAGGGCCGAATTCCCCAACATTTGAAACCCAGCTGGGTGAATATCCATTCCGTCGCGCACGTTCTCGCAGATCACTTGCTACTTGGCTGCCGGGTTCAGGGCGCTGCCGGGTTCAGGGCGCTGCCGGGTTCAGGGCGCTGCCGGGTTCAGGGCGCTGCCGGGTGGAAATTTGATAACGCGTGGCAACTTATCTAAGGATTATAAATAACACTTTATTCGTGGTCGTAAGAAAGGCCTGTTGGTGAGCATCCATGGGGTTTTTCCCGCGTTTTTGAATGAAATGATGCGTTTCGCGCCTCTGCGTATTCTACTTATTCTACTGACACGGGCGGCAGGTGCACCGCTAGAGGCACCAGCAATACGGCGTCCACTTACTTTTGACAAGAACGACAACTTCCAAATCAGTGTTTTTGAGGACCTTCACTTTGGGGAAAGTAGGCTCGCCTCTCTCCAGCCGTTTGAAACGAGCCGCTGATTAGTACAATGTAGATGCGTGGGATTCCTGGGGCCCTGAGCAGGACATTAACTCTGTCAAAGTCCTCAACAATGTCCTTGACAGGGAGACACCCCAACTTGTCGTCCTCAACGGAGATCTCATCACCGGCGAAAACGCCTTTGTCCACAACGGCTCTGTGTATATCGACCAGATTGTAAAGCCCATCGTGGACCGCGACTTGCTGTGGGCGTCAACCTACGGCAATCACGACAGCGACTTCAACCTCTCGTCGGCTTCCACCTGGGAGCGCGAAAACACGCACCCCAACTGCCGCACCGGCCGCATGGTTCCAGGACGCAATGCTGGCGTGAGCAACTACTACCTCCCAGTCTACCCACGCAAATGCTGCAAGCCCGCTTGCGCGCCGGAATTGCTTCTATGGTTCTTTGACAGCCGTGGCGGCTTTTATTTTCAGGAAACGCACCTCGACGGCCGCCGTGTTGGCCAACCTGGCTGGGTGGACCAGAGTGTCGTCGACTGGTTCCAGCAGACAAACGCCGACCTGAAGGCCCGGCATGGCCATGCTATTCCGTCTCTGGGCTTTGTACATATCCCCCCGTATGTATTCCAGGCCATACAAAAGGAGCGCGGCCGAAACAGCATAGATCCAAACACCAATCCTGGCATCAACGACGACTACCTCCTGGCGCCACAAGCACAGGGATGGTGCCCCGATGGCACCAATGATGGATCCTGCGAGTATGGCGGCCAGGATATTCCATTTATGCGCGCTATCGCATCCACCCCCGGAATGATTGGCCTTTTCTCCGGCCATGACCACGGTGATACATGGTGCTACAAATGGGATCGCCTGGTGCCCAACACGACAGTGGCTGGAAACGGCGTCAACCTGTGCTTCGGCCAGCACTCGGGCTACGGCGGGTATGGCAACTGGGTCCGTGGTGCACGACAGATCCGCGTCAACCGCACCCAGCTGAAGAAGCAGAACAACTTGACCGCGGAGACTTGGATTCGCCTGGAGAATGGCGCAACGGTGGGCTCTGTTATGCTGAATTTCACCTTCAACCAGGATATATACCCACCCACCAAGGACGACAAGACGTACTGCCCAACCTGCAACTACACAGTCATTACACCACATCCAAAGGCCGGTTTCGCTAACAGGTTGCTACAGGAGCCGTCGCACGGCGAATGGGTGGCTGGCGGGGAGCTGAAATGATAAGGAGTGGTGTCATGTTGATCAAGGCCACAAAAAGTGAAAATAAATGATTTGAAATACCCGAAGAGAAAGCTTCCAATCATGAGCTACTCGCTGTAGGTATCGCTTACATTGCCGTCCGCCCACCAGCCCGTCATAAAGGTCGCCTCTTTCACCCACGGGGCTATGCCGGGTCCCTTCGCCGGGGCTAATAAGGATAATTCGAATAATCGTCCAGGTTTTATCCTCTGAAAGCGAGACATAATTCTTTCTGGGCTAGACACGCAGTTGGAGTAGTGACTATCATCCATTTATTTCCGTTTCACTTCCCCGTAAATAAGCACGTATTGGCGCTGCACTTTATCTTGGAAGATGAACTTGCTACTTGGCGTTGAGTATCTGTCAACTGGGAGGTGTCGTGTAACACGGGCGTCGGTGGTGTCCAATGCAGGCAAATTGAAGTCCATAAGTGGGAATCGATCGGTTTTGGTTGATTTTTTTTAACTTAACTAATATCAGCTTCAGGGCCAGCAGTCACTTTTGATATCATGATTTCGTCCTTCGGCTTCCAGCAATACCAAGACGGATAGCATGGGAGTATACGATGGCGATTTCACGCACGCAGAAACGATACTTCAACCCGTGCAGTAGTGCATGGTAGTATCAAGATATTGCGAAGTATCTGAAGAAATATAAAGGCGGCGTTGGCTCCTGCCATGTTTCCGATGACCTTTTATTAAGAGAATAAGTTGTCGGAAGTTTGTAGTACTGCCAAAATAATTATATAAAGATTGAATAGCAAGGTTTCATTGAGGTGAATCGAGGTTGGACATTGTGAAGCAGTTAGCGCATACTGACGCTGAAGAGGAGGCGCTTCAGTGGTGCAGCCAGATGCTCAATCGTGTGTCACTGTGGCGTTCTCGATCGGCTTATGCCGTGCCTCGGAGGAGCTGAAGCCACTGCCGCGCTTTATTCCATGTGTAGTGAAAAATCAAAAGGCACTAGAGCGATTCTGTTGAAAATAAATAAATCAGATTCGCACATGCAACTGGGGGCTAATGGCTATGGCTGCAGCAGCCTCACGGCATCCGCCGTTGGTGGGTCGACAGGCGCTCCCGAGAGCTCATGAATCATGTTACGTACAGCGAGGCGGATTCTGTGAGGCAGTATTATGTCAATTAAATCATAATATAATCACAAGGAAATCGCCAACACGCAATATCGGCATGGTCTGAGGCGTTCTATGTACCGTTTCTCCAACACCACCGCAGACGGAGCTTAGTGCTCATGAGCATTCTCGTCACTCTCCTTGCTCTTGATCTTCATGTCCTCATCGCTACCCTGAGAGAATCTAGCGATGGTGATAATGGTGGGCACGATTTGGAACAGGCTGAAGCGGTTAGTATGGGAGTCTTCTCACAGTGGGTGAACGAATCTCACATGGATGCCATAATGAGAACACCGCAGGCAATGCGTCGGTCGTAGACGGCGGCCTGGTTTCGGCTCTCGTAGCCGGGCTCCTTAGAGTAGTCCCTGAATGCAAAGACGGCAGCAATGATGAAGAGAGCCAGCAGAACACACTGGACCAGGATGAGAATTCCGCCACGGAGGTTGGTGAGGTTGTAGGCGGACGGCTTGACGAGGTAGAACAAGGCACGAAGTAGAAGAGCACCCTCGACAACGACAGCAATACCAGCCTAGAAATCAGTCAGATAAAGATGGGCACTCTGAAAACGAGGCAGCAATTCAGCGTACTGTGGCAAACATGACCGTGAAGCCCTTGGGATAGATGCTAGTGGCGGCGACGACGATGGAGACAATGACCATTGCAGAGACAATAGTCCGGCTGATGACCTCGCCAACCAGCGTCACTCGCGCAATTCCGCGACGGTTGCCCATGATGGAATGCAGCAGGTTCTCTGCTCTTGAGACACGACGGACGTTGGTGGGCGGCGCAAGGCGGGTTGGGAACGGTCGCGCGGGAGGGGTGGACGAGACGTGCGGAAAGTGAAGGTGAAGGAAGAAATTCTAGTTACGTTGGTCTGGGGCAATCGACGATACTCTTGATGCGGAGAGAGGAAAAACTCTAAAATGACTGGTTGGCTTTAGCAAGACTCGCCCACCCACCATGCCTCGGCTAGTGTGCTGGGGCTGGGGGAGGGGGGCTCTCAAGAGACTATTTATTTCTGGAGAGCCCTTGTCATGGCTGCTTGAGTATGTAAGGATACAGACTGATGAGCTAAGTTCTCTAAGTTCCATGGCTACCGCTCGGCGAACGGACGTTTATTTTGGGCCCATCCTCGCTGTTGCCGTTGCCGTTGCCGTCCTTCGCCAGCTAGCCACCAAACGCATGTTGCGTTGCTAGGCAAGAAAACGGTCGCTTCGTTTCGAAAAACAAGACTCCTAGCTTAAGTCTGCCATTTATTCTTGAAACGTCCGTTATCAAATGAGCATCTCAACATCGAACGTAGTGTCTTGATTTTGTGCACGGGGGCACGGTGTGCTCGAACTGTATTGAGGCTCATCAGTGCTCCACCAGCTGGCTGTTATGGTGTGGCCCCCCCCGTCGTTTCCCCGCCTTGAATCAACCCATCGGCCTAGGCTCTGCTCGACCTTCAAGCTCGTGAAAATCGTTTATCGGCTCTCTGTTTGCCTTGTTCAAGGTTTCTTGGCCACTCTCGTGTGGGGAGGGGGAAAGCGTGGGGAAACGCAGCTGAACTCTGGGGTAATTCCATGATGCCACAGGAGCCGCAATCCCGAAACCAAGTCGAGGTAGTGAGGTAACTATCACAGGTTGATTGGAATTTACATAATTCGTCCTACCGAATGAATGTGGATACTGGGGACCGATCTGTTTGCTTCTACAGGAAAACATCGTGGCTTATGCCCTATGTTCCTGTTGTCGAAACCTTGGGCACTACGTATGATTTTTTCTGTAGAGTGAACCACATATTTCCAACGCGCATGTATATCGTACTTCATGTAGTTGAGCCCGCAGGTTTCTGTAGGGCTTGTAAGATTGATTTCTGGAGGTTGCGATCGGGAAAACAGACCAACCGATTCTCCGTTCCCAATGACAGGCCTGACCAATCAAGGATTCCAGCCCCCAAATGGGATCCACCAATTCGGCTGTTTGGCTATACTTACATAACGGCGCGGTGGGGATTGACCACTGTACCAGGTAGGTAGGTACCTAGGTAGGTACCTACTACTTGGCATGGTAAGTGCCCACGGCCACGAGCTAACCGATCGCACACTCATTGACCTAACTTGACGCCTTCCCCCAAAGCTGACGCCGCCTTCCCCAAATATGCGCAAGCTGCAGAATACTTTCCGACCGAAATAATTACATACCCAATGCGAGCTAGTATTAGGCTACCTCAATACACTCTTATTTCGTCAGGGCAAACGCGACCGTGACAATGCCACCAGAGTAGCAAATACCGCGACACGCCTCTCACTTCTTGCGTCGTCTACAACCAGGTTCAGCTGGGGCGGTTTTCTTGGATTGCGCTGCTTCGAATCGCTTCAAAGAGCCATGGAATCGTCGCCTCTGATGGTTCATTGGATAAGTCATCAACATTTCCCAATAGGACCATGTGTTCCGGATCGCTAGTCAGGGGTATCAAACATCCTGCATCGCCCAGCCACAAGCAACTAATGCTGATGTCAGACTGCTTTCAAACGGGCCTTTTTCTGCACCGCGCGAAGATGGCCTGCTGTTAGTTGCTGAGTGTTCGTCAAATGACCTAAATTTGGAACCAAAACCGCTGCCGCTGACTTGCCTCTCTAGGCAATCAATGCCGCATCCTGCCTAAGGATGCTCCATGTCGTTAGAAGCTGAAGAGGACCTTCAAAAAGAGGGATTCGAACAAAACCACGAATGCCGCGCGCGGAATTTGAAGAGCCACCAGCTTGCGCGCCTAACTATTGGGATTCAATTCTGGAAGAAATCGAATGACAACCCAGCAGGAGCCAGCTCTGGCATCAGTGGGTCTCGGTCCGTCCTTACTTTGAACCGATCTTCCATCACCCTTCTGCATTGCGCGACATCCTAAGCCCGGTGCAAGTCAGCAATCTACCTATTCTAGAAGCCATGTCGCACGAATCTGACTGCCGCTTGTGGGAGCGTTGTAAATGTCTGACTGCCCTAGCGGCATTCGTTCTACGGCGGAATTACAACATGTCAGCCTCAATCCAGCCAGCGACTCTTTATTAGATAGCCAACTGTCCGCACTGGCCTGAAACCCTCGACTTGAGGCATACTTCTTCCAAGATACTTGAATTAAACCGCCTCGATAACTTCCAGAATGGCCATTACCCAAGTCCGCCCGGCTGAGGTTCCTCGCAGCAAGCTGCCATACTACGACCTGGCTACCCACAACGAAACCGAAACTAAGCAGGTGACTCAGCAATACCACTACTCTGCTCTCAAGGAGTCACCGATCGTGAAATCTTCGGATTCTATCCTGAAAGCATTCGCAGCATTTGTGTCCAGTGTCACCGACCTCGACTACATCGCATTCATCGCCAACTATGCCAAGATCGAGGGCGCTGCTTCCCAGCGCCTGCTCGCCATAGCCTCCATCACCGGGAGCTCAAAACCACGAATCTTCACGTCCGACCACATTGAGTTGGCTACTTTTACCGCAGTGGAATTCAACGAAAATGAGTTGGATTTTGAAATCGACATCCTTCCTGGAAACATACCAACCGCCCAGGCTTCTCGTGTAGGTAGAGTTAATACTTCTGATTGGGCAACTCCGCCGCTGACTATTGCATCAGGCTTTCCACTTGACAGTCCAGCCAAGCCAAGACGGAAGCGTTGCGGACTTGACACTCTCCATAAACGCCAAGCATGGACACTCTGTGCTGTCCACAAATATGCTGGAGCTTGTCGCCAGGTACCTTGCCAATTCAGTGACGCAAGCCCCCGAGACCAAGTTTTCCAACTTAAACTACCCTCCTAAGCTATGGAAGGCCCCCGTTCTCAAGACTGATCTGCACCTCGAGCACAACTATCCCGCCTTAATGCACGGCGCTTTTGAACGACGTGTCCTCGAATTCCCCGACCGCATTGCCGTCGAAGCCGTTGCCGATGATTCCTTCACAGTGCGAAAGTGGACGTATGTCCAGCTCAACGCTGATGCCGAGGGGTTGGCGGAAGAGTTGCTGCTCATGGAACGCACCATTAACTGGACACCAGCCTACAAGAACCAGCGCGCAATTCCGCTGTTTCTGCCAGCTGGCCCCGAATTTTACATTAGCGTTACTGCCATGCTCAAGACTGGTCTCGCTGTCTGCTCACTACCCATGGATGCGCCTCCGCAGCGTCTTCTTGATATTGTCGAGGACACAAAGTCGTCCGTTGTTATTGGTGCTGGAAGTGTACCATTCCCAGGCGTCAACCTAGACGATGGCTCCGAAGCTGCCGAGGCTCTTAAGAAGCTGACTTGGGTGGATATTAACGAATTCACCAATTGGCGCGCCAACTTCCCTGTCGATCTCCAGGCTCCTGTGTCCCAGCATCCACCTACAGAAGAAGATCTGGCATACATTCTTTATACTAGTGGATCGACTGGCAAGCCCAAGGGTGTTCTTATCTCACACTCCATGGCCACCTGCGGTGTACATGGCCACGCCGAAGCATTTGAGCCCTTGCCCGCCGGCCCTGAGCTCCGGTGGCTCCAGTTCGCCATGCCAACCTTTGACCTCTCTCTGATGGAGCTTTTTGTTACCCTCGGATACGGCGGAACCGTTTGCTCAGCGGAGCGTTCTCTCATGCTCTCCGACATCGAAAAGGCCGTCAACTTCTTCAAGGCCACTGCACTTTTCACCGTTGCCAGCATGGCTACCCTGCTACGACCCAAGGCGCTTCCGACTTTGACTACTATTGTCTCCGGTGGTGAAGCTCTTACGAAATATGCTATTGACAACTTTGCTTACGACGCTCCTCGTGAACCCAATACTGGGCCCAAGAGAGTCATCAACATATACGGGCCTACTGAGGCGACTATGTGTGCTACCTTTGAGAATGCCGCTCTTGGCACCCGTGGATCCATCGCTGGTACTATCTTCTCCTGCGCCTCCGTGGTTTTGGTGGATGCCAACTCCTCTGATGATCTTATCCAAGTCCCAATAGGTCTCACCGGTGAGATTGTTTTTGGCGGTCCCATGGTCGGATATGGCTACATGAATCGTCCTGAGGAAACTGCCAAAGCCTTCACTTCTGGTCTGGGTCTGGGTCCTGTATACCGCACTGGCGACAAGGGCCGCATTGTCTTCAGCCCCGAGGGCGAACCTAAGCTTGAGATCCTCGGCCGGTTGAATATGGAGCAGGTCAAGCTCAACACCCGCCGTGTCGAACTCGGAGAAATCGAATCTACCATTGCCAAGGTAGAGGCTGTTCGTGAAGTTGCTACGGTCGTGCTCAACGGCAGCTTCTTGGCTGCCTACGTCGCTGTGCGGGAACACTTCAACGACGTCACGAACGAGGCTCTAATTTCGCAGTGCCGAGAGGTTGCAGACGAGGGCCTGCCTGGATGGATGCGACCCGTCGAGTACATCGTTGTGCCCAAGGTGCCACGCACATCCAGCGGCAAGGTCGACCGAAAAACGCTCCAAAAAGTAGCTATTGAGGACTTTGGTAGCTCTATTACCCAGAAGCAGGCTATCAACGACAACCTGACATACGAGGACGCAGTCGATCTCAAGGATCATGAAAGTGTGTCGGCCATGCTAAAGCACATTCTCATCGCCATTTTGGGCAGAGGTGCCGCCGAAGTCGCTGGTTCCTCTCTAGCTCTCACAACCTATGGTCTTGACAGTCTTCGGTCGATGAAGCTTCTCCAGGAGCTCAGACACCAGGGCGTGGAAGGACTAGCGATCAAGGATGTTCTAGTCGGCCAGAACTTTGCCGAGGTTGTCAAGTCGATCATCGAGGTGCATATCGCTCAGCTCAAGGAGGCTGAGGAGGCAGCGGCTGCCAACAACGATGAGCTCATCGGAATTGAAGACGAGGAAGAGATTCTGTTCCTTCCCCTCGGAGCTAAGCTCAAACACTTTGAACATACATGCAGATCCAAGTGTGTCGAGGCTCTCAACATCCCTAGCGAAGATATTGTCGAAGTACTACCTGCGACTGGTCTTCAGACCCGTGTGCTGTCCAGCATCGAGGAGTCGGCAGACATTCTCAAGGTCAGCAAACCATGGGTTGAGCACTATCCCTACCTGGTTCCCGACCACATTGACGCCGCTCGTCTCGAAACTGCCGTCATCAAGGCCCTCGAGGGTCGCGATGCGTTTCGAACCGTTTGGGTACAGGTTGAGCACCCACTCGCTCCTTATGCTCAGTGTGTCTTATCTCCCAACTCGCCACACGCAAAGCTTCCCATTCTTCGTATGGAGTGCCCTGCTTATGACGAGCATCCGGGCAGCCTGTGGAACAGAACTGTTGACAATGTTCAAAAGTCTGCAGAAGAGATTTTTGGTCTCCACAGCCTCGGCTCGGTGACTTCCTTTGTGCGCTCGGCGGACAGAAGGCACTGCGTCGTAGTGTTTTCCGTTTTCCACGCCATTTACGATGGTATGAGTCTGCAGGCTCTCCGTCGCGACATTGTCGAGGCTTACCACGGCCTTCCCATATCCAGTGCAGGAAAGCCGGGTGTGCGTGTGCCTGTCGAGGAGCATCTCAAATCTGACTGGCTGGGCACTAGCATTTTCTGGGCTCAGCGAATGGCCGGCGCTGCTTCCTTCAAGGCTGGCGACAGGGTTCTTAAGGCTGGGGGGGCCGAGTTCACCACTGTAAATACCAATGTCGGTATTGCTAGCGAAAGCCTCGAGTCTACGTTTAGCACTGGTGAGCTTTTTGCCAAGTCCAAGTCAGAGGGGCTGTTTACGCCCATGGCTGTGGTTCAAGCTGCGTGGTCCATGACGCTGGCCCAGACGCTTGTCGGTGACGAAGCCGCCCCAAACTATGACGTGCAGTTCGGTAGCGTTTTCCACGGTCGCCACACGGCGGACTCGTTAGATGCGTTTGCTCTGATGCTCGACGGTCTTCCTACGCGCGTCACTTTTGAGAAGAACAAGAATTTGACCCATCGCGAGATTTGCTCGCGAATGTTCAGGCAGTACACGGACACTCTGGGCTTTACTGAGATGCCCTGCCCCAGCATCCAGTTTGCCCGCAGCACGCGCCGCTTCGACAGCTCCGTCATCCTGCAGACATTCCCTGTCCCAGACTTCGATATGGACATGGATGGCTTCCCTGCCTTTAACCGTGCCAACGACAAGGTCACGCCCTGGAAGGAAACTTCGTCGGACACGCCGATTCTGATTGAGATGTGGCCTGGTGTGAATAGAATAGAGGACAAGCTCAGTATCCGATGCTCGTACAGCCAGGTATGGCCCGGCTATGAATTCATGACACCGGATTGGGTCCAGGGACTGCTTGTGACTTTCAACAAGGCTTTGGCTCAAGTCCTCAACGATCCCGACGGAGTTTTCGACGTTTTTCAGAGTGCCACTGCACATCACGATGCCATTGAATGCTCCCCATGATGGGCGGTTTTCAATTTCTTCTGTATTCGTACTTGTGATTTTCCTTCGAACAAGCGCGTTCTGATATCCAACTGCATATACAGATATCAAGACATTATTTACAAGAACGAGGCCGCATAAAACTACTTCATGGCAGAGAGCAAGTAAGCAACGCCAGCAAAGGCTTCCTCGCCGCTAGGGCGAATCTGGTCCGGGGGCAGAACGAAACCGTAGCGGCCGGTGTCGCGAAGCTCCGCCGTGAAGGTGTAGTCGCCCCTGACAACATCCGCTACATAGTCAACGCTACTTCCAGTGGCTGGGTAGATGGTTGTGCAGATGGGGCCGTATCTGAAGCTGGTTCCGTACACTTTGTACATGGCGTCGACGGCGCCTTTGGCCAGGGACTGCAGCTCGGCATTATTGGCTGGGAGAGCGCTGCAGGAGTATCCATAGGCTGCCAATATGGTTTAGCAATCAAGTAAAAGACAAAGTTAGTAGTATTGCTTACGTGTCATAAAGAGCTGCGAGTAGGAGTGATAGTCAATGTACAGCTTCAGACCCTGCGCGCTCTTGATTCTTTGCAGGAAAGCGGAGAGGGACTTGGTCTCGGGGGCATCGCCGGCACTGATTCCACGGAAGTCCTCGGCGCAGGGGTTGTCTGAGGCACCGCCGGATAGATCCCACTTGTACGGCCAGTTGCGGTTGATGTCATGGCCGAGGCAGTTGCTGCCCGAGGTAGTCTGGCGATTCTTGCGCCACATACGGTTGGACGCCTGCGAGAACTTGAAACCTGCCGTTTGTTAGAGGCGTGCAAGAAAACGAAGAAAAATGAACTTGCCGTCTACGTTGACGATGGGGAACAAGTAAAAGTCATACTTGTCAACGAACGAAGTAATTCTCTGGTCAGAGCCGTACTTGGTGACAAGCTCATTGATAAAATATTCAATAACCTTGAGGTATGTAAGTGGCGATGCTTGCGTGGACGAGAGGAATTGATGGGGGAACGCACCATGCTGGCAATCCACTCGCGGGCGTGCACTGTGCCGTGGAACACGACAGCGGGCTTCTTGCCGCCACCGGAGCTGCCGAAGATGTGAAGGCCCGTGATGGCGTTGCCCTGAAGGGAGTTACCCGAGGTGACTACTTTGGCGTTTTTGGAGTAGGTCGAAGCCATGTCGTTGAGCCACTGGAGATGGTCATTGTAGAGGTGGTACGAGTTGAACCAGGTGCTGTTGGGCGCACCAGCTGAGGCCCGTATTAGCCGGAAAAGGTCGTGAGAACCATGGCTCCAAAATCACGTACCGGCGTATACTTGAAAGGCACCCTCCTTGCGAATAGACTGGCCAAGGTCCTCGTGCATGGTGATGACCTCATGGCCCTTGAGCGCCTGCGCAAACGGCTGCAGGGACTGAGGAGGCACGTGGATATCCGCAAACGCACCCTTTTTTGCGGGAGGCTGCCAGGTAGACACGTCGAGCTTGTCAAGGACGGAGCGAAGGAAAGATCCGTCATCCGTGACGGGCACGCGGAACACCTTGTGGCCATCGTAGGAGACGGCCTGGGGCGCGGTGACTGCTGCCGCCGCAAAGGGAAGAAAGGCGAGGAACTTCATATCTACAGGCGGCGCGAGAAGTTCAAATAGACTCCTAGAAAATAGGGCTGTTCTGGCTGTAGGCTGGATCCTACCATGCAAAGAGCGCGACGAGGTTCATTTTATAGCCCAAGATTAGCAATGCTAAACCTGGAACGTTAAGCCGGCCTTGAGCTTCCAGGAGAGCAGCGAGAGACATCCTCACATGGCATGCTTTGATTGCAGCTTCCAGCCCATGCATCCTTGAAGAACCTTCTTCTTTGAGTAAATCATAACGGCCATACTAAAAATACAGCACGCTAAATCATGAACAACCAGCTGCAAGCCAAGTTCCGATGCCAGCCAACGAAAAGCTAACTAGTGGCTGACCCAATCGCCCAGGTTATCGACCAGGCTCTCGGCCTAATACACAAATCAGAAACTTGCCCCAAGTCTGGCTGACCATTGACTACCACCAGTTGTCTATGCCCAACAATGCAACTAGAAAACAAAGGTTCTTCATCATATGCCCGGGCTTGGCACAACATGCGCTAGGTAGCGACCTGCGAATACTAGTTAGCTCACGAGAATGGGAGACACACGCTTGGCTGAAACTCTATCGAAGAGACCAGTGAACATGATGAGCGGCCGCTGAAATGCCGGGTGGCGCCTGGGGTTGGTACCACCTTCCGGGAAGGAAGGGGGCCGATGCGTCCTGCCGAATACTGCAGTAATACGCTGATCGGGAGCAGAGCACGGAAGGAGAGTGCTCCTTCTTGCAGGGCGTATCAGTTTAACAATTTGCGAATTTATTAACCAACTCTAGTGGCCCTTGTAGTTGCGTGACAATGATGACTGGCGGTGGGTGTAAATGCTGGGCTCAGCGGAAATATACTTGAACTATTACAATGACGACAAATAAGACAGAGACGAGATATCTGATATCTGGACAGACTATGTAATGTATAGTCATGTGAAGAATGCAGTACCACAGTCTGCTTGCGTTTGGCGACACTGGGATGGCCGATGATACAGTGATACATGAAGAGTCCCCGCCCATGCTCCATTTGTCATTTGTCCCCCGCACTTGGTTGGTAATCTACAAGAATCGGCGCCCCCAAAACATCGACGAGCCCAGACTAAATATAGATATAGTATCTTTACAATCCTTGACCTCTTTTTAAATAAATTGAAGCAGCCGATATTCAAACCACAATGACTGGCAGAACGTTCCCGTCACCGCTCGCCGGGGTTACCCAAGACACCCCGCTGCCTACAGCCACATCCGCCGACGGCAAGAGCCTGGTCAACCCGCCGCAGGGTACGCCGAGTGAATCCTACAAGCAGTTTATCAAGAGCTACGACACGGAGAAGCGTGGGGCTTTGTAAGTAGTCGACAGTCTGCAGGGGTGAGCATCTGGAGCTAATGCCGCCAGTGACGTTCATGTGTACTACGACCAGACGAACCGGGATGAGACAAAGTACGCTACGGAGCTGTATGAGCGCATCCGCCGCGAGTGTAAGTGGCGAGAGACGAATAATAGAAGATGCAAGACGACGCTGACCAAGACAAGTCTCGGAACTGCGGATTTACAAGCTATGGGACCGTCCCATCGGCCCCCATCCCACTGCCATGTTTGAGGTGAGCATCTTCACGCCAGCCCAGTTTGGCGCCTTCATTCCTTGGCTGGCTGTCTGGCGCGGGCCGCTCTCCGTTCTAGTCCACCCCAACACGGTGCCAGCAGAGGGCGAGTCGTTGGTGGCTGCTGAGCTGAGAGATCATACGCAACGTGCCATTTGGCTGGGCGAGAAGCAGACGCTGGATACCAGCATCTTTGCGTGAAATGTCGCTCATCTCTTTGAGCATGGACAGCTTGGCGGGGCTTGGCAGTAGCGATGCGACCATTAGACGATGATATTATACGGATATTTGACAATTCACAAACTTGCATCTGGAAGTCGACATTCCATTCTCGGTTCAAGGCTAGTTTACGGATAGACTGCGCATGTTTAGAATAAATTAAGCCTTGGCCGGCACCGCCGTCTGAGTGGGGGCCGCCCGGCCCAGGCCAGTAATGGGCGCATCCTCGCCGTCCTCCTTCATACCGCCCAGGATCATGGACTTGGGCGCCATGGCCTGCCAGACTTCCGGGTCGGTAAACGCCTTGAACTTTTCATCGTGCCACTGGCCGGCCGTGATGGCGCGGCCTTCCGAGTCGATGAACATGGTGTCGTCCTCGGCGCGCAAAAAGTACGCAATCGAGTACCGGTGCTCCGCGGGGTCGAACGGCACCACGCGGTGGATGCAGCTCTGGAACTGCATGCCGCTCGCGAACCGCAGCGAGTCGCCCACGTGCACAAACGCGCACCCGGGCTTGGGCGCGACGAAGCCCATCTCGCGCGCGCCGCAGGTGCCCGGCGGCCGGACCTGCAGACCCCACTGCTCGCTGAAGAGCAGCGTGAGCGTGCTGATGTCGGTGTGCTTCTGGTGGCCGATGCGGTTCTCGCCGGCGAGCTCGCTGGGAAGGTAGTGCATCATGGAGAGCTGCGACAGAGTTCATGGTGTTAGGTGTTGTGAGGGAAGTAGGAGAGGGGGGCGCGGGGGACGCACAGTAGTAGTGGAGGGCCTCTCGTTGCGGTGCGAGTTTTCGAAGCGACTGGCGCCGGTGAGGCCCATGCCGGTGGAGAGGGCCGACAGAATCACCTTTGTGACGGTGTTGCAGCTGCCGATGGAGTTTTCGAGAATCCGGAGATCGCCGCTGTTCTTGACGGGTGCGGGGATCTTGGGGCTGTCGCGCTGGATCTCGTCGCGGGACACCTTGAGCATCTCGTAGCCATCCTTGGATCCGGCCGCTACACCAGTGCGGCTACCCACCGGTTCGTATCTGCATTGGTTCACGTATTAGTGAGGAATTGCGGAGGGTGCGGCCGAGGGGTCGTGTTACCCAAGATGCGAGGAAATCAGACCAAATTCATTCTTGGCCTCGAGCGGCGCATCAAAGAAGCGCTTCATCAGCGTCAGCGTATCCTGCGAATCCGCCAACATGCGGCGGCCGTCGATGCCCTGGAGGTCGAGGTAGAAATATCCCTCCTCTTTGCAGGCGTTGACGACCTTGTCGACCTCGCTGGGGTCCTGGGAGAGCAAGAGGCCGTAGTTGACGGTGGGCATGGACCAGACGGGCACCTTTTTGCCCATCCAATCGACGGTCTGCGGAGCATCGAGCACAGGAGCCATGTTGTAGAATTGTAGTGATAAGTTGGGGGGAGGGGGTTGTGGGTTGTAGAGAGGGAATGGGATACGTTGGTGGGCAAGGCGCGGCGAAGAGGAGACTGGGTTTATATATCGCCCACGTTGAAAACAGGACTAATCACATACACTCTAATTTGTATTTCGTATTCATTTTCCGCACGTCTCCATCAACTAGGTAGTGAAATGCGGCAATGCGCAAGAGAGGGCCCGCATAGAGACCAGAAAACCCCGCTCAGCCAGCTGCCAACTCGACTAGTTGCAGAGTTTATCAGACTATCTGTATCAGCCAGCGCCGTGTGGCCCGTGGGCGTGCCGTGTGTGGCCTCCCGGAGCGGGGTTCCCCCCTGCCTATCGCCTATCGGTCTTGTCCTGTCCCCTCCTCTAGTAGCACACCAGACAGCGCACCTCGATGCTCTGCCGAGACTCGCACTCGCGGTACCTGGGGTCCTCAAACGCCGAGTGCAGCGCCCGCCGCGCAACCCCCTCGTCCGAATCAAAGCACTTGATCAGCAGCACATCCTCGGGCGTCATGCCGTGCTTGTAGTGCCACCGGTGGCCCGGGTTGTGCCGCACCACCCACGACTCCCCGACGAAGCCGTCCTCTGTCATCTCCGCCGCGACCAGGTCCTCATCCGGCACCGAGCGCGCGTCCGCGACCGCAATTGGGTCTTTTCGAATCGTCTCAATCGGCCGCCACACATTGATAATCTGGTACCGCCGCCGCTGCCGCACAATATCCTCAGCTTCCTGCGGCGGCAGCTCCCACCGCAGACGCCGCTCCGCGCCCTCGTACGACTGGTCCACGTGCGTGCGCGTCACCGGCCCGCGGTTTGCCAGGTTCTGCAGCCCGAGATGGTGCCACTGCGTCGGGCCCCGGCGCACCTTGTGGTTGAACACGTGGACGGTGCGCGCGCCCGTCGTTTTCCGGATGAGCGCCGCGCACTCGGCATAGTAGCTCTCTGTAATCTGCTCCTCGTCTTTAAAGAACGCTTCGGCGCTTGGGCTCTCGCAGTACTGGAACCCGTGCCGGTCGAGCGTGTACTGGTCCTCGTCGCCGCTCACGTCCGACACGACGAAATTCCAGGCCTTGTGCGGGCGCTTGTTGCTAATGCGGCCCTGGCCGATGTAAATGGGCATCGGCTTGGAGCCATCGCCGGGGTCGTCCCAGTAGTTCAACGTGGTCGCAACGTTGTGCTTTGCCACAGCCCGGGCGGCCATGGTGGCTTGTTTGTTCGGATGAGAAAACTAAACTGGCGGCCAGACAGGTAGAAAGGAGACACAGGTCGACTTGTACAGCTCCTGGAAAGTGTTGTCTCTGAGTGCACCGACAGCTCTTGTTTCCATCAAGTTTTCATTTCGCCCCAGAACGCTACGTAGTTGCTATGGACGTTTAACCCTAACCCAGCCACAATCAGTTAGTCCAATGTGGCACACACCCACTGCATTCCTGTAGTGCCTGTAACTTGTAATTTTGGAACGGACTCGGGCTTGCTGCCCGCAGTAGACCACGTTTTTGAAGTTACCACAACCCCACTGTAGCTTGATGCCTTGGCATGCTTGTGCACCTTGGGGGCTGAGGCTAAGAGCAAATAGTACCTTGTGCCCGCAAATGCTGTATTCAGCAACGCTCAACGACTTTGCTCATATTAACTGAGACTCGTCTGGTTCTCAGAATGGATGAGGACTATGTGTTTGTGTCGAGGCCATATGAGGAACCCTCCCGCTCTGAGTCCATGACGGGACACCTCGCCGAAATCGATCGTTTCATCCAACAGCTTGCGCCTGCCTTGTGGCCTCTCAACTGCTTCATACACAACAACCCAGAGCTTGGCTACAAAGAGTTCAAGGCGCACGATGCTTTGACAAAGTTCATGAAGTCTCGACCAGGATGGGCCATCACGCGCTCGGCCTTTGGAATGGCCACCGCATGGGAAGCAGTCTTCGACACCGGCAAGGCGGGACCTGTGGTGTCTTTGAATGCGGAAATGGGTAAGCATGTTACGACCTCGTCTCAATCTTCAATGCTGATGCAGTTGTAGATGCACTGCCCAATCTAGGCCATGCATGTGGTCACAACCTGATTGCCATGGTTTCCGTCGCTGCTGGCCTTGCCACAGCGGAAATCCTCCACCAAGAGGGTCTCGCAGGCAAGGTCATCATCGTCGGCACACCAGCCGAGGAAGGCGGCGGTGGCAAGATCAAGTGCCTCGAAGCAGGCGCTTACAAAAACACAGACGTGACCCTCATCTCGCATCCCGGCATCTTGAACAATAGCCCCATGGTCAGAACTACGGCATTTACCAGACTCAATGTCGAATACCATGGCAAAGCCGCCCATTCGGCCAAGAACCCGTGGCAGGGCGTGAATGCCCTCGATGCCATGGTTCTTGCATACAACGGCATTTCAGCCATGCGCCAGCAAACCAGATCTGACGACTTCATCGGCCTGCAAATCACGCACGGCGGCGACAGGCCGAATTTCATCCACGAGCACGCTGCCGGCGCTGCTGTTCTGCGAGCAGCCACCGCACCGCACTTGCATGAGCTGCAGCGCAAGGTGGAAGGCTGTTTCCGCGCTGGCGCCGAGGCCACAGGCGCCCGTGTCGAGATGGAAGTCCGGCCGGGCTACCTGGACCACATGCCCAACAGAGTCCTGGCGGCTTCCTTTGCAAAGTACTGGCTGGAAATGCCCAACGTCCCGGACCCGCCGCTGCCACCGCCGGGGCAGTACACGTGGGTGAGGTCGAGCACGGATCAAGGGAATCTGAGCTATGCGTTGCCGAGTATGAATGTAAGTTTTGCTATTCCTCCGGGGCCGGAGGCTGGGCAACCGCATAGTCCAGATTTTGAAAAGGCGTCCAAAACACGGGAGGCGTTTGATAGCGCGATGAGAGTGGCCAAGGCCATGGCTGGCACGGCGGTTGACATGTACACGGTGCCGGGGCTGCTGCAGGAAGTAAAAGACCAGTGGGAGCGTGACATGAGTCGGGATTAAGATATGCGGTAAAATAGTACTAAAAAGCAAATCTTTCCTGAAGTCGACTTGCGTTAATTTCTTGCGCAAGTTCACGTGTGTGCGTTGGACGGTGTCTGGAAATAGTACAGCAGTCGCACGCAAATGACGCCTTCAGCCTGCAATCTGGATAACAAGCTTTGAGCAGCTGACTCCCTGGGATAATGTATCCAAGCCATCATTGATGCTTTCCAACCCTGTACCAACAACCTTTGGCTCCGGGCTTGGCTTGATGACGCCTGCCGCCACATACCCGCTCAGCTGAGCCATCCACCTCTGGAACTGCGCCAATCTCTCCATCTTATCCAACGAGGGCACAAGAAATATGACTTGCACTCCATCCACCTCCTCGGTCTCAAGAGGCACAACTGGCGCGGAAGCAATCTTTCCACCGCCGTTCGCCACCGTCCTGCCTGAAGCCGACAGCACCGCCTGGCACAGTGCCACGTCTCCTGTAGCAAGGAAGCAGTGACGAATCACCAAGCCATCTTCCTTAGCCGCATATACGACTGAGTCCACTACCTCTGCACTTTTGTAGTCAAAGACGCGGTCTGCACCCAGCGACTTCACGTAGGCATGGTTCGCCGTGCCCGCTGTGGCGTAGACAGCCCCAATCCTAGAACCTCTGTCTTTCTCCGACCGCGCAAGCTGTACGCCCATGGTACCGACACTGGATGAGGCCCCCCATATTAAAAGGGCTTCCTTCTCTCCTGCCGCCGCGGCACCGGACTCTGCAGATGCCAGCCCGAGCGCATCCCACGCGCAGAGCGGCACCTGTACGGAAACAGGTAGTGTCGCTGCGCGGTGCCATGAAGAAAAGGCAGCTGGAAGGGGTGCCGCGTGCTGCCAGGGCACGAGGCAGCGCTCCTGAAAGACGCCGTAGTTGGGGTCGCAGCCCGCCCAGACGGCGCCGCTGTAGGCAGCCACCTTTGTGACGCCCGCCACGAAGAAGACGCCGTGCTCGTTGTCGGCCGGGTTGGTCGGGACGCCGTCGCCAACCTCGAGAACGACCCCCGCGACGTCGAATCCGAGTATGGTGGGATAGCGTGGGATAAAGAGGCCGGTGCCGCGCATGAGTGTGTCGGCGGGGTTGAGCGCGACCGATTTCACGGCGAGGAGCAGCTCGCCTGGGCCGGGCTTTGGCGTGGACCGGCTCTGGACTTGCAGAGGCTGGCCCTGGGCTACGGACACAGCTGCGAGGTGGCTCATCTTGCTGCTGAAATACACTCTTTTATGATGCTGATTTGGTGAACTGTCAGTAGGACCAGCCGCCACTGGAACACATAACTGTTGGCGGGCAGCACTCCACTGTGCTAAACTGGTGTCACAATGGGCCGATGCCATCTTATTCTTTCTGCAATAGGAATAAGAATTATTTTCGATTGCATGAACACTACACGACGAAGCAAGTTTGTAGAGAAAACTCATATCGAGACGCTCAGCCCTAGCAGGGCATATTTATGCCCCGAAACTAGCTGCCGAGGCTGTGATGGTGGTACTTGCGGCGGCAACATCGCGAGAAACAGCTTCAGTCTTTTCCTAGCTCAGTCTGAGTTTCCAGAGAATATTCGGAGCCCCAAAAGCTGTATTCAAGTGTTGCTGCTATATGCTGGGGTATTCATTTATTCATTTGAGTGCTATATCGTTTCAGAGCTATGAGTCAAAGGCGAGAACACCAAAGTTGTTGGAGATATAGTTGTCTATATGCCTGGGTTAGAATAGAACATTGTCAATTCTGGAAAGGAACGAAACATACTTAGGTTCAAAACAGTGCGGACGTCACGACCACCTCCATTGCCGCACTTGGCAGAAAGCACACCGTTCCGAGAGTTGTACACAATCTCTGAACAACTGTTCTGGAAGCCTTGGCTGTTGTCGGCAGAGCCATTAATTAGCATCCACTCATCGCAAAGAGGTCGGCAACTTACCCGCCCCAAGTCAAGACGCCCCAGTGATTGCCAACCTTTTGGCCAATATCAACGCTACTATACGGGTTGTTGCCTTTGTTGTCACCGCAGTGGCCCGACAGCGTGGTGCCCGACAGGGCAGTGTCGACACAGCTGTCCGTGTAGTGGACGCAGCTGCCGAGGGTAGAGAAAGCCAGAGCGGCAGCGACGGTATTTCTTGTACAGCGCATTTTTAGGCTATAATTTCGACTGAGAGGGTGAAAAAGCGAAAGCAAACCGGTGCATGCATGCGGATCCTTTATATCGTACTCGAGGGGCTACGGTCCCGTCCTAATCAGCCTGAGCGCGCCCGTGTCCGGCCGGAGTTTCACAAATTAGGGAAAGGGCGACGAGGAATACTTTGGCTGAATGCAACTGCAAATTTGATCTAAAGCCTGCAAGGGCTAGATCCTTGCCGCCTTGCTGACACGTTAGTGCTCTGTCAGCGAGGCATGAGGCAGTCGACAATAGACTGCCTTGATCAACTATTTTGGCATATACCCCAGAGTTCCACAACTAGGCGTTCTTTCCACATCCCAATCGATTTCAACCTTGACAAATTTGATCAGAATACTAAGACATGTCTTGGAGGTTTTTTGTCTCATCAAGTATTTGTACAACCTTACCGGTCCTTGTTGCCGAAAGTAGTAACAATTGTGTCAGGTCGGTCGGCAAGCCCTCGATGAAGAAACGCCGAGATGCTGGCCAAGAGGGCGGTGCCGGTAGTGCTCAGCTAGCTGTCCGCCGCCAATCAACAGGCAACCCCGTGGCCTACTTCCACTGTGCTGCATGATAAATCCGGTATTTGGATATATTGTTGACGGCTAACACTGACTAGTGCTCAGGTTTGGGGTGACATTCTGAACAGCAAGACTGGGGTATGTGGTGATGGGCTACTACACCAGATGCTATTCGTTTTCGCCATGGGCTAAAGAGATTTGATACCTGCTTGTACGATAGATGTGGTGGCCTTAATCGGTGGTAGAACTCTCCAATCCCACATTTTTCTCGGAGAATTTTCACCTTTATTAGGACAATGCCTAGGCTTTCCTCAAAGTAGCGCAACGGGCTCTTCACCTTTGATGAGAAGAGGGGCGGCGTTGGGTCTGCACTATATTGATGCTTGGCAATGTGGAAACTGTGCTCGGAGACATCAAGAAACGGTCTTCAGTGACACGCACCAGCGCCGCCTCCACGTTGTTTACCGTCAAATGCTAGCGGTGAGGGGGAAAACGCTGGATACAGAATACAAAAGATCGCACCAATTGCGGACTATAAGTGAATATCGATACACACAACTTTGCTTTTCGAGAAGATGGTACAAGTTCAGGCATCAGACGAAGAAGACACAATAAATATAAAAGTATCGTATACTTTCAACTGCCATCAGTTAACGTGTGGTACCGACTTTACATGTAGTTCTCCTCCATCTACGAAAAGGATCCTCAAACTCGGCCAGAACCCGAAACAGACATGAAGGCCGGCCACATGTGACATGACTTGGCTCTGTTGTCAGGGATCACAATTCTGGAATTATTTAGTTCTTCATCAAGAAGCCTGATTTTTAGCTGCATAACTGGATTCAGCCCCGGCCCGTCCGGGCCTCAAGATATAAACTTTGAGAGTTGCCGTACATATCTGCCATGCTCTCTGTTCAGTCGCCAATTAATATTGCTAATCTATGGCATCACGCATTATCAAGCTCATTAAAATGCATTTAGCTACGGCCATTGCACTGTTATTCTCTGTGGTAGCTGCCCAAGGAGACTGGGGTGCTCCTCTGAGCAAGCCGGCCATCCACCCAAACCTCGACTTTATTGAAGATGGTCTTCAGCGCTATCTGCCTGAAATTTCATTCACTTTGAACAAATGGAACGACAACAGAATTCCTCAAGAGTAAGAACACTGCCGATCATGAAGCTGTTTCTCGCAATGAGCTGACGCTTGGCCTGTCAAGGTGCAAGAGTCGTGTTGGCAATGCAAATGACTTTGACATCTACGAGATTCATTATGACGACGTACGTTGTTTTTTACGCCTTAATATCCCGATTCTTATACTATACTAATACATTTAACAGTGCCCGGAACCTTGGCTTCTCTGTCACAATAGAAACGCTCCCGTTCGCCCAGAGACGGTTGCAAGCCAATTCAGCAAAGTTCCCATCGGCATGCGGCAATGGGTGCGACTGCTGATTGACGTTCCGGCAGGTTACACGTCAGCGTACAACGCCGGCGGAACTATTTACATCAACAACGCCAATGCACGCATGATTAGCGTTCTCGTCCACGAAACCGCCCATTCCACCAACATGGGCGGCTTCCCAAACGACAACTTCCAGAGCCTTTGGGACGGCTACCAGCAGGACGTTGGCGTGCCCGACAACTATGCCAAGACCAACATGATTGAAAACCTCGCGCAGGTCACGGTCGTGTCGGTGTACGACGAGAATGTACCGGGGGGCATCCAAGGCATTGACCCTGACTGGTGGAAGATGCAGAACCAGCTTCGCGCGATGCAAAAGTATGGCCGGCTGGGTGGTTCAACCACGACCCTTCATGTTCCTGGTCAAGACAAGGCGTGCGTTCACCATGTGTCTGTGGGCGCTATCACTACAAAGTAGACTGATGCGGCAGTTTGCATTTTCCTGTTGTTCGATGTCGTAAAATTGGTGTTCTGATGAAGGTGTCTGTCATTGGCGTGAGCGGAGTGTTTGGGGCTGGGTTATGTATATAAAGGCTTTAAGAGTGTTCAATAATTGAGAATATACGTTTGCTCAGAGGAGAACTGAAGCGACTCAAACCAGTATGAATTGCGGGTGTGAAAATTGCCCATCGCAGTTAACGGAATTGTCACGATTCGGGGACCGGCGCTTATTCTAGTCTCTCCAGATCCAAACCCTTCCAGCTAAATGAAACACCGAGTTCGCAAAACCTAAATGAAAAATTTCTCAGTCGACTGGTTGAATTTAATATGGTACTCTGTCGCATGGTTTGCCTGATTGAACATACATTAAAGACTCCGCCAAAGAAGGAAATGAGAGGATTGAAAGAGGGAATATAGGGGGATTGAAAAAACAAAATAGAAACTTCTATCAGAACACAATCTATCAATTGCACTTGTTTAACAATTTCCCTTCTCACTTGGAAAGTCGCCAATGCGAATGCATCCCCAGGCATTCTGACAACGCCCCAGTTTACGAAGCCGCACCAACCAGCATCCTCACCCCGCCAACCGGGCAACATCCCATCGTCATTCACATAAATCCGTCATCCTCCATCCTGTATCCCATATCCTACGATCCGCTCTAAAACATCATGGTCTCAGATTCTCCCGCCCTCCGCCGTCTCGGCCCCATGTACGCGTCCACCCCCCCTCTCTCGCAACCGCATCTCACCATCCTAGGGAACTATACTCCTCCTCGCGCCACAGCCTGGGAATCTACCGCGCCGTCACCGTGTCCGCACGTTACGTCCCAGTCTTTTCGCCCACTGCACATCCGTCGCCGCGCTTTCTCGCCGCGCTCGCCGTCGTCGTCCGCGCACAACCTATGCTGCGCGTCGGCATCACAGATGAGCACACCAACAGCGCGCGGTTCACACACCTCACACACATGGACCTACGCAAGCACGTGTATGTAGTGACTGTGGATGCAGACTCGGAACAAGCGCTGAGTATGGAGGTGACGCGGGTGCAAGCCGCGCAGCACGATGTGCTGTGGGAGGACACGCCGAGCAAAGCGCCGTGGCGGGTGACGATTGTGCGGAGCGAGACGCAAGACTGCGAGGATGTCATTTTTGCGTTTCACCATGCGCTGCTAGACGGCACCAGCGGGGTGCGGTTCCACGAGGCTCTTATCATGGCGCTAGACTCGGCTACTACGCCCGACGATGACAGCCTCTTGACGTTTCCGACACCCCCAGCGCTGCCGGCGCCGCAAGAAGAGGCCGTCGCGTTTACGCTTAGTCCGATTTACATCGCCACCATGCTCTGGAACGAGTTTGCACCGGCCATGTTGAAGCCCGCGCCGCAGCATGTCTGGGGCGGCCAGCGCATATCGGTGGCCCGGCCGTACATTACCCGTCTCCGGGTTGTCGACGTCCCCGCGGAACAGACGCGCGCCGTGCTCGCTGCATGCCGCGCAAACGGCACGACCCTCACCGGACTCCTTCACGCGCTCGTGCTGGCCTACTTTACAAAGAGCCTGCCGGAAAACGCCGTGCCCGGGTTCCGCGCCGCCACGCCGATGAGTCTACACCGACGCACTCACGACACTTCCCTGCCAACCACCCTGCGCGTGCTCCTCTGCTCCACCGAGCACGACTTTTCTCCCACCGACATATCCAGCATGCGCGCCGCTCTCACCTCCCCCGCGGCTCTCACCAACAACATCTGGGCCGCCGCCGACCGCATCCGCGCCGACCTGGTTGCTTGCGGGCAGGCGCTCACGCACAACAACGCCGCGGCCGTTATGCGGTACGTGAGCGACTGGCGGCGCTTTCACCTCGCCCGCGACGGGACACCCCGGACGAACTCGTGGGAGTGTAGCAACGTGGGCGTGCTGGAGGGCAAAGTAAGCAGGGTCGTGTTCGCTAACGGGGCTATGGTGACGGGCGCGGCGGTGGGCGTAAATGTGGCATCGGTACGAGGTGGACGGCTTAGTGTCACGGTGTCCTGGCAGGAGGGCATCGTGGAGGACGAGTTGGCAGAGGGGCTGGGGGAAGCGTTGGAAGGCATGATAGAGAGATTCTGCGCAAGGGATGTGTGGTCATTTAAATAGCCATCGCGGAACTATAATCACAGATCTGTGATGTAATAATAATTCTAGACTTTTCGTGTGATACATATAGAGCTAATGAGACACCTTGAGCTGGTAGAAATGCACCTCCGTCGGCCCCGTGCCCTGGTTGTAATTGCCGGCCTTGAAGTAACTCTTCGGCGAATCCAAGTCATACGTGGTAAACTCCTTGAATCCACCCCCGTTGATTGCCACGCTCAGCTTTCCCTTTTCATACCGAATCTCATACGTAAACCGCTCCTTGCCACTGCCCAGCTTCGTCACCGGGCTGCGCTTCTGGCTGCACGTCCGGCACTGCTGCACCCCCAGATTCAGCTCCCCCTTTGCATTCAGGTACAGCTCCGCGACCGGCTTGTGCGAGATGGCATCATAGATATGAATCTGGCCCACGCACACCTCGCCGTCATTGCGAATCGCCTGCACCTCGGCAAACAGCCGGTTGGTCGCCGCTTTCGGGTCCCACGTCGCCGGGCTTTGCTCGCGCAGCTCGCTCCGGCAGTGCTGGCTGTTGGGCGTGGTGACGCACTGGTCGCGAGAGGGCACCTTCATGGCCATGCTGCCGTCGGCCGCGGTGAAGAAGTAGGCGTCATGGTAGCCGTCGCAGTGCTGGAGCTGGGACGAGGGGATCTGGCGCGGGGAGGAGTCGCCGACGGGCTCTTGCAGGGACCAGTGGGAGAGGTCAAAGTTGCCGCCGGGGGCGCAGGATGGGTTGAGCGCGGCCACGGCGGCGGCATAGAGGGCGACGGTGAGCTTCATGGTGTGTGGGTTTATGTGCTGTTACCAGAGAATGGGAATTGAGATGAGTGAGAAGAAAGGCGAGGCAGAGGAGGGAATGGGGAACCCGGTTTTATAGTCCTCGGGGTCTTTAGGGCTATGTAATAGATACACGTCGCATCGCAATCATAGTCAGCACATCCGTCTCATGTCTTACATTCTCGCTGCCAGATGGCCCAAGTCAGCTACGATTGATTGATTGGTGGACCATCTGAAGTTGTCTTTATTAGCCACGATCGTAAGCCGCTAGCGCCGGGGCGCGTTAGAATTTCCCCGGACCCTGGTGATTGGTGGAATTGGCTGGTGACAGAAGCTCACATACATACCATAGAATCAAAATTCGTCGATTTATGCCAGACAATTTATACAGCGGCTCTATTTATATACATTCGTCAGCTTTTGGCTGGTGGACTGGTTCCTATTATTGTTGTCCTCTCATATTCCTCCTCGTTCGTCCTCAGCGCGACGGCCCTCCGTAGAATCCGGGCTGCCCGGGCACGCCCTGAAAGTCGTCGTAGTATGCATTAGACGGCGGCTGCTGGGCCTGGGGCGGTTGGGGCTGTGTCTGAGGATAGGTGTGCTGGCTTGGCTGGTGCATGGCCAGGCCGGCCGCTGGACCGGGAGACTGCGCTCGGCCAGGAGCTGGGCTCATCACTCGGGGTGCCGGGCTCATCGTCCGCGGCGCTGGTGTCTGTCTGGAACCTGGGCTCTGGGTCATCTGTCGGAGGGCGGCGCCCAAAGGCCCCGTGGCCGGACCGGGCGACTGGGACCGGGATCGCGGTGCCGGACTCATACGGCCCGGGCTTGCCCTACCCCCGTCAAGCTGCTGGTATCCGCGATGTCCGGCAATGGTGCGTACGGGCGCCGGGCTGGCTCGGCCTGAGTCGGGGTCGTAGCGGGAGTACTGAGGCCCTGGGCTACCTCTGCCGTCCATAGGAACTTCGGAATAGCCACCCATGGGTTGCGCCTGCACCAGGCCTGTCGAGCTTGAATTGTCAAAGCTGCCGAGCGGACTGCGCATGCGATCCAATTCGTTTGCAGACGCTTGCCGAGAGTGCGCGCCATCTATTGCACCGTTTTGTGGTCGATAAAGGTTGTAGCTTGTATCCGACATGCCCGTGCCGACGCGTCGCGGCGCGCTGAACGTTCCGGTGCGACCAGACTTAGCACTTCCAGGGCGTTCATCAAAGGAAACCGGCGTGCCGGCACGCGTCGTGCCCGCATCACTTTCGATGCCGTAAAACTCGGCGCCACCATGCTCGTCGAGAAATTCAGCCCGGTTTTTGAAGTATTCAAAGTCCATGTGGTTCTCCGACACAAACTCAAAGCCCGGCACGCCAGTGGCCTTGCCAGCTTTGCCTGCCTTCATGCTGTCGAGAGCGTACATGTCCGAGTAGCCACTGACACTCATGAGATCACCCGTCTCGGCCTCTCTTCCATCCGTCAGTCGGCCCGAGTACACCGACGGCAGGAGATTCTGGGCCTTTTGATGCACCATGGGCGTGATGAGCTTCTTGTACAGAGCAGGATGGCCGAAGCGGCTGGCCAGCTTTTCGCTTCGCAAACGGTCGGCTTGGGCGCGGGCGGCCTCGGGGTTCTTGTGGACATTGAGGAGACTATAGAAGCGAATCTTGTTGTCGTACGCGTTGGCGCACCAAAACTTGAAGCCTAGCATGAGAAAGGGGAGGGGGATTACGGCATAGAACTGAATGTGGTTGGCGTCGCCGCGGACCCAGGTGGTCAAGAGGACGACAAGGTTGGCCAGCATCGTGCCAAACACGAAGCGGTTGAATACAACGCGCCAGTAGAGGCCGCCAGACTCGGTCTTAGTAATAAAGCGGTATAAGATGAGATACTTTTTGAGGTAATGATCAACAGAAAAGTACATGGCGGCGGCGGGGAGGACGAGGGGCATGATTCCGGCAAAGCAGAGACTCGTGGTGGCGTAGAATAAAAAGTACGTGTAGTAGCTCGAGTACTCAAAAGGCGGGGGCGCGGTGAGCTCGATGAGTTCTCTGGGCGTCGGGCTGGAAAACTTCTTGAGGAAAAAAGCCTTGGTCAGCGACCAGAGCTGGGCGAGGTCGGTAGCCGCGCCGAGCTGGCGCTGGAGCATGTAAGTGACCCAAAAGACGCCGTTGGAGCACAGTGCTTGAAAAAGTCCGTCGATGATGCTTTGGCCATTGTTCTTGTTGGCGTCCTTGATGGCCTCCCAACCGGATTCTCCGTTACTGGCGTTGCGGATAATGTTGAACACAAAGGTGAAGACGGTGGAGAAGAAGGAAAAGACGATCAGGTTGTTGAAGACGAAAAAGGCGTACATTTTGCCAATGACGTGTCGCTCCCTGCCGGTTTTGGTCTGATCACCACCTTTGGTAGAAAGGCGGCGGAAGATCATGGGCAGGACGATGTAGACGAGGGAGGTCAAGGTCGGCGCCAAGATACCTTGGACGAGACCCCAGAACCCGGGTTTGGCCACGAGCTCGGTCTTAAAGGCAGGCCACAAACGGCCGAGGTTGCTCAGGTTGACAAAGAGCATGGCAATCAGGGCGTTGGGACCGATCCAGAGGAGAGTCAAGACCGTGATCCAAAAACTATTGGCCCACCGCCTACGGCTGCGAACAGAAGTGGAAAGCGGCATGTTGCGCCAGATGATGTCGTTAGGGCGAGGGGCGAGGGTGACGGTAGCGCCCTGGGACTTCTTCTTGCGAAAGGAGTAGGCGATGCTGTGCGCTTCGGCAATGTCGCTGTAGCTGGCGAATCCGTAGGGCATGGTGCTGCGTTTGTCGACCGAGGCCCGAACCTGCTTGATTTCGGCTTCGAGAGTGCTAATGCGCTTGGTGTAGTAGTCAATGGCGTCGAGCTTCTGGCCCGAGGGGTAAGAGCTGTACGCGTGGTCCTTTTTAGAGGGCTTGCAGGTCGGGCGGTTGGCGGGCAGCTTGGCCGGGTTCTTGAGGTACTTGGCGAGGACCTGCTCGAGCTTGCGGACGGTATGTTCATGCTGTTCAATGAGCTCGGGCAGCTCCTTGACGTTTCGGGCAATGGCGGTCCTTGCAAAGGATGAACTGGGCGCGACCGCATCGATAATGCGGGCGATGCCTTCGTCCGAGGCGCATTCGCGGGGGATGTCGTAGAGCATGAGGGTTCTCGAGGCGAGGCTGGTCAGGAAGTCCTCCGTCTCGAAATAGCGACGGCGGAGTTGGGCAATCTTGCGGTAGTTCCACCAAAGGAAGCCTGCGACAATGGCGTCAAAGAGGTAGGCAGCAATAACCTGCACCCATTGGGCGCGGCCAAAGACGTTGAGGGGCGAAATGTTGACGAGCCAGCCAAGCTCGCTCTTGTCCCGGACAGCGGCTGTGGTGAGGTGGACGGGAATGAGGATGCCAACGCCGACGAGGCTGAGGACGAGAAACATGTTGCGGCACATGCGCATAAAGCGAATAAAGATGGTTGCGTCCATGCCGACAGTGTGCATGAGAACATCCTCATTAGTTTGCAGGACGGGAGGGACCCAGGCGAAGAGTGACTTTCCTATAGCCGGAGGTGCGTGCTTCTCATCGGCGTGCTTGACCTTGGGGGCGTAGACGGCCTGGTTGTGAGGGCGGAGGAGAGAGAAGCAGACGGCAAGGAAGACGGTAAAGCCGATGGAGATGCCAAGGGCAGAGTAAAGCGATGAAGATGCCAGGGTCGAGGCAAAAGGGTCCTTGAAGAGGTCGAGCAGCGGGTTCTCGGGGCTCGAGTTTGGTTTATCGTCTCGGGCGGCGAGGGTGCCAGGTGTAAAGGCCATGGAAGCCATGGAAGCCATGGTAGGCCGCGGCCGTTAGGACAGGCGAGATGTGCGGTGCAATTTGTGCAAGGTGAGTCGGACTGTAGAAAACGTAGTAGGTCAAGGCGTGAAACCGAACGAGCGAGGTCGCATCAGCCGGGTATCTCAGAACGGATTGACTGAGATGCGGGTGTCGAGATATGGCGATGATGCAGATAGATATGCAGATATAGGTGATGGTATGGATATCGATAGCGAGCGTGTTAGAAGAAGTTGAATAGCGAGTGACAGGGACTATTGTCGGGTTTGCTTGGGTAGAAGCAAGCGGTGTCCTGGCTGGGATGAATCTAGAAAACGAACAAGAGCGAAGATGCGGCGCAGGGTGAATAGAAAACGTGCAAACGAGGATGAACAAGGGAAGACGGCAAGGAAAAGAAAGGGTAGGACAAGGATAGACAAAGCGGATGGGGAAAAGTCAGGACAAAGGAGAGGAGGATACGGATATACTGTTGCTGTCTCGACTTTTTTTTCCGGGACAAGTATTACGGAGCGGTACCTAACTAAGTTGATTGCGTCGTTAGCGCCAGACGGTATTACGAGGTGGTGGACGTGGTGGGGCATCGATCAGCGGGACGGATGAAGCTCGTCTCTTCATTCCAATGATATTGTGTTTTCTTTTTCTTTTTTTCTTATAGTATTCCATCGTCTGTCGATTCACCCTCCTTTGATTCCCGTCTGGGACGAGTCAACGGTGGCTTGCAGATGAGCTGCCGGTAGCTGGCTGCGGCTCAACCTTACAGGAGCCGGTAGCGGATGCACCACTTGATTGGTTCGGTGTAGACACTAGCGGGACCGTTCTATTTTTGTCGCGACCCGCATCGATATCCGTCATCCAGCTTTGACTTGGACGAAGTTGAATATTTTAGGCATTATAGATGATTGATTTAATATTGTTTTCTTGCTTTGCCCTTACTTCTCCAAACGTAGATCCTGCAGGAGTTCTCGTTCCCCTCGTCCTCCAACAGGTACCATCCGAGCGGGACCACCCTTTAACCACCAGTTTTGCGGGCTCCACCGCTGCGATACGAGAGGCCTATCCGCTGCGTACAGGGCGCATGCAGCCTGCATCTCGTGGCCTCGGGCTTGTCCACATGGCTCCTGTAAACCCATGAGACAAAATCACGGGCATCTCAGAGCCATTCATTCGATTTTCATTATCTTTCCCAACCTCAATATCAATATTCTGTCCCTCTATCACTGGTACAAACCTCCATTCCTTACGCTGACGACGCAGTGGACCCCTGGCCCGCTACCGCTGTGGACCTGAGACACTTGTTCGTCTCAACTTCTCGCACTGACGTTGTCTGTCGACAACCTTTCAAGCGTGTGAAGTGTGCAACGAAAGACATTCGTCAAAATGGCAAGATGGAAGGTTGTCGGCTGACTGTTTCAAACTACGTGCCCTTCGACTCCCACACACAAACACGACTACCTCCTTGCCTCCCTTCAACGCTCCCCTGCACACCACCACTGCCTTCAGTGGAGCCTGGGCTTGAATGGCTGCAGGCCTAAACCAGGCACAAACCCAGCCATTCCAGCATTGATGCAAGCCAGCCCTGCTTTAAGAATTAACAAACTTGATTTGTTTATTCGCCACTCGATGGTCTCAAAAAACTCTTGCCTGGGCCCTTGCGAGTATTTTGCAACTTTCCTACACTGTATTAGTGCCTAATACTAGCTCAATACTGCGTCCTAAGTCAACTTGTAACTGCCTAGGTACCTACCTAACCAAGGCCAAGTAACCACGCACACACATTTGTCAACGTGTCACTGCCTGACCACGCGCACATTGTCGCTGCCTTGGCCTAGTATTTTGTGATTTTTTACAAAGTTCAAGCCTTTATACAGAACTCTGACAATGATTGATTAGGTCATCCAAGTGTCGAGTGGCGCGCGTGCGCGCGCCTTTGCCTGGCAAGTCGATGGACTTGCCCCTCTGCCCAATGAATTGTAGTCAAACAGGTATTATCCCCAGTCAGCCAAATTCTTGACACGAATCGGTCTAGAAGTCTGCAATCAACGTCATGCGTTCCCTAACAAATTCTGGCACCACCGACTCCTGCCCTTCTTTGCGAGCGAGCCTTCCTTGATTGCTTGATGGACCCTGTTCTGTCTTCTTTGGCAGGGAACAAGCTCAACGGCTCGCAAACTGGTATCAAGTTGAGTAATTGAAGGTGCTTGGAGAAATTTGGGACTTGAGAACGTTGTAATAGATAGACTTGCGTCGCTGCAGAGGATCGTCTTTCCAATCGCAGCTAATGAGATGCTCTAGTGGTTCACTTCCGTTTACTCATCTCAATTCAAAACGCGACAACTAAAGACAACTCAATTTAGTCAATCCAATAGCTAAAACAAATTATTGCATAAATTCACCATAACCTCCGTGTCAATACGAAGAAGTCAATCCAGTGCGCCTTCAGGTCTACTGAGCCGTTCAATCGTAGCTGTGTTGTAAGTGTCTTGTAAGTCACACCGTCGCTGACCAGCCCGAAAATTATCAAAACAAAAACCTCCTTTTCGTCCGCTTGCACCAGCCATCGCCTAAAGCCCCCCCTCCACATTACCCTGGCTGCGTGTCTTGCGTTGGGTTCTGCCAACCGGCGCCGGCGTCTTGCTCTTCTTCGGACGCCCAACCTTCCTTGGGGCCGAAGATGAGGCCGGAGCGGAAGCCGCAGCGTCTGTCGCGCAATTAGCTTCGGACTTCACTCCCTCTTCGAGCTTGGCCTTCTTCTCACTTTGCTCCGAGTCTGCGCGCGTCTCCGCATCGTCCTCTAGCTTGCGCTTATGGCTAGCAGGGGCAGAAGAGCCAGTGGTAGCAGTCGCCGGGGCCGACGTAGGCGCAGGCGCCGATCTCTCTGCCGCCCCGTTTAAGGACGACTCTGGCTTGGTCGTCTCATTAATAGCGGTCAGAGCAAATTTAGCACTCTCGGACACCGGCTTCTGAATTGGCTCTTGCGAAATGTCCAGCACCGGCCGGGGTGTGCCACCAGCAGGTGTGCCAGTGTTGACGGGCGTGTCGGGCACAGACTTGACCTCGACAGGTCTGGGGAATGGAGTTGCAGACAGAGACGACTTGGAGAGAGCAGGTGCAACTGCTTCGACAGGTTTGTTGAGGGTTGACAAGAGTCCGGTGGTAGCAGGTGCTGCGGCCGCTCCATTGGGCTTCGCAGTTGATCCCACAGATGATGCCGGCGCACCGTTCGCACCGTTCTGGGCCTCGCCAGCTGTTTCCTTGGACGGCTGCGGCGGCGCATCTAGGTTGGAGATGCTTGGAAGCGAGGTGCCAGCACCTGTAGCTGGTTTGGGCAATTCAGTAATTTTGGCTGGCTCCGGAGCAGTGGGCGGCTCTGGCGCGCGGGCGGAGGCAGGGTAAAGAGGCGGCTTGCTACTGGAGGCGCCAAAGGGTGGAACGATGCTTCCCTTGGAAACTGAAGGAGCAGCCGACACAGCATTCGGGTGTGTTGTGGATGGCTCTTCGCGCGGGCGCGCCATGAAAGCGACGTGATCAACCGTAGAAGACATTGATTGGATTTCGTACCGTGCTGAACGAATTGATTGTCGGTAATGACGTTAGGGCGGGATAAGCGGTATCGCGCAAGGGTAGCCACACGATAGACAATGATATCGTGAAGCAGCGTGTAGATGAAAGTTGTTGCGTCGACGATGGAATTGATGATGCGAGATCTAGGTGCAGAAGTCGAATCGATGCGGATGAGAGGTATTATAGCTAGGCGAACGAACGCAGCAAGAGAACCTTGAATTGGCCGGGGAAGCACAGGAAACGGCAATACAAGGAAGCGGAATGGCTGGGGCGGCACACAGGTACCGACGACGTTCATGGTAAACAGGATCACCAGGCCGTACATTTACCGGCCGTGCGCAGGGCCAGGAAAACGTTAACATGGCGCAGAGGCGCCAGTTACTGATGAACCAGTCGGTGCAACAGATGGGACAAGTCGCGGTACACAGTGCCCAAGACGCAAGCGAAGCGGGGTTTATTATGGTGTGCAGACTGTGCGATGGGTTGGCGGAACCGGGGCGATGGACGGTGCGGGAATGCAGATCGAGACGGTACAGCTACTTGGACCACACGGCAAATTTGTATGACCTTACCTTGTACCTCGCTTTGGCCCCGGGCTGGCCGGTTGCGGGGAATCGAGAATACGTGGGGCATGCGACACTAGCTGCAAGACATGGTGCAGATGCGCAGGAGAAACAGGTGAGGCTAGAGTGACACCAAGGTGAGATGCGGAAATGAAGATAATGCTACTTTTTCTTCGCAAACCCTTCCATTCTTGTCGCGAATGGTGGCTCATCCAATTTTACTGACAGGGTTGTACCGACGTCTATTTAGTAGCGTTTTGAAGCGCGCCCTCAACCCATCATATCATCGTCAATTCTTGGATCTAAATTGTTTCAAATTGATTCGGAAACTTTCATACGAAAAGAATTATCCAAAGCACACTGATCGCCGTATTCTTTTCGAAAGTCCCACGTCAAGACCTTCGTAAATCACCCCATGAACTAGTTCAGGCTTTTCTCTAAAAGCTCAACCTCCAGACATCGCCCAGTCTCTTATTCTCCTCGTTGATGCCGCCATGCAAAATAATGGCATCGGCCTTCTCGTCATGCACCACATCCGCGTCAAACCATCCTCGGGGCTCAGGCGTCTCGCCGTCCGTCTCCAACTTGTGCCACTCTGCCAGCTCAATATCCCACGCCCACGCATCAGCGAGCATCTTGCCCGCACCCGCATGTCCGAGCGCGCTAGGATCTCGCTCGCCAAACATGGTCACGAGGTTTGCCTTGCCGTGGATTGTGAGAGCCAGCAAGGCGGCGACGCTGCGCGCTTCCGGAGCTCGGACACCGTCAGGCGTGTACGACACTGTGGTCCACGACTGCGCGGCAATATCAAACACGTCGACGACACCGCCTATCTCAATTGTGCCATCGAATCCGTTGACGCGGTATATCTTGCCTTGGTTGTATGCAATGGAGGCGCCACCTCTTGCAGGCCCGGGCGCAGAGGGCAGCTCCGTCCAAGAGTTGGTCTCGATATCGAAAGACCAAAAGTCGGACAGCCGTCCTGATTCTGGACATCCGGCGTGCACAAAGATTGTGTTGGTGCCGTTTGAGGTGACGCAGTGATAGCTTCTTCCAGCTGGGTACGCTGTCTCGTTGGCGGGCCTGATCAATGTCCACTTAGACGCCTTCGGGTCGTAGCACCAAAATGCCCCATGCTCTTCCACCGGCTGCATTTCGAGGCCGCCGCGGCCTGAGAATATCCAAATCTTGCCCCGGAGGGCCGTACTCGCGCTGCCTACCCGGGGCGCAGGAGCTTCGGTCGGAGGAGGAAGCGTCTGTGCTGAAGTGTCTGCGAATATTAGATTAAACCCGCTTTCACAGAAATAATTATTACCCAATTTATTCGAAATTTCAATCACGTCGAACTTGTTGTCTATTGGTTGTCGCGGGATCAGCTCGCCTCCAAAGATGTAGGCCTGTTGCCCAATTACGGTAACTGTCTGGGAAGACCGATACAGGCGCTGGGTACCAATGAGACGGGACCATTTTGCGGCAGGCATTTCGTCGAAGAAACACAGGAGTGAAATTTAGACGTAATACTATTCAGATTTCTCTTTAAAAAGACAGCAACCAGAGGACTGCCAAAAAAATTGGCAGAAAAAGACGATAGCATCGCCAGGTCAGAGGCATGTCCATAGAACTTATACCCCTCGTGGAGCCGTCACATGTGCCGTGCCAGCATAAGAGCTGGATTATATCATTCCAAGTCTATTCCGATTATGTAACATCTCGGCTATGTTTTTTGTACACACAACATGTTGATAGTTAGAGAGGTGAGAATGCTTAGCTAATCGGAACGTTTTACTCCGATGCCTCCACCACTCACGGTTTTGCACGGACTCCGTCATGCCGCCTCGTTTGTTATTGGCACATCATGCCTCCCAGGAAAGCCTGCGATGTTTGCTTCAAACGGAAGGTGGCTCAGTGAACCAATCAAGGCCTGATTAATGCTTTTACTAACGGCAATTCGTGATTAGATACAATGCTCGATCCCCAGCCCCGGTGTCCCGTGTGACTGGTGCGACAACCAGAAAATCCCCTGCACGTTCACCAGGAAACCACAGAAGAAGCAGCAAAACAGGTACGACGAGATTCTGAATTCCTGCTGCCCATCACTGACACAAGCAGAATCACACCTGATGCAGTGTATGCCTTGAGTCGCCGAGTCGCAGAGCTCGAGGATCTGGCTAGCAAAAATGCAGAGGCTCAATTAGCATCTCCCTATAGTGACACGTCAAACCAGAGTCTCCATACTCGACAGACAGCGGACAGTGAATTGCAAACTGTAGAATCGCTAATTGAAAACGCAGCCTCTAGCACGAGCTCTAGGCCCAAGCTCTCACACCAGCAGCTCGGGCAGAATTGGTACTTTAGAGGCATGCAAATATTGTCAAAAAAGGGTCAGCAATGGATTGAATTAAAAACAGGACAGCCGTTGCCTTTACAACACTTTGTTGCATTTGATGCACCGGCCGACCGAATTTACCATACGCAGGCAAACTGTCGCCGTCTTGCGTCGCTGGCAAGAAATCTCCCTCTCCCTAGCAAGGTCGCAACACGTGCGATAACCGACAAGCTCTTCAGCTCGAACGCAAATTTATGTTTTCCAGTGTTGGATCGCACTCTCTTCGATACTACCGTTGAGGAGGCCTATTGTCCAAAACACTCTTTACCAGCGCAGGCGTGTGTCTGGGCCCTTCACACCTGGGCGAGATACCTTTCGCCTGGTTTGGCCGAGTTTGATATTGAAATCTGTGCGGCCGAATGCCGTTTGCTCCTTGACAGATGTCACTGGGAATGTAGTTTTGAGGCGCTGCAGGCGATGCTATTGTTGGTAAGCCGCCGACACGCCATGTTACATCTTACGAGATTGTATTGACAGCCGCAGGGATTCCGGGGCATATCCCTCAATGGCCAAAATAACAATTTAATGCATACGATAATTTGTCAAATGGTCTGCGAATTAGTGGGCACTTTCCTACCTGAGGACTCCGACTCTTTACAGGACCGCAAGCGCCGACATATCCGCACCCTGTTCGGCCTCTGCTACATCCTTGATAAAAATATCGCCCTGCGATCTGGTCGCCCGCCCTTATTGAGTGAAGACTACTACGATTTAACATTGATGGATACTGCCGTTGGTGGGACAGAGCTGTTCCATGGTTATGGCGATGACCTGGAGCTAAGTCTCGTTAGAGAGAGGACTTGTCGTCTCCTCTATTCACAAAAGGCAGCTAAGCTTTCCGATGGCGAGTTATTACAGCGTATCCGGCAACTGGATGATGAACTTGAGCAATGGAGGTTGTCTATCCCGGTGCCGATACGTCCCAGGCTGAGTGTTAATCTTCATTTTAATCCGGCGATTGGCAACCAACAGAATAAGCTCATTCGTTTCCAACTGGACTACCACTACACTTTAATCGCGATCCATACCATGGTCCGCAAATGCGGTGCCTCGAACGAAGAAACAGCGTTGCCAGAAGACTTGCATAGTGTCGTCCATTCGAGCGTCGACCTTTCCTTGGAAGCGGCCCGATCGACGCTGAGGTTTCTGCGGTTTCCACTCAGAGTATCTCTGGAGGCGTTTCTGTACGGTCGATTCGACGTATCGCTGCCCAGTCACTTGCTAACCTTGCTAGATATGTCCAGTCGTACGCCCCGGCAGCGGCCATGGCACTCTTTATCAACGTCATGGTTCACCCGGATGGCGACAGCTCGCAGACAGACTTGGAAACACTGATCCAAGCTGTCGGTACCTTCCAATCGATTCCCCTCGAATCGCTTTCCTCCACCGAAACTCAGGAAATCCAGATGCTGAATGAATATATCATGGAACTGGTGCGGCTGGCAAGCTGTGCCATTTGGAAGGACAAGATGGCCAAGACTGAGAGCAATTGAACACGGGCAGTGGCTTGACAACATGAGCTTCCTTTTTACATGAGACTCGTCGATTAGAAGGCAGATACGTTATACCCGCTCGAACAACACGTTGGGCTCGCCAAGTTCGCCCTTGGGCGTCAGCTGCAGCTCCAACCCGGTAGCCTTCCCGTCCACGCCAACCTTGAACTCGCCAGCCAGCGTGGAAGCGATACTCTTCGTACCCTGATCCCACGCATCCACGAGCCAATAATTGCCCGAGACGTGCCTGAAGCGCAAATAGTACAGAAAAATGGGCTCAGTACGGTTCGCCACCAGCGTCTTTCCGCCAACGTCTCCCTGAACGATGCGCAGGGTTCCGTATCCCGGGTCATAGTAGTGGCCAACGATTTGCTCATTAGTTAGTGACGAAGGAATTGCCTTTTCTGGACGGTTCGGGTAAAAGATTGAATCGACCTTTTCGAGATACGTTTTCTGCTCGTCTGTGAACTCCTTGTAGCTAGACACGTGTCAGTTACGATCCGCACCACCTCGGAATCGACTTACCTAGAAGTGAGGTTATATCGGAGCTCCTGCGGCACCCCCAGCTTATCCTCAACCAGTCGCCAGACAACCTCATCTTCGGCAGAGTTGGCGAGACCCGAGTTGGCCATGGCCGCCACGGCGTAGCGAAGGCGCGGAATCAGATATAGCTGCGTACTATACGCGTTCATGGTGCCGCCATGCTTCCACACTACTTCTCCGTGGTATGTCTTCTTTATCCACCCCAGCCCGTACGTCATGTCCCCGTCGCCCATCACGCCGTCCTCGAGGTTTCCCATGAGCATGCGTGACTTACGGATCTCGGCGTGCGCGGCCTTGGAAAACGGCGCCGTCTGATCGAGCAGGCAGCGCGCCCACTTTGTGTAGTCGGCGACGGTGGAGATGACGAGTCCAGCGCCGCCATCCTCCCTGGTGCTGTCAAGATGCATTTCTACAAACCTTTCGGCATTGGAGTCCCAGTAGTATCCGGCGGCCAGGTGCTCCGGCGCGGCCACTGCATCCTTGGTGTCGCCGAAGGTGGCCGTCATGCCGAGCGGCGCCCAGATCGACTCGTGCAGCACGTCGCCTAGCCACTTTCCGGCAACCACTTCGACGACGTGCCCGAGCACGGTGTACATGTAATTGCAGTACTGCCATGTGGTTCGTGGTGTCGCACTGGGCTTCAAGTGTCGCAGGTTTTGCACCTGCTGTGCGGTGGTCACTGGGCTACCGTCTTCATGACGAGCAAACATGGCTGCGTCGTGACGGGGCATGCCGGTGCGATGACTAGCCGCGTCTTCGAGAGTGAGGTGTTCAGTAGACCAATCCTCGTACATGACAAAGTCGTTGCGGATTATGGACGAAATTGTGGTGCTCCACCCGTCAGCAAGGGCGGAATGGTTCTGACTATCAATCATTAGGGCGACAGCGGCAGCTGTGAACGCCTTTGATGTCGAGCCCGCAAAGTAGAGTGTGTCTGGTGTGGCCTTGGTATCTGGCAGGGTGGCATAGCCGTATCCCTGGAAGGGTCAGGCATGGACAGCTTTCACGGCTCCCCTCTACTGACCTGAGAATACACACTATCGCCATCCACGACAGCGACCGACATTCCTGCAACCTTCCACCTGTCCATGACGTCGCCTACAAACTTGGCGAGGCTGTCATTGAAGGGGCTGTGAGAGCTGGTACCATTGGTCAGCGATTGCTGGCTGCCAGTTGCCACGGGGAGCAACAGGCCCGCCAAGAGCACGGCTTTGATCGACTTGGGGAGTGCCATGTTAGAATGATGTCAAGAGGCCGAAATCTCGAGTGCGAGTGTCTTTGGAATTGCATGTTATAAAGCCATGGCGCGGGGACGGCCCACTCCGCAGCTGAACGACGGGCCGATTTACGATCGCGATGTGGCTGGAAACGGCAGCGACTGCGCGAGGCCCAATATCGCAGGGCGCGAGTTTTGACGCAATAAACGTGCTCATCTGCAGGATAGATGGCCTGATTTGGTCTGGCGGGCATGACCCAGCCACAAACTTACGTATTTCTTAATGTTTAAACGGTAAATCCTTGACTATCAGTAATCGAAAGCCGATAAACTCATGAACATGGTGGTACCCATCTCGTATGCCGATGTCGCCGGAATTCCTTGTGCACCACTCTCTGCAGGCCACTCGACCAGCAAACGTATGCTCTAGACCACTATGCCGCTGCCAAGAAAGCACTGACATGCTGCATGTTTTTCTCTCGTTGATCCACATGCGAAAAGTGCGCCGCCTTGTCCAGCGTCACCCACTTGACTTGGCCGAGCAAGTCGAAAGAGGGCTGCTTGGCCACGCCCTGCGCTTCATCATCGGAGCCATTGATGAGCAACGTGGGCGCTGTACCACGGTATAATCCCGCAATGAGCCGGTAATGGTCAGCTCCCTCGGTCCATACCTGGGCATGTTTAGTGAACAGTTGGGCAGCGGCCACGAAAACTTTCTTACATAGTGTCGTATGTCGTGGGATCCGCCGCGAACCAGTTAAATGCAGTCTGGACCTCGGGAGCCGGTCACAATCTAGCGAAGGACAGGTGGCGCAGGTAAAAGACGTCAATGGCGGCTTCATACTCGGCGCCCTCATACGCGTCCGTTTCGTCGGCCTTGTCAAACACAGCCCATTCCTTAGCGGGCATCATGTCACGCAGCGTGGTGATGATGATCCGCCAGGCATCCATGCTCGCCGAGCTTCTTGCAATGACCAGCCGTCGGAGGTGGCTGCCTGAAGCGATCAGCCGTCCACTCGGCCGCGAGTGGCAGTGGACGTCCGACAGGCCGGCCCGCAAGCCCGAGGTGCCGCAAGAGGTTTTTCGAGCTCGGCTGTGAACAGCTCAACGAGCCAAAACGCCTCGTCGCCGTTTTTGGTGCGCAGGTGCGTCGACTGGCCGTTGCCGAGCTGGTCGTAGAAGACGAGCGGCACGGTGAGGTCGGCGATGGAAGATAGGCACTCGTAGCTGGCGACGGGGCCGCCGTGCGAAATGATGAGGGGCGTGGTGCCGGAGGTGAGGTCGCCGATGGCGCGGCACCACGTCTCGCACGACGCGGGCAGGCCAGAGATGGCGAAGACGGCTTTGCCTTTAGTCATGAGGCGTGAGGTTTAATGGGAACGGGGCGAAGAGCGGACTTACTGCGAGGTTAGGAGAATTAAGAGGACTTCGTCGGAAGGCACATGTGGGCGGGGCGAAAAGACAGCTTCAGTTTGTTCTCACGAGGCTGCATAGGTAGTTATCACAGCAGAGGTCGCTGTGGGTGTGGAGAATGGCACACATCACGGTTACATCGCAAGAAACGGGCAGGCTGTATATCGTATGAAGACAGGCTCCGGAAGGCTTGCTGCGTGTGAAAATCACAGACTGAATATCCACGTTACACGCGGGATCGAGATGAAAAAGGACGTACAGTACGCGAAAGTCGCGGGGCCACTAGGGTGACATGACATATCCAGGTTTTGGTGTCGCGATCAGTAGTCGCGGGGTCGATGCAACAGAGACAAATTCTATGCAGAGGCTGTATACAGAAGGCATGTGGTGAGCTTGCGTCTGAGCACTTCAGGCTTTGCTCATTTCATTCGAGAACGCTCGCAGCACGTAATTCAGGCCTGCAACTTCATCAAGACCATCCGCAGATCCACCGTAGATCCATGTGGTAGCAAACGCACCATTGACGATGATCTGAATTTGGTGCATCCCAGCGTGGTGGCAGTATTCTCAAGCATAGGATTGTAAGCAAGGCTTTGTATGGTTGCAACGAGACATCTGCTGTTTTCAAACTGTTGGTTTTGAGCCGCCTCTTCATAGGTATTCCACTGCTTGCTGCGTTGGAGTGTTGTGTAACGGCTGCAAAGGTGAAGCTATCGCGAAGCCATGGCAGTACATCCCCATCTGGAAGTGACCACCAGTTGAGCGATTTAGGACAAAGATAAAAAAGTTAAAGCCTGTTGCATTTACTCGATATAAAACCAATCGTTGTGTTTATATTCTCATTGAGTAGCACTGTAGCTGCAGCGCCGGGAGCCTCGAGCACCCATAATTCAGGGGTTCGCGCCAGCTTAGTCACCCACTGACAAGCTGTCCTGAAGCCACCCAGATCTCCTTCTTTGCGACGGCCATCCTTTCTGAGACAATCGAGCACCCAACTTGTTCACTTTCTTTTCATTTCCTATTCTTCCGTCTCATACTTTGAATTGCCGAATCTTCTCTACGCCCGCTCTAATTACCCTAACGGATTCACCCGATCTACAACCCCGAAACGACACCGCGACGCGACTTCACAATGGCCCCGAAGGCGACCAGCAACAAGTACTCGGTCATTCTCCCGACCTACAATGAGCGCCGCAATCTGCCTATCATCACCTGGCTGCTGAACCGCACCTTTACCGACGCGTAAGCCGCCCGCGAGATATAAGCTTAGCCACACCCACCGCCGCCACTGACCCCTCTACAGGAAGCTCGAGTGGGAGCTTATCATTGTCGACGACGGCTCGCCCGATGGCACGCAGGAAGTTGCGAACCAGCTCGTCAAGGCGTACGCACCGCACGTTCTCCTCAAGCCGCGCGCGGGCAAGCTGGGCCTGGGCACGGCGTACGTGCACGGGCTCAAGTTCGCCACGGGCAACTTCGTCATCATCATGGACGCCGACTTTTCGCACCACCCCAAGTTCATCCCGCAGATGATTGCGCTGCAAAAGACGGCCAACTACGACATTGTGACGGGCACGCGGTACGCGGGCAACGGCGGCGTGTTTGGCTGGGACCTCAAGCGCAAGTTCGTGAGCCGCGGCGCCAACCTGTTTGCCGATACGGTGCTGCGTCCGGGCGTCAGCGACCTTACGGGCTCGTTTCGCCTATACAAGAAGAGCGTGCTGGACCGCGTCATTTCGAGCACAGAAAGCAAAGGCTACACATTTCAGATGGAGATGATGGTCCGCGCCAAGGCCATGGGCTGCACCGTCGCTGAGGTGCCCATTTCGTTTGTGGATCGCCTGTATGGTGAGTCCAAGCTCGGCGGCGACGAGATTGTCGAGTACGCCAAGGGCGTGCTGAGCCTGTGGCTCAAGGTGTAGAGGACGGGACGATTGCTGTGTGAGGGGAAAAGGAACGTATGCCTTGTGTAAAATGTGGGAATGGCAAAAGGCAGGCGCAGCCATACAAGTTACAATTAATACATGAATGTCCAAGTTATGCTTTTGATCCCGTGCTGATCCGTATTTCTACATTCAACACTGACTCTTTACATGTTGCGACCGCCCGTCACCATGATGGTCTGGCCCGTCACGTACGAAAACAAGGGACTCGCCACCGCCAGGATGCTCGCCGCCGCCTCCGTCGCTGTGCCGGGTCTACCAAGCGGGATATCACTCTTGGCCGGCGCCGCCCCCGACCCGGTACCCTTTTGCGCCTGCGGGATTCCCAGCGCAATCTTCTTGCCATCCGGCCCCTCGACAAATGCGCCATCCTCCTTCGCCGCCGTCAGCCGCGTGGCAATGTGGCCAAACGCAATGGCGTTGGCGCGCACGCCAAACTGAGGTCCCCACTCCTTGGCAATCGTCTTGGTGAAGCCCGTGACGCCGGCCTTGGCCAACGCGTAGTTGATTTGCCCGGCATTGCCGTGGACACCCGACGTGGACGAGATATTGATGATGCAGCGGGGCTCGCCGTCCTTGACTCGAAAGTAGGGGGCAGCGGCGCGAACAAGGTTGAAGGGCGCGGTGGCGTGGAGCGCGAGGATTGTCTCCCACTGCTGGTCTGTCATTTTGTGGATGACGCCGTCCCAGGTGTAGCCGGCATTGTTGACGAGGATGTGGATCTTGCCGTTGCCGAACGCGGCGGCGCGGTCGACGAGGACGTGTAAGTAGGCCTTGTCGAGGACGTCGCCGGGGACGCTGAGGGCTTGTCCGCCGGCTTTGTTGATGGCGTCGGCGACAGCGCCGCTCTTTTCTGAGGGGGTGTTAGAAGGAGGAAAACGGTGTGGGGGATTAGATGAGGGCTTACTGGCGTCAATGTCGGCGACGATGACCTTGGCGCCCTCGTTCGCAAAGAGACGCGCCGTCTCGGCGCCGATGCCCTGCCCGCTGCCGGTGATGATGGCCACCTGACCGGCGAGGAGGCCCTTGGGGTAGTTGAGGTGGCTGGTGATTTGCGCGACGCGGTCAGACATGATGGGGGGAGTTCTGCTTCTGTATATATATAATTTTTTTATACAAGAAGTCAAGGCGAGTATGGGAGAGGGGAAAGCTGGGGTTGATATTAGAGCTCTTGGGTTATGGCCTGGGGTATGTGGGGGAGAGGATCGAGAAGCCGGGTGTGTTGCAGCTAGTGAATCGATGCCGAGGTTCTAGTGGGACGAAGCCCGCGGAGTTGACGCTGTGCTCCGGTAGCCGGGTTGTGTCGCGCGGTTTATTGAAAAGGACCTGCAGCGCGATGGTGTCTCGACAACCAATTTGGTATAGTTATTTGCCGTACGATGGTATAGCGGATAAAATATTTGATCAGCAGCTGGTGCCAACCGGAATCTCCACGGACGCAGAATTGAGCCCTGCGAAATAAGAGAAGCCGCCAAGGTAAAGAAAGTCGGCATTTATTCTGCTGTACTCTACAATTTTCAGGGTTTTGCTTTACATCGTTTCAGGTAGCCGTCTTAGTCCCGTCATTCCGGCCCGTTACCCGTCTACACAGGAACCTCTTCAGGCACGAGTACTCCGTCCAGTGTCAACATACTTGATACTTGATGAATGCCCTTGTGCACGCTGCTTATAGCCCGAATAAAATTGTACGTCTTCGTACTCTAAAGTAATTCGTTTAGCTAGCTTCATGACACCGCGACAGATAGAATTTGCGCCGTTTTTGTACGTCGAGGCAGATTGGTCGCGTGAGATATGGTCGCGTGAGATATCCCCTCCTCAATGTCCTCGCTCTACGAATTTGCCTCCGGCAAGACCCTAGGCCACTTATATCGCCTATATAGGTAACCTCTATCCGGCCATCTGGGTTGACTCGCTCGATTTGAATCAACAGATTTTAGTCTCATTACATCCCTGGCGCATATTAGCGGCATTTTCGGCCAACCCCGCGGCTGTAGATCATGTGCCTCTCCTGTTTACAGTCCAATTCCACCATGTCCTCTTCTCCGCCTCATATCAAATCCACCTCAAAGTAAAAACAACATCATCCACGATGCCCCAGACGGATTCAACACATACAAGGCAGCGATAATGTGTTTCACAGCCTCAATACAACGTGACTATGTCAATGGAATCAGGAGCGCAAGAAAGTCATGCTCACAGTTCTAGCATCAAATAAGATTTTACTAACTAGATACTTTTGATACCCCCACTTTGTCAACACTTGCGCTTCGTAGGATGTCGTCACACGAGGCTGCGCTTGTTGCGCCATGATTTATAATGAGGGCACCCTCCAGCGCACCAGTGGCTGTACTTATAAGCCAATCGTGATCCAACACCAGAAACACCAGAAACCAGAACAACCCATCTACGACCCACGTAAAAAAAAAAACCTCACACGAAATCGCCAATCTCACAAAAAAAAAAATGAGCACCGACGATATCCCATCCGTTGTCACACGGCCCCTTCCCAACGCAGTCACGTACGACCTCACCGTGCGCGACCGTGTGACAATAACACTGCCTCCCCATTCGGCCTGGTCCAGCGGCCTGCACTGGCACGAGGACCACGACGAGTACCTTGCAGTCGTACAGGGCCGCATCCACGTCAAGCTGGGCGACGAGGAGTGCATTGTCAACGCGGGCCAGCCCGAGGTCCATATTCCGCGGCATGCGTGGCATAGCTGGCGGCGCGCGGAGGCGGATGGCAACGACGTCGTGGTCGTGGAGAGAACGGAACCTGCCGACTTGCAAAAGGCAGTATTTTTTTGGAATTTGAACGGTGTGGTGCTGGATGCGCCTGCTTTGGACGCCAAGATGACGAGGCTGCCGTCGTGGTTGAGGGGCTTACTGGTGGACTGGTGGGTTACGATGAGCCTTTTTGTCATTTTCCATCACCTTGACAACTGGCCTGTACTGGTAAATGTCCCCGAGATATTGCGGCCGCTTGTACCTGGCCTCGGACAGAGCATGGTGTCGCAGGTTTCACAGAAGGTGGACTGGCTCTGCACGCACACTACCTTGGGGCTGGCGACCTTGGTCGGTCGATTGTTTGGTGTTGCGCCTGTTCAGCGGCGATATACGCCAGCGTCCATTTTTGCGCAGTGGGGTGACGGCCAAGACAAGAACAAGAAGATTTCCTGAGTACCTCGTATAAAGCAGCTTCACAAGCATCATGTGGTGATGTGGGTATGCGGTGTCAATAGCATCACTATCGCATAATCATAGCTTGAAATCAGCATTGGTCCTTTCCCATCCGGCAGGAGACTCCTCCATGGCCGCCACGCGTTCCGTCAGCTTCACCTTGAGCGGCTTATTCTTATCCGTGCACAACTCGTACATAGTTGACAAGTTGAACAACAGCGTGTGCGATGAGTAGCCCTTGTCCACCAGCCCCTCGAGGATATCGCGTCCCTCGACGATGCGCCCTAGGTACAGCAGACAGGTGGCCGCGTTAACGCTCACCATCTCGTCGTCGAGCCCTGACCGCAGCGCTTGCCACCGCGCCAGCGCCGCCTCGTAGTCCGCCTCGGCCATGTCGCACAGTGCCAGGATGATTCCATCTGTCGTGCCCATGTCTTTCTCGCAGCGTCGCGCACACTCCTTTGCACTTTCGGCGTCGCCCAGCTGCAGCCACAGCAGCGCCCGGGCCAGCTCCAGGCGCGCGTCGCCGTGGCCACGCAGGCTCCGCAGCTGGTGCGCCGCGCCAGGCAGGTCATCCATGTCGACGAGCGCGCCGGCAACCTTGATGCCGAGCTCCTGTAGGCGCGCCTTCCATAGTTCCGTCTCGGAGTGCGCATGGCGCGCCGCGGCTGTGGCGATGCGCTCGCGGGCCTCACGCCCCAAGTCGTGGTAGCTCATGACAGCGCGGCGTGGGTCGCCAAATCCGAGCGCCTGCAGCCGCACGTTGAGCACGCGCAGCTCCCACGGCACCAGGTGCTCACCGGTGGCATCATCGACGTAGGTGCGCACGCTTGCGAGGTCCTCGAGCGCCTTGACTTCCTGCGCAGCGAGTGGCGTGGCGTCGATGAGCGTCAGGCACGCGAGACGCGTGTACAGCAGGTCAAAGATGCGCCGCGTGTCACGCGGGTCGACGCTGGGGCGACTGCCGCCGCTGCCGGTCAGCTCCTGCACGGCGGCGATGGCGGCGGCGCGAAAGTGGCCCCGCGCGAGCAGGTCCTCTGGCCGGCCCCGCGGGTCGGGCTGCCCCGGCGCGCTGCGGAACGCGAGGGGCACGTTGAGGGGCGTCAGCGGGTGGTAAATTTCAGCTCGCATCAGGAAGGAAAAGTCTTTGCGCTGCGGCTCGCCAATTTGTGAGACGGGGGATGAGGCCGTCGGGCGTGCGCGTGGGGACGCGGGGGGGCGGCGTAGGCTGGGGTTCGGCGAGCCATGTGATGCAGAGGGTGTTCCGGGCGTGGAAAGAGGGTCACTTATTTGTTAGTATCGATAGACGACGGTTGGGAGAGTTTGGATACTCACTCGTCGACGTCTAGCGGTCCTTTTGTTGATGCCCGCGGTCTCGATGCTGCAGGCGTTAGCGTACCGACAGGTAAACGTGCACCGCGATACATACTGCGTGATGTAGATGATTTGTTTCTGGTATGCCCTTTGGCTTCTGACTTCACTGGTTGGTTCATTGCGATTTTAGTGCCGCTATTGAGGGCCGAGATTCGTACTGTGAGTTGTAGATTGAACAGCTTCTAATTACCAGGTAATAACAGGGTAGATGTGAGGCTGGCGCGGCTAATTGGCGGGTAACACCACTGAAGCCTGCCAACTGTCGAAGTACAACGGTAGGCCCTGTAACAGCTCTGCCTTTTGACCCTTATCACCACCAACATCAGCATCACCACCAACAACACCAGCATCATCGTCCATCCTCGCCAAACAGATCATCTCCATCGTGCAGCCTTTCCTTGAGTAATACCACTACACCAGTAACCACAGCCTCGATCAGTCCGCTACCGCCTACAAGACCCCTATCATCACTCAGCAGCCCTCGATAGTGCATCGCCATATTCATTTGCAGCATATCACTACGGCGCATCATCTACAGCACATAGCTACGGCATAGCACTACATCACATCACTACAACAAATCACATGGCATCATCGCAATGGCAGTGCAGCAAAATGTTCAAGGTAAAAGCTTATATTCCGTCCATCACATGCTACACCACCGCTACAAAGTCATCAGGCTGCCCAACAGAAGTACTTGCCTACCCCCTTAAACAAGCTGTTTTCGTTAGTAGACAACCCCGGAAAGACACCGACCAAACCCAGCCCCAAACTCACTCCAGCCCGCCCCAATACCGCCGAGTAGTCCTCCTCCTCTTGAGCGTGGCCGCTCCAAGCAACCATGCCACCTAGTCAGAGACTCCTTCCTGCAGCAGCAGGTAGAGTGCCTCGAAGCCCACAGCCAGGGAGTCCGCCGCTAGGCAGTCATCCGTCGACTCGTAAAGAGTCTTCTGAGCTCATGAGCGCTGGGTCACTCGCTCAAGAGTTGGTTGGGTGGCCTGCACGTCACCAGGCTTGACTACAGGTGGTGCAAGACAATTTGCAACCCCCGGGCCGGGCTTTGCTGCTGTCGCCTTGTTTGGCATTTCCCGAGCTGGCCAGCCCAGGATGAGCCCGACAGCAAGCAGCCAGCTCCTGGCTGAGCAGCATACCTTCAAGCAGGCGGCGCTCCGCGAATGGGGCGCGGGGACCAGAGCAGGTTCCCTATGCGGCTCATAATCTGTGCATCTTTTGGGGGCACTCGGCGGCCACCAGCAGCCGTTGCTGGCGGCGCGCACAAAGCCCAGAGAAACACCAGAAGGGAGTGCTGGCCACGTCCCCAGCAGCTGTTGCGGGCGGCGCGCACAAAGCCCAGAAATATACAAGAAGGGAGTGCTGGCCGCGTCCCCAGCGGTCCACTGCGCGAGTCGGCCGCAGGTCCTGCAGATCGTAGTCGACCGTTGACTGCGTTGGGGTCCGATGTGAGGCTCTCGGTCGAGGCAGACTAGACCAGCGGTTGGCGAAATCGTTCGGCTGGGTCCAGAATCTGCCATCGCCACCCTTCAGTCTTCTGGTACGTTCAAGGTTGCCGGACAGTTCAGCCAGACTGAGCTCACCTCCGACCGTTACTTTCTTGGCGGGCCAGAGGTCAACCACCGTCGAGAGAGCGGAGCGCTCACCAACCGCTCGGTGTGGCTTGGTAGCGTGCGCATCGCCGAGACGCAGGGTTAGGTGTCGGCGACGGCGCGAGTCGACGGGCAGTCGCCAGGAGAAGTTGCGCTCTCAGGTGATCAAAAACGGCAGCCAGCCCCGATCTCCTGGCGCGTTTGGAGAGGCCGGCTGAAGGGTGGGGGCTACCGTGACTGGGGACGGCTGTGGATGGTACTTGCCGTGGAGATACCAGGCACTAGCTCCCTACCCCAGAAGCTCAATCAATGGAGGCCGGGGCAGAGACAAGCAACCCGACGACAGCAGCATATCCGAGGAACCGCAGCATCAAACGGCACCGGGACCAGGGCAACCAAAACTAGCTGGGGGGCGACGAACCCGAGGCAGATGCAGGAGTAACACCAGCGTCTCAGCATCATCAGCATCATCAGCATCATCAGCATCACCAGCATCGTCTGCACCAACACCAACACCAATACGCTGAGAGCAACTGTGCTATCGAAAGCCTTTGGGGACAGTGCATCGAATCATCGCATCAGCTATTGTAGGCGTCCAAGGAGACGCGGTATCGAACCTCAGGCAACAATGACATCTAAGTCATCCGGTTCATGGCGAGGGTGTTGGTATCCGAGTTTGAAGAGGATTTGGACCAGGCCATAGTTTGGGGAGGCGAGGGTCTGAGGCAGGCTAGGCTCCAAGGGGCATATGCCGGGACGTATTATGAGAAATATTGGCCGCTGGAGAGCAATAGGTCTTGGGGAACTTGAGAGCGTAGACTCCTCAAAGGCGGCCTTGTCTTGGAGGAGTTCGAGGGCGTCGAAGTAGACTGGGTGTCGGGGATCGGGGAGGCGAGAGAGTCGGGTGTCGTAGGGTTCGCCGCGGCCGGGTAGTAACGCTTGTACCTTGTCGAATTGTAGAACAGTTAGTATTTGGTTTCTCAGACAAGTGTATCAGGGTATGCACGTACGCCGGCGCCCCGGCTACAGGTTTTTATGCGTATTGTAATACTATGTAACCTAGGTCAGTTAACAGGTGTTGGTCGGCCAAGGATGGTATCAGGATAATAGACTTACATGACCCCTCAATCCACCACACTTTCCCCCTTCCATTCCTACTTCTAAGTTAAGCAACCTAAGTGAAGTTAGCAGATGTTGGTCGCCAATGAGATGGTATAGAAAATTGTACTCCACACTCAGGCCACCGCCAACCCCCCGCTTTGCCCAGAGGCAACAGCGCACCCTAGAGTAACGTCAGCAAGTCTTAGTCAATCGCATTCGTATAGAGACTAACAGTAGAAGTAAAGTCCTTTTGGGCCTCTACACCCCAGCTAGTGTCGATTGTCGTATACTGTCGGGGGCAGCTGGTGTCGATGTTGGTGTAGAGGCTTGTCCTATTGAACGTTAGCTAGAACTGGCATGGGAGGTTTGGAGGAACATACGACGGGGAGGAAAAAAAAAAAAAAAAAAAAAAACCCCAGGTAACAAAAGAATAATGGGCGGGGAAAGAAAGAAAGAATAATGGGAAAGGGACAAAAAAGAAAACGGCCCAAAAGGAAACAGCTGCGGCAGCGAGAGTTGTCGTCGGGCGAGTGTCGTCGGGCGAGAGTGTCGTCGGGTCGGTCGATCCTACAGAGAAAAAAAACGAACAGGTTAGTACCCGGGAGCCCTGCCTGCCTTCCTTCCCCCAAACTGTGAATGTTAATGTTGTCGACCGCTAGCTAGCAGACCCCGTTCGAACCATTCCAAAGACCACTTCGACCAAGTCAGCGGGTCAACTTGATCGATCCGATCAAAGGTTTGTTCCGAAGGGGGCCTGTTGTCGAAGGCCATAACATGAGTGTGAATGTGAAGTCTAAGAAAACGGGAAGTGCACTTGGGGGAGTCGGCGTTTATATAGCTTTGGGGTCGTTCAGAAACAGATTCTAGGGGAGCAAGGGAGAGTGATTCGCAGACTGGTCACTTCGACTCAGTTTGGCAAAGTCTGGCGAGAATACGAGGTTTGCTCTGGTTGACTGAGTCCATCTCGCGTTGTGGAAGCCTGTGCCATCTCGCATTGTGATAGCCCGTGCCATCTCTTCTGCAGTCGGCAAGAAAGGAGAGCCAATCGATCACAATGAGGCCATCAGTTCGTGAAACGCATGCTGTGTAAAACTATACGATGATATTCACTCTGTTGTTTGTATCAGGCAGGCAAGCAATATTAGCTGTTGTGTCCGTGGCGTGGCTGGATCCGTGTGTGGCCCCGTCCTGCCCGCCATCTCGACGCCATCTATTTGCTGCTCAACTCAACTATTTTTGAAAATGAGAAATAACACGCTTACCAATATTTGAATACGATGTTAGAAAACTCCGCTTTCCGGCCAAAGCAATACCGTCAGATAAGGATTGTCAGTGATTGTCAGTGAATACCTGGTGATGGCCAACGGCGCACAGGGGCAGCAGGTCTTACCGCCACCCTCCCGCGTTGCATGTTTTAATGTGAATCGGTCGTTGTTATAGGATTTGATTGGCAGTCCGGGCTGTACTCTGCGCCAAGAAGACGGGGCAAGCATGAGCAGTGACACGCAAACGGCAAGTGCTAGTGGATTTTGAAAGAAAACAAGTTCATATAATGTGAAACTCTATTATATACAGTAGTTCACGGGTGTACAGAGTTTCATTGTCCTCTCATTTACGAGAAGGAGCCGAATGTGCATAGAGTATTGTAGGTCTGGCAGGGGGGTTCTAACGCACCACTAGCCAGCGGAGGGGCGGATGAGATCGAAACTGGCGAAAAATGCCATGGAAATGTCGAGGAACGCTTAAATAACGTTGACAAGTTTAATCACCATTTAGAATAGTTAGGACGCGCAAATCCTATTCTTAACGTGATTCCCGAGTTTGTCTTGGTGACGCCCCACAGCCACTTACAGACTTTGGCACCAGCCAACGCAACCCCACCAACCAACCAAGATCATCATCTGAACCGCATCTCTTGCCAGCTCGCAATGCGGACTCGGAGGTCGAATCGCACCAAAAGCTATGCAGAGGAAGAGTATCACTTTGGAGATAGTTCCACGGAAGATGATGTGATTGCCCAAGCTCCCAGCAATGATGAAGAGGAGGGTGCCAACTTTGAAAATGAGGCGGCCACAGAGGATCCAGAGGAAGAGGATGACGAGCAGAACAACACAGCAGATGAGGACAACGCCTCAGAGGAGGATGGCATCAGCATAAGCGAATCAGAGAGTATACAAACTACCACGAAGCCCGCACGACGTCGCGCAGCAAAGTCTGAGGCGGGAACAGCGCCGCAACCACCAGCCCCCAAGGGGGGCGGGAAAACTACCAAGCTCACTAGGGGCTACCTAGAGATCCCGCTGGCCACGCAAGAGGGCGGCCACCAACCCAAGACGTACATTGGCCCTAACGACCGCGCCGTGCGTCGTCATCACCTCGTCTCCGCGTGGTACGGGCCAGACGAGGAACGCATGGAGACGGTGCAGGCCTTGCTCAACCGGTGGTTCCAGTGGCCGGTGCTACCCCCCAGAACGCCCCAGGGCGATTCACCCGTGCCGTCGAGGGGGGCCTGGCTGGATGACTATGAGGGAAGGGAGGCTGCGCTGGCTGCTGCGTGGCGGGCCAAGGTTGAGGCGGCGATGGACGGTTGCCGACCACTGCGAGGCCTATCGCCAGCAGAGGCGGCGCCGTACAGAAGTCCGACACACCGTATGCCTGTTCTTGTCGGGCCTTCGGTCACAGAGGAGGTGTTTTTTGTGTCCGGTGGTGGTTACGCCCTCTCGCAAGCAGGGATACCTTTCGAATACGACGAGAGCGACGATAAGGAGCCGAGTGGGTGGATTTTGGACACGGGGGGCATTGTTACGAGCATGGATTGGGCACCGCGTGCGCGCGAGCAAACGAGGCAGCGCCTCGCCGCTGCTGTGATGCCACATGCGGATCAAGAGGTGCACGAGTTTGCGGACGAGGCGGCCAAGACGCAGTTTCAGTCTCGCGGTACGGTGCAGCTGTGGGAGGTGCAAGGAGATGTGCCGGCCGCTCGAGGTTCGGCGATGACGACAACCCTGCCTCCGTGCCTCACCAGAACGCTGTGCTTCCCTCATGGTCGGGCGAGGCGTGTGCGATGGAATCCAATCGGTGGCTATCTCGCCGTTTTGTGCGCCAACGGTGCGGTGTACGTATTTGAGGTCGACGATGAGGGCTTGGAAGAATACGGCAAGTGCATGCGAGCCGTTCTGTTGTGTTCATGTGCGCTAACTTGAAAGTAGAGGAGCTTCTTACCCCTGTCGCCGTCTTGTGTCTACGGAATGAGGCGGGCATCGACGCCACCGCCATGAGCTGGGCGAGTATGAACCGTCTTGTGGTGGGCTACTCAGACGGTTCTGTAGCACTGTGGTCCATCTTCCCTTGTTATTTGCTATCTCGCCACGCTGTTCATCATAGTCATGTCGTGGAAATCGCCACAGGCTACCCGAGTATGCCGTACATTGTTGCTGCGACGCCGCTAGGCGGCACAATGCGTATTCTAGACCTGGAGGCGCCGAGTTACGAGTTTACAGAGATGCAGTCCATCACCGTAACCACCCAGCCCGGCCTCTTGGCGTGGAGCGACCAGATGCTGGGCTTCTTCTCCGTCTACCCTTCGGCACGCGTAAACAATACAGTCATTGGGTTCATGCACCACGCCAACTTTCCGCTTTTCCGTACGACGTTTACGGGCGACAGTTTTCCCTCCTGCATTGCCACTGGGAAAACACATCCGTTCCTGTTGATTGGGCTGATGGACGGCTCGGTCTGGTGCATCAACCCCCAAGTCGAGCACTTCAACAGCCGCAGCGACGCGACGTATCGTCTTCGTCTGTTCCAGCACGAGCACCGGCCCCATCATCTGTTCCCACTAGACTCGCCTGCTGGCAGGAGAGGTGCGTCACGCGTGGTGCAAGGTTTCGAGGTAGAAAAGAACCGAAACCCAAGAAACGACACGCAGCCAGCTACGAAAAAGGGCAAGGCAGCAGTCAAGAAGAAGCAGAGCAGAGTAGTGGAAAATGCCGACGAGGACGGGGACGATGTGCTCAAGTCGAGCGATGCGTCCCGCGCGGCCGTGCACGAACCTCTGACTAGAATCACAACGATGGAGTGGAATCCCAACGACGGCTACGGCTGCTGGGCAGCCATGGCGATGGGCTCAGGCCTTGTGCGAATCATGGACCTGGGAATTGAGAACAAGGATAATGACGAGTAATATGATACCATACTTTATTGGAAATGAGGTAACGCCATGTGTGACTACAAGTTTCAACATGACTATGCCGTCTATGGACATTGTGAGCCGTTGCCAGTGTGGTGGTAGTCAAAGGCCTTGGCCATGCCATAAAAGTGTGTAGCTGCAGCGAGAAGCACACAGACATGAAATATCTGATGCGAGCTGCCCCAAATGTCAAATTTGCCCGGGAAGCTCCTCTCCGGCCAGCGTGCCTGGGCAGTGTTAGCAGGTAATTGTTCAGGCGTATGGAGCACAGAGCACTTACAGCGTAGAGAACAGCACCAAATATGTACAGGACACCTTGGATAATGACCCAGCTCAGACCCATGCGATCCTCAAAGTACTGGTAGCCGTGGCTGCGAACGCCATGGACAATGGGCACGACGCCCGAGACGCCGAGGCTGATAAACATGGTGGCGCGGTAGGGACGCCAGGCCGACGTGCGGAAGCGCTCAACCCAGGATACGGTTGCGCAGGCAGCCCCCAGAGCGCACATCTACGCCCACGGGTCGCCGTTTGTTAGATGTTGTCTCGGGAAGTCCAACGGGAAGCAGTTTGGCAGACGTACCACGTAGAGATAGGCCTGGAACAGCACAGGCTGGCAGAAGAAGCCGTAGTAGAGCGCGGGCACATAGCTCCCGACAATGAGGGCGACGATGCCTGTGTAGTCGAGCTTGTTGCCCCATTTGGCGACGGCCTGCGAGTGGTCGAGCACAGCGTGAAAGGTGGCGCTCATGCCTAGGCAAACGACAGCGCCGCCAAAGAAGCAGGCAAAGACGGCGACATCGGCCGCGCGCGCCGACTCATACCGAGGGTGCACGGTGAGGTAGACGTAGCAGGCGCTGGCGATAGCGGCGAGTGCGCCGAGGAGGTGCGTCCAGATGTTGACCGACTCGTTGTGCAGGTAGAGCAGGGAGCGGGCGGCGTGCGCATACGACGCCCGGATCGGACGGTAGCCGCTACGGATAAAGGCATTGTCGCGCCGCCAAGCGGGCAGGTCGTCCCAGAGATGGAGGAGCGTGTGCTCGACGCGCTGCTCGATGGCGTGGGCGGCGTGGATGGCGGAGGCGGTGATGGAGGGCCGGCGCTGGCGGACGGTGGACGTGGCCATGGCGAGGTCTCGAGGAGTCGCCGATTGGAGTAGGATGGATTGGTTCAGGAAGAGGTGTATGATGGGTTATGACTTCATTTCGAGATGCTAGTATTGATCTAGTGATGGGCGGACAATGCATTTGTTGGTACGGGTCTTGTGCTTTTTGTTGGGGCTCACATGGGATTCCTGTCGGCGCTCCGAGGCTCAAGCATGGTCTTCGACGACGACACGGACATTGCTACAAATCGGGTTGAGTGGTGCCTCAGCACTGTACTATCTGCTTTAGCATAATGGTAACAAATGAATTCATTTATTTCTGTAGGGTTGCAATTTTACAGCACTTGTCACCACTCCTGTTTGTTCGGCGCTTGTTGGCTGGGCTTTCCTAGCGCTAGTAACGACGCTGGCAGGCAGATGACAAGGCACTGTAGTAAAAACGACGTACAGGAACAGAGGGTGAAATAATAATAAATATTAAGGAAAATCTAATGAACTGACTTATATATATGAAGAAGAAGATGGTGATCAGGAAAATGACAATAATTAAAAAGACGAGGGTATTATTGACCGGTGGTGGCTGGGCACTCTCACCAGATGCAAAAGACTGCTTCAAGTTCACATCATCGTTCAAAAATGAGAGGAATTCCTCTTCTTACAGCTAGCAATTTTAAATAAGATATCAACATTTACCGTTACCACAAACAAAGTGACTGGACAGAGCATAATAGACAGCACCGCCAAGCTTCGCCTCGTATTCTCTCATCAAGAACAACATCACGACTGTCGGGTAGCCTCTGCGATTCAATTCCATGAGCAGGAGCATCTCCTCCGTCACTAACAGCACACCTGCATGAGAAGAGTCCGTCTCCATTCTTGTGCGCCGCTGCGGCAAAAACGTATGGCGCCTACCACCCCAAACAACACACGCCACTGTAGCACATGACACCCTCCATATGCATTTATCAAGAAGTTGTACAAGAACAGGCATTGTGGAACGCTGTGGGTGCCGGATGGGTTTCCCCTCGAATTTGAAAACCTTCCTCTTACAATGCAGTGCGGTACAGTCCATGAAGTACAGCCACTATCGCATCAGTCATAAAAAATGCTGCCAAATCCATAGCTATTGCCAACCTGCCCCCGCGAGGTGCCTTTGACTTCAATCCTGTGAACCTTGGCCATGCCAGGTCTGTCCAGTAGCGTCTCCGCCGTGACAGTCGCAGAGTATTCATTTCCCACGCGGACCCGCGCCTTTTCATCCACCACTACATTCTCCGTCACCGCCATGACCAGGGTATCCTCGCTCTTGGCCGAGCCGCGCCGGATTTCCTCGTCCATGGCCGCAGTGGTATCCAACAGGGCCTCTTGGGCCTCCGGCAGCGATACCCGGGGCAAGGTAAGTTATGAGTATCAGATTATTGCGGAGTACCTTCCGCTGGTTTGAGAAGAACGCCCCGAGCCACCCACAGAACCATTCTCTTTAATTCCCTTTTCGCGAGATCCAGACTTTGTTAGTCGCGGCGACTTTTCTTGACCGAATTCAAGGGCAGTGCTCTCAGCCTCCTGGGCGGGTGACTCTAGTCGGGCTCGGCGGTATCGGAAAATCTCAACTGGCTCTCGAATATGTCTATCGAGCAACAGAGAAGCAAAAGGATCTCTGGAGCGAGGGTTTATGAAAGCTTTCGCGCTATAGCCGAAGCCATAAAGCTTTCTGGAAGACAAGCCCCAAAATCAGACATCCCACAACGTTTGTATACTTGGCTTTCAAACGAGAGAAATGGGAAATGGGAAATGGTCAATGGTTCTCGACAGTGCCGACGACCAGAATGTGTCTTATGGTACAGAACAGGGCGCTGGGCGACAGCCTTCACCGAATCACGGGAGAAAGACGCAATCTAGTTGTTCAAAATGGGGCTAGGGTCTCATCCGGTAACCTTAGAATCCAGGTCCTTCGTCGCGATCGATTACCAACGCCAAGCGCGCATAAATTAGGCTGTCGAGCTCTTATTTCATTTGGTTGCCGAATCAAGACTCAACTACGGATCCAGCTGCCCTGCTACAGTGGATTATATGGAAGGGCAGTCACAGTCTTGGTTGACATGAGGAAACGATAGCTATGCAACTAGAGGTAGTTCCTTCGCAACGATCCATGTATGGCTTAAATTATTACGTCGATACGATCGTCTCGATGCTTAGCTTGGGCTAGTATTGCCGTGGTGGCGGTCCGCTCAGCGACGACCAGCAACTCTACAATGAGATTATCGGCATATGTGAAGCCAATTACGGCTTCGACGACGAGAGAACACTGGATGCAGTGGAGAAATTTGCACTCTTGTCGGACTCTAGCCTAGAGCATTACGCAAAAGCCAAGTCTCTGCCTGAGAAAGTCCTCGAGGTTCGCAAATAAATAAAGAATGTCACAAACAACAAGGCAACTCTCGACATTATGCTATCCTTTGCTCGGCTGCAAACGCAGCAGGAATACTCGGCCGAGGCAGAAGCACAGCAGAAGCAGGTCCTAGAGGTGTATAAGACTGCTGTAGCTAGTCAACGTCGGCATACTGCCAAGATAACGAGAGACCTGGCGCAAACTGTCAGCGAACAAGGCAAATGTGAGGAGGCGGAGGCTCTGTTTAAAGAGGTCGTGGCCAGTCACAAAGCCACAGTTGAGGACTGCCATTGGAAAAGTATGAGAACCATGGACGACCTACGTGAAATGTACGCTATTGAAGATCGCCAGCACGAATCGGACGAGCTCGATCACGAAATTATCAGGATGTACAAGGGGCATATGGGCCAGAGGATAACAAGACGCTCCAACGCCAAGAGACGTGGTCACTGCGCCTCATCGAGCAGGACAGGGACGAAGAGGGAGCGGAACTTCTTACCGAGGCCATCGAGTGCCGAGGGCGCCTAGGAGGGTTGGAGGACTTAGACACCATTGCCATGATGAATATCCTGGCACGAGCGTATTCAGCCGTTGGGCAGTACACCAAAGCAACGCACATGCAGAGGGACTGATTGAGGCAGTATCAACGCGTCCTCGGCCCAAAGTACAAGGATACCATTTGCATGCAGGATGAGCACAATGGATGGCTAAGAGATTTGTTTGAGCACGACGAAGAGCACGCTCGGGATCCTAGTGAGACGCCGTGTGAGGAGTATGTGCTTGCGAGGCTAGCAAGGCTGCGCGGCTGTAGGAACGAGGGCCATTGGCAGCATTTATCCGTTCAAGAAGACTCTTCTCTCCCCATATGACTTCATCTGCGGCAGTATTTATTTCGAGGTGACATCGAAGACGACCAATCTGCTGTAATGGCAGTCGAATTGGTCGACAGTTTCAGAGGAGGCATTGGACATAGTATCAACTCGGAGAGTCAAACTTCATTTGAACGAAAAAAAAGAAAAAATCTGAAATCAATCACAACACCAAACAGAGCGCGTCGTAATCATCATGTCTGCTCCTCGCAGCCGCCTATTTTTTGGCGCTCTTCTTGCCAGCCTTGTCGGCACGTAATTTATTCGCCGCCTCCTGTATCGCTTTCTTTTCTGTTGAAAATCAAATCAGCCAATGTTGTCACAAGAGTGCAGTCTCTTCATTTCGTACCGTCGTTCACTTTTTTCTGATGGGCAATGTCCACCTCGTCGAGCTCTTTCGCCGCCTTCTTGGGAGCCTTCAGGGGCTTGGTCCTGCCGTCTGTGCATAAAATCCAGTGTTAGCCCATATGAATACTGGTGGCCGCAGGCAGGACGCGGCCAACCAGCCAGCAATGAGAGTTCGTCCCGAGAAAGCGGTAACGTCACATGCCTCCTTTCTTGACATTGCCGCCCATTTTTTGGCCTTTTGCAACGTGAAGAGAACCTTGTGTATTCGTGAGTAACTCGGGGGATCGACGAGTCGAAGTGTGTAAAATCGTTGGAATATCGTTCAAAATGCGTAAGATTCGACAATCAGATCAGAGAGAAAATACCTTCGTCAGAATGGTCCATTCGTACTAGCTCGCCACTTTATTAGCCACCTGTAGCGGCCTTCCCGAACAGTCTACAGCCAGAGCTGCTTTAACCGTTTGACCCAATACGCAGCGTGCATCTCCACAATACCGTAAAGCAGCGTCGGTACTCAAATCGTCAGGCATCGTCCGTGCCTACTCCGCCCAGACATCGTCGCAACATCCGACGTCTCCAGCAAGGCGAAAGGTACGGCTCGTATCTTCATCCCTCAATTCATCACAGTTCATCCTACATCGGAGAAGTCTGCCCAGCACCCCAATGACCTGAGGCTGACGAGTCCACGCTGAACCGGTTCGACCACAACCTGCTGAACATTGCTTTGGAATTGCTCAGTGCTGACACTTGCTCGTTGCTCCTCACTGTATAAAGATCCCGCAAGGGTCGCAGCGCAAAATTCATTATGTCGAGTTCCGACGAGGGCGAAATTGTTGAGGACAATGGAGGCAATTTGAAGGCATCATCACTGCCGTGCACACAAGGAAGCAGTGTTGACCGTCGAGACAGACTACCTAACCGGGACTCGCCCGATCGAGACTCGCAGAGAACCCGCTCCCCCAGAGGCTACAAGCGCGGCCGCGATGACTACGATGCACGGAGCCGGCGACGCGATGTGCCAGGCCCGTCTCGCTCCGACCGTGACAGCCGCGAAAGACGTGACGACCACAAGCGCTCAAGAATATCCTACGACGATCTGGATCGATCCTCTGGACGAGGGCTAGACAGCAGAGACATCCCAAACCGCAGCCGTGATCGCAGCCGAGACCACTACAACGATAAAGATCGCGACCGCCGTCACAGCCGCTCACCGCCCCATCGATCGCACCACAACGATCACAGCAGCGGACGCAACGGAAGAGGTGGGCGCCGCATCTCCCCAGGACGGCGCAATCACGGTCTCGACTACGACAATTACCGCGACTCTACCATGGCAAGTTCTGAGTCACGATGGAGGACCGGCGCGTCAGTGCCTCCCGCAGCCAATGCAGATGCTAAATCACACAAACACAGTTCTGAGACTGGTGCCGCTGCTCGCGCCGATCCAGCCACCAAGTCAGTGCACTTCGCAGAGTTTGATAGCAGCGGAGTACTGACCAGCTCCAGAGAACAACCTGCCGCTGATTCGAACTACGATTATGACAATCAAGAGGAATTCGACGAAGAGGCCGAGATTGAACGTCGTCGCAAACGCCGCGGAGCACTTCTCGCAAAATCTAGCTCTGCTACACCCTTGCTTCTTCAAGCTGTCGGAGCCACCGAAAAGGTTCGCGCAGCCTCGCCTACAGTCTCGGATGCGACCATTGACGTAGAGACGCCGCAAACACCACAGTCAAGTAAGTTCAGCCTACGTTGCTCTGGTCACTCCCTTTTAACAAGCTAGACATGACATCACCTAGGTCACCAGCATCGCACCATGCCATGTCTCCGGGAAGACTTGATCTCACCGACGACCGCGCTCTGATGAACAGCCACGCCGTTCCAAAAGACGACGAAGATGACGGCCCATCCGCAGCTGATTATGACCCAACAGTTGATATGAGAGTGGATGAACAGCGCGATGGGCTTCGTCAAGGCCATGCAGTAAACGGTATTGCGCAGGCTGAACAGAATGGGGTCGAAGCGAAAGACGCGCGCGCAGACGAGGACGAAGACGATGGTTTCGACATGTTCGCCGACGATTTCGACGAGGAAAAGTACGCGACGATGCCAGCCCAGGGCGACGAGGTAGCTGCCAACACTGGCAAAGGAGGCATCCTCGAAGGTGACGACAAGGACGGCTACTACAAGATGCGAGTCGGCGAGATCATCAACGGTCGTTACCAGATCCAGTCGACTCTTGGACGAGGCATGTTCTCGGGCGTTGTGCAGGCCCTCGACACGACCACAAAAATGCCAGTTGCCATCAAGATCATGCGAAACAACGATGCCCTGCGTAAAGGCGGCTACACCGAGATTGCGATCCTCGAAAAGCTCAACGACGCCGATCCAGAGAATCGCAAGCACATCGTCAAGTTTGAAGTCTCATTCGACTACCGCGGGCACTTGTGCATGGTGTTTGAAAGCCTGAGTATGAACTTGCGTGAGGTGCTACGAAAGTTTGGTAACAATGTCGGCATCAACCTCAGCGCGACGCGAACGTATGCATACCAAATCTTTGTCTCGTTGGCTCACATGCGCAAATGCAGCATCATCCATGCTGATTTGAAACCCGACAACATTCTGGTGAGCGTTGAGATACTCTTGAGACGGTACCAAGCTAACCGAGACGCAGGTGAATGAAAACCGCAGCATGCTGAAAATTTGCGACTTGGGAACGGCCATTGATCGGTCAGACGCAGCAACCGCACATACGGAGATCACTCCGTATCTTGTCAGCCGATTTTACCGAGCGCCAGAAATCATCCTCGGCATGTCGTATGATTACGGCGTCGACATGTGGTCCATCGGCTGTACACTCTACGAGCTCTACACGGGCAAGATTCTCTTTACCGGCGACAGCAACAATCAGATGCTTAAGGCCATTATGGAAATCCGTGGACGCTTCACTCCCAAGCTGTACAAGCGTGGACAGCTCTCGGCCGGCCATTTTGATGATCTGGGCCAATTTGTCAGCGTAGAGCACGACAAGCTCCTCAACAAGGTACGTTCCTTTTTCAAAATTTGTCGTATTATCACCTGCCTTCTTTTGCACCACATGGCTTTGTCTCTAAGCAATCTGCTGGTTACTATTTTTGAGCATGACGTGCATTAGCTCCAGGTGGTGAGAAAAGCCGGCGTTCTAAGCGCCGACGTGGCGGCCCCTGCATCCAACGCTACCAGCCTCCGTAGCCAGTCAACTCGGAGCGCAAGTGAAATCCCATCGCGGCGGTTACGGTCGCAGGTGGCCGCATCGTCGGGCTTGGCCTGGGTGCATGAGATGGCCGGACCAGGGCAAGCAAAGGATCCGAAACAGTGGATAGTCGCCGGTGTGAGAGGTGAGGCTGTTTTGACACAACCAAGCTGGCACTGAGTGACATGACATCTCTGGGGCTGGCCTGCGAAACGGATCTGCCTTGCTTTCTACATGGAAATTTATGACGAGTTATGTAGCTAACGTGTGCTTTTTGTTCCAGACCGCTGTACGAACGCTGCCGGTGGTGAAGCCCACGCGGGACCTTCGGACGCGCCTGATGGCTGCGTCAGCGGGGATGAATGACGCGGAGACCAAGGACCTGAATCACTTTGTCGACTTGCTGGAGCAGTGCCTAGCGTTGAATCCGGACAAGCGGATCAAGCCCACGGACGCGCTGAAGCACCCATTCTTTACATCGAGGGCGTCATCCGTGAAGCGATGAAGAGGACGTTGCATGCTTTCGAATGCATACACGCTATAAATCTGCTATAGAGTGGGACGTGTGCGATTCAAGTACGCTGTATTTGTCAATAGGTGGCGAATTAGGTCGTGAATTGAACACTCATGCATTACATGTCGATTTAGGTATTCATGTCTACCATGTAAGAGATGCGTAGGTTGCCGATGTAACCTGCCCGTCCGAATTGCCTATTGTGGTCACATAGCGACGTGAAAGATGTCATGTACGCGAAGACGTGTTTCGTAAGACGGTGTAGGTTAATGGCAAGCCCTCGCACGGGATGTTCGCTGGGCGGCACATCATGTGATGGCAACGCCATGTTGCGCGCAGTGATCTGGAGAGGGACAAGGGACATTCCTGTGTCGCGGAACTTTTTTTCACAGTTGTCACGACGGTGCCCTGCTTGTTCTTGTGATACTCGAGGCTTGCGTATTGGAGGTGCGACTCGTGCAACTACCCTGTACCCATCACCAACACACTCTAGGGGCTGTCAGTGGTGGTTTTGTCGCGGAATCGCGCAATAAATGTCAAGTGGCGAATTTTCGTGGCTTTGTCTTGATTGCGTGAGGCGCATTTGGTGTAATTTAGAGCCCAACAGGGTTTGTTTTGCGGACGAGTGGTACATGTGCGTTTCCGAGGCTTGCGACACAATTAATGAGTCACGACAGAACAATAAATCGCATCACGAGCGTGGAATGAAAATAGCCTTTCGCAGTACACCACGTCATTCACAGCTATGTAATTCTAGAACATGTTCAATTTTGATACGGGAGAGCCGTGCAGGCAGTTGGTGCTGCCACGGTTGTTGGTTACACGGGGGTCTTGCTCTCTGACGGCGGCTCCCGCTGGGATGAGAACATGAGAAGTGATATTGTAAAAAGTCACCTGCAATGTTTTTTGAAGTATTGACTACGCAGATGCCTCAAACAAGCCACACCCGGGAAGCATATGCGGTGCAGCGTAGCACTAACACGCAATGGCAAATGGAACAACAAGTGTCAAAGCATCATCATCTTGTATTGGCTCAACGCCAGCGCACGCTCACCACGCACCAAGAGACATGAACTCAGCCACAGTCACACTACCGTTCACAGCAGCACAATCTGGCGGCGCTGTCGTGGGCGGCCTTTGCGAAGGGTCACCGCAGCGTCGGTTCCGAAGGTCGTACAACAGCAAGCCAGCAGTATGCCGGGCCACTTTGCGCTTGCAGCGGACGTGCATTCAATGCAAATGGGCCTGCCTGGCCCGGGCCCGGGCAAGTCGGTGAGCTACGGTCGCTTCTCAGCCTAGTTACGGGGGACACGGGTATTCATGCTTGAGATTGCAGGGTTGCCTTGAAGTGACCGACCGATACCCCAGTCGTCGAAAAAAAGTGACGAGCATGCGCGTGCCACTGCGGGCGCGGACAGACCTCTCCCCAGCGTAATTTCGCTAGTTGCCGGGATATGTTTTGCAGATGTGGTGTTCAACGTGGCTGCCATGCAAGGGCGGACCGACGGGAGTTGGTGCTCATTCAGCTTTGCATCCGTGCCTTTATTGTTACGAATTGTATCATAGAAATGTCGAAGCATTGCCAAGCTACGGAATGGACACAAGGAAAAAAAAAAGGCATCAAGCGAGGGCTAGTTACTAAATTAGAGAGTGGCTTGCTCCCTCGCGTGGCAACTTGTTTTAACCACGGTTTCAAAACGCCGAACAAAGTAAAAAAAAAAACTTGAATTCTTTTCTGGAACGTGCGGCAAAAGAGGGCAAAAGAAGCAACGTTTGCATTTTTCGGGCGTCTTTGCAGGCTTGGAGGCGTCATGCGAGATCGCCAGCATGAACACCTTCCCTGTCCTAGTTGCCTGTAGTGTCAAGATAGCCGGCACTATTGAAACGCTAAAAAATCCGCGCATTCCCCGGACTTCCTCTCCTAACCATTTGGCCTGGGTTTTTTTTCTCGATGTGTGCATGATGTGCAAGGAATTGCGGCGCATGTTCGCATTGATGTCATGGAGCGACACCCCTACCTTAGTCGAAACTCGGGTGGGATGGGGCGGGCGGACGAGGCTGACAAGGGGGTTGGTGATTGGTTCCAGCAAGCCTTCCGCCTGGCTGGGCATTGTTTGGTCGCAAGGCGAAAAGGGAAGAAGAGAGGCAAGAAGAACTAGCGAAACGCGGCCCGCTGAGCAAGCTTTGCTCAGCTCATGCGTGGCGCTGGTTGGCGAGCTTGTTGCTTCAGCTGGCGGCTCGCCGACTACACGTGCGGTGGCTTGCTTGTTGAAATGTGACTGATGAATGAGCAGCTACAAATTACATGATCCGGAAAATCAAAGGCAAATCTCGACGACAGTGACCGTGCGGCCAGAGCGGCGAATCAGCACCCAGCCAAAGTCGTGGACTCCCGGGAACTCAATGGTTGGGAACACCAGGGCCAAGCAAGAAAAAGCAAAGTCGGCATTGGATGAGGCTGGGGTGGCGCATCGTGATGGTAGGCTATTGAGCCCCAAGACGTGTTAGTTGCTGAGAGAAACCCGAGGGAGTGGTTGACTCGAACATGTCCAAGCACTGCGCGGTCCAAACGTTGAACAGATGGTCTCGTCGGGATGGGATGCACGCTGGATAGAAGCACCATTCCATGTGCCGGTGGCCAGGACCATGCAGATCAACGTATCCGTAAAAGCCTCATCCACGGGGTACTTACTCTATCATCCACGGGGTACTTACTCTATTATGGCAAGCTTGACCGCCGGCAGAGAGAGTCAGTCATCTCCCAAAAGATGGGGGTTTTCACAAATTGGAATAAAAGACTGCCGAGGTGACTAGGGACGAAGATGAAACAGCCGTGACGTCGTTTCGTCAGGCATCGTGACCCTCGTCGCGTAAATGCGCATAAATAAACTGCCGTTCTGGCACCTAACTGGTATGACCAACGCGTGCCCGATATACGAGTCGTGGAGACTAGGCAGCTGTCAAGATCTTGATTGCAAATACTTGGTTATTACGGAGCAGGTAGTTAGAGCAATAGCGAAAAAGAGAGAGCAATAACGTCACAAGGGGTTTCCTAGCAATCCAGGGTCCTCTCTACATGTCTCGCAAAACGTCACAGGGCGCAAGCCCTTGGCAACATGGAATGCCTTTTTTTCCTTTTCCGGTTCTTTGAGACGTTTTTGTCTGTCATTGAACCCCGTTGTTTGGTTTCCGCAAGCGAGGGAAATTTCTTGTCCGACTCCGTCGCGTTGCATTTTTTTCAAAACAAAAAAGGGTCACCGAAAACAAAGGCCGAGCAACGTAAACAAACAGGAAAAGCACATTCTGATGCAAGGGAGGTGCAATCGGGAGCCGTTCACGTGGAACAAGAAAAAGAAAAAAACGCCCAAAAAGGGCGGACTGGAGAAGCCAGGACCCTGAATATGACGAGCGCGCCCACGTCGCAGTTTCGTTCGAGGCGACCAGACAAAAGACAAGGTTGGGGAGGGCTATGAATAGAAGCCCCAGGGAAGCTTCCTTTTTTTTCTTTTCTTTGGGGGCGGCGAAATGCCTGTACACGGCACAACCCACCAAAGCCGCCCGCTTCTGTCTCTCTCTCCCTTCAGTCGCGTAAAAAGGAATTCTTGCTTGATATTATTAGGTGCCATGTCTTAACAAAAAACTGTGGATGGTTTGCTCCACACGTCATCTGAGAGAAGGGGGGGGGGGGGTCGCTTTGAATCTCACGCGACTGCAACGACGACCCCTTGAGTTGTTCAGTGGAGCCTCCTCACGATGTGCCGGTCTTTTTTCTTTCCAGTTGTTTATTATCGTGAAAGGAACGTAGAAGCCCCAGTGCGTCCTAGAACCAGCGCGCCCGCGTGTGGATGTGTGAGACACTCATGACGGGCTTCTCGTTTGCCACCAGCCTCCACTTGCGGTTGAATCATTCCATGCCCGCCGCGCGCGGCGGCACCCTTCCAAGTTTCTCGGTTGCTTGTGTTCGAAGCAAAACCGTTCCAGCCTCTCCCGGCCGCCGCCGCCGCCGCCGCCGGCGTGCGTGTGTTGTGTGTGTGTGTGTCTCGCGGCCGCGCGCGGGTGGCACCCACACCCCTTCCTTCTACTGGCATCGAAAAGGGATCATGACCTGGATTTGCCAGCGCATCGCCAACCACCACGCGGACGCAGAAAAAAAAAAACCGCACCAGCCACACCGACACCGCCCGGGATGGGAACCCCTGCTTGCCGGGCCGTCCTCGGGGGGGGGGAGGGGGCGCAAGGCTATGCGGTCCCGTGGCCTGTGATGAAGGCGGCATGGGCAGCACTTGGCGCTTCAAAAAACCCCCGTTTCTTGTGCCTTCGCAAGTACCAATCGAATGACAAAAAGGAAATAGAAAAAGCTTCGAGACACATGACGAGCCGCGGTGGCTAGTGGCTTTTTGCGCCCTGTTGATCTATCCCGCTCGGCATCTTGTGTCGTAGCCGGTTAGATGGACTCACTTGTCGCCCATATTCTTGAATTTGTGCTACATGCGCAGTCAGCTTGACGCGCTCTCCTGTCGGCGTACACTTCTCCTCTTCATGCAGATTCATTTGCGAGGTGGGCTGACAGATGGTGGGTGTGTTCATGCGGCTCCGCCTTGGTTTAGAGATGCCTACCTGCCTGGTATGGAAGAAGGGGGGCGATGACCGAGGTTGGGCAGCAACATGCCCATCATTTGACGTCTGCGGTAGCATAACGCATTCTAGACAGACTACACAAATAACCACACTGGGTAACCCCCCTCCAGAGGGCCAACGGGAAGCCGCTGTCGAAAATGCCGGACATGGCTGCATACCACGGCGCCGTAAGTGGGGCTCCGGCCTCCGGAGCGACGGAGCCAGAATTGGGAGGGCGGCACTAACTAACAAGACGCCATCGAGAGCGGCGTTGGACGACAAAGGCCACTCCGGTCTCAAAGTTCAAGTCTACAACGGAGAATTGCGTTTGAATGACCAGGTGGCGGCCTAGAATGATCCAGATTCGTGATCAATGCTCGCTTGCACTTGCACATTTTTTTTTTCTCCTTTTCCTTTCGCGGCAACTAGTACGGAGAATGCACTTCGCCGCCAAGTGTGGAGCGTCTGATCTGATACAGTTTGAGAGAGAGGCTTTAACGAGACGGGAATGGCAGAAGTCATTGCTGGACAAAGGCCAAGTACTACCAAACCTGACACTTGTACACACCATCAGCAACACATGCTACAAACTGCCAAAGAGCCACCTGCACACAAACAGCTGCGGCCACCGACTAGTTACAGGCTGCCATCTGCCGATTTGTTTGACAAGTGGCATGGCGCCATGTTACTAACCGAGGACGAGATATCCTGCAAGTGTCTCGCTACTACGAGCCAAGCGCACAGAAATAGCCTTGTTTTTTTTTCGGCTTGGGCAACAGTTTCGTGGGATCTGCGGGGAGATCGCTATTGCTGACCTGAAGCACCTTCCACGACCGGCAGTGATGGGGTCTGCGTGATACCAGGCTACGGGGACGATCTCGTACTCTGACGGCTTGCATGGAGTCATCATGGCTACATTAGTTATGAGAAAACCGCCGAGACGGGAAGAGCCCCTTTCGTGTCCCGATTTGAGAACTTGAGAGAATTTTCTCCGAATCACCGATTCTGGTCATCTAGTAAACGATTCGCCGTGCATGATAGCCGGTTCCGAAAATACATAGCGGCGGTACTTTACTTTTTGCCCGTGATGGTCGGATCCATGCGGCGCGAGAAAACCATTCGTATCGGAATACACGGCGCGAAGCAAAGGGCGGCGATAAACGTCTGGCGAGAAAATAAGGCAATGCAAGCCCGCATCGCCCACCCATCCTACCCGCCGTCCGCCACCCGCAGATGGCCAAGACAAGGCCCAGCTCGAACGATTACGGGTGGGTAGTGCCTGGGGTAGTGAACGAGAGCAGACAGACAGTCACCGTGCATGCAGGCAAAGGGCGGCTGGGTGGTTGTTGACGGCTGGTACCATTGGCAAATAACGAAGCCTGCAGCCGTAAAACCTATATTGCATGCAAGCCATCTGCGGCAGCCCGCCAAGGCGCCCTTGATAGTCTTTTGAGCCAGAAGCCCGCTGGCCCGTCGATCCCCCTGCCCATGGCCAAGTGTGTGCGCAGAGGATAATTCCCACCAAATACGGTACGCCGTACGCAGAAACAAGGCTCTCCTGAACGCTGCGGCCATGTTTCGTTTGGAAAGAAGGAATAAGCCAATATTGTTTGTTGACAGTTAATATTACCTGCCCCAACTAAACCTATCCAGATATCCTCCTCTTGCCGCCCGCGCCGGGTCTGGAGATGGTTTCCAGAAGCGGGTAGAGGGCCGCTAAGAGTATCATGGATGTACATGATGAATCTGCAGAAAAGCCCTGAGCCTTGAGTCGAGTAAGAGCGCCCGTGCAGCCTACCATTGCGCCAAACTACAGCCCCAGTAGCGATGGGATTTGCTAGTGCTGCCTACAATACCACCTCGGATCGACCATTTGCGGATCGCAGAAAATGGGACTCTAAAAGGGCCCAGGCGTTTTCCCGAGCCAGGGGGGGAGGGCTGCAAGCGGTTGAGTGGCCACGAGTGGCGATGCTCAGCCGCTCATCAAACCCGCTCAGGTATGTCCCCGTAAATAATAATACCACCCAGCAGTTCTGCAGCGTCCTTTTCTGGTGTGCCGCTGGTGCTAGCAGGGTTGTGTCTATATCCCTGCTCTGGTGAGCTGAGCAAGATGGATGGTTCTTGTCATCTCAATCTTTGGCGCCTGGCCAAATAAGCCAGCCAATGAGGCAGTGAAAGGAACCTCTCCGAGTCTGGTTAGAATGCATTATGTTACAAGTCCTGGACCCCCCCAGGTATCGAGCAAAATATGGCTGCCTGCACCTGCGAGGGGGGGCGACTATGTACATAGATGCCATGAACCGTGATATTGATGATGACAGCACACTGGACCAAAAAAAGACGCTACTTGCACGCTTCCCGAAGAAGGCCCATGCCAAAATCCGTTAGAGGCAACCTCCCGTGACATGGCAGCATGTTCTATTGGCAAGCGAGAAAAGCCCAGACCGCCATTCTGTGACATGATTATGCGCCTGCCAGCTTGTGTGGAGGGGGCACTGCATGGCCTCGGCGATGGCACATTAACGTTAATGTCAGATTGAACATGGCGTTTAGTGAGGCATGAGAGGATTATATTTTTAATAAAAAATAAAAATATAGCCATTATCTCTTTTTCCACTTTTCGAGTTGGAGGTGTTGATAGTTTGGATGGGCACACGCTGACGTCTGAGATCTGATACTGAGACGGATGTCGACCTCGGCCGTTGTGCTGAGCTTTTTTTTATTTTTCATTATTTTTAAGTTTTGATGGCGTTGTGCATGATGAGATGATCATGATGGCGCTACTTGACTTCATGCCACGCTTCCTCAAACAACTCTGATTGATCATCGAATAAGAAATTCCAAACCCCGGCGGCAAGTTACGAGACCATTCATGTGAAGAAAAAAAAAACAGCGCATTCGACAGCGGGCCTGCAGGGTCCCAGAGCATCGGATGCAATAACCATCACCCGGCTTATGATTTTTATTGCCCATGACCAGTGATCATCCCCCGTACGAACAGCTAACAACGCAGCCTCACAACGCTACTGATGATACAGCGGGTTTGTGTGCAACGCCATCGTCACAGGCACCGTCCGGGGAGGTGTTCGGGGCGGTTGTGCCGGGGGCTGGCAAGGCAAACAATGCTGGATAACAACTTCGGTATATTGTATTACATACGCGTGTCCCAGCGCTAGCTTGACACAATAACCCGCTACGGGGAGGGGGGGCGTTCCAGATATGCCCAGCCGCCACCAGCCTCCAATAGCAGCTGAGCTTGCACGTTTTCTTGTTTCTCGTCACCGGACAGCGGTGGGCGTCTCGGTTTGATATCCGCGGAAAGGGAGGATCTTTGTGTCGGGAGTATTATTCCGTACAACAGGCAGCAGGCAAAGGGTTTTGGCTGAAAATAGCACTTCGCCACAGGGTTACGACGACTTTCTGCGTAGGCAGGCAGCCCTGAAGCCCGTGTTTGCATTGCTTTGCCCCGCGGGGCCGCTGACTACGGAGTTCGGAAGCGTGGATTAACGCTGTGACTGTGTTCATTTCCGAGTAATCTATAGAGGTAATCAGCCTGCTACAGGGCCAATGTATAGGAGAGAGGGCTGATTTCGCTAATTTGTACATGTTCTCCCAATCTCTTGGGGTCCAGTTTGATCTACATAATATGTAGTTATGCTCTTACGTGGTAGTATCAAGCGAAATGCCTTTATTTTAGTGCCGATTGTGTGTGTACTCCTAGTTACTAATTACCCCGTACTCGGCAGATAGACCAGCACGAATATCGCAAGGAGCGTCATAGCGAGAAGTCGTGACCGACGAGCGCTGCACTTGACCAGTGGCTAGGGAAGCACTCGGCCTGCAAAGCCAGCAGAGAGGTGTGTGTTGTATTTTGGCGGGCTGGCCACTATTACCGGCCAGTTCTTCCCGCAGCTGCCGCCACCCAGACGGCGATGATCCGACTCGTGATGCGGCGTGTAACTAGGGGTGCTGGTATGTACACGGGCGGTCTTTCAGCGCTGTCCAACCAAGGCCCAGTAGTTGTCAACAGGATGTTACGAGGGACAAGGTGCCCAGTACTGGTACGACGACGGCAAGGCCAGATCTGCAAGGCGATCCCATGTGCAAATGAGTCGGTCCCGTACCATGTACCGTGGGCCGCTGTGGACTGGCATGGCGCCGGCCTCCATGTGCGGTATCAGGTACATGTTTCTAATTGAATACCTGTTATTGAGACGGGCGCAGCATACGTCCAGGATCTGCAATTTTGAGCCGCCGGGGCTTTTGAATTACTGATAGGTGACCATTCAAGGTTTCTTTTGCATTATTCACCTGAGATTTGTGTTTGGGATAGGCCAAGGGACGGCCGTATCAGTAAACAATCGGCCTTGCCCCGACATTCCAGGCAAACGGAATGAAGGGTTACACTGGTAATGAGTACGGATGCTGTAATTAGCATTTCACAACCACAGCAGTAACAAGGGCGAACACGTAGGTATCATTACCGCAATCTGTACTGTAATACTCTGTAAAAAAAAAGGGCGACCGAGTGTAGTTTTGGTGCCCGACGCTTCCGTTCCAAGTGATGGACGGCTCCAATGAATTGGGTTTCTTGGGACGAAAGCACATCCTTAACTACGCATGTACGAATTAGTTTTGCAACAGGTTTAACAGCATACGTAGCCAGTGGCGGCAGTGCATTGCAACATAGCGTCAAAACAAGGAGCAAAAAGAAGGACGAATGAAAGACAGTGACCATGCTCAAACTGATGACGCAGAGTTGTGTGTTTGCCCTCTTTGTGTTTCCCTTGGTCGCCGCTGTCAACGTTTCCCGTTTCATCACGGACACTTTTTGGGCAATTATGAGGTCACAACAACAGCCCACTCGGGATGAGAGACGTGGCCTTCCTTGTTGCTTTTGGGAAGCAGTTCGCAGCCCATCGCACGGCCTTGCTGGCAAACGCCCCCCCGCTGGACCAGGGCAGTTTGGAGCTATGAACGCTTCGGGGCCGGCGGCGGCAAGACACAGAGACTCGCAGTCACGAGGAGGGCAAAGCAACAAGTGGTTTCCTTGTCTCGACCACGTAGAAAGAAAAAGCGGGCATCGTCATCAGCAGGCATATCAGAGACTGGAGTTGGAGTTCCAGTCTTGCCAGCTGGGCAGCATTTGCAACCCCGTCATGCCTGTCGATTCCCACTAAAAAGGATGCAAAGAGGCGTCGCGAAATGGTCACTTACGGGACCGCCGCCATGACACTAACTAGGCCACTGGGCTTGGGCAGCGAAAAAGCCAGCGGCACGGCGTGCTGCATATTGGAGGCATGCCGGGCCAATGATTGGAGAGAGATGAGTCCTGGGGCCATGACAGAGAGAAAGCTCCAGAAGGAAGGGAGGGGGGGGGGGGATGCTTTCACGCACAGCCCGGGGGCCCAAGGGAGAGCGAGCAAGAAAGGCGGAACGCTGATCATGACACAGATGCAGAACCACTCTGGCGATGATGCGTCAGACCACGCAACCGCCTGGCATCTTTTTCGTATGTATATTGCGCCAGCGTGACACTCCCAAGCCACGATCCCTGGTGCTGGACTCTTGGCCTGGGTGGGCTAGTTAGCTAGCAGTTTGTTGCACGGCACACGCAGACGCACCGCACGACGCAGACAGCGCCACTCCTCCTTGATCTTGATGCTCCCTCTTGCGAGCCAAGTTGAACTCGAACGGAACGGGGATGGACTGGCCTTTTTCCTTCTCCACCCATCACGGGGGGAGCACAGAGAGTTGGAGGAGGATGAGGAGGATGAGGAGGAGGAGGAGGCACAGAGACTGGGAGCGGGCCAAAGTTCCAAACCTTGTCCGGTTTATGGGCAGCCACACACACCAAGTTTTAAGAATAGCTGCTGCATTAGCGCCACCTTGTCCGGTCAAGACAAGCCCTCTCTGCCACCCCACTTTTGTATGCATTAATCTTGCCATCCACAAGGGTCTGCTGGGAAAGAGGCTGGGTGGGGTCACGTTTTTAGTGCCATGTTCCACGCCGTCCCAGACACACACACACACAACACACACGCAACAACAACAACAACGACGAGTTGTTTTTCACTGTGGAGAAACCGGGCTTGGTACGTACTTTTGGACCCGCCTCGTCTTGTCTTGGGAAGCGGGCCCTTGCTAGTCGGAAGGGGGGGGGGGGGGGGGCGTTGGAGGAGTCTTGAGCCACCCAGGAGGGTGTGGATTCGCCGGCTTTCCTTGGGTGCACACTCAACTTCTTGTCCCTGGTCTCTCTGCTAACTATTAGTTACCTACCTAGTTACTTGCGCGCCTGGCGCTTTCAATATCTACCTCGACATGCCCGCTTCGGCCGAACAGTCACCATTTCTTGATATCAAACTCCGTTGTACATAACCTACCAAAACGCCTTCTTCACGACATTCCTTCAGTCCTACCACAACAGACAAATCTTACCCTCAAGGTTTACTTGCCCTTGGAACCTGTAGTCCTTTTTTTCTTCTCTTCTCTTCTCTTCTCTTCCTGGGTCTGGGTCCTCGTCCGTTTAAAACGCCCACGCCGTTTGTTCGACCCGTTTGTTCGGCCGTCGACATCTCAACTTATATCAACCCCCCCCCCCCAGGAGCCAACAACAGGAACAACTTGGGTGCTACCTCAGTCGCACCTCAATCCAGAAGCCTCTTTTTCTTCGTTGCCTGAGCCGAGAGAAACAAAAAAGCCCTTGAATGGATATCATCTTTTAATATCATCTACTCCCTCCCTCCCCTCCCAGCGGAGACCTCCCCTCCTCATCCTCACTTACACCGTGAACCGGGCCCGGAGCCTTTTCTCAGTCCTTTACTATGCAGAGCCATGTTCCCTTTGGATACCCGACGCCACCTGCCTCGCCAACATACGACAAGTGCCAGCAGTTCCAACAACCGCCGCCCCAGCAGTATACGCGCCACTTTCACCAGCAGCAGCCGGTGCGCTGCGTGCCGCTCGCCCCCGAGCAGCGTCTCGGCCGCCTGCTCGAAGGCACGCTGCAGCTGACAGACATTCTCGGCACCGGGGCCTACGGTGTCGTCTACGCTGCCGTCGACATCACCACCGGCGTTCGTTATGCCGTCAAGTGTCTGAGCAAGTACAACGCCGACGGCTCGCCGTTGGAGCGCCGCCAAGTGGCGTACCAGCAGCGTGAGATCAGCTTGCACTACAAGGCGTCGGCGCACGCCAACGTCGTGTCGCTGCACCGCATGATTGCCGACGTTGACTGCCTCTACGTCGTGCTCGAGTACTGCCCCGAGGGAGACCTGTTCCTCAACATTACGGAGCGCGGCCACTACGTCGGCAATGACGCCCTGGCCAAGCAGGCCTTCCTGCAGATCCTCGACGCCGTCGAGCACTGCCACAGCCTCGGAATCTACCACCGTGACCTCAAGCCCGAGAACATCCTGGTGACGGACCGCGGCGACACGGTCAAGCTCGCCGACTTTGGCCTTGCCACCGCCGAGGATCGCTCCGAGGACTACGGCTGCGGCTCGACCTTTTACATGAGCCCTGAGTGCCTCGAGCCCACCACCCGGAACCCCTACTACATGTGCGCTCCCAATGACGTCTGGAGCCTCGGCGTCATCCTCGTCAACCTGACGTGCGGCCGGAACCCGTGGAAGCAGGCCTCGGTGCAGGATTCCACCTACCGCGCCTACGTGCGCTCGCCCGGCTTCCTCAAGACGATCCTGCCGCTGACCGACGACCTCAACGACATTCTGGCCCGCATCTTCCACCCCAACCCCGAGCTGCGCATCACCATGCCCGAGCTCCGCCGCCGCATTATGGCTTGCGCCGGCTTCACCGTGCCTGCTGCGACCAGCGCCCCCGAGCGGCCTGTTGTCGAGGCGTCGATGATCCCCGAGGACGTCATCATCGACGACTACGACTACGACGAGGCCCTCTCACCCGCCTCGGACTACTCCGAAGAGGGCTCTCTCGCGTCGAGTGTCTCCACCGTTGGCGATCTCGACGAGGATTTTATGCATGACCAGGACAGCATGGTTGATTTTGCGCCCCAGACGTACGACGCCGCCGATGACGCCGCCCTAATGGCGCACGCCGTCTACCAGCACGAGCTGGCCGCCCAGCACTACAAGGGTCCCGTGCCCGTGCAGGCACCCGTCCCGGCCCGTATCCTCCCTTCGCAGCAGGCTCTGCTGCACCAGCAAATGGCCATGCAGGCGCCTGCGCCGATGCCGTCCTGCCAGCCCAAGTCCTTCTTCCCGCTCTGGGAGGTGGTCAAGTTGGTGCAGCACGCGCCCGTCATGCAGCATCCCTCGCCCTTTCACCAACAGGTGTCTTTTCTTCCTTCCTTTCAAGGCTACTAAGGTGCCTCCTTCCAAAAGGCTTCCAACGGTTTCCCCCCCTCCCTTGCTGTACAAAGATCTTCCCAGACTCCCACGAGTCGACCAAAACTACAACTTTTCTTCTTTTTATATTCATCTTCAGCTGTTGGAGTTGAGCACTGCTGGCCAGACGGACCCAAACAAGAACGGGCTGGGAGTTGACCGCTTCCATGCTTCCATGCCCTACTAGTCGAATTCTGCGACACATCGAACTATCCTTCTCAACTCAACCTTTTGTTGAAGGCAAACAACCACATTTCTTACCACACAACTTTCACCCCTTTTTTATTTTTCTCGTTTTACCAGCGTGGAGTTATATCTTTATTTCTTGATGGCAACTTTTTTACTGGGTCGGCTTTGAGCGGTTGATGACCGCCTCGCATGTTTTTCGGCGCAGAGGAACAAATATCTTTTATTATTCAGTCCGAGCTGCAAAGGACTAGGAGTTTTTTATTTTTATTTTGCAAGATGCAAAAAGGGAAATGGGGGTTTACGGACAATATGACGACGACAAAAATATCTTTTAATCCCCGAATTCGAGGTCATTCACCACCCGAATCAAAAATTACGCGCTCATTCTGGGAATCTCTGTTGGAACAAACTGGTCAAAAAATTGACCATACTCGAAGTTTTTTTGTTCGATGGTACTCGGACATTTTTGGGATATAGAAGTTTGGTCACCCACAAGACTTGGCTGGGCTGACAGGCGACTTGGCGAAACCCATAACGCTGCCTACAGAAGAAGAACCCGAAAAGGGATAATTTAGCTAGCAATGCAAAAACTCGTTGGCAAGCTACAATTCTGACACAAGTCTCTTGCAATCTGTGACTACTTGGCCGTTTGACTCGAAGCGGCGACTGGACTTGGGATGTGACAAAGCGACCAGACTAATACGATGGAACGGTACAATATGGCAGCGAATTAGGTAGGATCGCCGTTGATGGCTGGTTGTTTGCGCCAGAGCCCACGCGCAACGTACGAGACTAGCAGTCAGCCCATCACTCAAATCAAAAAATAGAACGGGGTTTAGCAAGCCGGGACGTTCAAGGCCCCGTCCTATGGCGCGGAGCTAAAATGACGGAAGTTGCTTTGCATTTCCAAGGCGCAGTATCCGTCGTTAAAGCTACCAGCTAATAACTGACACTCTGTAACTAGAAACGGACCACAGTTCCACGTTGCCAAAAGAAAAAAAAAAAGAAACCCCCGAGCTAGTTGAAACAAGGCGCAGCCGGCAGCCCGCTTCCTCACCACCGAACTGGGCGTCCGGTCCCTCGTCGTCCACCCACCGCCGCCGCCATCCATCCATCCACACACACATCCACAAAGTTGACAACCCCCTCCACAAATGCAGAACTTGACCAGGGGGTGGGCCGCCATCGTGCCAGAAGAAAAAAAAAAGAAAAAAAAAAGGGACGAAAAGGTCTAGCGTTGGGTCGGGCTTTTTCTTGACCCTTCTCCGGCCGCTCAAAGGTTAGCGTTGGCGATAATTTCATGAAAGTTTCCACTTGCCAAAGATGCGGGTGGATTCTAGTTTCTTCACACTCTTCTCTTCCCCTTGTCCTTGCAGATTTTTTTTTTGTTCTTGTCATGGGGCTTGGACCATTCCATAGAAGTCACGCCCTCTTTTTTTCGCCCCGGTGGCGCTCACCAGTCAGCATGGGCTTTTTTTCCCCATGGCGTTGACCAGTAGAATTTCGCCTTGGCCTTGTCATAGTTCGTGATGCCTGTCAGTCATGGGAAATTGAAGCAAGAGGGGGGGGGGCTGCTTCTGTCGTGATGGACCCCCATCATTGACTCGCTATCATGTGTATGCCCCCGTGAATAGCGGGTGAATATACATGCTGCATCTCCTCTGCCGCCCGTCATCATCCTCAAGTCACTCTGCATGCGCCCGAGGCAGCCGAGAGGGTCTAGACGACGCGTGTTTGGGCGGCGTGCTGGTGGGCCTTGAAGATCTTGGCTCTTGTCCCTGCCGGGAGCTAATCAATATTGATTCTTGTCTTAATACGGGTCTTGCACGAGAAGAAGCTGATGTGTTCTCTTTGCCATCACGATCAAGATATGTCTGTGCAGAGTATGTCACGACTCGCCGTGCGGCCAATATTGATTACGAAGATCCGTACGGAAGACGAATGACTCCGTAAAGATTGCCACTTTAGTTATGACGACTTAACCTCTTGGATCTTGTCAATGCTGCTGCCTGGTAATTGGTAATAGCATGAGATAGTCGTCTCACTATCACGCCAAGAGCGAGGCTCAAGTCCGCCTTTCCGGTTCTGCAAGTGAAGCGAGGCCAATAACTAGTTAGCTTCACGCATTCCTGTTCCGACAGACTCGGCGGCGCTAGACTTTCGTGGCAGCCCGCCCATCTCCAATCTACCGTTGCAGTGAGGCGTCATACATAGTACTTAGATAGTTCCTTCTGCACACAGACTCAAGCCATTCTATTGTCCAAGTGGATGACAAGCTACGCACAGGCCCATGATATCTTGCTCTCCTCCAGACGATTGGTTCCAAGAGGCTGTGAGGCTGTGGAACTATTTGTGTCCACAGACTTCTCAACCCCATGGGCCCCGTAGTCGCGAATCAACAGCTTCCAATAGCCGTCGTGCCGAGATTCAGAATGGGTACGTGCACCGCCCTGTCTTATTGCAAGTCTTGCCGGCCCGTCCGTGCTTCCGGACAAGTCTTGGGATCGACTTCATTACGTCGCCCTCTGGTCTTACTAGTGGCTATTACTGGCTGGCTCAAACACTGTCTATGCATGCATGTACGCCTCATTAATAAACTGATAACGTGGACAAGCAAATCCCTGAAAGCCTTGAAAGCCCTCCTGGGCGACTTGGCATTCCGTGTAGTACCTCATGCAAGCCTTTCCTTCTATTGACCCTCTGTGAAATTGCATGATTACAAAAAGTCTAATAACACCACATCAGAAGGCTTGCAGAGCTAGCTACTGACCTCAACTTGACGTGGATCTACCCGTTTCGCAGCTAGTTTCCTGCAGTGTAAATGAAGCTACTGCAGGCTTGTTCTTCAAGTCGCTCGGATTGGGTCGATAATCAACAAGTTGCTGATAGGCACTCCTCCATCGTCCAGCCCTGCCTGTCATGCGACAGAGCCCAGACCACGGCAGACCTCGAGATGGGCTGGGCATTTGTCCGATTTGGAAGCCAAGTCCTGGGAAGTGGGTGTGAAGATGCCGACCGCTGATTGGCACAGCCCTGCAAGTTTGGGTGGGTGGTCCGGGAAATCCAGCCTCGCGAGCGAGAGGAACAGAAACTAACTAACTAGGCAGCATGTTTAGTAAGGAGTATCAGTAAGCACGGGAATTTCTTCGTCGTCGTGGCGTGCGGGGGTTGGGGCACGTCGTATTGCCGTTGACGTTGGCTGCACCGACAAAAGGCGGCAAGGCTCTTTTGAGTTTGCGTGCTAATACCGTTTGTGTGTCTGATAGCTGACACCACGGGTTGCGGGTGGCTGTTTTTTTGGCTGCAGAGCGTCACAGCCACGGCTGAGCCAAGCGAGAAACTTGGACGCCACGGACGCAACTAAGGTGCGAGCTCGCCTTGTCGGGAGCTGAGAAGTGGCATCGTGACCTCTTGCACCAGAGTAAGCTGGGCGCAACCCTTCTCCGCCCCAAACAGGCTCGATCTTCGTTGAGCCGAGGGGCGCCATGCTCGCTTCTTCGCTTCGGTAGCCGGAAGGCTCAGCGACCTTTGTCAGAGAAAGCTGGGCAAACATTCGCGCCATCTTCAGACGGCAAGGATGCGGCACAATTGTGGCGGTCGCTTACAAAGTTGAGGGGATTGACAAGACACATGGCTCATCACAAATGACTAGCTGAGTTGCTAAAGTGGTAGTATTAACATGGATTGTCTCGGTCCACTTGCCGGGCGAAGAATCAATCAATTTTTATTACCACTTACACGTCAAATAATCATTCAAAGACTGTCTTGACGAAAGTACTCACCGCCAAAGATCCAGGACAAGGCAGAGCTCCCGGTCTGTGTGAACAGGGATGTAACAAGACATGATTCGGGCCCTGTCTTGCCCGGACAGGCAACCTGGGGTTTGCCAGCAGAAACACCTTTTTTCATGGAACGAAGCCGTAGCTTGTCGTGCTACCTAGTACAAATTATTCGACGTCGCTGTCACGCCGGGCGCCTCCTGGCTCGCTTGCTTGCCATGTGCCGGGCAAGAAGCACGGCAGAAGCAAAAAAAAAGAGGGTGATACAGAGAAAAGGCCAGCCCGTTGACGTGGTGGCGCCAAATTGATAACCAAAAAAAGCAAATACTTTTCATCGCCTGCATCCAGCAAGAAGCAATATGCCGGGCTGGGACGAGGATCGTCCATACAGGACACATACTTGGCTTCAGCCTTTTTTTTTTCTGGTTTGCTTTTTTTCTTTCTGCCCAGCCTTGCGATCTAATTTTCTTTGTTCATGAACCTCGGACTCTGGGCCATTGACTGAGTCGCGGGCAGCTACAAGTCAAGTTTCTGTCATGCATTCTCGGAGCTTTATTTGCTTCCCCAGCCTACCTGCAATGAGCCGTGTTTCCTTTTTTATATGCACGCTTATTTATCTGGCGGTGAGAAACAGCAGCCAATACCACACATGGTCCATGTTCCCTTTCACCGCCACAGATGGAGAATCAGGCAAGAGAAAGCCAAGATGGGCGGTTTGCTTCATCATTTCATATGCGCGTGATATGTATTCCGTCCTTTGTTGGAGAGATATTGAACCCAATGTAATCAGCGCCACAGGGTGGCGCTGAGTCGCACAATGGTCTCCTTTCTCCGGAACGGTCTATTCCCGAGGGTATGGAACGCCGCATGTCTAGTAGATACCACAGCCGTAGACAGACAAGCCTCTCTTTTGCAACCACTAGCACCTCGTCAAACATCCTTTTTTTATCAATCAATGTAACTAGTCTAGGTATGGCAATACCAGCTCTCCGGCATCTGCGCGGTACCACACTCGCCCCGGCGCACCTGACCTTTTTTGTCATATATCGCCACTGGAGCGGCAATGCAAGATCCTTTCCATCTCTGGCTGTGTGATTTGCCACGTCGACAACACAACACTGCACGAGCATGTCTTGCGATATTGTGGCGGGGGGTGGAGGCGGAAAGCCCCCCTCCTCTGCAACTACACGGGCGCACATCTTGCTTGGGTGTGTCGCATTCGACGACGACCGTGTCAAGACCGGCGTTGCTGTGGTCCAACGCTTTGCAGACTGCCGTTAGTCATATTCCGCGCACCCAGGACTCGGTGTCTCTCGGTTGCCAGTGCGCCGTCAAGCCTGTCTTGGGTGCCACATCCGACTCGTAGTTGTGTTGACAGCGCCGCAGACCGGGCGGAATGGAGACATTGTTGATGTAGCGTTGCAGTGCAGGTGGCTGCTACGGAGACCCTAATTTGGGCCCAAGTCTGGCTCTCTTCATGCAGCTAGGGTCGCCATGTCTCGATGATGTTTGTTTGCCATCGATGGACTGATGTACGACGCCGAGCCGCCGTGATCGAGCTCTGCAAGTGCCGGAGCTGGTATCTTTCTACCGCAGTTCCTTCCGACGCATGCCACCGATGCATGACTAGTGAAAGATCATACTGTTTCATCAATAATACACCAATCCGGCGCTACCTAGTCGGGCATCAGCCGAGGGACAGTCTCGCTGCTAATGCTAATGATATTCATTTGCAACTACCGCCCAATAAATTGTCGCCACGGCGTCTTGTTTTATTGCCCAGACGTAGAGGTAAAAAGCCGTTCGCGCTGGAAGAACACTTGCCCGGTAAATCCTGTGATGGTTGACTGTGATTTGAAGCTTTTCGTCAAAATTCTACTCACAGCTGCCGTCCTGGCAATAATTAGGATCAACCACCTTAAGCCTGTGTCTCAGCCGTCGTACGATGCTAGAGGAGCTACGAACTTGCCGGATTGCTTCACGCTGTACTAGAACTGATGTCTGTGCATCGGTTAATGTGAAGCTGGCTTTGTGATGTGCTGTCGTCAAAAGTTGCCCATCGTCCTGGAAAAGACTACAATAGAAAAAACGTGAAAGGCGGTTGGTCGATCACTAGGGCGTGTTTGTCGGCAGTGGCTACTGCTCACGGCAGTTTCAACGACACATTCTAGCATGAGCTTGTCTAAACACACAACGTCACTTGGTCAGATGTCTCATTCCCTAATATCTACAAGTTCAATCAAGCATTCTGCTATAGTCGCAAGCAGACTGGCATGTCGCGACTTCAGATCCGTTTTCATAAGACCTTACCTAGCTAGAGTCGATACGTCGTTTAGTCGGAGAAGAGATAGCCTCGGCCGCCCTAGACAAACCCTAGATCGATAGCTTCAAGCCCCCGTATGAAGCCTCGTCCAGACTCTCGGGTCCGGCCCAGCGCCCCGTATTTCGGCCGCGTTCGATCGGCCCCACACCATCGTCGCCTTCGCCGGAAGTAGGAATAGAGTTTTGCGAGCAGGACCAGGAGAGCCACTGCTCTGGACTCGCTATACCTACCGAACTTTTGCGGGGAGAGGCTTGCCGAAGAAAGGACCCAATCGAGGCGAGTGTCGCGGCTGGCTGGCGCTGATTAGACCAATGTTGTGCGGAGGGCTGCAATTGGAACGGATTGGACAGTTGCACGTGGAGAGTTTGTGGCTTGACTAAATAAAAATACTGCGACAGCATGTGATACTTGATAGATGATCGAAGCGGAAATCTAGGCCCCCGAGGGAGCGCGAAGATAACGCCGGAAAGAGCTAGAAGCTGTCACCATTCACTCCTCTGATATATGCTCAGTTTTTTTTGGAACACAAATCTAGGTGTAACAAGGTATTTGCCGAGTACAAACCAGAGTCATTGACCAATGCCTCGGCTCCTGAGGCTGTCAGAAAGTGACAGCTACCGGAACTCAGTCTCAATGATTGGTAACTGAAGATTCTCTATCAAATGTGAGGTATTATTCGTGCTATAATCATTATGATGTCAATCAAGTCCACCAAAAGATGTGCAGTCTGGCAGCATGTGTAAAGAGAGCGCTGTAATGGCCGAGCATACTCGAAATCCAAATTCGAAGGCGGCTCGGAGGCTGCCAGAGGGTTCCCGGAGCTCCGTCCCGAGTTGTTGTAGGACTCGCGAATCCTGGCCGTGCTCCGGAACCGAGTCGCCAGGAGGTTACATAATAGTACTGATCGACAACGCAAAGGCGTGATGATGTGGTATTGAATAGGCCCATGAAAGAGATACTGGACATTCAATATCAAAGTGTAATTGAGCACTTAATAACTACATATTTCAAGATGGGCTCAAGAGGCTCGCCACCCAGAGAACGGTCCATGAAATACAACCAAATGATTAGCTCCCTTCATTCTAGTAATTACATCAAGTCTAACTTTGGTCTCTTAGCTTTTTGGCCATGGTTCAACCGTGAGCTTGTCCCATATGCCCTTCCATCTCGCTGCCTTGTTGTCGTAGGCTTCCTGCGAGCCCAGCGCCGTATTCGGTCTCGCCACCATGTTGAAGTAATCAGACAAGCCCCTCGGTGCATACACGCTCCACGAATGGGCGTCTTCATTCAGCCGTATCCCAATCATGGCACTCGTCGAGATCCACGAGTCGATGCCGGCCTCGACGCTCCTGTGCGGCGCGCACTCGATTCCGTACTTGTCCCCATACCACAAATGGACACGCGCTTGATTCCGAATCTCGATGTCGATTTCTGGCATGTCTGAAAACAGCGCCCTGGCCGTTTGTATGTGCTTGTCCTCGGCATCCCACGAGAGGTCGCTGTCGTCGTGGTAGACGACGTCGTAGTCGGCTATGCCCGTGTCAGGCGCCATCCCCGACACGTGGTTCCATATCGTTTGGGAGACGGACCCGGCGGCGAGATACCAGTTTGGCAGGCCCATGGTCGCGACGCGCTCGAGGACCGTGACGAGCGTCTTGTTGGTGGAGAGCACGGCGCGGAGATGCGTGAGTTGTTGGTCGAGGGGCAGTTGCGCGGGGTTGGGCTGGTTGGTTAGTGCCATTCTGGCTGCATACGCGTATGGGCTGGAACAGGTTCAAGATTGAAAGGTTTTAAGGCGGGAGATTATAGAGCGAAATCAGTCTCATTGACATGGAATTGATGGAAAAACTGAGCGTTGGCATCGCGCGATGTTTGTTTGCCTGTGCGGGGTACGTGGAGGCAATGGCTCGTTTCACAACTACCAGAAATTGAGTACAAAAAAGGAATTTAACTCGAATAGACCAAAACTGACCAGTGTCTAGATATTATCCAAGATACGCGGATCCATACCCGTACCAGCTGTCGTGTCCCTGGATACGCCTGTTGGCCAGTTTAACATCGCAACTTGTGCGATCCCACGAACAGGACCCCTCGTTAGCACAGGCGCAAACAAAACACCTCAGCCGCCAAAAACTGTTACCACCCTAGTTATGGGAATTGAACTTCCTTTCGCAGCGTCAGTCGCGCTACTCGACAAAGGTGTGCCTCTGCCTCGTCGTCCTTAGTAATGGGCACCGCCACGAGCGCCTTGTTGGTCTCCGAAGAGACTCTTTGGAGAATCATCAGGTTGGACAGCAGTTGACCAATCACAGCGAACGCGAACTCGAGCATGAGGTTGTCGTTGGCCGACTTCCAGGCCCTCGCTGAAGACGAGGGCTTGTGGGTGCCGCTCGAGGCATGCTTTTGCTCAGTCGGCGTCGCTTGCCATGTTTGTAACGGTCCTAATAGAGGATTCAATAGTTAGGCAAGAGAAGTACGTATTTGGTCATGGCCCGGAGCGGTCAAGGTGTTGGGAGGCTGCAGAGCCTTGGGCGGCATTGTTGACTTGGGTGGCGTTGCCAAGCCGTTTGCTGGCCGCAGACGCATGGCAAGACTTCAAAGCACTTCAAAGTGGAGGGTGAGTTTGCATTTCATCACCGTGGCTGCTTTTGATTGGTATGCTGGCATGCATGAGGTTTCCGAAATATTCACCACACGCACCTCTCATTGGACAAGGGCCTGCTTGTAGGGTCGCCAACGTGGTCGAGCAGTTACCCCTTTGCGCGGGCGTCGGGATGTAACCAGACTCGCGGCGGTATGCATCACTGCATGCATAAATAGCCTTGTTTGTCGTGCTACAAAGTGTTGGGCAACTATGTGGCAGGATCGCTGCCGGTGTAGGGATGGCATTTGACGGCTGTCCGGAAGACGTGGCATCCCGGCGTGGCGTGGTTTGAGAGGGATAGCACATATGCACAGGACCCGGAGAAAAAAAAAGACTCGTTATAAGTGGTAACAGGAATTGATAATACACTTTTGTACTTTTTTTATATCTTTCTGCAGCCATGGGTTTATAGCTTGGACGATAGAGGTTTCCGCTCGCCGCTCCCTTTGATAATCTCATCGTCCTTGTAGTCGGGGTTGAAAACAACATCATTGAGCGGGTTCAGCCTGTGCGCTCGATTGAAGAGATCATCGTACACGTTGCCGTCGTAGCGGCCAAGCGCGCTTCCACCTGTTAGCTCATGAGATGTAGATCGCGGAAAGCTGGCTTACCTGTCCAAGAGATAGTCGGGGATCTGCCATGCGTCGACGAGCTTGACGGCGTGCGGTCGGATGCGTGCGAGCAGGGCCTGTATCCTGTCAGGGAGGGCATCGAGATCCCTGGCCGAAGCCGCACCGCATCGGAGGACTGCATGTGGTCAGCAAGGTGTTTCCGCCGTTTGAGCATTGGGCGACTTGCATTCGTAGCTTTCGGCTTGGATGGCAGTGTACGCAAACAACCGGTAAAGATCAAGCACTACTTCCTTTGTCTCGGGTGGGAGGTCGTGGGAGGAAGTCAGTGTTGTGAAAAAGGACGCGACCATGATGGATGACGAGTGTGCTGCGGTCATATTAGTGCCTACAAAAAGACCAAGTAGAATTCCACATAATGATCATACCGTGACTGAGTTTGTGAAACTGGATCAAGAGATCATTGTGTTTCTTCTTGTCAACCACTCGAGCCTTGTAAGCATCATATGTCTACTCGTGTCAGTAATCTTGATCCTAAACTATTTCTCTGGAGTCGTACCATGGAAGCTGCCCGCCACCTGAAGCTTTCCTGGATATCAGAGTCGTTGTTGAGAATGTCAAACGCCCTACCCTGGTCCTTTTGGTCCAAAAACGTCTTCAACTGCGCATCCGTCTGGTCCTTGGCCGGTTCTCCCCGCGTCTCAACCGCCGCCGCCATCCTCTTGATCAGAAACGACGACGTCTGCTGCGTAATCATCCAGTTGTCGCCTTCCAGGATGGGCTTGGCCTGGTAGTCCTTTTGCATCTCCACCAGCCCGCTGCCGCTGCCGTAGCCGTGCCCGCCCATGGCGCGGCGGCACGTCTCGATGCCCGCATTCGTAATCTCGGTGCTCAGGCTCTTGAGCCCCGACGAATGGCTGTGCATGACGGCCAGGCCGTCGAGGTTGCCCTGCTCCACCTCGCCGCGTGTTTTGGCATAGTCCTGGCGCATGACCTTGCCCGTATACTGCAGGGCAAACGCGGCCGCCAGCAGCGGAAACAGGCGGTACTGGACGGTCGGGTAGTCGAGCACCTGCAGCTCGTCGCGGCCCGGGTCCTGCGAGTCCTTATCCTTGAACTGCTGGCGAATGGCCGTGTAGCGGATGGCAATGGTGACGGCGCGCGCGAGGTGGGTGCCGGCCTCTTCGACGAGCACGGTCCGAATGGACGTCATGGTACCGTAGGACAGAGCCGCGTTGGGAGACTTGGAAAAGACACTGGTCTCGGGGTCGAGCTGAACATATCGCGACAGCAGTGCTGAATGTGGAATCCTATCTTGCGGGTTAGTATAGTCATATCTTGTCTTTTCGATTGTTCCCTACCTGAGCTGATCAAAGAGCATATAGCCATTGTCCATGGACGCAAACCCAATCTTGACACCAATGTCGCCAATGACGATGCCCTCGAGGGGCAGGTGCGTCTTGGCGTCTCGAATCTGAGCAATAAACGCCTGCGGCCCGTGCGAGACGTACTCGCCCTTGCGCTTCGGATCCGGCACCATCAGCTGCGCCATCAAGACAGCGTGGTTTGCCGTCCTGCCCAGCGAGCCGTTCCACCACTTGGCCGCCGTCAGGGTCGGGCTGTGGACGACAAACTCCTTGGCCGCCGGGTCCCAGCGGGCCTCGAGCTCGACGCCGCGCACGTTGCTCCCGTGGCCGAGCTCCGTCTGCGAGTAGGTGCCCGTCACCTCCCAGGCGTCCACGCGCGGCATCCAGTACGCCCGCTGCGCATCGCTCGCCTGCTCCTGGATCGTGGTGCGGAACATGCCCACGTGCAGCCGGTACGGGCTCTGCTCGCCCAGCAGGTACGCCGCCATGTGGTAGTCGTCCATGTCCCAGCCGTGTCGTGCCTGCAACCGGCGCAGCAGCTTGCCGCGCGCGAGACCTAGCCGGACCCGGTCCACGCGCGACAGCTGCTGCTGGCGGGACTTGTCGAGCAGCGGCTCCGCCGCCATGACGGAGAGTACGCGGGCCTGTCGGGCGAGGAAGCCGGTGCCGGCAAAAATGTGCGCACCCAGGGCGTCGACGGCAATTGGCGACTGTTGGCGCTCCCTCGCCAGCAGCGACGCGCCGCTGGGCTCCTTGGGTTTGAGGTTGTCCGGAAACGACATCGTGTCTGCGTTGGCGAAGTGATTAGGTTGGGAGCATCAGTTGAAGATGTCGAGAGTGATGGGGAATACAAGGCAAAGACGATGCGGATTATAAGAGGCGATGGCGATTGTTTGCGTGGTGTAAAACGGCGACTCATCCGGTGGCCGGCGCTACGAGTCGGCATCTACATCATTGCGGGACACACGGCGCCTTTGCCGAGGCACGGAGTTGGGAGGCTAGAAACCCCGCGGAGTCACCAACACAGCGCAGCAAGCGAATTGAAACTATAGAAATTGCAAAATTTTGAGCACTATGTTTTCCTCATTTATTCAATGCATCTTTATGTACTCTCCGGAGTGACGCTTGCTCTCACCTTAGTTAGTGCTTGCCGAGTGCGGGAGCGGATGTTTCAGTGGGTAGTGCACGTACAGACAGACTTGCCGCACCGTGGGGGCATTGCTTAACGGATTCGTCGTCGTCGATTGTAGGGGAAACAAAGTTTCAATTTCCGAATAATGCAATTCAGACAAAGTATTTACACAATGTCATAGAAGAAAGACGGGATTAAAATTGTGTGTGCGGGTAGCAAGAGATAGCAAGCGTCGCCACCGCTTCATGTCTGGTCATTATCCGCCTGAGGCAATGTAACCTAGACTCCATGCCAAACAGACCAGCCAGCCGGAAACTCTTTCATCTTCAATATCTCACTTCGCCGGCGGCCGGACTATATTAGCGCAACGTTACCTAGGTCGTTTACTACAGAATCCTCCAAGCAGCTCTGAAAGGCGGCGCATTGAGAGGTAAGACACATCTTGAGTCGGCACAGTGCTTTCGAATTTGACGCAGCTCGTTATGTGTGACGGAAGTAGTACGTCTTGACAATAAATGAAATGCATTGGATTTGATTAAAAGAAAAAATATATATTAGCAGTATATTGAGCTCAATATTCATGTTGGTGGCGTTGTTACGCCGTCTCGGCGTCGAGGTAAAACAACTCCGCACAGTGCGGATGAACCCGACGACCTAGATCCATGGAGCTTTGGTAGATGAACATGCGATCGCTGCGTCTCATCCAACCGATCTGGCTGGATAGTTCTGGTCGCAGCACTTGCGCAGGTGCGGCTTCATCGGTGCAGCAAACATCGCTTCCAGAACAGGGCCCATAGCTAGGGTTGCACTAGGTTGGGCTGAAAACAATGAAGATGCAGGCGCTTCCATAAGTAGAGCGAAGCATCAGTACACCCCCTGAGGGAATTCGCCGCTCATGGCCACAACGGGACGCAGGATTCCTGCTGCATGCTGTTGAGCCTTGCCACGCCAGCTTCGCCTTCTCATCGCCACAAGCAGCAAACCATTATTACGAGCCCAAACGCAGTGATATGTACATAGATTGACCCTTGTATCAGGCCATCGGGACGCCTCACAGTCGTTTGAACAAGCCACAAACAAAACGCGGCTCTGAGTCCGACCCACTCATCTACCCAATCTCATCTCACCTTAGCAACTTCTCGCCCTTCTTTGCCCCTTTTAATAGCCACGTAAACGCTTCTTGTTATGCATGAACCGCAGGATAGTATGTAGAAAACGTGCCACCAGTCTGTCTAGTCGGGCCACGTACTCTTATTATGCATGTCTCAGCAAAATCTGATGCGTCTCGGTGACCCCATGGTCAACGACTCGATTAGGAAACTATCCAAAAATAAGGCTCCCGGGGGTGCCGTGCGCCCTGTGGATCCGGGGAACGCGTGTACTATCAGTTCAGAATCTAGAAAATGTATTGGAAAAGTTGTTGGCTGGTGCGAGACCAACGAGAAATAAAGCACCATACTATGTACTTTTTGTGGCGGATCTATATGGACGGAACTGCAACCCGGATGAATGCAAGCCAAGAATGAAACGGCAACCAAGTAAACGCCATGCATAATGGTCTATATGCGGACCTCCGAAGAAAAACATGCCCAGAGAGCCTGGGATGACGTAAAAACTCGAGGCTCGGGATGAGACGAGAAAAGTGGAAAGAGAAAACACCACATGTCGTTCCTGCAGCCATTGTGCAACTGCGTCTAAGACACGAAAAGACGAAAGACGGCGAAAGACGCGACGAGACCTAGGACCAGCCAGATTAAACAGCGGACCATAACATTGTACGTCTGAGCCCAGTTACGCGCCTTGGAGCGGGCAACGAAGTTCACATTGTCATTGACGTTGGGAAACGCCACCTCCTTGGGCACTGGCATGTCGAGGAATTTGCAGAGGGGCTCCCAGCCGTCAGTGACGTGGTACTCGAGAAGTTTCTCTTTGGGGACGAGGCTGCGAATCTCGGCGTAGTGGCTCTCGAAGATGGCCTTGCCACGGTTGGGAAAGTCACCCTCGAAAAAGGTGTCAAAGAACTTTTTGAGCATGGGGTAGTACTGGCCAGCGGCCCAGTCAAAGTATGAGAGCCAGCGCAGGTGAGGATCGGTGACGCGCCAGTAGACCGTCTTCATGGTCGAGGCGTGCCATGAGTGCACGTCGCGGTTGGTGAGAACAACCTTAGCCTCGGGGTAGGCCTCAATGAGCTCCTTGGCAAATGCAATGCTGGGCCAGTCGCAGACGGCCTGGCAGTGACCGAGGAGCTGATCCCACTCTGCGCGGGTAAATTTGGGGCCCTTGCCGTCGTACTTGGCTGTCAAGGCGTCCATCCACATGAGGGCATCAGTGGGATTCTCGATGGAGCAATTCATCATGTGGTACGTGTCAACGTAGCCGAGTCTCTTCATGGCGGTACGCATGGCTGTGGTTGTCAGCTGAGTGCTCTGTATCGAGCAATGGCATCAATTACGTACAAGCAGTTCCGGTACGCCCGAGTCCGAGGATGAGGACTCTCATGGGAACGATGCGCCGGCAGTTTCGACGGTTGATGTCGGTATCATTGGTGAAGATGTCGGTGGACGGCCGAGGCTTGTACTGGGCTGAGAAGGACATTGTGATTGCTGTCGACGGCGAGCTGTGCTAGGGATGATAGGGATTCGACGTCGTGGGTGGCAGAATAAGGAGAGGATGTTGGCCTTTTGTAAGAGAGTATTTGACGATTTGTAAGTTGCCTCTTTGTTAAAGGATGTTTGCGTTTTTGATAGAGGATGTTTGCCTTTTTTGTTCTATTGTTTTGGCAACCTGTAGTTTCGCGAGGCCGACGAACATGCAGAGACAAAGTATATCGTTTGGAGTCACGATTCGACTGATCTCAGTGTGGGTAAGGCAAATGGTATGATGTTTGCCTTTTTGTTCGAGGATGTTTGCCTTCTTGCTCTATTGCTTTAGCAACCTGTAGTTTTGCGAGGCCGACGAACATGTAGAGACAAACTATATCGTTTGGAGTCACAATCTGGCTGGTCTCAGTGTAGGCAAGGCAGATGGGATGATTTCCAAGACAATTTCCAAGACACAGTGTTGATCGCAAAGAGGAAGGAGAAGGGAAAAGACAGAAAGGCTCAGTAATATCAGACGAGCAAAGGCAGTGTCAAGGCACGAGTCAAACAGGGCAACGAGGAAGGGGGCCCGTGGATAATAAAGCCCTAGAGGGTGGCTGATGGTCGCGGGACTGTGGGCAGCGGCCCAGAGGACGATCCCTAAGAGCCATGACCGAAACGTTTTACTACTCTGGCCGTCGCTCTAGTACATAGGCCGCACGAGATGGCCCGGAGGCACCAGGGACCAGGAATGTAGGGGAACCGGGCGTGCAAGTGGGACGGGACGGCCATTGTACAGTGCCAAAAACTATGGAGTCGTTCGGTACTTGATGCCAGCAGTAATCCGAGAACCACAGCTGACCCACTGGGGCCATGGCGTTTTATTTGGATTTGAGCGTGGTTTTGGTGATGGTGTGTGTGGTGGATCTGAGTGAGCTTGGATCGACACGGAGCCGAGCAAGTAGTTAGTCTGTGCCAGGTGGACAAGGTGAGCGTCAGCTACTAGGGAAGTGCAAAAGAGATGGAGGCTGAATACAGACAGATTAGATCGGATCACATTGAAAGTAGTGATGTTTCGAGTGCGCATTCTTTGGCCAATGTCGTTCCTGCAGCTTTTCGCGACTTGTTTCTTTCGTTTTCGCCTCCTTGTCATATCGCAAGCGCGCATGAGACGTCACAAATACAAGGTTAGAACAGTGTGCGCCGGAGTAACCCAACGCGCCAGTGGTACACGGCGAGGCCGTTCTGTCGTGTGCGACTGGCATTGTGAGATGTGTCGCGACAGGACGAGCTGCTTCGGTCAGCCCCAAATGACTGACTCTATGTAGACACAGCGGCGCTCGAAGGATTCTCCAAGCATACGAAATTTTTTTGTGTTGCACGGCAGCAGAAACCTGCATCGAGGGCGTCGCCCGATGGCACTGGTGGGTTCGTGGAAGTGTGCGACTGGTACCTATAAGCTGGTTAGTGGCCTCACCCAATTCGGGTTGCAACAACGGACCATGTGGCCTGGAGACGACGGGGTGCAGGCGTAGCGCCGCCGGATCTGTGCAGGGAAAAGCCAAGCCCGACGACAGTTCTCAGTGGGGTGGAACTTGGCGCGGCAAGGTACATAGGTAGTTGGAGGCGGGCCTTCGCGAAGCCGAGTTGGATTGAGATGAATATGAAAGTGCAGTGGAGGATGGGTCTTGGTAAGACGAGACGTGGGTGACGAATAAGTTCCACGAGGGCGTTTGCAGCAGCTGGCACAGAAGTTGGCAGTTGCAGCCTCAGGTATCACTGTGAGCAAACGCACCAAGGTAGGTTCATACAGTGGGTGTAGCCAAAGTGAGGTTCCTGTGAGTCAATTCCAAAAGAACAATGTAATTATTGTAAGGTATATTGAAGGGCGACTCGTTATATCAAGCCATAACGAGTTACGGCGAGCAATAGCACCCTTATAGTGAGCTATAGAACTACCATAATGACCTGCTATAACAAAACACAGTACCACTTTGGTAAGCCCGCTTGTACAGCGTTTACGAGCAAGTACATCTCAGCAAACCTTAGCCTAACCACCATATCTTGCCGCTCGGAATTACCTGTACGCGCTACGTTACCTACCTACCTACGCGCGTGAGGCCTGTTTTCTGACAGGGCACTGGACACGTTTTCCACTCAACATGTTTTTTTCCCCTGTCACAACGCTGTCAGGCTGCTGCTACGTGTTAAAGATCTTTTATGTTTTTTTAGAAGCCGTGTTAGACGCCTGACAGCGTTGTGACAGGGGAAAATTAGCTGTTAAAAAAGAGACCTGTCTAGTACCCTATCCAAAAACAGGCCTCACTCGCGTATGTACCTAGGTAGGTAGTAAACGAACCCATTACCTACTACACCAAAATCCTGCCTCATGTCCATCATCACCATCACCTTGATAAACCAAAGCTGCCCAACGCCAATCCCAAGCCACTGCCGTGATGCATCATCCCGTCCGCCTCACTGCATCCTGCACCACTCCTTACCTGGTATTTCATTTCTGCACCTCAACTCACACCACTGCCCGGGTCGTCGTGCCAAGGCGCCGTTTTTACCGCAGTCCAGACTTTTATTAATATCATCCCGCAGGCACCCGTTAAAAGAAACAAATTGTTACCTAATTGCGCTCGTTCCGTGCGGGCTCCGACAGCCGGGAACGAATGTACGAAAATTTCGAAGACCTCAACCCCTCTACAAGCAACCCCTCTCCGTAGCTTTGGGAATCCTGTGGTACGGTACGGAGCTCTCCGGATACATAGACCCCTCTACCGATGACAGGGGGCCTATCAATGAGCAAATCCATCTTACATCTTCGTGGACGGATGCCTCGGTCCCGTCAATAACTGTCAGGAAGACCTACAGATACAGCAACGGCCACTGCTCTGACCATCTAGCCATACATCACCCGTTATCTGTCATCTCTTTTCGCATGCTACTGGCCGTGCGCCTCCGTCGCCCGCCCGACCTTTCGTCTATTCGTATTAGATCGACAAGTAACTAGAAGACGGGAACGTGGCTCTTGCGCGGTCCCACCAAGATGCACTGCACTGCGACACTACTCCCCTTCACTGTTGGGGAGACCCAAAACTCTAATTTGACTCGCGTGGCTAGCTGGTCGATGACCTGCACATTCCCTGTTTGACCTGCACATTCCCTGTTTGACCTGCACACACTAATGATACCAAGTCTTTGCTATGGACTGGAGATTTTCTGCCTGTCTCCAGTTGGTTGACCCATGAGTATAGCCTTAACCGGTCAATCGAAACTTTTTTTCTTTTCTTTTCGATTTTCGGCACCGAAATCCTGAACCCCGCTGCAACCATGCAACAGAATGGGACCTGGGTACTGTGCTATCTGGAAACCCCCCACGCAACCTCCTGGCGGGCTAGAGATACTGTCCATTCAAGGTTTCAATAAAGGTGCCCCTTTGGCCCGGAAGCGAGCGGTATCTTTCAATGAAGCGGGCAGCCTCTGCATTCCTTTTTTGGAATAGGGTCTAGCAGTCTCACCGCGCCTTGCTAGTAGTATTACATCAGCGCGGCCCGGTGAGCATATCTAGCCCTACCACAACGCCGTTGCGTCGAGGTGCTTACACGCAGGGAACCAGGCCCTGGCTATTCGCACCCGCCCTGGGGAGTAATACTCGCGCCATTCCGTCTAACGGTTTAAGAGGTCTGGCATCCTTGTTCCTCGCCATGTTTTTTGCCGCTTGATCCGACTCGCATCGACTTGCTGCACCAACGATGACAGGGAGCCACCACTATACGACGACGAGCCACTGCGATTCAAAATTGTGGCGGTCTTTCTACCACCAGCCTTTCAAGGACTTCTGACCCCCCCGGCCCAAAAAAATTGCCTGCAAGAGTTTTAGGTTGACGCGGAGAAAAGTCATTAGGCCCGTCGGCAATAGACTTACAGCAGGTCGACGTTACATCACAGGGAGACTACCCCAGACGTATGCAACAAGAGGCGAGAGATCAGACAATGTGAGACTCTTTTGAGAAGCAGCTGCAGATCCACACACAGCCTGCAAAGCAATGCAAAGCACATACTATGGGCTAGCCCTCACAGGTGCAAGACCACGGGCAAGGCCGCGGGCACGCGGCGGAAACAAAATCGCACACACCTCGCAGACGATCAGGTCCAGTGAAAAGTAATACAGGATGCACTTGCGCAAGCTAAAGATGCGGGAACTTTTACCGTGAACCGAAGGAACAACACATCATCAACACCACCGTCGCACACGTACATACTCGAAAAGGACGCACAGTGATGCGTATCGGCGATTATCGTTGCGCGATTACTTGTACAACAAATGCTTCCGCTAATTCTTTGCTACTGCCACGAAAACATGCTGCGGCTGCACTCGGTTACAGATTCAGCTCAGCGCCGTTGACGGCATAACTTGACGAGTTTTTTGCGTAAGATATTTTAAGATGTTCATGCAAAACTAGCCGCACCTTGTCATCGGGTGCGAAGTTATTCGGTGTTAGTGACAGGCGGACGTGGAAGCCACACCCCCACTTGGAAGAATCCCTGAGATACAAACTTTGAGCAGAATTGAACGTGTTTGGGCATGCGATTCTCTCCCACATCGACCCGGCAATTCGTGGACGCTTCGAGTCATGCGACGAGGAGATGCCCATAACTATCATCGGACACATGCTCGCCGCATTACTGCGACCCCACATCGTACTAGTGGACTCGAGCCGGGCTTCATCTGCCCGACGCAAGGCTCCCGATTGATCAGGGTCTTGTAATCGGAGAGAGAAAAAGCAGCGATTTGAAGATTGACAGCGAGCAAGGCAAGTTCGCCAATGATGACGCCAGTGTCAGCGACAGTGCTGACCGAAGACTGGCTTTACTATAACTAGACGACGGAGCCAGTTGGTAGGAGATGCTAACTTGGGTTATTCGGGCGCGCCACTCACTCTTTGGTTCATGCAGATGTAGTAATACTCTCGGCAGAACCAACGCGAAAGAAGCCACCGAATGGGCCATACGCCACGTTTGGCGGAAAAGATTGCAGAACCAAGCAAGCCCAGCCCTGTCTCGAACGTCTCGAACAGCTGGAGTGTTACAAACAAGTTATTGACCGACAATGGGCAAGGATACAGACACCTGCCAAGCAGAGTCAAACGGCCGGGTCTGATCAGCACATTGCGCGTGAAACCCGTGTCTGGTGTCCGATTTCCTTGTGCACTGATTGTGACGTGACGACACGGCCCAGTTCGGAATTACCGCCGTGATTGCATCTGTGGTTGTTGACGGTTTGGCCGCTCGAGTACACACCCGAATCGTGCAACACACAGAACGGACCAGCCGTATAACGGATCGGCAGGCAGAGCGCCTTCGGGCGGTTGATCTGCACTGGCATGACAGCATGCCATTGTTGTTACCTGCCCATGTGGACATGCTGGCCCTCGCGTCCCGCCAGCAGTTACTGGCACAGTCGCCCTGTCCGTGACATGTTTCCAGGTGTACAGTACGAGCGGACACTATGGGGGGGGGCCGCTACATGAGCAAATGTTTTTTTCTTGAGCGAATTTGCGGCGCGAGCCACACCGGAGTTCGCCAACGTTCCGGCCGCCATATCGAGGTCGCCAACGCGGCGCAGCAACTCGCACTACGAATTGATACAGCGCAGCCCGCAGCCCTTGATTACAAGCAAACGAGCAAGCTGAACAAGGGCCGTGCAATCTGGCGCTTTCCCTTTCTGGTCCTTTCTCTTTGCGGTCCATCGTTTCCTGATATTTTGTCCGTTTTCGAGGTAACCCTGTTGTAAGCAATAGTCTGGTGCAAGTTCTCTTTGTGGAAGCTCGAATCTATCCGTACATGTCGCATGACGACGTACGCGCGACATCTTGAACCTTTGCGGCCATGACTCTTATTCTTTGCGATTTTCCTCGCATCTCCGGCCTGCGTCATATGTACGCCACTCATTTGCGAGGACCGCTGCGAAGGCCGTGCCTCCTTCCCTTGAATCAATTTGGCTCCTGGGCGCCGCACCATTCGGCAACCCAGCATCTTGGAACGCTGAATTGTAACTAGTTAACTACCTAGGTAGTTATGGGGGGGACGCAACCTGGAGCTTGGCTCGGTATACCAGTGTGGGTGACCCCTGCCCGGCATGGGCACGACAAATCTTGTCATGTTTGTAGTCAGTTAGTTACCGGTCCACTCACTCACTGCATCCGTGCACGTCTACGAATATGGCCTGGCGTCTGGCCTTCCAGAAGCGGCCGCTCAGGGGCTTGGAAACTCTGCTGACGGGGAGGAGACCCCACAAAGGCAGTGAGGTTCTTACCAAGTCCTCCTAGTTATTTGTCCTAACTATTTCCAGCCCGAGGTTCTCAGCTGGATAACTCTCCCGTCAGTAAGGAAAAGGCAGAGCATGGCTCTGAATTACGTCGCTGTCACTGAGTCTAGGGCTGGAGAGTGACGTCTTGCCGTTGCATCACTACGATCCGAAACCCACACCGACTGGCACTTGCGGATAATTGTTCCCGAAACCCCATCGGATCCGATTCCTTCGTTTCTTCTCCCTCTTCAATCTCCCATCCAGTGCATGATTCGAACTGATCGCCCTGATCCACGCCTGGTCTGGCGCGGCGCAGCGCCACACTAACAACTGGAGCCCAGTACCGCCGGAGCTCTCGAATCAACCGGGCAGCCTTGACAAATTCCGTAACGTCTCGACATCATGTCTCGAGGCATGGCGGGAAACAATGTCGAAAAGCAGCCGCCGCCGCCGCCGCAGTCAAAGCCAGGTCCAGTGTCGTGGCTTTCGCTGCCGCGCAAGGACCAGCTCCTCATCCTGTTCCTCTGCCGCCTCGTCGACTTTTTGCAAGTCGCCTCGATGCAGGCCTACGTATTTTATCAGCTCAAGCACATGGACGACTCGCTGTCCGATGCGAGCATCGCCAAGCAGGCCGGCCTGCTGCAAGCGTGCTTCACGGGCACGCAGGTCATGACGGCGATGCTCTGGGGCAAGGCGGCGGATGCGCCCTGGTGCGGCCGCAAATCGGTCGTGGCCATCGGCTTAGCGGGCACGGCGGTTAGCTGTCTGGGGTACGGATTCTCGACGACCTTCTTTTGGGCCGCGTTCTGGAGAGCCTTTGGCGGCGCCGTCAATGGCACCGTTGGGGTCATGTAAGATTTTTGGCTGCCCCTGCTGCTTGGTTGCTGCTGCGTGGTGTGCTAACCAAGATGTCGCAGTCGCACCATGCTTTCCGAAATCATCAAGGAAAAGAAATACCAATCACGAGCCTTTCTCATTCTCCCCATGAGCTTCAACGTTGCTGGGATACTAGGTCCATGTAAGTGCGCGACAAAAGCAATTCCCCATCTCCTGCGTCTAACAGATACTAGTCTTCGGTGGCATGCTCGCCTCGGCGGGCACAACATTGCCGGGCGTGTTTGGAACTGGGGCGCTGCTGGGATTCCGTTGGGTTCAGAAATACCCGTTTGCGCTGCCGAGCCTCATGAATGTGCTTGCGCTCTCGCTCGTCACTCTCACCGTCATGCTTTTTCTGGAAGAGGTGAGGCTTCATCTTCGAATCCGGTTCTTCTGCCACACTAACACGCACTAGACGTCACCTTCTCGGCGACATCTCCACGATCCGAGCCTTGCGGTTGGCCAGCGCATCGCACAGAGGCTCTTCGGCAACAAACCGAGTACTAGCTACTCGCGCCTCACGGCCACCGAATCGTGCGCGCTCGACGACATGTCTGACCAGCAGGCTGATGCACCGCAGCCGGCACCGCGCCGTCCTCCCACGATACGTCGCCTCCCATTTTCCCGCCTCTGGACCTCCAACGTCATCTTCACGCTCATCACCACGGCTTTTTACGACTTTCACCTCGGCGCCTTTGGCAACATCTGGTCACTGTTCCTCTCCACGCCGCGCTACATTGACTCCGCCGCGGCCTCGTCCGCGAAGCGCAGTCTCCCGCTGCTCTTCACCGGCGGCCTGGGCATGCCCGCCGCGACCGTCGGCATCGCCACGTCGTTTCTCGGCATCATCGGCATGGGCCTGCAGCTGACGATGTACCCTTCCGTGCACGCGCGTCTCGGCACCATGCGCTCCTTTCGCTGGTTTCTCCTCCTCTTCCCCGTGTGCTACTTTATGGTGCCTTATCTCTCCATCCTGCCGTCGACGAGCGACGGCAGGTCCGACGCCGCGGCGTCCGGCCCCTTGGTCTGGCTGGGCATCCTGTGGGTGCTACTCCTCGCCGTGGCGGCGCGTACGTTTACCCTGCCCACCAGCATCATCCTGCTCAACAACTGCAGCCCCCACCCGAGCGTCCTCGGCACCATTCACGGCCTCGGCCAGAGCGTGTCGGCGGGCTTCCGCACCGTCGGGCCCGTCGTCGGCGGCTGGTGGTACGGCTACGGGTTGGATATCGGCATGGTCGCCTGGGGCTGGTGGAGCGTGGCTCTCGTCTCGGCCGTGGGGTGCCTCACGGCGCTGGGCATGTACGAGGGAAGCGGCCACGAGGTGCGTCTTGAGGGGGAAGACGAGGAGGAATAGATGCAACACTTGCACATGTGGAACATGGACTGTACATAACGACGCCTACGCTTACGAATATACTGGTGGAAATGGAAACTGTTATTGAGCCAAAGCAAGTGTATCGTATCCGTGAAATGTCAACCGCCAAATTTACCCGAACGCCCCTTTATCCGACTCGATGCCCCATTTACTGCAAAATGCTGTTGGATTTCCTGCGCAACGACTTGTCCTCCTCACGCGTATAGATCATGGTCTACCTCGGCGCTCTTTGTGGCGCACGGGTTCGTCACGCGGATGCCGCTCTCCAGCCTGTCAAGCGTCATGACGTAGTTCTTATGGTCGCACCACGTGCGCACCATTTTGACCGCATTCTTGATCTCGCGACCGTTGAGCTGCCAGAGGCTAATCTCGTCAATATCCGTCTCACTCAGCGTCGGCACCACCGCGTTGCCGTCGACGGTCTCCAGCTCTTCTTCCGAGGCAATCTCCTTACCCTTGCCCGCCGCCGCCGCGGGGGGCGCGGCGAGGCTCTGGGGTGCGAGGCGGGAGAGAAAGTTGCGCCAGACCTGTTTGCGGGCGTCGCGGGGGAGGGAGGCAAAGAGCAGGTGGAGGCTGACGCGGCTGCGAAAGGCCGGGTCAATGGTCTGGTAGAGGTTGGTGGTGAGGAAGAGGATGCCGCGAAAGTACTCGAGCTCGCGAAGGAAGATGCTGACGAGCTCGTTGCGGTGAATGTTGTTGGGGTCGCGCTCGGCCATGAAGACGTCGGCCTCGTCGAGGAGCACGACGGCATTCCACTCGGCGGCCATGGTGAGGCAGCGCTTGAGACGGGTGCCGAGCTCGCCGGCGTGCGTGCCTAGGTCCTCGGCCTGCAGGTAGACGAGCGGCCGGTGCGTGCGGTCGGCGACGGCCTCGGCCATGAGCGTCTTGCCGGTGCCGGGCGGGCCCGAGAGCAGGATCACGAGACCCTGGCCCTTGCCGGCGATGACGTCGTCAATAGGCGCGAGGGTGCGCTTCGGCGTGCTGCTGCTATCGGACGGGTCTTCGTTGGCGGTGGAGCTCGAGTCGCTCGCAGGGAGCGCGGGTTTTGTCGCGGTGGTGGTGGTGCTATTGGTGGTAGTCGGCGTGGCGATGGTGTTGTTGGTGAAGCTGTGGTACTGGACAAAGGACAGGATGAGGTCCTTTTGCTGCTCGTCGTACACGAGATGCGAGTAGGCCGTGTCATTCCAGATGAGCGGCTCAATGTCCTCAATGTAAAACTCGACCCAGAGCTTCGTCTTGAGGGCGTAGCCACCGACGAGGCCGTACAGAAATGGCAGGTCGTCCTTGCGGCGTAGCATCATTTCCTTGTTGCGCAAGCACTGCGCTTCAGTAATGTGCTTTCGGAGCGTGCGCTTCTCGGGCCGGTTCGCGTCGTCATCGTCGCTGTCGTACGAATTGTCGGAGTCCGTGTCGGAAAACGGGTTGATGGATTCGGCGTCGGAGTCATTGTCGGATTCGTCGTCCCATGCGCCGATGCCCCAGTCATCCTGGTCGTCCTCGTCCTCGTTGCGGCGCTTGGACGACTTGCGCTTTGCGCTGTTGCGGTGCAGGTCGTCGTCCTGGTACTTTTGGTAGCCCGAGACGTCAATGAGGATGCGGCCCTCGACGTTGTGCTTGCTGACCGTCTTGCTGTCCTGCCAGTAGAGCGCGACGTTGTTGTAGCAGCGGTACTGGAGGCCCTGCAGGTCGAGCATCATCTTGCCGCGGTTCTGGAGGCGGTCGTACACGCTGGCAATGTCGGCGTGGTGCTCGATGGGGTAGTGGCGCAGCTGCTTGATGGGCTTGTTGCCGGAGAAGCTGCCGAGGCGCAGCATCTTGCTGGCCCAGACAAAGGAATCGCCGTTGAAGCGGAGGACCTTGACGCTGATTTGCAGAAACGAGTCGCCGCAGGAGGTGGTGACGTAGTCGGCCTTGATGACTTTGCAGAGGAATTCAGACTCGAGATCGGTGCTGTAGAGGGTGGTGCCGCGGGAGAAGAGAGTCCAGGCGGTGGCAAAGGAAATGAGACTCGATCCGCCGAGGTTGTCCAGCTTCGTGTGCATTTCCTTGAGAACGGAATCCATGGCGTCGACAAACAGCTTGAGGTACGGGGCCAAGATGTCGTCTTTGGCCAGTCCATTGTAGAGCTGCTTGATCTCGTCCTGGCAGAAGAAGAGTACGTGAAAGGGGGCGGTGAACGTCGCCGTCTCGGTTTCGCTAACGTGGTGGTCTTGCTTCTTGAGAATGGGCACGAGCGCGGCGACGACGGCCAGGTTCTGCACCTGGATGCTGTGGTACTTGAGCGGCAGGCGCCCCGAGATGCACTGCTTCTCGTGGTCCTTGACCTTGAAGACCTTGATGGCGACGCGGCCGTGCTCGCGGGCGGTGGCCTTTGATATTTGCTTGGGCGGATAGTCTACCCAGTTGTAGTTCCACGTGGACGAGTCCGGGCCCTCGTACATGACCTTGCTGACGGGATCACCGCCGGCCTCCTCCTCGTCCGACGAGTCGTTATCGTTGTCCTTGTTGCCGCTGCCAAACAGCTTGCAGCGCCACTTCCAGATGAACTCGGACACAGCGCCGTCCTTGGTAAAGGCACATTTAAATTTTGAGAAGCGACCCGCGCCGGTGCCAGAGTCGCTGGACGCGGCACTAGGGGCCCTCCGGCGAGCAGTTTGCTTGGTGCGGGCCATGGTCGTGAGCTGGTTGTGAATGTGAATACAACCCGGGTTCGAATTCGCGAAATAGGCAGCCAGCGGTGGAAAAAAACAAACTGAAGAGGAACCAAGAGGGTGGGTGACTGCAAGAGGTCGGTGTGCGGGGAGAGCGGCGAGATATGTAGATGCTGGTTGTGTTCAGCTTTTCAGGCAGCACAAACGCCAGCCACCGCCTCCATTTGTGCTGCCCGTTTGCGAACTGCAGAACTTGCGGCGGGTGTCTGCCTGGATGTGATACATGTTTTTTTACGACGCTGCCGTCGCAGTCACGCCGGGTTGACCCATGCAAGCCTCGCTCGCACCACAGCCCAGCGCCCGCCTGCAGGCAGATCGACCGCAGTGACTCAGCTGAAGCTGCCTTGGCTGCCTAGATCCGGTGGAGCCATTTTGCTCCGGTCACTTACCATCAAGGCGGCGAAGAACACGGTCAGAGTATAGTGTGGATGCCGATTTGCTAGGGGTAGTTGGTGTTTGATGGTACATAGATGGTAGGTGGGAGATGGTAGTTGGGAGATGGTAACTATATGATGTTTCACGGCGGTTGGCACGGCCCGTCACAGATCCGACCTGACTAAGCCCCGTGTTCTCTGTGTAACTGTGCTTCATTCTTGCTCATTGTTTGGCTGACTTGATCTTCCCTTTGTTTCTTTTTTTTTTGCTTTTGCCTTGAGCTTTTTTCTTCATTTTTCAGTTCCAAATGATACCTTTGGCAGTCACAATGAAGGAACAGACTCAAGCACAGTGCCGCACCAACGTCCACCGTGATTTGTCACGATTCGCGATTACTTGCGAAATTAGCCGCAGACAATCCCACATTTTACTATTATTCGCAGAAATTCTTCTTCTGTGTCTTCTCTTTATGCCACCTCACGGTGTAGTGTGACTGGACTCCGGCCTAGCCTCGCTGTCAGCCCGATCATACCGGCTCACTACTACCCGACTTCGCTCTAACATACTACCATGAGTCACTGATTAACTTGAAGGATTGTTATAGGAAAGAAGAACACCACAAACTGAGACACCAACAACAAAAGAAAACTGCCTTACAGAAAAGCCTTGCACATACAAGCCATCACCATCCCGCGCCATGGCTGACCCTACCCCACCAAAGTCAAAGCCTGTCCTGGCCGACCGCTACAAAGTCCCATCCGAGCAACTCACCGACGGCGCGGTAACACTGCGCCGATGGCACCTGCGAGACGCAAAAGCTCTTCTCGCGGCCGCGGTCCCATCCCTACCCGAGCTGAAGATCTGGATGCCCTGGGCCGCCAACGGCTACACGCTCGCGGACGCCGAGTCGTTTCTCAGCATCAGCACCGCGGACTGGGACCGGGGAGCGGGCTACAACTACGCCGTGCTTGTCGACGCGCAAGTCGTCGGCTCCGTCGGTCTCATGAACCCGGCTCAGGGCCCCGACGGAATGGGCATCGGGTACTGGCTCGCCACGTCCGTAACCGGCCGTGGCCTGGCTTCCAAGGCTGCCGCGCTGCTGACCCAGACGGTGTTTGACTGCGGCGCGGAGCTCGTGCAGATTTGGCACGCGGTGACCAATGCAAAGAGCCGGGCGGTTCCTGAGAGGCTGGGATATCGGTATTTGGGCGAGCACGAGGATCTGCAGATTTCGGAGCGTGGAGTAATGGGCCTCTGGCAAAAGGACGCGCCGACGCAATCGTAACAACTGTTAGCCAAACATTGTCCAGTTGGCTGACGTTGAAAATAGGGGCCGAAGCAGATGAGAACTGAATGTATCGAAACAGTCATAATCTGGAAAAAGTCTCTTCTGTCATATCTTTAGGTATCATCATATTTACACACCCATGTCCCTTCAAGCCAAGAACCCGCCCCCCAACGACCGGAGTCACCAAACCATCTCCTCTTGCAAGTCGTCCCACTCCGAGCCCGGCCCGTTTGGCCGGCGACTAAAATAGACCGTCGCGCGGCCCTGCGCCGGCTCCGTACATATATCCACCGAGTGCACGCGCATATGCTCAGGCACATCCAGCAGCTCACCGTCCTGAAGCCGGTGCAGGTCAAACACCAAGCCTTCCTCCTCCATCTGCATCACGCGCTCGCCGATGCGCGCATTCACCACACCCTCCCACGCGCCCTCAAACTCGGGGCCCGTGTACAGCGCATGCACCGCGCGCCGCCGCGTCACAGGACACCGGCACTTGGTCGCCGTCAGGTACAGCGGGTGGATGACGGCCATGTCGAGCTGGAAGCCGCCGCCGCCGCCGCTGCCGGCCGCGTAGTTTGGAATCAGCTGCTGCTGGCGCGCGCGGATGTCGGCGGCGAGGTCGACCATGGCGACAAAGTCGGCCGCGTGCGCGTCGTAGACGGTCTCCTCGGGCGACAGACAACCGCTCATGATGACGACCGAGGTCAGGTGCTTGATGCGCAGCAGGCTGGTCTGCTCGGGCAGCATCTTGTCGAGCTTGCTGCCGGGGGTGAGGTATTGCGCGTGGAAGCCGTCGAGGCTCTTCCGGATGCTCTGCGCCTGGGCCGCGACAGCGTCGGGCACCGGGCCGAGCTCCTCGTAGCGGTAGTCGGCGGCCACGGTGCGGATAAAGGTCCACACGCGGTTTGTGAGGCCGGCCAGTGCGTGGTCGGCCTCTTGGTATACAGAATCAAAGACGAAGATGCGGGAAGCCACCCGCGACGGATCTAATGCCGGTGGTCGTATCCCTAGGAATATCGCGGCCTGGAGGTCTAGCCTCGCAAATGCCGTTGTTATGGCTTCGTCGACTTTGCAGGGATATTAAATTAGTTTTTGTTCGGCTGACCAATAAAGACAGTAAAAACCTACCAGTATGCAAATTTGAACTAACCACTTGCAGACCGTGCTCGAGGTGTGTGAGAGCGGTGGCCGGTTCCTTTATTCGCAGCTCAAAGCATATACACAGCAGCGTGCAGAGCAGCGCCGTGTTGATGGAGCGTTTATCGTTGTGGCGAAAGACGTGGCGCATCGCCTCGAGCGCCTTGCCATAATGCCGCAGCGCAAACTCGTTTTCGCGCGAGGCGTGATGCGACAGCGGCGACTGTGCGCCTGACACGGCGACACCCTGACCGCCGCTGTCGCTCCCGCCGTCCCCGGGTAGGAGGCTGCCGGCGGCGGAGGTGCTCAGGGCGGTAAAGGCGACGACGGCGTGGCACAGGGCCACCTCCTCGTGGACGGCCTGGAGGATGAGGCGCTTCCACGAGGGCGTGCCGACGTGGCCGACGATGCTGTAGACGAGCTCATGGCGGAAGAGGTCGAGGTGGGCAATCTCCTGAGGCGTCAGCCAGCCGGTCTGGGTCGGCCGAAAGTGCGTCAGCGTCAGCGGCGCGGTAAAGGTCAGGCCGCCGTCCTTGTTGACGGGCTCGGCGACGCCGTCGCAGCGCCGGCCGGACTTGGTGCAGTTGTTGCAGACGGGCGACGTCTCGTCGCAGCGAATCTTGCGGACTCTGTTGCCGTGGAAAGGTAGTGTTAGTGGGTTTTGTTGGCTGCTGTCGGCGGCTGCTCCGACTGGCAGGGAATTTCTTGTTCTTGTTCGTCTTTGATAACCAGCCAAAGGGAAGTTACACTGACTTGCACGTCTTGCACCCCAGCTTTGTTTTTGAATACCGCTTCTTGGTCACAGCCGCGGCGGCGTTGGGGCCGGCAGCGACGGTGACTTGCTGCTTTGGGGATTTGGGCTTTCCGCGGCTTCCACGCCTCGACCCGTCGGTGGCCGGCTTGCTGCTCATAGCCTGCCGCATTCACTATCCAAGTTGGTGGGTTGTTGTTGTTGGCGCTGCTGCTGCTGCTGCTGTTGTTGTCTAATAGGCACGAGTCGCACTGCATTCAAGCGCAGACAAGAGACAGCAGTTTGAAACACAGTAGATTTGATATATTGATGAGAGAAACCAAGCAAAAAGAGGGCGAACAAGCGCCACTTTAAGGAACAACCGAAAGCCCACTTTGCCTGCGTGAGGCTGAAAGTGCTGAACCTGGCGATTTAATGGGGTGGTATTTCATCAGTGTCGCTCGACGGGTGCGCCTTGGCCGCGGCCCCCCCAGGTTCCTTGGAGTTTTTCCTATTGTCCGCCTTCTCTACATCTTTTTGTACCAGCACGTCGCATTAGAGAGGGGGAAACGAAGATGCCGGCCGGCAACCCAGACAGAGTCGTATCGGTGCCCACCTCATGGCTTAATCAACTGGACGGCCGTTGCTGCCGAAGACTGTGCAAGGCGGGGAACGAGCCTAACGACAAACTAGTGACGGGGTTCGCAAGCCCATTTGAAGAATAGTTAGTGACAAAAACAAGCTTGAACTTGGGGTCCCCCTCTCAAGATGTTGCCAAGATTGGTCCCCTACGTCCCCTATTCGTCTTGCCTACGTACGCGGCGTCCAAGGCCCCCCCTACGGCAGCCTATAGGTGAGTTATCGCTAAATCCCAATTCACACCTAGTATACAGTTAGATATGAAATAATATATATATAAGTAGGCTATTATATTTTTTAGATATATATTATCCTTATAATAAATATAGGTTATTCTTATATCTAAATATAGCTACCTTACTTAGTATATTTTAATTTTACTTTATATAATATATTATATAAACCTTTCCTCTTTCTTTTTAGCTATTAATTTTATTAGTCCCCCCCTCTTTTTATTATATATATATATATATATACCTTTATATATAGTTAAATATATATACCTTACTATATATATATACTAATCTAAGTTTTTATAGTTAAATTAGTTTTATATATTTTTATATATTTTTATATTATCTTTATATTAATTTATATTATTAATAATAACCTTTATATACCTTTATATACTTTTATACTATATTAAGTAAAGTTATTACTATTTTAAAGAAGATTAATAATATTACTATACCTATATATATAGCTATAGTAGTTAGTAATAATATATATATAAAGGTAACTATATATACTATTATATAATATAAAAGTACTATTTTAAAGAAAGTATTATTTATAATATATACTATAACTTTAAAACTTAAAGTATATATTATTCTATACTATTTTATATATATAATACTTATAATATTAATTATATAAAATATAGCTTAAATATATACTTATATTAAGAATAGTATTTAATTAAGTATATAAACTTATAATCCTTAAAACCTTAATTAAGTACCTATAAGTTTATAAAGTAGTATTTAAATAACTTTATAGAATAGTTTAAAAAGGTATAGCTAGTTATAAATAGTATTATAATAACTATAACTATTTTATAAAGTATATACTACTTAAATAGCTTTCTAAAGGCTATACTAATTACTATTATAGCTAATATA